GACCAGACACGGAACTTGGCAACAAGGGTAGGCCAGGCTGTTGTTGATACTAGTACGTAGTAGTCGCGAATATCAACCTTGCTACTCAGCCGTGCGTCCAACTTGAAGTGGGAGTTTCTTGTCAGTCAACCAAACATGTCCAAGGACGGGTTCGAATAAGGAATTCTTGCTGCATGTCTGATGCGAGTGCAGCTCATGCACGGCGGGCGGGCGACGCGGAAACTGGGCGCGTGTGGGCGTGGGAGGGCCGCATGCCGGGATTCAGAGGGCCCGTCTGCAGTTTGTCTGGAGTGATGATAGCAGAGCAGGGGCGTGTGTACACCATTTCTTGTAGCATCGCGAAGTTGGAAAGCATTGCCCACCCACAGCACACACGCGCCAAGAGTTCATCGTTCACCATCGGAGCCAGGGCGGCTGACGGTCGTCGCCAACGGCTGAGATGGCGGCGCCAAGTCGGCCATGGAGCCACACCAGGCTGAGCGTCGCAATGATCCGGAAGTCGGGAGCACACCTCCTCGAAATATATGTATGCGTCATATTTCATTCCCCGTGGCGGGAGACGCCGCGGAGAGCTTCGAGTCGCCGTTGGCTTTGCTGATGGATGCTTGATGGTGATGGTGGTGACGATGATGATGATAATTTTTTTTTAAAAAGTTTGGGAGAGAGAAAAAAGAAAAGAAAAAGAAAATAAGAGATAAAACTCCATTATGGCGGCGTATTTTTTTTTTTCCAGCTCGAGTCGCGTTAGACAATCTGCAAGAACTCTCAGGTCAAATCAATCATTAGAGAAGCTCGGAGTCGATCCGAGAAGCTACGCGCCACGCCCCCGGTACAAAAACCGACGATGGATGATTGACTTGCAGCTTGAGAGTTGGACAGAGACGCTGAGACTGCTCTTCGGAAATAAGTGAATGGCGGAGGTCGCCAATTCCGCATGAATGCCGAGAGCATCATCGTCATGGCAGAACCCACACTCTGGATTTAAATTGGCTACCACAGCGCATGATAATCTCCAGTGTGCAACGCACGGCACGATGTCTGGGGCAAGCCGCAATAATGGTTATTGCAGTACCCAGCTTGGCCTACACGTCACGGGTCCGCATGAATCGTCGTGTCGTCGTGTAGTCGTGGATCAAAAAGTCAAGCTGGTACGACGGAAAGCACAGGATGTCAAGAAGCTTGCCACGGCAGCCCCAGCTCGGTTGTGGCCCGAGATTTGCGCTCGCTGCTTGCCGCTCGCCGCTCGCCGCTCGCTCACGCCGTGGACCCGGCAAAGTGTCGGGATGTCGCCTGTCCTTGGCGAACCAGACTCCATGCAAGCATCGAGCCTTTGGCCCTTGCTTGTTTATTGTCGTGTATTGGCCTGCGTAGCTGTTCTGTGCCGGGCATGTGCGAGAGCGCTGGCGGATGCCCGATCCTGAGTCGGGAGCCGGGACGTTGCAGCCGAGCTGGAGAGGGCGACGAGGAGGCAACGTGATAGATGGCAGCAGCAAGTGCGCTGTGATGAAATGTAACTAGAATGCGGTCAACTATCATACAATGTCTAGGCCACATGATTGTGCAGACACACGGAACATTTACAAGACCGACTACTTCTACTCATGCAAGAAGAGAGTGCAAACCTCAAGGTACCTAGGTACCTACCTACCTAGGTACCTAGGTACTTACTTAGGTAAGTACTTCCTGGGCAGGACGTCGCAGGTCTGCGGTGCGCGGACCACGGGCCAGGGAACACGCGCTGCGTGGACGTGTACGGAGAACCAACTGACTGATGGACGTCGACGTTGAATTTGTCCGGCTCAATGTTGTCTTGGACTGTGCTTGTCTCGAACTGCTTGCTGGCTGGCTTGCTTGCTTGCTGGGTGAGCGCTGGCTGGCTGGAGGTGTTCGGCGGCGCTTGCCTTGCCTGTCAACTCGTGTTCCGGTGCCGCCGTGCCCCAGCCTCCAGGGACCCAAGGACCCAGGGTTCCAGGGCCCCCAGGTACCCGAGCCCACAGACACCGGCTGCTGGAAGTCGGCTGTCCGCTTGACGCACGCCCACCTTCCCGACTGCCCCTCCCGACACGCCCCTCCCGTCAAGCGCCGCGCCAGGACAACGTTGAAGCGCTCTCGAATGCTGCTGCCACATGCACCGCATGACTTTCCCCACTGCCCACGGCGCAATCCCCACGGACCAGGACCCGTTGCCCATTGCCCTGCCCAGGGCCACGCCTGGCTGGACACACCCCATCTATGATACACCCCATGCATGATTGAGGGCTTCAATGCTCCCATTGAAACCAGGTTCTTTGGTCTTCGCCGTTCGGTCTGCTCATGCAGTTTTCGCGCTAGGTAGCCCTATATTGGTGGTGGTGGATGTAGCTCATTTTGGAGCCAGCCGGCAAGCCAGCGAGTCAAGCAGCCAACCAAGCTTCTTTTCCGTCGGCACTCCATACAGAGTACGTAGTCGGCATGTTGTTTGTTAAAGCCAGAGCTTCGGGACGCCGGCAGGGCATCCATGCCAAGTACTTTATGAACCTACTTCAGTACTAGGTAAGTAAGTACTTGCCAGGCTCCGGTCTGAGCAAGTAATCACAAGCACAAGAACTGAGATTGGGTGCCGGCACCTGAGGTGGAGGTGCCAGGTCAGGTCTGGCGCCGAGTACTCAAGTACTCCGTACAGTCCATCCCTGCCAAGTAAGTGCCCTACTAAAGTACTGAGTACTTAAGTAGGTAGGTAGGGTGACGTCTGGTGCACTCAAACGGCCGGGCCCAGGCTGCTGCTGTTCATTCCTGCTTCCTTCCTCTGGTGTTCCTCTTGCTCTTGGCCCAGGCTGCTGCTGCTGCTGCCGCCGCCGCCGCCTGCCTGCCGGCCTGCTGCTTGCTTGCTTTGCCGACAGACACAGGAACGAGGAACGAGCAAGACAGAGGCGACGTGGCCAGTCGTCTCACCAGCAGTGTCTCGAATTTGGAACTTGCAGCAGCTCATCTTGGGATACGTTTGGATTGTCGCCCCCCTCGGCGGCATGATCTGGTTGTTGGCGGAGTATTTTTTGTACTTGACCACATTTTCAGCCTGCAGACACTGGAGACGCCCAGGTGGCTTCCGTCCCGATACCCCAACCCGCCAAGGCTTGCGTGCACGCAGCGAGAGCCGGTTGACATTCATCGATGGTGGCCTCAGCCGCAGATGCCAGAGTGTCGGTGCGGCCTGGACGAGCAGAGTGCCTGCCTGAGTAACTTACTCCGTACTCCGTACATGCCCAAGTGCCTACCGGGGCGGGTAGGTAGATTAGGTACTTACTCGAGCAGCACCTGGTGCCTCAGGTACGTACGTCATTTTGCTCAGTCAGCACTGGACCTGGAGTGCCCCGTACGCATTGCAGACCCGCTCTTGAGCTCATACTAGTACATACTACACTGTCAAGTACGTGACCAACTAGATTCTCAGCTACTTGGACTAACTCGGGTATTTAAGAGGTCGGTGTCCAGGTTTGCATGCATTTATGTATGTACGTATTGCTTTGTATTAGTGATATGTCCAGTTTTGCTTGTACGCATGTATGTACGTGTTGCTTTGTATTGGTGATGGCACACCCAGTCTCCTGGACCGCCTTCGTTGCTTTTGCCGTTTTTTTTCTCCTGGCCCCTGTCGCCGACCCTCTTTGGACACCATTTCGCTCTTTCCATCTGCAAACCGAACCAGCACGTTCCCGGCCGCGCAGGCCCGCCTCGTCCCTGCACATGTCTGGTGCATTGTGCACACCCCCCCGGCCCCCCCGCCCGCTCCTGCCCTGTCTGCCCTGTCCTCCCTGTCCTGTCCTTGCCCTGGCCTGCTTGATGCCTCCTCACCCGACCATGATTCACGTCTCTCTCTCTCTTTCTCTTTTTTTTTTCCCTTCTTTTTTTTTGGCTGTTGCTTCTTGTTTCCACTTGGCAATCCTTTGCCCGAACCTAGAGCTGCTAGCCCGTAGGGCTCATACCTGGGTTGAAAAGTATCTGGGAAGTACTCGCTTCTCATTACCCTGCCTTACTCTGTACTACTTACATTGACACCTAATACAATACACACACACACGCACCGCACCACACACACGCACACACAACTTACATGCCGCTATGCGTAAAACCTTCTTCTTTGTTCCATCCTGACCGGCGTCTCCTCCGTACTCCCTTCTTTGGTGAGATCCATCCCAGCTTGCCTACCTACTTGAGTAGGTATATATGGAGTCTCCCGGGAACCGTCCTGGCTCCTCTCCCAGCGTCCGGTTTGCCTCATCTACGCTCATCTCGACCCCATTGGTGGATGGCACACCCCAGCAGAACCAATCATACCTGTAAATGCCATTTATAAACACAATCAACAAGGAGTCGATGTGTCCTTGACCATCCCGAGACATCTCGGATGCGCTTCCTCATCTTCTACCTCTCTTTCGACCACTTCCTTCTTCACCCTTCTGCCAACACCATATTTGATCACCAACCTCGGGACGAGATAACCTTCGAGCCGTCACGCACTGCCAAGCTTTTTAATCATTCGCGTTTACTTACCGTCGACATCCGTTAGTGACCTGAGTCATTATACGCTGTCGTCACACGTTTTTCTCGGCCGTTTCACCTTCTGATATCTGGACCTCTGTTCTCCAGAAAACCAACCCGAGCTTTGCGACTAAAACGGTTCCTGCGTGCTTCTTGGAAAAGAAGACGGCGCAGGATCAGAATCGACTCGGCAACCAAACAACCGCCCCCGTCTTTGATGCAGAGGGTCGCGCGGAAACTCGAGGTCCAGCATCAGATCCTTACTACTGCTCTACTCGTCGGATTCCGTTCTTGTCCGCTACACAGAGGGATATCGTTTCCCCCTCCCCCGTCCTGTGTGCTGGTACACCGCATTTTCTGAGTGACTCAATCCTCCCCGACAGAGACCAGCGCTTCTTCATCCAGAGCGAGTGTGAAAGCCCAACGGGTGACGCCTGTTAGGCTGTCAGCTAGAAAAACTGGCCCAACTCAAGAGCCAGCCTATGCTCTGCCTCCCGCGGGCAGAGCCACCGTTCGGCGTTATCAACAACGGCGATATCGGTTTCATACGCGGACATCAAGCCTCTGTACACGGTCATTGTGCCGCTACAAGAGGCAGCGCGACCATCAACGTGGATATAACCTCGCTTCTAAAGTCTTCCGACTCAGATGAGTCCCGAGGCTACTCCCACCAACCCTTGCGCGACCCAGCACCGCCGCCTCATTCGATACCGACGCTATCTGCCCAAGGGCAACAACCTCCACTGTCTTTAGCTCCTGGATCCGGGGCAGTACCGCCTCCGCGTCCTGTCAGCTCCATATCGCTGCCCGGTCTCCAGCGAAGCATGCCGCCTCAAGGTTTGGATCTGCCGGTCAAGAAGCAGAGCAAGTGGTCGTCAGAGGAAGATGCCTTGATCATTGAGCTACGAGGCAGCGGGATGAAGTGGGAGGACGTGTCGAAGCGTCTTCCTGGAAGGAGCGCCATCAGTTGTCGGCTTCACTACCAGAATTACCTGGAAAGACGTAGCGAATGGGACGAAGAGCGCAAGAATAAACTTGCTCGCCTTTATGAGAGGTAAGCCGTTTCTTTTTGTTTCTATTACTCTTGTTCTTTTTTTCTCCTGGCCAGTGCCTGGGCTTTAATGATACGACAATCACCTGCGTTGGTTCCGCCGCCACCGTACTACATCCATGGACAGACGTTGTCTAACAAATCAACAGGTTCAAGTCAGAGATGTGGGCCAAAGTGGCTGAGGAACTCGCCGTTCCTTGGAGAGCTGCAGAAGCAATGCATTGGCAGCTTGGAGAAGCAGACATGGCTCGAAGAGCCGGGGTGGTTCCTTTTTCCCTCGCGGCGGTCAATGTCGAAGGCGGTCACCGAACTGCACCACCACGAGCCAACATTCACTTCCAGCCTCCCGACACTGTCGGCCAACATATCCCTCCGACTTCTCCTAGAGCGATGTACTCACGGAATCCTCCTGTGTCAGCAATGGCTGCTGGTCACATCCACAGGGCCGAAAACGCTGGTGCGCCGGTCCCTCCTTCCCTTGCAGGAGCCGGGCCAGTGCAGGTGTCCATGACGGAGCAACACGGCGAATTTTATTATAGCCCTGGTTCTGTTCCTATCGGCCCTGGCCTTCCTCCTATCCAACATCAAGGCCAACCACGGAACCCCGGGCCATTGCCGAGCCTCGCTGAGCTCACAGGTGTCCCATATGTGCAACAAGTTGATCGACCACGTTCAGGGCATCTGACTCCAGCTTCAAAGCATGGAATGCCAATGCAGACGCCTCCAAGCTATCAACTACAACTCGATGCAGTTAGAGTGAAGCGCAGAGCGAGTCCAGAAGTGATAAAGCGCGAGGGAAGCCATCGACGACGACTCGGCTAATGGAAGGCTGGCTTTTGTCTTTTGTCCTTGTTATTCTCCCCTTTTTCTTCCATTTTCCTTTCCTCCTTTTTATTTTTTACTTTTTTCTATAAACTCTTCTAATGTGGCTTACTTTACATTTTATTCATGGATCCAAATCGGGAGGAAACCATTCAATAGAGGGAAGGCGAAATTTCATTGGATATCTGGGACGGGTTCGAAGCGAGCGATGATGCATATTGGGCGCGGCGGTATTTGTTCACGACGTCATTCACTATCTTTCTTTCTGGTTCATTTTTTTTCATTCTCGTTCACGATACCACTGGTCTATCATGAAGCTGTGAGTCTCTGGCACATTGGGAAGGGTAGGGATCCAATGAAGGATACGGATTTGGGAGACATGATGACTGGAATTGGTCAAGCACGGAGACCGGGTGCATTTCTTGATTTTGAAGGAGTCAGTACAGGGCCATATGGGTTCGCAGATAATGGGTGGTTCATGAACTGTATGTATAGAGAGGCACGAATTGGAAAGACAAAAGGCATCTCATAGAGCCGTTGGGGCAGTAATTTGCATTTTGGGCCGGTTGAGGATTTGGTCAACTTTGTGTGTGTTTTATGTGATGGGTTTGGAAATTGAGGGGAATCATCTTTTTGGCGTTTAGGCTGTGCTGTTGTTGATGGCGTGGCGGGAGGCACTGCGGTTTCGTGGGGACCAGGCACGAAGAAATGTATACATGCATATATATGTGTGCGCGCGTGTGTGTGTGTGTAAGTGCATGTCCTGATAATTGCCATTATAGGAAAGAATGGCAACGCCCACCTTTTTCTCGTGACACCGACTCGATCACACACATGGATTGATTGCCGGGACACATGGTCACCTACCTACAGGAGGCGGGCCATGGATATTTGATGGAATCGTCTTTTTTGATGTGTTTTTCTCATTTTATATCTAGTTTGGCCTTTTTTTAATTTTAATTTTTCCCTTGTCTCCTTTCACTCTTTATCCCGCGACGGCGGGTGGCCAAAAACCACCCACCAGTTATCCCGCTCGTAGCCCCCGTCGCGGACATGCCCGCCGGCGGCGACGACATCCTCCTCCAGCTCGCCCTCACGGAACAGGTGGTAGTAGCGGTGGTGCGTCTCGTCGGGGCCGGGGCCGCCGCGGCGCGTCACCCACGGCACGAGGGTGTCCTGGCGCGAGGACTCGTCCCAGCCGCGGCGGCTGGACCTCTGCTCGAGGGCCCAGGCGTAGACGAGGGCGCGGCCGTGGGGCGCGAGGCAGCGCAGGATCTGGGCGAGGGCGGCGCGGCGGCGCGCGCGCGTCGACAGGTGGTGCACGACGGCGATGCAGATGGCGAAGTCGACGGACGCGGGGCGGTAGGGGAGCGCGAGGCACTCGGCGGTGAGGACCTCGGCGGCGCGCTCGGCGCGGGCGAGACGCGCGAGGGACGGGGAGCGGTCGCACGCGAGCACGTGCAGCGCCGGGTTGACGGGGACGTATTTGCCGTTGCCGCAGCCCACGTCGAGCCCGATGCTGCCGGGGGGGAGGGCCGTGAGGAACCGCTGCACCAGGGGCCAGGGCTTGTGGCGCGTCGCGCTGAAGTGAGGGGCTATTGCTTCGTAGACGGCGTGGACGTGGGTTTGCTCGTAGGACGCTGACGCGGACGCTGACGACGGCGGCGGCGGCGGCGGCGGCGACGACGGGGAAGACGGCATGCTGGTCGGGAGGGGAGCTTTACGGTGGTGGTGTTGGTGGGACAGGCCGGGGCCGGGCCTTGGATTTTATGCTCCTGGGTTTATTAGGGTGTTGGTGGTTTGCAGCACCGCCGGTGATGCGAGGTTGGGCGTTGCGTTTGCGTGGCCGTGTCGTGTTCCGTTTGCGCGAGCATCGCGGGCGGGCGGGCGGGTGCTTGTGCTTGGTGTTGAACCAACTTGGAAAAGTCGGGGAGAAAAGACACGGCTGACCGACTGACTGACGGCTGACCGGCTGACCGGCTGACGGCTGACGGCCGACCGACCGACCGACCGACCGACCGACCGACTGGCCGGTTACTCGTTCGACGCAGGTGTACGAAATTGTTTGATTTCGCACAAAAGGCGGCCATGCGTTCTTGTGCTGGTGTATTTTCCTGGCAACTTGGGTTTCAATTGCAACTGTGATTCATTCTAATTTCCATTCTTCATCCGCCTCGAGCTGCTCGTCGTGTTGGCATTGGCATTGGCATTGGCATCACGTCCAGCTCCCCATTCAGCCGCGCGTCACGTGTCGCGGCGGGGCGCTGGCCGTCCCGAACATTCACAATAGATACCTAGGTACTTTACCTGCTGTAGCCTGGTATCTACCTGGTGAGTACAGCACCTAGTAAATATCCTGGACCGGGTACACGCGCCGCACAGGAAGCCAAACCAAACCAAGTCGACGACTTCCTACGCGCTCCGTGGTTCTATCGCATCAAATATACCTACCACCTACTCCGTACTCCGTCCGTACTCCGTAGGCCACGCGCAACCACCCATGCAGGTCGTATTTAATGCCGCTTTGCCGCGCCGCGTGCCGAACTTGCCAGCGCCCCCCACTCGGCCAACCTTAACCAGGCACCTAAGTAGGTCCCTAGGCACCTAGGTAGGTACTTAGGTTAGGTACTTAAGGTACGTGCCAAAGTACTAGAGTACTTGAGTACTTACCTAAGTAGGTACTTACTTACTTGTAAGGTAGCAGTGTCATCCACGGGCCCCGCGAACACGCACAACCCCCCGATTTTCTCAACCATCTCTCGGTCCGTGAGACAACCCCCAAACCTTGATGCAGAAAAAGGAAGTCTTCCAGAACAAAGGAAAAAAAAATGGTCCAAGAAACGATGGTGTTTGAGAGTTGGGAGCCAGGCGGGGTCCCGGAGGGCCTTCCCAAGTCCAAGTCCCCAGACGAGCTTAGCAAGCAAGAGTTTCGCCGTCAACACACGTCGGTCACTGGTCACTCACTGGCCACAGGCCCCAAGGCCAAGACATTCGAGAATTGACGACGACGACGACGGGCGCGCACACCCCCCCCTGTCACGAACGCCGACATGGATGGGGACAGGACAGGGTGTTCCCGAAAAAGCAGAAATCTTGGTGCCGACTGGGATTCCTGGTGGTTAGGCGGGGGGCCGAACGACGGTACCGGCTCTCAGGTGTGGCGAGGTGAGTTTTGGGGATACAAGAGCTTTGTCCCCATTTTGTCCCCGACGGGGGGAAAGAAGGGGGGGGGCAACAATTTGGTGAGATTTATGCCGTTTTTACGAGATAGAGTTCAGCTTGGCCTGAGTATTTTCTTGTGCGACGTGCTGGCAGAGAACTCGGCTTCTTGCGTCGCCGCGGCAGTGGCAGTGAGGGGCGCCCGGGCAGGGGGGCAGGGGGAGTGCAGTGCATTGCTGGATATATAGATTGGAAATTGCTCCGTGCCAAACAAACGCTTGGTGGTGGTCAAAATGGCGCCAGGTCGAGCGAATGCCTGGCTAGCTTTCCTTCCAAGGTGGGTGATTGGCAAAAGAAACAGTACAAGTTCTAGCACGTACATGTGACACAGAGGCGGCAAAGAAAGAACAGAACAGAACAGAGAGCGCTGCCGACTCGAAGCAGCGAGCCTGGCCCGAGTCATGCAGGGGGGAGGGAGGCAAAAGCAACAACAGAAACAAGGCCGTTTGGGCCGTCTTGGTTGTTGTTGTTGTTGTTGTCTTGCATGAACGGACCATATTACGGGGGGGACTCGGGCTGGCCGAAACGGGCCGTCTGGAAGAAAAGCACGGAGGACTAGAATGGAATTGTCTGGTAACGACGTGGTGTTGGCGCCAGAATATTCCCGACGAGCCTGGCTGGCATCGCATCACACACACACACACACGCGACAGACAGGCTTGTATCAACAACCCCAGAAAACCTTAATCGCGTCCCAGCCGTACAAATTCGGGACCATCAGGTGGTTTTCTCTCTGCCTGCATTGTTGTCGTTGCCCTGGCCGTGCTCGTGCTACCCTGTCGGATCCCTGCCGGTATGGCATGGGTAGTATGGGTACGGGCTGGGGCGCAATCTTCCCTTGCCCAACAAGAAGCAGGGCAAGACAAGAGCCGGCAGACGGGCAAGACGGCAAGACGGCAGGACGGCAGGACGGACGGGTAAGGGGAACGAACTGAAGAAGAAACTTAAACTTGGAATGTATTGGTACGCGGTGGTGGGCCCGGGGGGGGGGGGCACCCTTGTCGTCTTAGTTACACGCCCTCCTTCTTTTTGGTTTTCCGTGCTTTTGTGCTTGTTCGAGGACATGTTGAGAGGCATGGATGTGCTCCGTACCACGGATACTGTAGTTACTTCTTTGTCCCGCAGATTGGCCTCATCTGCTCCCCGTGTTCAGCGGGCTCTCTGCGTCAAAGACGTCGCTGGTAATCAGGGCCGGGTAGGTGATGCCGCCTTGCCTGAGGGCGTCGTCCATGGCCTGCATCAGGGCCACGCTCTCGTCCCATGGCATCGTGGTGCTCTGCTGCCTGCCGTCGCGCAGGCACCGTGCGCACTCGTCTGCCTCCCAGAACATTCCGTGGCCCCAGTTGCCACGCGCCGGGTCCCTGGGGATCGGGCAGTCGACCACCTCGACCCTACCGCCGCCCTTGTTGCTGACGACGCGGTACGAGAGCGGGCGGTACGCAGGGTGCGACACCTGGATCTCGCCCTTGGACCCCTGGATGCGGACTGCTGTCGGGGCCGTCTCGTCGCCATCCGGGCCGGTTCCGACGAGGAGCGACGTGGTCGCCACCCCCATGGCCCTGGTGCCCGGGAAGTGGCAGACGACGCTGGCGGCTTCGTCGGCCCCCGTGCGGTACTGGCTGATGGCCGCCAGCACCCGCGGTGCCTCCTTGGTCTCCGACGGCTGGACGTGATAGAGCGTCTGGAAGACCCAAGTCAGCGGGTAGACGCCGAGATCGAGGAGGGAGCCGCCCGCGAGGTCCTTGTTGACCATGCGATGCGTGTCCGGAAAGCTGACGACGCCGTCCGTCTCCGGCGTGTTCAGGTTGAACGAGAGGTCGGCTGTGGTTTGGCGGGCGTGTCAGCGAACATCATCACTTTGCGGACTCGGGAATGGATGAACGGATGGGTCTAGCATGTTTTCCCCTTGTTTCCTTGTCCTTCCTTCTTTTCGTTTCTGCCTCCATAAAAACGACAGCAACGACGACGACAAATCAAAGTAGACGGCAGACGTAATGTGCCGCCCGACCGACACGTTGGACTTACCCATGGTCCTGTACACCGTGCCGATTTCCCCACTGCGGATCAATTCGCGGATCTCGATGCTCAGCGGGAGGAATCTCGTCCAAACGGCCTCCATGAGGAACAGCTTCTTCTCCTTGGCCTTGGCGACCAGCTTTTTGGCCTGGCTCGCCGTCACCGTCAGCGCCTTCTCGCAGAGCACGTTCTTGCCAGCGTCCAGTGCCAGCATGGCATTCTGGAAGTGGTGGCTGTGCGGGGTCGCGACGTAGATGATGTCGACGTTGGCATCGGCCACGAGCTCTGCGTACGAGCCGTACGTCTTGGCGCTGGACGGGCCGTCAATCTTGCTGATGAAGTCGGCGGCGCGGTCTGCCGACCTGGACGACGAGACGGCGACGATTTCATGCCTGACGTCGTTGACGGAGCGGGCGGCCGGGTCGGCGAGGAGGTCTTTGCAGAAGGCTGCCTTTTGGTCAGTCGACCGGCCCTCCCTGTCTGATGCGCCCGTGGCATGGGCGGGCGAGGCGACGGCCGAGTGGAAAGCGTCTCACACGACTGGTGCGGCCTACTTACTCTCTGCGATGCCGCCCGTGGCCATGATGCCCCATTTGGCCGTGAATGGAGTTGCGGATGCCATTTTGCACTGCGTTGCCCGACGGGTGCGTGTTGGATGATATTTTGGGCAGTCGTCGGTCGATTTTGTGTGTGTGTGTGTTCGGGAGTCTGGTGTCCAGTACGAATCGAATGGACATGGATTGATGTGACGATGTGGAAGCTTTCGAGGTACGTACGTTGAACATGTGGCGGCCCCACGCCGCGTACATGTAACATTGAGTACTTGAGGAGGAATCCCGATCCCAACGCTCGACCTCTTACGCATTTTGGCACCACACTACGGTCCTGATTCCACGGCCTCGCGTCGGGAAAATGGTCCAATCTTGGCTTGCAGAGAATCTACCGTCCACCTCCTACTACCTACCTAGTCACTCAAGATTGCTGGCATTTGCCGACGTCATCTCCCCGGTCCAACGTCAACGTTACGTCTGCAGCCTCGTGCCTCCGGATCCGGACATGCTTGCGGATTCGACAGGAACCCACCGAGCACATCCTTTTGTGCCGCAAGGATACACCAAGCGGCTGGAGCAGCAACCGCTCGACGGTGCATCATTTGTTTCGTCTCCCCCCTCAAAGACCTTCGCTTCCGCCATCGACCGCCATGGCCCAAGCTGGCATGGCATCACAGGCCGCCCGCCTCGCCAAGGATCTGACCCTCACCGGCCAGTCCGCCACCACGATCCCCAAGCTGGTGTACGGCACGGCCTGGAAAAAGGACAGGACCGCCGACCTGGTCTATACCGCGCTCAAGGCTGGCTTCCGTGCCGTCGACACGGCCGCGCAGCCCAAGCATTACGATGAGCCGGGCGTGGCCGCTGGCGTGAAGCGCGCCATTGTCCAAGGAATCATCACCCGCGGAAACCTATTCGTATGCATCGCATCGGCTTTGACGGCATGCATGTACGACTGACATGACGCGCCGTAGATCCAAACCAAGTTCACCGCTCCGGGTGGCCAGAACCAGAAGACGCCGTATGATGTCGACGCGCCCCTCGCGGAAAAGGTCAACCAGTCGGTACGCTCGTCGCTCAGGAACTTTGCCATTGAAGGCGAGGAGCCGTACCTTGACAGCGTGGTCCTTCACTCGCCCATGGACACCATCCAGGACACCATGACGGTCTGGAAGACTCTCGAGTCGTACCACCCCCGGACGATCCGCAACATCGGCATATCCAACACGACCTTGCACGTGCTCGAGGCGCTGTACACCAACATGACTGTCAAGCCGTCCGTCGTGCAGAACCGCTTCCACGAGGGCACAGGATACGAGACCAAGCTGCGCGCCTATTGCCGCGACAAGGGCATCGTCTTTCAGTCGTTTTGGACGTTGAGCGCTAACCCGGTGCTGGCGAACAGCGCGCCCGTCAAGGCGGTCGCCCGGGGGGCGGGCGTTGAAGTTGCAGCTGCGTACTATGCGCTGGTCATTGGGCTGGAAGGTGTTGTGGTTTTGGACGGCACCACCAGCGAGTCCCATATGAAGCAGGACCTGGAGGGACTGGAAAAGGTCGCCGTGTGGGCTGAAGGGGCTGGCGCGGCCGACTGGGCGTCTGCGCTGACTGCGTTCAAAGAGTTGTTGGGCGATGAAGGATAGAGAGCGTCTGCGGAGCAAGAAAGGAGACGACATGTTCTGGGGCGGCGTGAAATGGAAATCGTTTGCTGGCAGTCGCGTGGTCCTGTGCGGGCGACTCTTGACGGCAAGGAGTGTTGGAACTCTGGCAGCAGGCTCACATGTAGATTGCTCATCGACCTGGGCTCGCGCCCAACAGGCTATCTATTTTGGAGTCATTACGATCAAAAGATCCTCTGCAGAACGCCTCGACTAGATGGCCCGGGAAGACGGCATGGATGGTCCCTTTTGGTGCAAAGATTATTGTCGTTTATCTGAGACCTGTCTAAGCTAAAGCGGCGACAAGTTAACCTTGGGGACGTCATTGGGACAGGCGCGTAGACGCCGCGTGTAATGTGTCCACATTGTTCTTCTGGTCCTTCTCCAGGATTGATGAGGTGCGGCCATGTCGAAAGTCTACAAGAAGCAAGCAAGCATCAACGCGTCGTGCCCTCTCGGCTGTAAGGTGTGTTGAGGCCTCCCGGAGACAATACAGTAACACGCCAGCGTATTCGAGCGTATGCAACAGCGTACTGCGGTATGGGCTAGTGCACTGGCTTGTTGCATGCTGGCGCGCCTCCAAGACGGCCCAAACTACAGGTTGCACAATAGGACAGGGCTGTTGAAAAGCATGGTAATGCTGTAAAACTCCGAGGTGGGGGAAGTCCCTTTTGTCTTTCTTCTCTGATCAACAACAGGATTTGCGCGCCGTGGTACTCGGGATGACGTGGAGTCTCTGGATTCTCATATTCCTTCCATCACTGGCCGCCGCCGATGATAGCCCATGAAAATATGGCGATTCTGTCATGAATCTTTGGCAAAGGTGTTTGCAACAACGAATGGGAAGCAAGCAGTGGCCTCCATATATACCTATAAGACGGCTTAGCGTGCTGGACAACAATGCAACGGTATTGCGTCGACTTGCCTTGACACTGTCCGCGTCAGCTTTGATCTTGCCCCAGGAGACGGCCTCGTCGGGGCGGGCACCGGCATCGCTCCCGTCAAACTCCTGCGCGGTATTAATATACACAGCGCTCTCGGCACCATTCCTCATCAAACAGGCATTTGCGATATGATGCTTCACAACACCACCTCCCAAAATAATCATGCCGGCTCTCTTGGCCCTGACCGCAATGGTATTTATCCTGCGTATATCCTCGACAATGTCAATCTTCAGCTGCAGCGGCGACGCCTTGAACGTGTGAAAATACAACATGTCTCCCAGACTTCCATCCGTCAAGGCCGGACAGAAAACGGGTATGTCATTCTTCCACGCCCAGTAGTAGACGGACCTCTCGTCGTTGATTTCCTTGCCCAGCCGGTGGATGACTTTGGAGGGAGTCCAGTTGATTTCTTGGTCGGTGCCTTTGCCGGCCTCTTGCTCCTCGAGCATTTTGTCCAGGATGGGGATGACCCAGTCTTCAAAGGCGCAGTAGTTGTCGTTGGGGACGACCAGGTTGCCGATGCGGTTGAGCCCCCTTTTGCGCAGGTCGGCACCGGGTGCGGAGAAGGAGCTCATATATGTTGTCCCGCTGCCGAGGCACTTGATGAAGTCTTCCTCTACGCCGCCTGCCGTGGTGACGATGGCCGAGATGTGTCTGTGTTGGGCAAGCCAGCGGAGGGTGCCGCGAAGCCCGGAGGAGATGAGGTTAGATGTGTAGCCCAGGAATATGGTTGTCTTTTCAGAAGACTCTGGGTCTTTCCAGCTTCTCTGTCAGAATTGTTAGAGGCGGCTCCTTGTTCAGAGAAGGGAAGGAGAGAACACGATTTCAACAGAGAGGACGTGGTGGTGTGGGAGAAGAGGGAGCGGAGGAGGTTGGAGGCTTGTCTACTTGCCATGTCGTTTACGATACGGATGGCCTCGGCCATGCTTGATGCCTGGAACCCCATATGACGCATGCCGAGGAAAAGATCTTCTGCGGTAATGGGCCGCTTGAGCATGTTGAAGTCGAGTTCTTGGACGGGCTGGGAGCCTTCGGGCATGGCGTCCGACTTCATGAGCACCGCGTCGGCGGCCTGTGGAGGGGGCGCATCTTGGGCCATGACGGCGGCTCGGAGGTGGAACTGTGTAGGGAAAGCTGTCAATCAAGAAGATTACTGGGCGGCCATCCCACCGCGTCTCGTCTAGTTGATGCTGCGTCTATGGCACGGCGACTCGTGAAGGTCTGGCGTCTGGAGGTTGCGAGCCTTGAAGTACAAAACAGAGCAACCAGTGACACTGGGCCGTATCCACAATTTGCACGGTGTCGAATTTTTCGGCAGCTCAAAGCGGCAGCTCCAGACTGGAGACGGGGAACCCAACAGTGGGTAAGCCGCTGTGGCAGGGTCGGCCGTAGGCCTGTCCTGTCCTCTTGTGTCACAGCTCAACTCGGAAGCAAGCCGTCGGCTTGATGTCGAGTCTGGTTGGACCAGCTGCCTCGGCCAGGCACCTGTCCACTCAAGCACTTCATTAAGTTGAGTGAGTACTTACTTGGACGCAATTCAAAACGGTGGTGACTGGGCGCACGCCGGGACAAACTCGATGGAAGGACTCCTTGCTCCCCAAGTACTTCTTACTTAGATAAAGTACCTGGACGCGCATGATGCATGCCCTCGCGGCCGAGGCGGCGGCGCCAACACTGGGCTCATTTTCCAGGCAGCCCTGATGACTTCATTCCACCAATCACTTCAGCGACCAGACTGGTCTCTTGATTTCCTTCTTTTCTCCTCGCACTCGTACCTACCTACCTAGGTGCCTACCTACCTGGGTACCTACTGTAGGTACTTGAGCAGGTACCGCTAGACGAGACGCGCACCGCCCAATCACCATCAGGTGGCGCAGCACCGAGAACAGACTAGCGCCACGGCGGCAGTTCCATTCCCCTATGGAGTACGGAGTACGGATTACGGAGTACTCCAAGTACTAATCGTGCCCGCCCCACTTTATGTGGTTCGGCTAGCAAAAGCCCTCACCACCAAAGGTGGTGCTCGACAGCAAGGCGGGCCGGACACCAAGGCGGGCCAATTTTCAACCTAATAACGCTATTAACCTCTTCGCCTATAATGTACACCCTTCTCGTCCCAAATTTCTAGTAGATCTAGTACAGAATCCAGACGCCATTTACGTGCCTTTTTAGCTGCTTCAAAAAACGTCCTCTTGGCGTGGTTGTGGCGCCTTTTGTCGGCTGCCTCAACAACCCGACGAGCAGTATCAAGGCGGTCATTCTCGTTTTGCTTGACCATCTCACGCGCGTTATCCACAGAAAGAACGCCACCAGTTTGTAGGGCGTGATATTTATGAGCTCTACGTCGCTGTGATAGTAATTGAGCTGCTTTTGTACGCCCAAGGTCTCTCTTCGTCTGTATAAGCTCAGTAGCTGCAATAAGAGAGCCGCGGATAAAACGACTGATATTGCGTGCAAACTCAGGCTCAAGGGATGTATCGTCTTCTAATACCTCCCCTAGCTTGTTGGCAACCTTATTTATCTGCCTGAGTGTTGTGGGCGTCTCAAAGTCGGAAGAGTTGTTGTGATATAACGGCGGCGGCGATGGTGTTGATGTGTAAATTGCAGCTCGTTGTTCAAGGGCCTCAATTACAGGCTGTGGATTGTAGGGTGAAATTCCAGTTTTTCGAAAGGCTGTGAGAATAGTAGTAGTCTTGAAAGCTTGTTTTCGTACAGCTTGAATGCAAGCAAGGAATTCAATCTTTGTAATATTCAACACGCCGTCTCGAACAATGATATCCAACGCCTTTGCATGATAATGCTTTAGTGGCTGAAATATCACAACATCAAGAGGTTGAAGGATGTGTGTAAGGTGCGAGGGCAACGCAAAGGGAATTATATCGTGCTGTTCGCAGTATTCAACGAATTCAATTGTATGGTGTGATCCGTGGCCATCTAGGATTAAAAGGCGATATCTGCCTATTGGCGTTGCAAATTCCTGAAAATGCTGTATCCAAGCAACTGCAATTTCGTCATTCGTAAAGCCGGTTGGTGAGACTGTTATTTTGGTATTAGCTTCAAGCTCCTTTATCCGATACCAGGACTCCATGTGTTTTTGCCCTGTAAGGATAAGAAAGGCAGGAATAACTTTGCCGCCAGCAGAAATGCATTCTATTGCTGTTGCAGTCTCCCTGTTTTCTGGCATTGAAAATAGATGCGCTCTTCTTCGCTTTGTAACAACTAAATGGTCCTTTCCCATTCCAATACGAAAGCCAGTCTCATCCATATTCCAGATATCTTCAGGAGGGACTCCGTACTGCTGAATAGCCTCTTTAAGCTTGTTGTAATAAGAAAGAGCTCTTGTCACATCTTCTGAAGCTTTTCGACTTGAATCAATCTTTTTTTGAAGACCTTTATGATAGTGATGCCGCTGGATAAAGCGTGTAGTCCATCGCGTTCCAACTTGCCTAGGCGGGGCAGTTGACGATGCCCTCTCTTTTAGGATGTAATTTGCAGCATCTGTAATGAATTCAGGTCGTACAGCGAAGTTGGCCTTATCAAGGCGATCGATATAGTTACATAAAGCAACTTCCTCTTCTCGTGAAAGCATTGTATTTCTTGCTGGATGGCCTTTCCTAGCAGGAACGCCGTTAGCACGTCGTTGAAGCCGGCTACGAGGCACGTTGAATTTCTTCGCCACAGAGCGAATTTTTGCACCTGGATTTTCCTCAATATACTCAAGAGCCTCGTTGACACGTAATTCGACATCGCTTTTTGCCGTTTGGACGCTAGTTGCAGCCATTTTCGCGGTTCAACGCGTCTAGGTTGAAAATTGGCCCGCCTTGGTGTCCGGCCCGCCTTGCTGTCGAGCACCACCTTTGGTGGTGAGGGCTTTTGCTAGCCGAACCACATAAAGTGGGGCGGGCACGATTATTGCCTTGGCAATTAAGCGCCAGGAGACACACAATTGAGCATGGACGGGTTTGACGGGGCCCCGGCTGGGGCATCTTGCACTTTACATCAATCTTCATATCCGGCTGCCTTTGCTCGTCGCACGCCGTCGGCCAGTCGAAGCACCCTTGAGCGCACGTCGGACGTCCCGATCGGCCATTTTACTGCTGATTCTGCCGCCGTGACGCGTTCGCCGCCGCCTCGGGTCGCGCAGCAATCATTGTCGGCCGTCTCGCCAGTCTCGTCGAGCCAAATTTCCAAGGGGGTCATTCGACAACTGCCTGTGTGTGGTGGTGGTGGTTGGTTCGCAAGTCTCCAATCTGCAAATCAGAAATCCGCCAACCCCCCGACGACAACCAAGTATTATATATCTATTCCGAAGCTCGCCGCCGCCGCCCCCAGTGCACCCGGATGCGATCGTAGGTGCAATCGTAGTTACTACGATTGCCTGCGCGCCGAGCATATTTGGGGAGCTATTTGCACCGGTACGGCATTAATAAATGTATGTCAATTTTGCTGTTTGTTGGTATTCGGACAAGGCTGGTCTAGTGAACCCAAAGTCAAGCCGGACCTTGTTCCCGTTGCATTAGCGCGTGCATGGCGGCAAGGCTTCGCTCTGGGACCGGAAAAATCTATTAATCAAGTGCTGACGGCCAAACTTCGCTTCCAGGGCATCCAGGTATTCCAGATACGACCCGGAACGCCGGTCAAGATCGCCGAGAGACAGATCTCCCGACCGCTTTGACAGAGCCTCTCAATACGGCGATGGAGACCGTCGTCGCTCGTCCGCGGAGGCTCGGTCTAACTCGTCGGGATTCCCGCCAAATCGCGATGGCTTTGGCGATTCTCTGCGGAGGGAACCTCCACGAGGCCCCAAAGCCCTCGTCGATGCCCCCAGCGGCCCCAGGGGAAGTGCGTTTGGCGGTGACTTTCGTGCTCGAGGTCGAGGACGAGGCAGAGCCTGGCCCTCTAGAGACGAAAGCAGAGATCGTGGGAGGGATCGCGAGATAGACTATAGGGAACGCTATCGGGAGGACCGCAGTCGCGACCGTGAACGTGAACGGGAGCGTGAACGAGAGCGTGGTCGTGATCGGGACCGAGACCGAGACCGAGACAGAGATTGGAGAGAATCGCGAGAGTTCCGGTCTCGCCGCTCACCTCCTGGACGGGGTCGAACGCCGCCACGAGATTTCCGCGACAGAGACAGAGATGGCCCCCCACCACCCGATGCTGATAGATCTCGTCGTGGATCTCGAGACGGGGGTCCTCCTTCGGCTGGCTCGTCAAGTTCTGATCCACCCTTCGGAATGCTGCCCTTTGGGCGTGGCGGGGGATTTATGCGTGGCGGGCGAGGAAGAGGAAGAGCTGACTGGTGTTCCGAGCGCGGACGAGGACGAACACCTTACGAAGATCGCGGCGATCGCTATCCCCGAAGTCGATCTCAGGAGGCTCGATGGGGTCGGGATCGGGATCGGGATGACCGTGACCGCGGCGATAGGTACCCACCAGAGACGGACCTCATCTGGCGCGACCCCCGAGATGAGCCCCGTGATCGCAACGACCGCGATCTGATACGCCCCAAGAAAGAAGGGCGCCCCTCAATATCCCAAGAACCGTCTGCCCAGGTTCGTGATGTTTCCCCCCCTCCCGTTGCACCCTCGGCCCCTGCATTTGGATCCGTGCCCAGTCGCACTGGCAGTGACGGTGTACCGACGACAACAAGTGGTACTGGCAAACTTCCTCCTTCTGCCCCGAGAGCTCTCACTGACCGACCCGGATCTGCTGGGAACTCTGCGCCAATGGACTCCTCGGCCTCCGTCAGCGGTCCGATAAGAGTGACAAGGGCGGGAAGCCACGACAGCCCCTCGATCCCTGTGGGACCTCGAGCACATCAGCAACGGCCTTCGAGCAAACAGTGGATCAATCCTGATCTCAAGAAATCCCCGCTGTCGCCCAAGATGATGAGAGCTCAGGCTTTGGCACAGCCGGGTCCAATTTCACGGCTGGATACCAGGGAAAGCGATCATCATCCTTTTGATCAATGGAGACCTTGCAGCAGTGACGCAGACTCTGACCCTCGCGGATCCAATGTCGACAACAGGGCAAGATCAAATCAAAGTGCCGAGCCTGGCGAGATCACGGTCAAGTCCGAATCGGAAAGAGGTTTCGTGACACTAGAGTCCAAGGCGCCTGAAACTGGCAGGTCTCTCAAGGACAAGCGTCCCAGCGCAATTGGCAATGCCGCCATCAAGTCAGCACAAGCACAAGTAACCAAACGAGCGCGGAGACGCCCCGCTATTGGTGTTGTACGATTTTCCCTGCCTCCCGGGCCTACGCTCAAAGACCAGGATTCGGAATCGGACGACGATGAGGACATGGCTGATTACTTCAACATGGAAATCGAAAAGACGGAAGCAGAACTCGCCAAATTGCCAAAGACGAGCTTACCTACCGAAGTCGTTGCGCGATACGCCGCTCTGTCGCATGGATCGATGGCGCGGATATTGAACGAAAGCGAAGGTTTGGCAGATATCCTAGGACCCATTTCCGAGACTCTGGATGTTGAATTGGCCGATAGTCAAAATGCTACATCGGTGCCAGTAAAGGACGTTGATGTTACGGCAGCACCTGTCGAGCCCCCCGTTCCAGAAACAGCCAAGGTGGAAGTTGAAGAAGTCGGCAAGCTGGACGTCGTTGACACGGTTCCTGAATCTACCACGAAGCAAGAGGAGATGGACCTCGACGTTCCTCGGGCTCCCTCCGTGCCGGCGAGCGATGTTCCATCAAAGGACGCAGGTGCCAGCAAACCGTCCTCGCGTCCTGGGTCGAGGTCCGGCGGCTCTACCTCTGGCACCTCGATGCTTCTTGCGCGCGGAGGTGCAAAACAGGCGTCGCAACCTCCCGAATCGGTCCCAGAGGCGACCGACGTTGGCTCAAAACCGCCCAGCACTCCTTCACAAATACCTGACGATGACGACGAAACCGAGTCCGAGGACGAGGCGTACTTGGACGTGGAGACGGTGCGTCGGTTCATGACAACGCCGCCCATTGACAGCCTGCCCGACTACAGCTGCGACTCCTGGATGAGAGACAAGGACTTTTTGGCGACACTGGACAGTGATCCCGTGGTGGATGGGTATGTTACGGAACACCTAGACAAGATTCATCTCCAGGAATCTACACAGCAAGAGGAAGCGCGCAAAGTCTACGCTGAAAATTACATTCACTATCTGGACTTTACCCTCTCGAGCGATCCAGCCGCCATCAAGAGCAGGGACAAGTTCTCTGTGGCGGTGCCCATGGTTGAGCCGGCTGGGACGGTAACGCCTGAGCCTAAACCAGAAGGGCGAAGCTCGGGGAGGAGGTTTGCTTCGGAACGTGACTTGGAACGAGTGCTGCAAGCATCCATGCGAGAGGACGAGGAGCGAAAGGAGCGTGAGCTGAGGGCTCAAAAAGAAAAGTACCGCAGCGAAAAAGAAGCAGCGATTCCGGACATGTACTGGGATGCCGAGCAGAGGGCAAAGGCTCAATATACGGATCGGTCCGGCTACACACCACAGGACCGTCTGGTTTCAACATGGCAGGTGCTACCACCGCTCAACAACTTTAGCGAGGAGGAGAACGAGTTGTTTGAGAAACGCTACCTCGAGAACCCCAAGCAATGGGGCAAAATTGCGGAGGTGATTCCGCGTCGGGACTTTGGCACTTGCATTCAGTATTACTACCTGATGAAGAAGGATCTCAACTTGAAGGAGAAGCTCAAAAGGCAGCCTAAGCGGCGAAAGAAGGGCGGACGAGGCAAGCAAAGATCGAGTGCGTTGGTGTCGGAGCTTGGAAACGGCGACGAAGCAACCGAGGAAAGCCAAGAGACCGGGGAGAACGGGGAGCGACGAAGACCGCGCCGTGCCGCGGCCCCAACATGGGGATTCGAGCAGCCGGCGACGGACAGCGAGAACGCGACGCCGACGGGAACGCCGGGCCGCCGCGGGGCTTCGGCAGCTGCTCGAGGAGAGCAGGGCGAGAAGGTGGACGGCCGGAGAGGTCGCAGGCGTGCCAAGGACAAGGACAAAGACAAGGATAAAGAAAAGGACAAGGACAAGGAGAAGGAGAAGGACAGGGACAGGGACAAGGACAAGGAGGCCAAGGCAGCCAAAGCCAGCCAGTCCCTGTCCGCGACGCCTGGAGGTGGCTCTGGAAAAGGCAGGTCTCGGTCTGGCTCCCGAGTACCAACTGATGTCCCAAGCACGACGATGATGGCTCTAGAGGCTGCCGGCGGCGGGCCAACAGCCGGATATGACCAGAATGCAACTCCCGGGATTCACGCGCCGTTTCCCGTGCAGCAGCAGCAACCGCCGCCGCCGCCGCCGCAGCAACAGCAGCAGCAGCAGCAACAGCAACAACAACAACAACCGCAGCAGCATGCGATTCCGGGCATGGAACGAGCCAAGGCCGTAGCCTCATCTTCCATTGCAGACGTCATGGCGGCCCCCTCGCTGCGGCCAGAACCACCGCCACCATCCGGTCAGCCTGCAATGACGACATTCAACCTTGGGCAGGCGCAAACCGAACGCAAGGCTCCGGCTCAAGCGTCGAGCTACTGGAGTGTTTCAGAATCCAACGACTTCCCACTCCTGTTACGGTCGTTTGGCTCCGACTGGACGGCAATTGCGGCTCACATGGGGTCCAAGACAGCAGTGATGGTGAGTTTTTGAATCCCCCAATCAAACTGGCACATGTCAAGTTGAGAGAATGCGCGTGCGTGCGGGTGCGTGCGTGCGTGCGTGTACGTACATACGTACGTGTGCGTGTGTGCGTGTGTGTGTGAGAGAGAGAGAGAGAGAGAGAGAGAGAGGGAGGGAGAGAGGGAGGGAGAGAGCGTGCGTGTGATGTGCGTGAGCGCGTGAGTGCGAGAGAGAGAGAGAGAGAGAGAGTGTGTGTGTGTGTGTGTGCGTGCGTGCGTGTGCGTGTGTGTAGTACAAGACTAACAATGCGGCCCGCCACGCAACAACAGGTCAAGAATTACTTTGTCCGCCAGAAGGACCAGGGCAAGACTGAATGGGATGCGATTGTGCAAGAGGCTGATGGGAAGCGGACCAGAGGCGAGAAGAGGCCTGATCCACCGCTGCCCACAACGGGGGGACGAGGACGGAGATATGACAACTCGTCTGCAGTTGGCTCGACCAGGCCATTGGCTGTGGCACCGGGCATGGAAATGCACAACGAGCCAGCCCAACAGAAGATGGAGCCGACGGGCCAACCTCCTCGATCCCAACCGTACTCTGGCTATGGTGTGCCCATTGCCCAAGCGCCGCCGCCGCCGCCGACGACGACGACGACGACGACGACGACGACGACGACGCAGCAGCAGCAGCAGCAGCATCATCATCATCATCAGCATCATCAGCCTCAGCCTCAGCCTCAGCCTCAGCCTCAGCCACAACAGCAACAACAGCAGCAGCAGCAGCAGAATACTCCGCGGCAGCAACCGCAACCGCAACCGCAGCCGCTACCGCAGCACCAACAGCCGTTGCTTGCTCAACCTGGGCCTGGACAGCAGCAGAAGCAGCAGCAGCAGAAGCAGCAGCAGCAGCAGCAGCAGCAGCAGCAGCAACCTGCTCCTCCCGCTCCTCCTCCGCCGCCGCCGCCGCCTCCTCCCCTCTCCATCCAGCAAGCCGCAGCCGCCGCCGCCGCCGCCGCCGCCGCCGTCCCGCAACAAGCTTCCCAGGCCATGTCGCCCGGACCTCGTCCAGCCCTGCGTGCTCCTGCCCAGCCTTTTGGCTTCCCCGAGCATGCGCGAGAGCGCGAAGTGGTTGCACAAGCGCACCAGCGAGTCCCGTTGCCGCCCAAGGGTGGCGGTGGTGCCAGCCAAGTTCCTGAAATCCGAGACCAGCGAACCCTGGCTGCGGCCCAGCCAATACCCCCAGCAGCTCATCCCGACTCCATGCTCGAACGCCAACAGAGAGAGAGGGAGCGCGAGAAACGCGACCGTGACCGAGACCTTGCCGCCAGACAGGCCGAGCGGCAGTCGATGCGAATGAATGTCGAGGCCGAGCTGGCCCAGCACCAGCACCAGCAGCACCAGCACCAGCACCAGCACCAACACCAGCATCAGCATCAGCCGCGCCATTACGAACACCAACAGCCGCCCTACGGCCATCGCCATCACTCTAGCATCGGCCAGGCACCGAGAGGCGAGCCGCTGTCCTTGTCACGGCCGCCTTCACAAGAGCCCTCTCGCTCTGTCGCCGGCCAGCCGTATCCGCCGCCGCCGCCGCCACCTCCTCCTCATGCCGTTCGTGGCATGATGGATCACCCGTCCGTTGCGCAATCTCCTCCCCTGGGTCCGTCGTCACGCCCAATCTCTTCCCTACAGCAACGACGGCCCCCTGGCCAGGTCCAGGAACCCTACGGCCACGCGCCTCCCCCTCCTGGCCCTCCTCCTCCAGCGCCTACACCCCCGAATGTCTCGAGACCGCCGACCGAACCTCGCAAGACGTCCAACATCATGTCTCTCCTGAATGACGATCCGCTCCCGGCCTCGAAACGCGTCAGCGAAATGTCGAACCCACCCTCGGGTCCATCGGGGACTCCTCCACCCTCAGCCATGGGTCGACCACCGCCTCCGGGACCTGCGCCTCCGTCGCAAATGCGCCGCGAGCAAGAAGCGCAGCACTCTCCGTACGGGCGAGCACCCGCCGCTGCTTCGGCCATGCCGTCGCTCAAGCCCACCACGTACGGAGGATCACCAGGCCAGCCTCCTCACATGGGCGTGCCACGACCATCCATGGCCATGGCCAACGAGCCGGTCCCTGCCGACAGAGACGCATACTACAGGGGACATGCTGCGTTCCAAACCGGACACCACAGCGGGAACAGCTCTCCTCAGACCTCACATCGATACCCGCCTGCCCAGACACAACAACCTCAATACCCGCCCCCAGGCGGTTACCCATCATACGGACCCGGAGCACAGCCCTCCCACGCCGCCTCGCCGCCTCCCCCGCCGCAGCCGCAGCCGCAGCCGCAGCCGCAGCCGCAATACGGCGGGCACGGCTCCAACCAGAGACCGCGGGAAGTCCAGCCCTCCGGCAGAGACAACGCCTGGCCACAACAACCGACGTCCTCCAACACCTGGCCGTCCCAGCCCTCCAAACCCGCCCAGGGTCCTCCGCCTCAACAGCAATGGGTGCCTCCGCATCCTTCATCGACTCCGAAGCCGTCCACCCCCGCTCGGGCATGGCCACCCGCCCCTCCTCCCCAGCACGTCGGCATGAGGGATGACCGAGGCGCCCCCGTGTACGCCTCCTCAAGCTCACAGCCTCCTCCCCAGCACTCGATGCAGAGTCGATACCCGCCGCCTGGATCCCGCGGCCTCGAGCAGGTCCCCCCACCACAAGCCCAGGGATACCCGCGCTACGCGTCAACGCCAGGCCCCGGGCCCAGAGACCCGAGGGAGCAGTCACGCAGCTACACGCCGGGATATGATGCCCGCGGCCCACCGCCTGGTAGCGGCTTTCCCGCGCCTGATCCGAGAGAGATGCAGATGCAGATGCGCGATGCCAGGGACGCCAGAGATCCCAGGGACCCAAGAGACGGCATGGGGAGGGGTATGCGGCCGCACGAATACGAGCGGCATCCGGACCAGTATCGGCGCTAAGGTTTCCATTTTATTTCGGGGGGGGTTTTTTTCCCCCCTCTCACAATGACCCTTTGTTCTTGTATCCGGCGCATGAACGTGATGTATGTATGTATATATAGTGGCGTCGGTAACATCAGACTTTTTGAGACGTGGTTTGAACATGTACAAGCCTTCAAACGCCCCATGTGCGCTTTTGGACCGTGATGCTCGGACCGTGTCCATCAAAGTAGGTCCACTGGACGAGTTGCCCGTCATCATCGGCTACTTGGATTTCCAGTCGTAGCGTTGGTCAATTTTACAGTGCGCGCGGATGTCCTGTGTGATGTGAACTCGGGGCATGGCATGGCATGGCATGGCATGGCATGGCACGGCATTTCCGCCAACGTTTCCACCGAGCCGTTTTCCTATTTTCCTACGGTAATCATACAACAAGCCCGCCGGCAAAGAGTATCCAACGCGGCCTAGTACGGCTCGGGGCGGCGTTGCCTCCCCAGGACTCCCGTCTCCCCCTCGTCGATTAGCCTCACCAGCCTCTCCATCTCGCCTACGTCGCCATTGACCTCTTCTGTGCCGACGCCCACCGTCGTGCCCACGGCTCCTATCATGTCCCTCAGCCTGGCCTCCTGCTCCCTCAGCTTGTGGACCTCGCGGGCTAGCAAATGCAGCTTCTCGTGCCTGGCGTCGCACTCGGCGTCCAGGCTGCGCATGTAGTCCCCAAGGTAGGCGTATATGTCGTCCCTCTCGCTCTGTTCCTTGGCGTCTGCTTCCGTGAGGAGCGGGTGGCGTCTGCGCATGATTTTGCCTGCGTGCGCCGTGATGCTGTCCAGTGTTTCTTGGAGGGTGAGCACCTGGCCGTGCAGGTGGCTGCGGACGCGGGCGAGTTGGGCTAGGTGCGATTCCGACGAGTCGAGGAACGAGGCGCGTCTGCCGAGGGCGCTGGTGTATTGCGACAGAGGGACGGTGTGGATTGTAGGGGGCGCGAGAGGATGGCCGAGCGCGGATTGGACTTGGGGCTGCGTCATTTGTCAGCGGCCTTTTTCTTTTCCTTGGATACAATCTTGATATCTTGGCTCGGGGGGGTTGCGGACGAACGAGCGTGAGGACGTGGACTTGATTCGGGAGTCGGTGCGACGTGCCTGTGGCTGTGGCTGGGGTCGCGGCGTGGAGGGACAGTTTGCGCTGCCAGGTGCGTATTTCGTCGTGTTTATCTGCTTTTCCAGTTGGTTTGGGCTGTTGGACCAGTCTCTGGTGCTCGCCGGACGGGACGGGCGAGATGGATGCCGTGGCTGAGTCGTCGGGTGTCTCGTCGACGCGGTTCTTGGCCGGGCGAGGGAGTCCCCTTTCCACGTCCTTTGCGCTGAGGTCCTTTGCAGGCTGATTATGAGAGTGCTTTTGAACTTTGGCACAGTTTTTGGTCCATAGGCGGAAAGTGTCTGGCGATATTCTACCGGGATCCTCGCCATCAGATACATAAGGGTCTGTCTGTACGGTCAGCTTTGTCCTTGGCAAATACGGTAGTAGTAGTTGGCTCACCTTGAAGGTCTCTACTCACGCCAACGTTACATTCACCGGAGCAGCGACAGTCTGCTCGAGAGTGCTGCGTCGCAAAGTTGCCCTCCGATCCCGCCCGCAGTGTTGACCCTCTCGCTCTATGCAGCCTCGTTTCGTCACCCCATTGAGTGGTGGCTTCGTAACTTGGGCGAGGCACTGAAAACACTCTTCCATCGTCATGCCTGTCTCCATCAGTTTGTGCGGAGTCCGGATCCTGCGCCTCCAACTTCTGAAGCAACAGAGAGCAGTCATTCTCTGGCCCACAGTTTCTGTGATGGCCTTTCAACCAAGCGTATAGGTTCGTTGTTTCCGCGTGGCTGCACCCGCTCATGGCATTGTACGCAAACAGGGTAGAATCTGTGATTCGCCAGTCGTTTGATTTGCATCTACTACCATCGTTGCATTGCTGGTCGTTCCGGATTCGACATTCCGGTACTTCGGATCGAGCTGGATGGCCGTTGGGGTGACTCTGGGGACGGCCAGGGCTCGCTGGAGTCCCCCCTGCGCTTGCAGGCTGTGGCATAGGCCCTGAATACATCGCATCACCTTCTACATTCGTCAGAGATGATTTTGAAATCGTTGTGTGATAGCGAACCTATCTCTGTGTAGGATTCCAGTAGGGTTGAGACATGCCGTACGTCCACTCTTCTCTGCGGACCGTCTCTTATAACAGCATTCTCCTCAGAGGGAATCGGTATGTCTAGGAGGTCAGTATACATCAACTCGGGTCATATTGTTGTCGTACCTGTCACATTACTCTGGACAGAATAACACGTAAAAAACGTATCGTCCGAGGCTTGCACGTCAGTGTTGAACAACAAACACCGTTGACAAGATACTCACTGTCTTTCCTCGACCCTTGCCCCGGAATTCCTTCATTCTTGGATGTCTTGCGTCCCCATTCATCGACTTGTTCTCTCCAACACGTCTTTTTGCTACGTCGGCGGTAGGAGAGAGATCCATGGAACAAGTCGCGAATTGTGACGCGTGCTGCGCTTAAGGATCTGGAAAACATTGCAACGAGAATGTACAAAGAGCAATTACTTCTGTGTCGGAGGAGGATTTGGCTGAAAATGGATGAAAGAAAGCAACAAGATTCGTTTGTTTACATGCAGATGGTGAAGCCGTCGGGTCCTCGACAGCTGTCAACGGGTCTGGCAACCGACAACAGAGCTTCTCAGTTACTCGCAGGTCATGTACTTGGGAGTCCGAGTGATGGGAAACACTGAGAATGGTCAGTCCGTATTGTTCATATGCCCAGGTGATTCCTAGGGACGCCTGTGTTGCGTCAGAAGCATGGCTGTGCAACCATTTTGATGATTTCGTTGGATGACACCACTGCAGAATGACACCGGGTGAGTAGGACCAGGAAATTCGCTTGGGGCAGAGATATATCGACCGCCAACCTTTGTAGATGATGTAAATCGTGCGATATCGCGAGGCCCTGGCTGGAGCCGCATGATTGGACGTGGGTGCCGAGGTCCATGATGCAGAGGCGGAAGACTTTGCATGTCTCTCGCACGACATGTCGCCCGCCTGTATCGAGATGGGAAATTCAGAATCGACCTGGGCTTCTGCGACATGTGGTTTGCGGGTTGGTAGCAGGATCGGAGAAGCCGTGGAGCGTCGGAATGAGAATTGTGTGTCTGGGTTCGGTCCCGGAGCCGTTGGCTCTGGATCGAGGGCCTTGGCGACCGGTATTGCTCGTCGTCGTCATGTTCAGACCGTCGTTTGTCGTTGACTCTCGGCTCAAAAGGCGGATTGAATGGCCAGGCTCGCTTGTGGCGTCTCGAGGTGGGCAGGCTTCGATTCCTTCCCAGCTCCCTCCGTCGTCGTCGGAATAGCACGAGGCTGAGGATAACTGCGTGAGCGGCCGGGCCTTGATCACGCCTGATGAACTAGATGTAGCAAGTAGGAGACTGAACCATCCGTCGACCTGTCTTGCTGTCCTTGTTCAACTCGATGCGACGATGGTGCGTCCCGTGGTCCTCTGCCATCCTTGAGTCCAACGTCCCGAGTCCCGACACTTCAACCCTCCATGGATCGAGTCACCGACAAATTCCGGTGCCACAAGACTTCTGCATGTTCTCTATGCATCCCCCGCGCCATTGCCGCATCATTCGACCACCAGACTGCCTTGATTTCCTCCATTCTCTCGCCATGACGTCGCCCCATGGTCCAACAGGACAGCACCAGGTTGTTACCGCTTCTTCTTCCTTCTCCTTCACCATTTCAGGGCGCTTTGGAATGTCTGCGCAACAAGCAGCTGGCTTGCCAACCAGACTGGTACGGAGCAGATAGTCCCAAATTGCAGGGGCCAATCTGCTGCAGTCTTCCGCTTCTCAAAGAAACCGCGCTCATGGCTCCCTGCGCCCCGAGTATCGAGCCAGCAACCAACCAACTGCCCGACAGCGGGTTGCACGCAGTTAGCCACAAAAAAACCCAACATGCAATTAAATTCATGCCATGAGGGGAGAGCAAGCATGCAAAACAGCCTGTGCCAACGCGAGATGGTCTTTTTGCCTGGGCTTGGCTCCCATGGCGAACCTCGTCGCGAACCTCGTCGCTCTCCAACCACGTCCTGCGGCACCGCAACCAGCGGCCGAGTCCAAAGGCTGTCTTGTCTTGTCTTCCATTTTCCAGCCCAGGCGGTCTTGATTCGTCATCTTGATGCGCCCGATTCAGGTGCGTGTCGCCAGCGGAAATGAATCTCCTCTTGGTCATCCTCTCTGCGGTCAGCATCATCATAGCCAACAAACTCGACGCCTTGGATCCTTGTGTCCTCTCTTGCATGCTCACGACGCTACCCAAGTTTGGATGCAAAGGGAGCGACGAAGACATTGTGTTCTGCGGTTGCCGGATTATCGATAGATATGCCATCGTCGGACCCATTGCGGATTGTACAGACAAAAATTGCAACATCACCTTGGGCCAGTTCCCCCCTTCTCTCCAGAATACTGAGGCTTGTTCGAATGCCTTTGGGCCCTCTGCAACCGAAACGCCGCTACCACGTTATATCCCTACTTTTGGAAGAGAGCCTCCATCTCAGTCGCCCAGCAGTCCAGCCTCGAGTACGCCAATTGACCCAGGTACCAGTCTCCTGAGCAATGTCGTGACCATGGCCCCTACCTCGACAGTTCTTACAACGACAGACTTCAATAATACTCCAACCAGCACTCCAAATACTACTCCGACTGTCAGTGGAACTAGTCCCCCAGCAGGTGCGCCTCCAGCAGGAGCTCCGATCCGCCCTGGAACCAGCAGATCCAGCAGATCCAGCACCTCGATCCACGGTCTAGTTGGCACTGTTAGCACAAATACTCCGATAGGCGGTCTGGTCACCGACGGCCCAAAACCTACTCCCACGGGCACTCCAGCACCCGCTTCGGATGGCCCAGGCATATCCCCCGCCGTCGTCGCGACCATTGTTGTCGCTACCGTGACGGTCGTCGGCGTGCCCTTGTGGCTGATACGATGCTACCGATGGCGCGAGCAGAAGACCAAGTCGAACGCGGAGGAAACCGCCGCGTCAGTGGCGGCAGGGAAGCACGTCGATTCTGTTGTTGCGGGGTATTCTGAGCTATTTGGTATGTCCATGTCGCCAGGCACATGACAGACAAGACGGCTAAGGCAGAGAATAGGTTCAACGGAGATGAGACACGAAATGTCGCCAGACACGCAGCCAAACGTTCCATTGCCGCTGTACGTCAACACGATAGCGGAGATTGACTCAAATCCCCTCCGAAAGACAGCAGGAGTGTCTTCAGAAGAGTTGTCACCGGACGACGCCAACAGCCGAACAGTGTCGTTTAGCGCCACGACGGCAGTCTCCCGTTCAGAGATGCAGCAGGCTGCGGATGAGGATGAGGATGAGGCCACCATGCAGACGCCTGAGGACGCTCCGAAGGCCAGAATCGACGCGGAATCAGAGCTAGACATGCTCCGCAAGAGACAAAAAGAGCTGGAAAAAAAGCGGCATTACCTTCGGCAAATACAGGGGATTGAGGAGGAGGAGGCGCGGCTTCAGCAACGGATTGACGAGCTGAAGCGGCAATCCCCGCCGCCCGAAGACTAATCTGCTAGGAGCTGCGAGGGTGGCATGGAGGACATGTGCGTGTCATGGTTCCATGTCTAGGAGCAACCGTTTGGATGGCTCTGTGTTGGAGCGGCTCCTCGTTGACGTGGCAGGAGGACGAGAGCAGAGACGCAAAGCGAGGATGCTTTTTCTTTCTTTCCGCATGCTCCATGTACAGTAAGCGCACAGTGCGTGGTATATACGACCCGGTATGAACAAGTATAAAAGGCAGTGATGCAGCTGCAGAGTGATTTCCTCGCCGTGTCCCAAGCATGGCGAGCGCCGAGAGCGAGTACGGAGTACAACTGCGTGAAGTCTGAAGTCGCATAGTGTACATGTACACGATACACTCGTTTCGCCATCGACACTTTGACGGCTGATTTCTAGGCAGCCATAGCTCTGCTCTTTGGCCATGGTCGACGCCTCCAAGTCCTCTTGCGCATCCCGTCAGGCACCATCAGGCAACTACCAGCCCTAGCTTTACGGCGGGATGCCTCGACTAACTCGGGTCAGCCAAGTTTATAGTTACTAGTTAGTACGGCCACGTGCACAAGATTTTCCCACGCCGTCTTCACTTTAAACTCGCTTGGCCAGCAGAAAAGATATTTATTGATTCAACTCGACGTCCACCCATCCTTGCACTTGGACCTCCTCGCCTAAACCTGTTCTTCAACTTTGCGCCATGGCCCATGACACATGGCCATTCATACGACGAGCACAGCACCTACCATTGACCAACACAAAGACAAAATGTTCAGTCTGAAACATTTTCTCGTCTCTCCTCTCTTTCTTTCGTCAAGCACCAGGTTCTCATAGTCATTAGCCCGTCAAAACGCTGTTTCTGTATTCAACCAAACACTTCATCCCCATGACCCGGGCGTCGAGACGTCAATCGTTGCCATGCCTGCTAACAACACAAGCCCCTTGTCCAGATCGAACCACATTTGTCAACTTTTGCACCAATATGTTTGTTTACAAATCGTGTCACCGCCCTTTTTTTTTTTAAAAAAAAAAAAAGAAAGAAAGAAAGAAAGAAACAGAGTCAGAGAGCGTCGGGAAGCAAGTCACCAACAGTGCCAACCTCCGTCCGCGACATCATTGCAACAGCCTCACCGTTTCTCAGCCTTTGGCCATGCGCTCCATGAAGGCTAATCACCGCATATTCCCTTGTCGATTAGAAAACCGCCCGATGTGTCTACGCCTAGAAAATCCAGAGAGTCCGCTGTCAGCTCAGGGCCGTAAGAGAAACCCTGTTTGAGTCAAAGGGCAGATACTACTCACCCGGACAACAAGTCGCAGCGATACAGCGCCAATGATGATCCGCAAAGAAACCGTCTGAGGCTATAACACCAAAAATTCCCGAAGGCTCAGCGATGTGCAATGCTAAGTGGGCTAAATCTCCCTCAGACAGAAACATTCCTCCTCGCCGAAGCTCAGAAAGTCGTAACTGGCCGCAGCCATTCATCATTGGGGTCCTCACCTGAAAGCTCACAGTGTCTAGGAGCTCGAAAAGTCGTAACAGGATACAGCGCCACTGATGACACAGCAAAGAAACCGTCTGAGGCCATAACACCTAAAATTCCCGAAGGCTCAGCGATGTGCAATGCCAAGTGGGCTAAATCTCCCTCAGACAGAAACAGTCTTCCTCGCCGAAGCTCAGAAAGTCGTAACGGGCCGAAGCCCTTCATCATTGGGGTCCTCACCTTAAAGCTCACAGTGTCTAGAAGCTCGAAAAGTCGTAACTGCATAGAGCCAATGATGACACAGCAAAGAAACCGTCTGAGGCCATAACACCTAAAATTCCCGAAGGCTCAGCGATGTGCAATGCTAAGTGGGCTAAATCTCCCTCAGACAGAAACATTCTTCCTCGCCGAAGCTCAGAAAGTCGTAATTGGCCGGGGCCATTCATCATTGGGGTCCTCACCTCAAAGGCTCAACAGTGGCAATGGCGATACAGTCGAGAGCACTTTTGCTGCCGAAGCCAATGATGATATTACATTTGACCGAGTCTGAGGCTGGGCATGGGGCATGAGACTAGTATAATACCAACGACGGCGTCATTTTGGTCGTCAGTAACCCATCACGGATGATCAACTTGCCTTCCAGGTAGTTTGAGACGCGTCACAATTGTGTGCGCAGCCTGGGGGACATTCATTCGCACAATCATGGGGGCATCTTCAGATTGGGTCTAGAGTCTAGACCAAGCGAGAAAGATGGCAGGGAATGGGTAACAAGTGAGTGGCTGAGAAAGAGGTCGACGCTGGATGGCGTAGGGTCGAGAGACTGTTGATCAAGTATGTCAAGGAGAGGGGTGAGGAGAAATGAACAAGCATCGAGAGGAATGGATTGCAATATGAATTGTGAAGCGTGCTCGCAACTTCCTCATCTATAAATGCCGAATTCCTCTTCATGGAAAAAGCCACAGGGAAGTAGCAAGCGAAGCAGGCACCAGTGCGTCGACCAAAGTTTAAGGAAGCATCGCTCATCGTGCCTTATCAGACAATCAAGTGTTTGTCAGCTACGATCAAGAACCTGGAATGAAGTTCACAGAGCCCTCTTTCCCAGCGACATAATGCCATATTGGTACTGAGAGCTGCTCTACAGACTGGGCCCTACGCCGCCACGACAGGGTGCTTTGGTGTCTGCTTCGTGCTTTCAGGCAGCCCGACCAACACACGATTTATTTCTCGTGGCTATATCTTTTAATTTCTAACGCCCTTGAGGCCATAGTCGGTTGTACGAATATCATCGTGGATAGCAGCTATGATGGAGTTGACTGGTAGATTGGTCCAGACTGAAACCCGCTAGCTACGGCATTGTGAAGGATGTCAGGTACCTACCAGACTCTCGAGGCCACAGCAGCTACAGCTTTAGACTTTGGGCTACGTTTCGAGCCCATCCATGTCACTGCTAGAGCATAACGACAGGCGGTGATTCTACTCGCCGTGAAAGGAGGATACGGAAGTCGAGAGTTACTACGCTCCGCAGCAGTTTGGGTCGGAACCCGCAGATGGAACCATTCTTCGCTGCATGCCGAGTCCTAGAATGACAGGGCGCCAGTTGTTTTGTACAACGAAAGAGATCGGAAAGATCAAGCTCGTGGTCTTCGGGCTTGTCCACCTCTTTCTTGTCTCATCGACCCGGCGCTTGTCGCGGCGCTTAGTACGGCGCTTAGCAGGTGCCGCAAATCTCGGGGCTGCCGCTGCCGCTGCCGCTGCCGCGCCTGCGCTCCGATACATCAAAAACCCGCACCTACACCTCACAATACTGCCCGCCGTGGCATGCGTCGGTATAGGCTGTCATCATTGAACAGCAAGCACGCCTTGTTGCGCCCGAGATTGACGCAAACTTGGCCAAACCGCCTGAGCCACGCCCGTGACAACCACACAGCCGCAAGAAGGAGCGGTGCAAGTGCAGGCTTCAAGATGTTCCGGTGCGCTCCAAGATTGAGGCCAGACACCTTTGCTCTATTAGACTAGTCAATGTCCTGTGTACGGGACGGATGGTAGAGCACTCGTCTCCGGCCTGCATGAAGAGGCCTTGCGTGAACAGTTGAAGGCTCCCATCCTTCAGTTTCGAGGTTCATCGCTGCTATGAAATGCGAAGAACTAGACGCTCTTCTAGCTTCATGTTATATTCATCAGTTTAGCCACTCTCTGTCTTCAAGCTGGATGTATCTCCTTCGAAGGCGTTGCATATATGAGCAACTGAGGGCAGCTCTGTGCTGGTATCACTGCTTTGCTTTGCCAGCGGTACTCTTCTTTCAGCTTCGGCTCGGGCACATCTTGTTGTGATGAGACTAGATATGGCAGGACTAACAAAACCAACAATGGTAGAGTACTTCACTTCATAGGCTGTGGCCCTTGAATCCAACTAACACCATCACCCACATGAGGTCGTACTTGATGTATTCAAACTACCCCCGCACACAAATTCCTACAAATGCACTTACTCCTCCGAACATGGGCAAGTTTCGTACAATCCACCGCATAACAGTACTGACTTCGCATCTACTTCTTGGCCTTCCCTTTAGTTTTACCCTTGCCCTTAGGTTTGTCGCCACCATCCTCATCTGCGGCGGTCTTGGCAGCCTTCTTGGACGGTTTCTTCTTGGGCTGCTTGATATACTTGTCTTTCTTGAGATCAGTGTCATCTTCATCCATGTCTGGAGCTTCAGCTGCCTGTCCATCGTCTTCGTCCTCAATAGCTTCTTCCAAGTCGGGCGCTTCCTTCGTTTGCTTCTTGGGTGCAATGACATTGCTCGCTTTCATAAACGGGACGGGGTGGTTCATTGAATTGTATCTAGATGCGCGTCAGTGGCTGGCTCAACTCCATGCATGCCATCAATCTCCAACTCACGTTCTCGTGAAGGCAGCCTTTGTCCTGGACTCAATAGAAACCTTCTCCTCTGTCATTGGTCCCACTCCAAGCTCCTGAATGGCATCAAAGTCTTCTCTCGTGAGGAAATAGCTGTCCATGAGATCAATGACCTCGGGGACCGCCTCGCCGCCTTCATTTTCCAAGCGTTTCACGAGCTGTTTCCAGAGCACAGGCAGATACTGCTGTCGGATCTCGTTATGATCGCCCGAACACTTGAGTCGCATGTGCGAGTGAATCTCGCGGACATATCTGCCCAGCTTGCCCTGCTTGCTGAAGTTGCCCAACCAGGACGTGAAGGTGGATCCCAGTAGCTGACCAGAAACGAAGCTTGCCGGTCGGACGGTGCTGAATATCGCATGGGTAGGCATCAGGCTCCAGTGCTGCTGAGGGCCGTGAATCATGCGATCAACCATGTCACCGTCGCTGATACTCTCAGCTGCCTGGTCAAACAGCTCAAGAGCTTTCAGCTGTTCTTCACGCTTGGTATATCCTTTGCCGTTCAGTGCCATGGGCTTGGTCCGCAGATAATTTTCTTGAATCATGAGGAAACTGAACTCGTGATCGTTAAAGTACAGCTCAATCTTGTCGTTGAGCGTTGCCTTGCTCGCGGGCGCAAAGAGACCGCTTCCGAGCATCTTTTGGCAGATATCCCAAGGTTTCAGGACCACATGCTTCTCCCAAGCCTTGGTCATGGCCTTCCCTTGGTCGTAATTCATGGTCGTTTGGTCGAGTTTGGCGGTGGAAATCATGTTGATGATTTGTCGAATATCCTTGTTGCTGCCTTCGATCAAGGCATCGACCACCGGTGGAGGGAGCTTGAGGCCTTCACGGTGGCAGATGGTCATGATTCTCGACCGCACTTGGTCAACCGTCGGTCTGTTGAATCTGATGTCATAGGCAACGTGGTCAAAGGGCTTCATCTTGGGGAGCCGACGCTCATTGCAAATCAGAATCAATGGAACCTCCGTCTTTTTGCAAAACTTGGCCAGAGCACCAACACCACCGCGGTCACCAGCCGACATACCATCCACTTCGTCCATGACAAGCACAATTTTTTTTTTCGACCCATCTATCGACTTGCCATCGCCAGCAAAGTATCCCAGCAACGACGTGTTGTTCATGACATCGCCCACGCCGTTTTCGACCAGTTTCTTGCTTCTCACGTCACTCGCATTGCTCTCCAAGACATCATAGCCCTCCAGCTTGGCAGCAAGATTGGCAGCGGTAGTTTTGCCGATCCCTGGCGGGCCAGAAATGATGATGGCGCGTTCTCCGCCGAGACCATCTGCGCCGCGTCGCTGAAAGTTGTATTTTTTGAACTTGGGCCAATTTCGAAGCCAGCTTTGAATCCTTTCCACCTGAGTCTTGTTGCCGCAAATGTGACTCAGTTGCGTGGGCGCATATTTTGACGTAAGAAGCTGGGCGGCCTGAGCTGGCGCAGGCTGAGGCGAAGGGCCGGTGCCGCGAGCGCTTGCCGCATTTTGAGCTGTCTTGGCAGCTTCTGCTTTTTGTTTCTTCTCTTCTGCTTCCATTTCCGCAATCTGCTGCTTGACTTTTTCCTCATCGGCTTTTTTCTTCTCCTGCGCTTTCTGTGCCCCCTTACCAGAGCCACCATACGCAGGTAGTTTGCGGATAAGATCAAACAGGCCATTCTCGTCAATCGTCTTGATCCCATGAGACTTAATCTTGGCCAGCTTGCTGGGCCCGGCGTCCTCGCCGAGGACAACGAAACTCGTCTTGCTGCTTGGCTGACCAGTCACTTTACCGCCATAGCGCTTGACGAGCGCTTGGGCTTCATCCCGCCCGATCGTCTGCAAGACACCGGTGAAGACAAATGATAAACCAGACAGACACTCTTCCTGGCCTTCTGGCAGGTCGGCCGACGCCACGGGTTGGATTGAGGCATTGCCTCCCCCAGCAGCGGCTTTCCTCCAGTCAAACTTGGCGTTGGGGTCTTTTGGGGGTGGCGTTGGCGGTCTGACAGTGGCTACGCTGTCAAGTATATCTTGAATCTCCGCTTCTTCGGGTTCATCTGCCTTCTTGGTTCGAGGCGCGCGAGGTTTCGTCGCGGTTGGTTTCTTTCGAGGCAACTCCTCGTCCTCCTCGTCCGATTCCTGTTCCGGGGATTTTCGCTTCCTGCTAGCCGTGGATGCATTCCGGTTCCTGGCTCCTGTGGTTTTGACTGTTGCGATCTGTCCACGACCGGCAACACGTTTTGGTTGTGGCAGTACCTCTTCTTCAGACTCCTCTTCAGCGTAGTCATCATTCTTGCGTTTGTTTCGTCCTTTTGCATCAGCGGCAAATATATCATCCCCGTCATCATCCCCATCATCCATGTATGCGTCGTTGTCATCGTCAGCATGGTGCTTCTGGTGAGATGTCGTGGGCTTCTTCTTTGGTGGTGTCCCATTTAGGAGAGCTACTTCTAGCTTGACCGCTGGTTTTCTATTTCGAGGGCTTGCCCTGACTGGCACTTCTTCTTTCAACGGCGCCTTAGAGCTTGCCTTCTTTGGTGTCGACTGCTTGGAGTTCGCCCGCTTGTTGGATGAAGCAAAGTAATCGTCTGCGGAAATAGCGACTCCTCGGGGTTCGAAATCACTACAGAGATCAATTCCATGAATGAATTCGACGGGAAATCGTATTTACGCACGGCTTCTTTTTCCTGGGAGCAGCCTTTACGGCCGGTTCAGTTTTCCTTGATTCTAGTCAGTCGGATACACAAATGTATGGCATTGGTGAGGTCATAGTGATGACCTACACAACTTCATCGTCATCGCTGTCCTCGACAACTTTTCGATTTTCTGTACCAAGATTAGACGAGGGCATGTTATGTATCATCAGACACAGTCTCACTCGTTCGTTTTGATTTGGGAGCAGCTTCACTCTTAGACAGTGCAAGCTTGGGAGCTGCATCACCTTTGGGGGCAAAGAAGGACCGGATATCTGGCATGCTGGAGTGGGATATAGTTGGAAGAATTTTCCAATGCCAACGTGAGCTCAAATGAGAACAGCAGTATTCTTCTTGTGGTCATTAGGAGCGCTACCTCGAGAGTTTGTCGTCGTGACGTCCAGGTAGGCAATTAGAAATTGTCCTGTGACGTGCAACAATGCTCCACTCGTGGACGCGAAGCTGACGCGAAGTCCGTGACCTGGCTTAATTGGACGGACTTGCTCTTTCTCGATAAATTGCGGGGGCCTGAAATATCTGGCTGCAACCAATCGATGGCCAGGGAAGTTTTTCGTCACTGGATGTTGCGATACGGAGTCATCTGTCCGCCAACAACTAGTTTCCCAAGCAATGGCGGCTCTCACCCCGTCAGCATTCCTCAATGCCTTCCAGGCGCTGAGGATTCGCGCTTCGACACCCCTGCGACAGAGTCAAACTCCCATTGTGCGATCATCAAGGACCTCGGAAGCGGCAAACCGGATTCAGTATGTGCGGGCCTTTTCAACCACCTCCCCCGTCCTCGGAACGTGGCTGGAACCGAGTTTGAATAGAAAGAAGAAGATGGCAAAGGGTCGACCGCGGGTGGCCACGGGCGGATCAACAAAGGGGACCACTGTCATTTGGGGTGACTATGGTCTGCGCATGATTGACCACCACAGGAGAATCAGCGCCAAGCAATTGAAAATGGCCGAAGACACAATCAAAGTGCGACTAAGAGGCGAAAAATACCGACTTTACAAGCGAAAGTGCTGCAACGTCGGTGTCTACGTCAGCGGTAATGAGGTCAGCAAAAGTTTTGCGCCAGGTGAGCGATGGAACGGTGTTCTAACATTTTTCCAGATGCGTATGGGTAAAGGTAAAGGTTCTTTTGACCACTGGGCGACGAGAATGGCCGTGAGTCAGGTGCTTTTTGAGATCAGGGGGCGAATTCACGAGCAGATTGTGAGGGATGCTTTCCGTCTTGCAGGAAATAAGTTGCCGGGTAAGTTTCGTGGTGTCCACGCTATGTCGGGCACTGCGGCTAACGACGTGTAGGCCAGTGGGAGTTTGTCAAGAAGGGCGACGCTCCGGTTGTTGGAATTACAAGGCTGGATGGAGTGACTTTGGAGGACCTGAAGCGGCCGAGGAGACAAACCTCACCTGCGGAGTTGCTTCAGGCATCTGCCCCTGGGACTTTTACGGACGCTGGTATCACGAGTGACGCTTCTCGTTCGCCATAGGAACTGGCATGATGCCACCGTAGCATTGTATAAAAAGATAAAGGAGGCAAGTAAGATGGACCGGTATATAAAGGTGGACTCTGGAAGGGCAATATACATCTTTCCAGGGACCACCCGTTTGTGACACGTGTCGCGGTTTTCCTCTATCCATGCTCAGGAATCTGATGCAAAGCAATCTACAGCAAAAAAAATAAAAAGGACCGAAGCATGTATGCTGCAACATGAAATGCTCAATGGCAGCGTAGTGGACCGGGGACCCGACTTGGTCGGTACGTACCTCACACAGCTCATCCCGGTAAGCAGTTTACCTTACTAATTAACGCGCCGACGCGTCTTCCCAAGTCCGAAGAGCTCCCACTCCAACCCACCACACGTCACGATTGCACGTCGTCAATCGCAAAATGGCGCTCATAGTCGACAAGCATCGGCCACGATCCCTCGACGCTCTAACATATCACCCAGAGCTCTCTCGCCGTCTCCAATCACTAGTAAGCAGCGCCGGCCAAACCCATCCAATCCGTGGCTAAATGACCTAAAAAAAAAAAAAGGCTCAAAGCGGCGACTTCCCACATCTCCTTGTCTACGGCCCCTCAGGCGCCGGCAAGAAGACCCGGATCGTAGCCACGCTCAAGGAGCTCTATGGACCTGGAGTGGAAAAGATCAAAATAGACTCGCGCGTCTTTCAGACCACCAGCAACCGCAAGCTCGAGTTCAACATCGTCGCGTCCGTGTACCACCTCGAAATTACACCCTCGGACGTAGGCAACTACGACCGGGTCGTCGTGCAAGATCTGCTAAAGGAGGTCGCACAGACGCAGCAGGTAGACCAATCGGCCAAGCAGCGGTTCAAGGTCGTCGTCATCAACGAGGCAGATCAGCTTACGCGAGATGCGCAGGCGGCGCTGCGTCGAACCATGGAGAAATACTCGCCCAACCTGCGGCTCATCCTGCTCGCCAACTCCACAGCGAACATAATCGCGCCTATTCGATCGAGGACGCTGCTCGTGAGGGTTGCGGCGCCGACGCACGAGGAGATTTGCAGCGTCCTGGCCGTGTCGGCAAAGAAGGAGGGCTGGGAGGTGGTCAAGGGGCTGCACGAGAGGATTGCAGTGGAGAGTGGGCGGAATCTGAGGAGGGCGCTGTTGATGTACGAAGCTGTCCATGCACAAAAGTACGTGTTTTTGTTTGTTCCTCCCCCAACACCCCCTTCTCTCTCTCCCCGCTTCACAGGTAAACACCCGTTGTACCGGCACAGGGGTTGCTGACTGATGCTGCGGGCGGAATGACAGTGAAAAAGTGTCTGCAGATACGCCGATACCGCCTGCAGACTGGGAGGCTTTGATCGGCCAGATGGCCAAGGAAATAATGGACGAGCATACGCCGGCGCGGATCCTGCAAGTGCGCGCCAAGTTCTACGACCTACTGACGCACTGTATCCCGCCTACGACGATTCTCAAAACCCTCACGTTCAAGCTGCTCGCGCTCATTGACGACGGTCTGAAGGGCGAGGTGATTCAGTGGTCGGCATTTTATGAGCATCGCATCAAGACGGGGACAAAGGTGATTTTCCATCTGGAGGCGTTTGTGGCCAAATTTATGCGTATTCTGGAGATGTATCTGATGGGCATGGGCATGTAATAACAGTACGTCGATCAGCTGGGCGTTTGAGAAGGGGTGTTGCTGTCCAAATGACCGGGGTTGTTTTCGGCGGTTCGAAACGGCCACTTTGGATGTACGTCTACGTTTTCAAAATCTGTCCGTGCCGAGCGCAGACCGGATTCAACAACCAGGGACCAGGTGAGAGGCGGGGGTGTTGGTGTTGGCACAATGCTTGTGGAGAGTGGCGGACAGCGGAGGACTCGGGCGCCCGTTGAGAGAGCAGTTGAGGCTTCGGTCCGGCCCAATGGATGTCGGAAGATAGCGCCCATAGTCGTTTCAATGGCGCTTCTCGTATGCTGCGACGTGTTGGGCAACTAGGTATTACCGAAAGCAATGGGTACCTGTCATGAAAGCAAAAGTTGCGAGCAGGCACCGCCATGCTCTTATAGAGGCGCAGGCTGGAGATCCAGGATGGATGGTTTGCAGTCCTGAACCGGCTGGTCGCGGCACTTGCACGGCGCATCGCCAAAAGGGAAGGGGAAGTGGCCAATGCCGGCATGCAACTGTGCGTTCCCTTTGGTCGGACAATGCAACCGGTCTTGCATCGGAGCCGGCCAGTGGATAAAATAGGGAGAATCAGTTGTCGTCAGACTTCCGCACGTTGTCAAGACGCAAGACTCAAGATCCAAGGGACAGTAAACCCTGCCTCTTGCTGGAGACGATAGTACGGAGTAGCCGTTTCGGTACAAGACTGCATGAGAAGACGGGAGACGGATGAGATGATTGGACAGATGGCGGAGCAGGCACCACGATGTATGATTTCTGGCCCTGGCTCAGCCCTGAAGTCTCGAACCCTGGGTTACATGTTAGTTACGTACTCCACGCAACAACAGGTGTGGAGTTGGAGAGCCCATGGCCCGTGGGCATCTCCTTCTTTTGTTGACCGTTGAGGCTTGACTCTTGACGGACCATCGTGGATGCTACCACGCCGCCGCCGACTGGTCAATGCATTGGAGCAAGTGAATGACTTACTACAAGCTATCCGGGGCCGGCATCCTGGTTCTTCCGTATTCCGTACTGCAGACATGGAGGCAGTTGACGTGATGACCAAGTCGTTTCGCGCGACTCGTCACATGGCCAATGCGCAGCCGCTCGTCCGCCCGGCCGGTCTGGGTCCGACTCCGGTCGACTTTGGGGAAGGATGCATCCATCCACTGTGGAATGTACAGGACAACCAACTGGTGTTGGTTTTAGCCGCTGGCCGCTGGTGCCATGACGCGCGAAGTCGGGGAAAAGGATGACGTGCCAGAAGGGGTTAGCGGATCAGAGCCTCAAATGTCTGACGCAGTGTTGCTCACATGTGCAGTCACATGTCCATCTCACCGTCGGTTTGCACGCCCGACTTGAAGAATATTCAGACTTAATCTAAATTACACGACACCTACCTCCGGCCACCACAAAGACACTACGTACTCATCTGCCGCACTAGCAACGTGTGTCCGACAAAGGCGGGGGTTGTCGATGGCGATGTGTGGTGCTAGCAGTAACTGGCAACTGGCTGGCCCAGGATTGGACAGCCATGACAGATTACGGGGCAATCTGTCCCAACAACTCCTCCGGGTTCCGGTTCCCAGGTTCCAGCTCCAGGTTCCAGCTCCAGGTTCCAGCTCCAGGTTCCAGGTTCAGCTTCCACTCGCCTAGCCGCGCCAACTATCACCCTCCGTGTCCACGTAGGTAATTTGGAATCGATTCACAAGCGGCCGTCTTGCCGTCCTCCGCAACCGCAACCCTTGACGAGACAATAAGCAACTTCGCGCTTGGGCGGCCGGAGGAGGGGCGAGACAAGCGGGTTGTGAGTCTGTGACGAAGCGCCGAGTGCATAAGAGCTTCCAATCCCCCATGTAACGGTGGAAGTTAGTTCCCCTCCTCTTTGATCCTCCTACGTCTGCATTCCTATAGTCCAACCAATCTTTTCTTTCTCCTCTTACTTTCTCTTTACTTTGTTTTGCAACCCAGCAAAAAGACGCAAGACTAGGAACCGCCCGGGGCCTAATCACTCGAGTGCCGCGGGAGAGCGCACGCACATAGCACCAGGCGCAGACAGGCCGATCAATAGCTCCAGGTTCGCCGTCGCAACGGTGCGTCAACGCATCTCTGACGTCCCCTTGGCCACAACCAGCAGCGCTCGAGCCCACCCAGCAAGCTTCAGGGCGACCGTCATAGCAAGCCAGCCTAGTATCACTACAACACGAGCTACCCCGCACCACCGCTGCTTCCACTGGCCCATCCGTCGCGCCCCTTCTGCAGTCGGAGCCATAGGCGGCGACTTGAACAGCGCAGCACGTCAACTAGAGCTGATTTGAATCGCATCCCACGGCCGTCGCCCGTCACAATGTCTGAGGAGAAGAAAGTCCCAAAGGTCGCGGAGGCGCACCTAGTCGACACGTTCCGTAAGTGAAGCAGCCCCCACCACGCGAGACGAAGAGGGAAGGAGGAAAGAAGACAGCTCCAAGTCACTAACACCATTCTCCCTGCAGACCCGCCTGAGAGGATGCTCGCAAGTACGCAATTTCCCCCTCCTTCCGCGACATGTCGTCCTGCCCCACCTCCACCTTGCTCCCCCACGCAACCGTCGGTGCAGCTCGGAGTGGGAATGAACCCACGGGCCTATTGGCATCGCTGCTCGACGTCGATGGCATTTGCAACAACCGGCTGCTAACTCGAGTTTCTTCTTCTTTCTCTTCGTCCTCTGAAGAACACCCTGCCAAACCCCACCTTGCCAGTAAGTTGTGGTTCCATTTACCTCTCAGTCCCCACTGCCCACTCCCCATCCTGGTCCCGAATTCAAACAAAGCTCAGGAACTGTGCGCTTTACCCGATTGAGCCCGACTCTGGTCGTCCGTCCAAAGCGTCCCGTCTGGCCGTTGAGAATGTTCGTGTCCAATGCGTGCTGACTCCGAGCTCTTGCTTGAATTGCAGACATTGAAGAATACCAGAAGCTGTACAGGGAGTCCATCACTAACCCCAACAAGTTCTGGGGCGAGCACGCCAGACAACTGCTCTCGTGGTATCGAGACTTTGAAACCGTCTCCAGCGGCACCCTGACTGACGGCGACGTCAAATGGTTCGCCGAGGGTCAGCTCAATGCCTCGTACAACTTGGTTGATCGTCATGCCTTGAAGGATCCGGATCGCATCGCCATCATCTACGAGGCCGACGAGCCGCAGCATGGCCGCAAGGTCACTTACGGCGAGTTGTTGCGCCAGGTCTCCAGGTGTGCCTGGTCTCTAAAGCAGATGGGCATCCGCAAGGGTGACACCGTCGCCATTTACCTGCCCATGATTCCCGAGGCCCTCGTCGCCATTTTGGCCTGTGTGCGTATCGGCGCCGTTCACTCCGTCGTCTTTGCCGGCTTCTCTGCCGACTCGCTGCGAGACCGTGTCATTGACGCTCGCTCACGTGTTGTCATCACTTCTGATGAGGGCAAGCGTGGCGGCAAAATCATCGGCACCAAGAAGATTGTCGACGATGCTCTCAAGCAGTGCCCCGACGTCACCAACGTTCTCGTGTTCAAGCGTACCGGCGCTGATGTGCCCATGCAGCCTGGCCGTGATGTCTGGTGGCACGAGGAGCTTGAAAAGTGGCCCAGCTATATCCCCCCCGAGGTCATGAACTCTGAGGATCCTCTCTTCCTTCTGTACACCTCCGGCTCTACTGGGAAGCCCAAGGGCGTCTTGCACACCACTGCTGGCTACCTGTTGGGTGCCGCCATGACTGGCAAGTACGTCTTCGACATTCACGACGGCGACCGTTACTTCTGTGGTGGTGACGTCGGCTGGATCACAGGCCACACCTATGTTGTCTACGCCCCTCTGCTACTCGGCGTCTCTACCGTAGTATTCGAAGGCACCCCCGCCTACCCCAACTTCTCACGATACTGGGACATCATTGAGAAGCACAAGGTCACCCAGTTCTACGTGGCCCCCACTGCCCTGCGTCTGCTGAAACGCGCTGGTGATGAGCACGTCAAGGGTGACATCAGCCACCTGCGTGTTTTGGGTTCTGTCGGCGAGCCCATTGCGGCTGAGGTGTGGAAGTGGTACTTTGAGGTTGTTGGCAGGGAGGAGGCGCACGTCGTTGACGTACGTCGGGATCTCGGTTACGTCTTTCTCAAATCAGACGACAAGTATACTGACATTTTCGCAGACATACTGGCAGACAGAGACTGGTTCCCACGTCATCACTCCACTTGCTGGCATCAGCCCTACCAAGCCCGGCAGCGCTTCGTTCCCCTTCTTCGGTATTGAGCCCGTCATCATAGACCCTGTCTCTGGTGAAGAGATTCACGGCAACGATGTCGAGGGTGTGCTTGCCTTTAAGCAGCCTTGGCCCAGCATGGCCCGCACCGTCTACGGCTCCCACAAGCGCTACATGGACACTTACCTCAACGTCTACAAGGGCTACTACGTACGTCTTGCCTCGGTCGCACCAGTATGAAATACGTCCCACTGATGTGTTCCCAGTTCACTGGTGACGGTGCCGGCCGTGACCATGAGGGATTCTACTGGATCCGCGGCCGAGTGGATGACGTCGTCAACGTCTCTGGGCACCGTCTTTCCACGGCCGAAATCGAAGCTGCCCTCATCGAGCACCACGCTGTTGCAGAGGCCGCCGTCGTTGGAGTTTTCGATGAACTCACTGGCCAGGCTGTCAATGCCTTTGTCGCAGTCAAGGAGGTTGACGAGGTCAACGACGCGCTCCGCAAAGAATTCATCATGCAGGTTCGCAAGAGCATTGGTCCCTTCGCCGCGCCCAAGGCCATTTACATCGTTCCCGATCTACCCAAGACCCGAAGTGGCAAGATTATGAGAAGAATATTAAGAAAGATTCTTGCCGGCGAGGAGGATCAGCTCGGTGACGTCACAACCGTATGGTGCATTCCTCCGTCTCATGTTCCCTGGCTAACTCGACTCGCAGTTGTCCGACCCCTCGATTGTCGATAAGATTATCCGGACAGTTCATGAAGCCAGGGCTAAATGAGCAAATTATGAAAATACAAACAAAAGGACGCCAAATCATGAAAAAAAAAATTGATAGATAATGCTGTAGTTGATACCACTCGTGTAGCACGACATGTTGGAATCGGAGATGGCGTGACGGGATCTTGGGAACTTGAAATCGTTTGTAGTTCAATTGAAGCTCTTTTTTGTATCATCTCATAGGCATGCATTTGTTCGGTTGTTGATGGGACGCAGCAGCGTCTTGTCGAACACGTGAGTTGAAGGCCGTGAAAGGCACCAGCATGTCTTGGAAAGGGTATAATTAACTAACTACTGGAGTACTTAAAGTGAGTACCTAGGTAGATGTGCATATAGGCTAAACTACAAACAGAGTAGTCCGTATGTGGTATCAGAACTGACAGCCGACGGTGGGTGGTTTCGACATGGTGAAACCGACTGCTGACAAGCGCCACGGCGGAAAAAAAATTTGTTCTGTGCGACAAACGAGACGACGTGTCACAGAGTCTGAGTGATGAGGCAGCCCAAGGTCCAATGTCGGCGTTGAGCTGGTCGTCGGATTTGGTCAAAGCCCGGGGCGCACCTGCCGCGTGGCTTGTGGCGATGCCAACCCTTTTCGCTGCGCACGCACGCCGCATCCAACCAACCACGCACCTCGATCTGCTGGTCCAGGTTCGACGACGGGGCACGGAGTAGGGAGTGCGTACGAGACCCATGAAATTGAACTTGGGTTCGTCCGCTCCTTCCCTTCCCCACCCATTGTCCCATCGACCAGTCTTTTGCCAAGGTCGCCTCAACTCCATGTTGGACATTGACTGGAGGCCTCGTCCTTCCTCGAGACGGCGGCCTTGGCTGAAGCAACAAGTGCAGGAGCTTCGGAGCGTCACCAGTCATCACCGCCACCGCCAATGCCACCTGCCTTGCCTTCCTTGCCTTGCCTTGCAGTTCGTCCGCACCCCCCACTCATCGTTCAACGTTCGTCGTTCGACGTTCAACGTTGCTCCTCCCACCCGCTCCAACCGCCTGCTGAACCGCCGCCCACTACTTCTACTCCGTCCCTACTCTGTACAATTGACCAGCATCCAGCCTCCGCACGCACGCGCTCACGCTCACGCTCACGCTCACGCATCCTCAACCATCTTCAGATCTCATTCGAGAAAAATTGCCGCTCAGCTCGTCGTCATTTTGCCATCCTTGTGCTCAGCAACTGCTCATTGTCGCCTTGAACCGGCAGTCCGTACACTCGTCGTCATCGAGCTCATCTGTGTCTACGTGCGTACACGGTACACCAACACCCAGCAGCATCACGGATCCCGTCAGAGTCCCAACACGTTTTGAATCCCACTGCGTCGTCTCCATTGCCGGCCTAGAGCCATCCATTGCCTTGCGCTTGCATTCCCACGTTGTGAGAACCTTGGACATTCGTACAGCACCGTCGATGAGTTGCATGCGCTAGACATTTGAATCGTCCGCTCCGACTTCGAGCGACCGTTTGCTTCGCCTCCCCCCCGCCCTCTCCGGCGCAATCAGCCATGGTTTCGCTGCAGTTTATCGTGACCGTTGTTACGAGCGCAGCCTTACTTGCTCCTTCATCTCTTGGTAAGCCACCGTCTTTCGCTTTCATGCCGAGTACTTGATCGCTTTCGTCCGGCGAGCGGCACATCGGCGATATTCCCGTGGCTAACATCGTCATTCCACCTCCAGCACACTCAGTAAAGCGAAATCCTGTCAGCGTCATCTCTCTAGTCCATGATCCCGTCATCAAGACGCCATCACATCGCGTCCATGCATTCTCCAAATTCGATATTACCTTTTCATTACATCACGGCCAGCACCAGCAAAAGATTCGTCTGGCACTAGAACCCAATCACGATGTCCTCCATGAAGACTTTTCCATCACACACTTGAGCGAAGACGGGTCAGTCCGGGAAGTCAAAAAGGTTCCCCGTTTGGAAGACAGGGTGTACCGCGGAGACGCATTCATCGAGCGCCCAGGCACTTCAGGATGGTCCAAGGCTGGCTGGGCACGCGTGACGGTTCATGAGGACGGAGAGAAGCCCATCTTTCACGGCGCCTTTCGTATCGACGGCGACAACCACCACGTTCTCCCGCGATCCGACTACCAATCAATAAAGGACGAGAGAGATCCCCTTGTCGACGCGTCTGCCAACGACCAAGTGATGGTGGTGTGGCGCGATTCCGATGTCATGGACCATCACGACGGACATGGCGAGCTGAAGCGCCATCTTGCCGATTCGTCCAAATGCAACGCCGACGCCCTCGAGTTTAACCGCCAGCTTCGGCCAGAAAGCCTAGAGCTTAGATCTACGAGCTTTTCATCTCTCTTTGGTCGGCAGATTGATGGCAACGGTGGCGGTACGGGCCTCAACTTGCTCGATTCCATTGGAAGCTCGGCTGGCTGTCCAACGACCAAGAAGGTGGCTCTGGTTGGTATCGCGACCGACTGCAACTACTTTTCGGCATTCAACAACACGAATGCCATCAAGAGGCAAGTCATCGGCGTCGTTAACTCAGCCTCTGAGCTTTACGAGAGCACCTTCAAGATCTCACTGGCTATCAGGAACCTGACGGTGATCGATCGAGGGTGCGCCGGTGCATCAACAACTGCCAACACGCAGTGGAACGTTGAATGCAGCGATGGTGTTACTATCACTGATCGCCTCAACACGTTTTCCAAGTGGCGTGCCGGGTCCAAGGATGACAATGCCTTCTGGTCGCTCTTCACGACCTGTGCCACAGATACCGCCGTTGGCCTGGCCTGGCGAGGCATGCTTTGCCGGGCTGGCGCGAGCGGTGAGGGTGACGGCGCTAAAAATGAGACCGTTGCTGCCACCAATGTCGTTGTCAAGACGGCTACCGAGTGGCAGATATTTGCCCATGAAACCGGACATACCTTTGGGGCCGTCCACGACTGTGTGTCGCAGACGTGCCCGGCCAACGGGCCGTCACAAGCTTGCTGTCCACTGAGCAAAGACCAATGTAATGCTGGTGGAAAGTACATCATGAACCCTTCTACCGGCAACGGCGTCACGGCCTTCTCGCCCTGCAGCATCGGCAACATATGCTCGGGCCTCAAGTCCAACCAGATCAAGGGCAGCTGCCTCACGGACAACAAGAATGTCCAAACCGATGTCAACATTGGCAGCCAGTGTGGCAACGGTATTGTCGAGGCCGGCGAGGACTGCGACTGCGGCGGCGAAGCAGGCTGCAACGGAAACAAGTGCTGCGACCCCAAAACGTGCAAGTTTACCAGCGGCTCTGTGTGTGACCCTTCCAACGAGGACTGCTGCACTGATCAGTGCAAGTTTGCCTCGAGCGGCATCGTCTGCCGCCCCAGCACAGGCGAATGCGATATCCAGGAAACCTGCCCCGGCGACAAGGCTGCCTGCCCGGCCGACAAGCACAAGAGCAACGGCGACTCGTGCGGCAACGGGCTCCAGTGCGCCTCGGGCCAGTGCACCTCGCCCGACCTGCAATGCCAGCACATGGCCAACAGCTTGACGGGGCGAAACAACACCAAGGCTTGTCCCGAGACGGAGTGCATGCTCGCCTGTACGTCGCCCGATCTCCCCTCCAACCAGTGCATCACGTACAACCAGTTCTTTGTGGACGGGACCAGCTGCGGCGCCGGCGGCCACTGCCTCAACGGTAACTGTCAGGGCAGCTCGACGCTCAAGGAAATCGGACAATGGATCGACCGCCACAAGGCAATCTTCATTCCCGTCGTCTGCGTCGTCGGGCTGCTGATTGTCATTGTCATTGCTAGCTGCACCACGAGCAGCATCCGACGCTGCGTGATGAAGCGGAGGACGGGGAGGCCCCAGGCTGCGCCCGGGATGAACGGCTGGCCCTCTTCATCCTACGGCGAACAGCAGCAATGGGGCGGTGTTCGGGGGGGGTGGAACGGACCACGACCGACGGAGTCGTCTGGTGCTCTGTTTCCCTCGGGGCCGCAGCATCAGCATCAACAGCAGCAGAGTGGATTTTACGACGCGCCGCCGTATCCGCCTGCCCCGGCGGCGGCGAACGCGGATGGGAGGTGGAGAAATCAGGGGGGCATGCGGTACATGTAGGAAGCCAGGCCAAGAGTTGGATATATACTAGGTTATGCATTACATGGCGTTTTGTGTCTTCTCTTTTTTTTTTGCTTGGGGTCGTCTTTCCTAGATAGGGCATAAACAAGCACGGGCACGGCACATACGGTAGATGTGGTGGTGTATTATCAAATGGCTGCTTTGGGAACACTTGTCACGAAGACGAAGAAGACGCAGAAACATCACGACGTGTCAAACAAGGTGTAGGCGCACGTCGAAATCCGCCCAGGTCGCGCGTAGCAGAAAAGGCCAGCTACTTCATCTGCGCCTCTCCTTGTCGCGCTCCCTCTCCCTGCCCGCGGCGTCCTTGCCCTTGGGCCGCTCCTCGAACCCGCACAGCATGGCTGTGAAGCGCAGTCTCTGCCCGGGAATGCTCTGCCAGCAACGCACCAGGTATCGTCAGCTCAGGTCAGGCCAGGCCAGTCCAGTCCGGGGCCCTCGGCGTCGAACGGGAAGGGGCAAGAAGGCGTCAAGGGGCAAGGGGCAAGGGGCAAAGGGCAAAGGGCAAACGCACATCGCCCGCGCCGAGGGCATACATCGTCAGCGACTCGGGACAGTCGAGCACGCTCAGGGCGAAGCCGCGCCTCTCCTTGTCCTCGAACGGTTCCGTCGCGAGCCTAGCCGGCGCGCGGAGCGTCAGCAAGAATCCCCCTATAATGCGCGGCGGGTGTCCCGGGCGCACGCACCGTCTGCCCAGGCGGACTCGCCTGTCGGCGCTGTCGTCGTCGTAGTCGCTCTCGCTGCCGTCCCGGTAGGGGTCCTTGCCGCGCGCTTGGCGGTCGCGCATCGCGGACGTGGTGGGCTCTGCCGCGCGGGGCGCGCCCCTCGTCGGCGTGCTGTACGCGCTTCGCGAGGGCGTCGTCGCCATGTCGGATGTCGGGATGGGAGGCGGGCCTTGCGTGTGAGGAGGTGAGGAGGAGAGAGGGGCGCCTCGACGACTGCGCGTGGTTGTCGTCGACTTGGAATTCCAAGTTGGTTGCGATGCCCGTGTGCGGGGAGGGCGCCGGCACCGGCACCTTGTAGTTACTTTGTACCCTGTACCTGGCGCGGCGCACATGGAGGGAGCGTCTAGCACGTGTCCGGCGTCAGGATGTGAGGAGGTCCACGGGCGTTGAGCAACTTGGAGCTGCTGTGCCCTTGGTCCTGGCACGCCTTGCCTTGTTTCAATCTGCACAGAGCGACGGGACACCCGTTGCAGCCAGACCTCTGAGGGCGTCGCCAGATGGTACGGGCGAGGCTACCTAGCGCGATGGCCTCGAGTCCTCGACGGCTGTCGCGTCAGCGTTGGGATGTATTCGTACTTGCGTGGCTTCATGTAATAACTACCTAGGTACCTAGGTACCTAGGTACGGAGTACAGGGCGGGCGCTTTAGTGTCGGCTGCCGGCCGGGGCGTTGTGGATCCCGTGACCGCGCTGCCGCCTTGGCTGCACCACACGTACTCGTCAAGACTCGTGGATGACGCCCGCAGCGCCTGGCGTGTGTGATTCTTGCCTTTGGCATTGGCGTCTCCTGTCCAGACACACACCAACGTACGTGCCCATGCACAAGGCCATGCCGCACACACCTACTCCGTACGTGAGTGATTTTTATATCCAATTCTCCCCAGTCACCCATGGTATAAAATACACCTCCCGGTCGCTGCCTGCGCCGCGGCTGCCATGAAAAAGCAAGAAAACCAAAAAAAAAAAAAAAAAAAAAAAAAAAAAAATACCAAAAAGAAGAGACAAAAAACAAAAAGAAAGACAAAAAAAATACCACCACGTCCCACACTTGTCAAAACATAGAGACTAGATGAAATAAATGCACGCCGTCCTCCAACCGAGTCAATGCAGCCGGATCCGCATACGGCCCCCTTCCTCGCGGGCCTTGTCATTGCTTCAGAACAAAGAAACCGATACACTCATACGCCGTCCTCTATTCCCTCGTTTTCGTCGTCAGATATACTCCGTGTTTTCTCCCTCCACAACTACTTCGTCTTTTCTTTCTCTGAGCCATGTGTCCCGTCGTCGAGCCAACCAAGCATATACAAAAGGGACATTGTTGTGCCGCTCGTCAGGGCATGTGTACGTCGGAAAATAAGCGGCGCGCCGGCCAGAAAAGATGCAAAGAGGCTAAAGGAAAAGAAAAGGTGCCAAACCTTTGCGGAGCCACCTCCTCAATTCAGTTGCTCGGTATCACGTTTCAGGACGTTTCCCGTATTCCAACACTTCATTTCTCCAGACATTAGCTCCCGTGTCTCTGTCGAGATACTTTTTCCGTATATGCCACTGCATCGTTGCTAAATTATCCGAGGCCCCTTTGCTCCCAGAGCCAGCTGGATGTGCCGTCGCAATCATGTCGGGCCCCATCGAAGAACGTATGCTACCTGCTAAAGTTTATTACGGCAAGCTGTGCAACAACGTCAGCGTCATGTTCGTGGGCATGGGGTCAAGGGGTACCTCGCGAGAAGAGCTCACTCTACTGTTCGAGCCATATGCCAACTTTTGTCCGCTGACATCCCAGCACATGCAGTGCTCATCCTCCTCATCAGACTCCGAGCTACCATTCGGGCTGAGCCAGCCTGGATGCGGCGGTCGGTTCCAGCTTGCCCTCGGCATCGTGTGATTATCCACCTTCCATATTAATACTTGCCGCGACGTGGCACCGGCGATGAAGGCGCCATCCGGGGTAAAGGCCAGCCGCACGATTGGCGAGTCCATTGTCAGGAAACATTTTGCTTTGCTTTCGGGTTTCCTGGCATTCCATATTAAAATGGCGCAGTCGTCACCGCCGGTAGCAATCAGTCGCTCGTCGTCGGGAGTGGCTTGGCTGGGCGGCAAAGGTTGCCACGCCATGGTGGTGATGGCACCTTGATGGGCCGTAATGGATCGCCTTTGCCCCGACTCATCCCACAGCTACCATTGTGCAAGTCGTCAGCATCGTGCATGATACGTGTTTTCCGCGAGACAGCCTTCACCTACGTCAAGAGTACCCTTGTCACTCGACGTGGCAGCCAATTTTGACCGCCAGTCAAAGAGTACCTGGGTAAAGCTGTCATCCTCCTTGGCCTCGAATTTCCGCGCCTGAACAATGCCTGCAGCGGTGCAGTCAAGGCATAACAGCAAATCGCCGCCGCCCAACAAAAACTCGGCGTCGTTGGTCCAGGCTGCGTCTAGCGGCGTGGCCCCTATGTCGTGGCCGGGTAGGACATAGGTCAAGACGGTCGAGTGAGCGGATGAGTAGACGGTAAGGAGGGCGCCTCCCTTTTCTGGTGAGATGGCGAGCAGGGCGGTGTTGCTGGGGTTCCAGCTGAGCTTTATGACAGGCGGCTCCGACACGTCCATGGTCTGCATGTGGACGCCGCCGGCCGACCACACACTCACTGCCGCCGCCGACCCCGACTCCGTGGCGAGCGCAATGGCCGTGCCGTCGGACATCCATGACATGGCCGTGACGGTGGTTGTGCGCGGCGAGTCCGGATCGATCAGAGCCTTGGCCACGGGAGCCACGTGATCTCTGCCATCCTTGGCGTCGGTCGTCGCACCCGCGGAGGAGCGACAGATGGTCCAAACGCGGGCTAGCGCGTCGGTCCCAGCAGCCGCCAGCATTGATGGGTCGCGAGGGTTCCACTCGCACTGCAGCAACACAGGCGCATTCTCGGCGCCTACTGGAGAGGGCGAGGGCGAGGGCGTAGCTGTGGCTTCCGAGGCCTTGGGCGGAGGGCCCTCGTCGTTCAAGAGGCGGATAAAAGTGGTGTCTGGCGATAACTCCTCTACCTTGTCCACCTGCGTGCCCTGCTCCGGGCCATCGGTGTGGATGATGGGCGGGGGCAGCTGCTCCCCTTCCAGCGGCGACGGGTAGGCGTGGTTGTTGCTGGCGTCGTGTTGGCTGTCGTGAGAGTTGGACAAGGGAGTATGGAGAGGGGGAGGGTGAGGGTGAGGGTGAGGGTGCTGGTGATGGCCCGAATCAATGTCCATGGGCGTCGTGGCGGACGTGGTGGTTGTGGATGTCGTGGCAGCCGTGGCCGCGGGCGCGGATGCGGATGCGGATGCGGACGCGGATGCGTCTACGTAGCCGTTGCTCAGACGAGGTTTCTTTGCCGGCGAGCCATTCGGTAGCTGGGGCTGTTGCTGGATGGCCTTCCGTGATGCTTCTACGTCGCCGCCGACTGCAGCGCCCCCGCCTTCATCCGCCTTGGCCGGCTGCTGCGAGCTCAACGGTCCAAAGACGCCGTCCTGCAGCGACTCTACCTCCATCTCGGTCTCTGCACCGGCGGCATCGCGAGGCAGCTGCGATGAGGGCATCTAGTCAGTCAAAATCCCGTCTCGAACAAAAAAAGCCAGGCCATGCATCCGGGTGAGACGCCGTGGTTGTCCCGACCAGGCCGAGCGAGGGACGGGGACAAGAGAGAAGGCGAAAGGGGAAACAAGGGGACACGGCATACCTTGCCGAGTGCATATTCACGTTCAAGCGCATGATAGATCAATCCTCTGTTGACGATGGACACGAGTGCACGGCTCTTGACATGACGCGCAAAGGCAAAATCTCGGTGTGGCTCGTTTACGTGCCATTCCTTTTGGAACTTGGCGGCGGTTTCGCGATAGTCTGCAACAAGAGAAGAACCAGTGCGGTCAGTTAGATGCGATCTCCAGTAGCGAAAACGCCCGGTCTTCTACGCGTGGCTTTGCAGTTGCGAAGACGCCCAAAAAAAAAAAAGGCGTTGGTGCCACGTACCCCCTTCTAGCAAATACCTGCATAACAGATTTAAGTCAGCAAGCATGAAGAGAAAAAAAAAAGGGCAACCGGCAATCGACTGGGGAAAAGGGCGCCGGGGGCGGCGGCGGCGGCATCTCTCTCAACGTCAAAAAGCTGGCATGAGAAACAGAGCGGTAGCCACAGCCGGCAGAGGGGAGAAAGGAGCAAGAAAATAAAAAAACAAAACAAAACAGTGAAACTGGGGCACGTCACTCAGACGGTTCTCAATGCTGCAGCAGGGCGAGTCGAGGCACGGTGACAGACATCCCAAACGAACCTCCAGATTAGAAAGTTGACCCTGTCCGAGTCGAGAAATTCCTTGGCCACCATGGTTGAGGCGCGCGCCGCAACTGGCTGCAGAGTAGCGGGTGGCCGGGTCGTCCTCACAGAGGCAGGACACAGTCGTCGAGCGCGGATTTAGTACTTGTCGGTGTTGAGAAATGTCGTCGAGCAGCCGCCGGGGCAGGGGCGACGCACGGAAGAGCGTTGAACGGGGCAGACGAGGCAAAGGTGCGAATCGAAAATTGAGGGAGTGAGTGAGTGAGTGAAGATTGAAGAGCGAGATGAAATCCACATCTCTGGCACTGGAGCTGGCTCAGGCTGGGTGGCTCTGGGGCCAAGGTACCAGCAGCGCTACCGGGGACGGACGAGGTACTTACTTTGCCCCCAAGCACTTGCTCAGGTCCCTCCTCAATTCGTACTCAAGTACTTACTTAAGTACGGATTATGCAGGTGGTGTGTGTCCATGTCCCCTGGGCTTGCGTGCTCAAGTACCTTGGTACCTCGGTTCCCGGTCCGCAGAGGCAACTCCATTCTGGTTACGGAGTCCCCAAGTGCCTATTAGCTACTCCGTAGGTACCTCGGTACTTGATTCCTCAATTGACGTTGGTTGGCTCACTGATTACCAAGTACGTAGTGTAAGTACGGAGAGCGCAGCTTCTCTGGCAGGGCTTCCACTTTCAGCACCCAATGCCCCAACTCGTCGCACGCACCGAAGTCGACCCAAGAACAACTGACCGCTGACGGCCGGGTACCTGGAGACCTACTCACTTACCGACTTATAGGTTCCCTTCTAGCATCGTGAATGGATTACGGAGTAAAGGACGTGGTAGTACTCCGTATGTACGTCCGCCCACATGCAACCCCGAGTGTTGGCTGGCTTCATGATGCCGAGCCCGCACCCGCCAGCGTTGCTCACGTCTGCCTCAACTGGCTTCCTTGTGCGCGCGCGTCTTTCTTCTGAACTGTTAAGCTCTCGGGTGTTCGACCGTTGTTTGCGGCCCCCTCCTCTCCGTACTCCGTGCTCCGTATCGAGCACCAGCCCAGCCCAGCCCAGCCGGCAAGGCAAGGCGAGGCAAGGCAAGGCGAGGCGAGGCAAGGCGAGAGCACCTGTGGCACTCTCATGACCCTGGGCAGCACCCACAAATATGTACTTACGTACATACCATACCTGGTGCATAGAGGTGCCCAGGTATTCCCTAGGCTCTGTCCTGTCTCTGTCTCTGTCTCTGTCTCTTGTCACTCCCGCCTGGGCTGCGCAAGGGTGCGTGTTCGTGCGTGTGGGTAAACATGGGTTTATTAGAGCATTACTCCGTACCATGGGGGGGTGGGGGCGTGTTCCCAAGGTCTCACGGATTTCGAGGCTTAATAAATGTGGGTTTCGCTCTACGTCTTGATCAAGTGCTACTGTACGGGCGTACTCCGTACGGAGGGGAAAAAAAGCAACTTGCATCGTCGACGCCTCTGGTCTGCAGCTTGCACCAAACGCAGCATTGAGTCCTGCTGTCCCCTTCACCCATGGTCATCCGGAGGCAATCAATACCGCTCTGGCCGCTAGTCCTTGACAATGAACACAATGTCCATGTAGGGGAAACACCAGCATTGGGGAGCCTTTGCCTTTCGCCTGGCTGTTTCGCTTCGTTTCAAAGACTATCGTCTCGGTCTTGTCCATCCTGTAATGCGTCTTCCCCTCCGATATCCGATATTGTCCGCTTCACACTCCTTCTCCTCATCTTGGCGAAAAATGTCGACGGGCGTCTTTCGCCTAAAACCGTCCCTGCATTGTTCCTCGTTCTGGACGGGGATTCCATGTGACCGGGGCATCCAAGCCGAGTGGGTCTTGTGCTCGCATGTACGTACTCCGTTTTGACGTGGTCTTCGAAAATGATGGTGCTCCATGCTAGTAATAGGATACAATACAACCAAGGCTACTAGGCAGAAAAGAGTCCGTCGTTAATAATGATGGACGGGAATGGAATGGTCATGTGGCTTCTGGTTTTGTTTTGTCCTTCAAACATGATTGATCCTTGGCATCGGCGTCTGTTCCCTTGGGGTTAGTTGCTCGTTCGTGTATGTATGGTAGGTATACTGACTTGTTCCTTGGTCGCACCATCAACTGCAGACATGGGACAAATCTGTGCGTGGCAGGGAGACTTCTAAAGCAAACGCAAACAATCAAACGCGGATCTTGTGCTGGCGCGCTGCCGTCAGCCTTTGCCTTGCATGCTACTCCGTCGTACTCTTGTACCAACAAGCCTGCTTGCATATAGGGCCCGGGGCTGAAGGGTGACGGGCCCTCGATTGATTTGAAAGTGGAAACCGCTCGTGCCAGGGTTTCTTGGTCCTCCCGTGGTGAGTGGCGCTGGATGCAGCAATCAGAACCAGATGCTGGGTCGGCCCAGCGCAGTCCACTGTATGATGTGTTGAACTGTCGAACTAGCGAACTAGGCGCCACCAAGTGAAAGCTGATCATCTTCAACATCTGTAGTCATAGCGGTAGCACCGAGCATGGTCTGCACTAGAATTTGGGACGCCTCATTTGGAGAGCAGGGCGTCATGAGTCAGCAGCCGTTGCTTGTGACCAAACAGCCATCGTACAGTACGCCTCGTCTTCGTGGCTCGTGGCTCCGTTCAGATGCCAACCGGCATTCGTCCCATCATTGAAACATAATAGTACTATAACTTATAAGTACTGCTCCATACCGAGTACTTCGTAATGGTTGATACTAATAACTAACCTCGCGAAGTACCCGTTCTTCCGAGGTCCAGGCACTGGTCAGCTTTGGTAATTCCTGCTTAAGCATATTTATGCAAGCTCAAAACTCACCGCGGTATCGATAGTTCGAGACGCGTCTGCGATATGCCTCGGGCACGACGATAAGAACCAGGACGGCAGCTGCAACTCTCACCTTCATCTTGAAGCTCGTGGTGTGCTTATGCCCCAAAACGTTTGCTGAAGGCGGGCTCCATGTTGCTCAGGAATCTGAGACTGCGAATAAGGTAGAGGAGATGCCAAATGCCAAAAGGCAAAGGGGAACTATGCACCTATGACCCATGGCGGGCTAAAATTTCCCCCACCGTGCCTGCCTCTCCTGCAATACGGAGCGCAAATAATCACGTAATCCTAATCGGTACGTACTCGGTACGTACTCCCGAGGCAAAACCCCAACGCGCCCATCCTCCCGCCATCACCCGTCCACGATGTCTTTCCGACAGCTGGGGGCGATTTGAGAGACAGTTTCGCGGCGATGTAACAACGTTGCAGCGGCATCAGTCCAGTCCAGTCGTGCAGTTTCTAAGCGGCAATTCCCGTACCAAGGCACACCACGGTCGGCCAGCCATCGCTCGGCACGGCTCTCAATGAAACCCTCAACAAAAATTATGCCTGGCCAGAACTCTCACAAGGCTGGATGCGAATTGCGTCTCGCTTGCAGGGATTGCAGGACAGCCCATGACAGATTCGCCCGAAATATCGTCGCCCGCAGGTGAAAGACAAGAGTTGAAGTCTGCTTGGCTAGTGAGAGGGCCACCTTCGGCCACTTCTGGAGGGAGCATCATGCTGTACCTGTCGTGGGGTGCGCATGTCGACAAAACTGGACACACCGAAACATCCAGAGCAGGGAACAGGTCCAAATACGCCACGCGGCTGTTCATGACAAGTCCATCTCATGCTCTTCTTCAAGCAAACAAGCAAGCAAGTACATACCAACGCAAAGACAGCCCTGATAAAGACTCGAGAAGGCAAAGGCGCATAATCCACGGGGCCATGTATACTTTCCGGTTCTGTAGGCTCCCTAACTCAGCCCTCTGCGCCAGTTCTTGAGTATAAGCTTTGAGAGACTACGGATACTGTCGTGAAAATGGAGGTCGACGACGGCAGGTCCTGCCCATAAATACTCGGCTGTCCAGGGAAGAAAATTGCAGTAGCCTCCATATGCGCACAACCCGAGCCACAACGCGCAAGTTCTGTTCTATATATCACCTTGCCCAAAACGTCCAGCTTGGGCTCGAAGAAGATGGAAATCAAGAAGAATAAGTCCCCGGCGACATCGATCTCCATCGAACAGTGCGGTGAACTCAGATGTCTCAGTACGTCTCAGCCCCCCGGTAGCGAGTAGACTGGCGGATAACACCGCGGATAGCACAGCCATGTACGGAGTAGTCGTTGGTCATTCAACACCTCGAAATTTCAGAATTCGAAGACCGACTATGAAAAGCTTGACATCCCCCCATGATCACCGCAATCGGCAACAGGGTAAGCAATAGTCGTAGAACAGTTCACGCCTGGTCAGTGTTGGCCCTTGGTCTCATTCTTGGCAATGTGTAGCTGGTAGTAGTAGCATTGAGACCATTGCGTCACCAAGCTGAGAACCGTGAGAATCTGAGGCTGTATACGCTGTGCCATGTTTAACATCTGGACATCATTGTATACTCAAGGAACGCCGGCCCATGCCAACAACATCATCTTCGTCGACTGAAGACCAGTCGCACTGTCGTCCGTTGGTTGACCTTTGATCTCAGCATTTACTGAACAGACCAAGAAACGTGCAGGGCGCGTTATTGATAGGCTGGCTTCTGCAAGCCACATTTTGACAACGTTGACGGGGCACTTACAGCTCCAGGTGTGCCAAGCACGGGGACGTCCATGTTTAAGTTAACGGAGTGTGAAGAAGAAGAACATAGCAAATCGTTGCAGCGTTACATTTTTCGTTGCGAGGGTGTTCCTTCAATGTCATGATGTCGCGCCTCGTGGGTGGATCTTTCCGAGCCTTCGCAAGATGCAGCCCATCTAATGAAACACGGGCCTGGACGGATTTAAAAGAGGCAGGTTGAAATAGAGAAATGGAAGCGAATGTAACGTGAGAGAGAACGGTTTTGACAAAGTGTCACTACAAAAACATGTTGTCACAGGACATCTACGCATCTCGTTTCTCGAATTTCGTCGACCGAAGCAGCCACAATGCCGTTTCTGCCTGAGGCCATAACGCCCCATTACCAGCCACGTCACACCCAACCCCGTAAGGCACGTGTTGTCGCCCGCAACCAACTTCCAAATGGTCCTCAGCCAGACAACGATACCATTTTCCCTCGCAGCCTGCGGCCAGCTGACAGCGCGCACCCGCGACAACCACATCGCTGAGCGCACCTTCTTCTCATGAAGATATAAAAAGAGCCAGGGACGCCCTCCCAGTCTCTCTCCAACCCCCTTCACGCCCGTCATGCCTCCAAGACTAAATATCCCACCCGTCACCCGCGCCACCCTGATAGCTCTGCTATCACAGTCCGTCCTCAGCGCAGCAATCCGATATCGACAATGGACTGAAGACTCGCGCATCGTCATCCCGTACCTGACGTTGGTGCCGCAGCTGTCGCTCGTCTACCCTTGGACGTTTCTGTCGTCGGCATTGGTGGAAAGTAACGTCTTCACCTTGGCCATCTCCGGGTTGACACTGTACCATGGAGGGCGGTATCTGGAACGAGCTTGGTCCTCGGCTGACTTGGCAAAGTTTTTGGCCTTGGTGACGCTTGTCCCGAACTTTTTGACTTTTTTGGTCATGGTGCTCTTCTTCACCCTTACTCGTGATGAGAGCTGGACGTACGTGTAGTCCCCCGTTTCCTTGAGCCAATCTTCGCAGAGGGTCGCAGAAGCTAACCCGTTATTTCGTACAGCCTGACGGCCATTTCTGGCGGTATTTCTATCCAAGTCGCCTTCCTCGTCGCATTCAGCCAGCTCATCCCCGCGCACACCGTTACCCTCTTCCGTGGCATCGTCTCCTTCAAAGTGCCCCGTTTCCCTCTGCTCTACATCGGCATGGTAACAGTACTGTCTCTGACGCCTCTTCTCTCGAGAGCAGCCCTGTGGCAAGCCAGCTTTGGCTTTCTCACAAGCTGGACATACCTTCGGTTCTACAAAAAGGTGTTTCCCGATCTGGACTCGTCTCAGCCTGCGTCCCTGCGTGGCGACGCCAGTGAAACGTTTGCATTCGCCGAGTTCTTTCCAGGGCCTGCCAAACCGCTTGTCGCGGCCGTATCTGACCAGATTTTCGGCGTCCTCGTCGCGATGCGCGTGTGCACACCCTTTCCACACGCAGAAGTGTCCGCTCGAGGCGATCGCGCCATGCAGAGGGGCACCCCAGGTACGGCACGCGCCGAAGCTGAGCGCCGAAGAGCCATTGCACTGAAGGCTCTTGACCAAAGACTGAGCGCGGCTGCTTCACGGGCTCCTGCTCCCCCGCAGCCTTCTGGGCCACCCATTCAGACACAACCACAGCCGAGCGCTCATACAGCCATGGCATCGCAACCTGGTTCTGTTCTAGGGGAGACTAAATTCGAGCCGGAGCACGATGATGGATCAAGCAGCAAAGTCTGAACCGAAGATCACTGGACACACAGAGTGTCTGCTACGGTATGGGATATGATGTTGTTAGAGGGTGGATGGTTCATTTTATAGCGTCCGACAGAGATACCACGGTCTCGGCAGGGCGGTGTTGGGGAGGCTTGGGGTGTTTTTATCTCTGACTTTTTACTTGTCTATTTTTCTGATAGTGGTACTCCGTATGAGGGATTCCTTTGTCATGTGTCTCTTAATGCATAGCAATAAAGCGATATTGATGCATCCCATCCAATGTCTGCTTTCTGTCTCGACTGACAGACAACGCAGCTGATCATGGCCTATCAAGCTGTGATGCTTAGCTAGCCCGAGTCACGTCTGTATCAGTGTCAGTTGGCCGTCCTGAAACGGAAGACACGTGCACGGCCGCTCGACCTCGCCTGCGCATTCCCATGTACTTCTAAAAAATAAAATAATAAATAAATAAATAAATAAAATCAACAAAACGGCAGCCCAACCGTATCAGGACCCTGTTGCAACGCATGCGGAAACACTGCGAGCGCGTTGCTATAAAAAGCAATGTTGGTTTTAGGGTAGCCAGAATGCGCAACGTCATCCTCGTCCCGCCAGGTACCGTGCACCGCCTATAAACAGCCCGCCGGCCTTTCCAAGGTAGAGTACCAAGGTACCAACCTGGAGCCCAGGACCAGGCGTCAGGAGCTGCGGGCCATTCGTCCGGATTTAGGTTACCGATTGACAGATGGCGTTGGGAGCTGTCTGTCAGCTGGCGATTGCGATTTGGCATGATTGGTGGCCCCCATACTCCGTACGTACGGAGTACAACAAATGCCGTAAGCGATCTTACGGCTTCGGCAACTGTGGCTTTTTCCCTCGTCTTTTTTTCTGTTCTGCTTTCCTTTTCATCGCCACTGCGGTTATAGCGAAGATTTAATCTACCGAAAACTCAATGTGTATACGTATGCATCCTCGGATTAAAGGAGAGTCTTATAATGTGCCTCTTCTTACAGCGGAGCAAGGTATCTACTTAGCGCCGGCGGAGGGAGTTTAACACCCCGACGTGTTAGGGTATACTTGGGGACGGGTCGTTGGAAAATCGTGGGGTTACTACAGACGAGACAAGGGGTGAAACCTGGCTCTCGCAGCAGCCTTTGCCGGAGTCATGATGCTCTGCATGGATTGCGGAAGGCTTGCCTGGGTTCCGGACCCAGGTGCAGGACGGAGGACAGGCTATTTAATACATTTGAGGCTGAGGCGATGATGTTTCCCTTCTTCCCTCTTTCCATGTTTCCACAGAGCTAGCGAGCCAGCAAGCCCTAATGGATGGGAGAGTCGTCAAGAAACGTGCTGTATAAGTACTCAATGTAACATGATTGGGAAAAAAGGGTGCCCACATGTGGCGCTCTGTGCGACGGAACGAGCAAAGCGCATGAATCTTGTCGTGGCAGAGCTACGCTGTGAGTTCTCGCGCGGCTGCGGGAGCATCATGGTGTGCCAGCCCTACTCTGCGAGGAGGCGGCACATCAACTACCGACTCTTTCGGTATGAATAGACTTGGCTTGGCCTTGACCCCGTCAGCCGAGTTGCAAATCATCACGTCTTGTGTCGCCAGCCCTGGAAGGAAGATTGGGGTCTTGAGCCCACGGGCCGGGGTGATAGTCGGGAACGGTGACGGCGACGACGACCGAATCACCAGCCATGATGACGACCAGGTCCGTTGGCGGGCTGGAACAGGACAGGAGGATGTGACTGTGGAACTAGGCACGTCAGCGAGTGCTACATTAGGCAAAAGGTCATGGGGGTGCTACGGAGTCGGTGTTCCCTCAATCTGTGTGTTCTGTCGGACGAGGAGGGCAGGGAAAAGGCGAAAAAAAAGAAAAAAAGACGAAGAGACGAAAGGAAAAAAAAAACAGAGCCGCCTGGCGGGGACGACTCTGGAGACGCACCGAATGGGCCGAGTACCCCTTGCAAACTTTGGCCCAGGAAAATATCAGCATGAATGCAATTGTCACTGTATCTTGTTGCTCATCAAGTCGCACGCAAGCTAGGCACGCACGCACTCTGATACGGAGTACATTTCTCACAATCACGAGCGGCGGGGCTGCAGTTTGTGTGGAGACGAACATGAGCTCATCCGGACTTGCGGTGCGAAAAGGTGCCAAAAGGGCGTGCAACTCTGCTCGTAATGAAACCAGACCGGCTCAAGGCTTTGGCGTTTTTGGCGTTTTTGGCTTTGGCATCTGCCTTGAGTAGACGGGCAGAAGGGGCCGAGAGGGCGTGGGCTTTGTTGAATGTTGGATCATCGAAAGGACGGGGAACGGGGAACGGAGAACGGGGAACGGGGTGTGGGGACAAAAAGGAGGCGTGTGGCGGCACGTCAGCGAGTTCGGCAGGTTGCAATGTAATGCTCCTTTGGGGGCTTTTTGAGCCCCAGAGCGTCAACCGGTCCCAACTGCCAGTGCGTCCAACAAGCCGCTGCTGACTCCACATGTTTAGATGTTGCCTGTCCGTCGTCGACAAAGTACAAGTGTTGAGCGCCGAAATACATACCTCCCTCAATGGCTCAATGGCTGGGCGCCCCCAAACATTACCAGCTCCAGAGATCACAGGCGAGCAGCCGCCTACTCGCAGCAACACCGCTCATGACCTCGTCGATGCCAACGTGTCGACATTCTCCTATTACTTTCTCCGCATTCTGCTGCAGCACCAAGGGTGGAATATTTCTAGTCGCCGCCACGACCCTCGCCTCGCTTTTAGCCCCCCCCCCCCGACCACAATCGATCCCGACAGAAGCATGGAGCGTGGAGGGAGCTTGGAGCACGGAGTAGGGCAACAGTGCCAGCAGTCTGAGCGTTTTCGGGCATCACATCCAGAGGAGAGGATGAGAGAGTGTCATGTACCACCTCCAGGCTCCAGGCTCCAAGCTCCCTACTCCGTACTCAGCCGCCAGTAGTACTGTGTGTCTGCATGCCCTGCACACACACACACACGCACACACGCGCACACGCGCACACACACACACACACCAGCCTGCATCACTACTAGGACATGGGCTTCCCTGCGGCTGGGGAAAGTCCCTTGGCTGAACGCCATCTGTGCCATGCTGGCTATGTTTGGACATTGGCTGGCGGGAGCAAGTTGTTGGTGAACAAGCCACCTCGGGGCGCGCGCGTACCATGGCTTGAGTCTGGAATCTGGATCACTATCCATCCATTACGGAGAAAACGTGGCGAGTCGCAAGAATGATGATCATTTTCGGCCTGGCCAGCTTGGGGACCTTTCAAGGGGAATTTGACGCCAGAGGGCAATCGCGGCCCCATGTCCACCCAAGCGTTGTTTTATCGTCTCAACACCACCACATGCCGTCGGGTCACGACATGTCGCTGTGTTCAACTCATTGTAACCAACCCTGGTCTGGTACTTTGCCTTCGTTGACCCGATCACGACCATGTGGCGCCTACGAAAACCAGATGGGACCCCGATCCCGCGATAGTTGCAACTGCTCTGCCTGGCAAAAAGTTACAATTCAACGTTGCAAAACTTGCCTCGAAACCTTGTTTTAGCGCGGGCACCCTGCAATGACACAGGGCAAGGCACCGCACAGTAGACCTTGTTGACGGTCGCTGTCCTTGAGCCTCTGGTGGTGTTGGCAGCAAGGCAGCCTCCTCTCGTCGGTCGCTGCCAAGCTTGGCTCAGGACGCAATACTCCGTACTCATCCGTGTATTAGTTACTCAGTGTACAATTCCCAAGTCGTCACCGGGATTTGCTGACCCAACATGACTCTGGCTCCACGATAACGATACCCGCAACGACACGGCAAAATCCTCGGGAGATGTGTTTATGGAGCATTACGGGGCCCAAAATCATACCGTGCAAACCAAACCAGTACATCCTTCGGAGCAGTACGTCCATTCTCTTTTCTTCGGCGGTATCTGGCTTTTCGCCTCGTAACCGGGTGGTGGAATCGGCCGTAATATTGGCATGGCTAGATCGTTTGGCCTCAAGACGAAGATGGCTGTCTGTGGCTCCTCTATGACGATGGCAACAGTGATGGAAAAAGGCCGACATCACGGAGTCACAGACCAAGACCACAGTGCGACAACAACTCATTGTGCAGCCCAGCCATGTTGGCCAGCTCTTCCAGAAACATTCAAACACGTGCCCTGCATCTCATGCACCGTGGTGCGAGTATGCCACCTCTCTGGAAAAATTCTACTGACGCAGCTCCACGGCCGAGTTCCAACATTTGCTCGTCGGGGTGCAATAATCGGCAACTCTATTTTCTGGAGCTCATGACTCCTGCAAGCTCGGATACTAGCTTTGGTGGTTGTTGGTTCGCAAGTGCGAAAAAGACTCGTTACTAGGTTGACAAGTGTTCACACTAGTTTGTTTTCCGCCAAGCATAGCAGCATGTGTGCATTTTCCTTGCTGTCGACTTGTTTCGCTTTACTGAGTAGGTAGTGGTAGGCCTCGCCTGTTTCGTTTTTTTTTTCATGCTGGGCTGCGACAACGGCTCGTCTCCCTAGTCGACACGGATCTTATGGTTTCAGCCCGCCCCCAGCAGATCACAGGTTTGTGTCGGTAGCGGGGGAGGAAAACGGCCTAGCTCGGAAATCTTGGAGGCAGATCAGACACGAGCCAATATCGTGACTCGTGCAGCCAGAACCGACGGGCTCGACGATACCCTCCTCGGCGCTCGCACATGAGATCGCGCGTGGCATGGGGCTTCTGGTTACGTTCGCGCACAGTTGGATTTTCATTCTGGTCCGTCTTGGGAGGTGACTAGAATGATGGTCTGATGATGCACATGCCAAATAGTCTCGTGTATTAGAGAAGCTCCTCCGCCTGAACCCTGCCTAGGCCAAGGTACGGACGGAAGGCTTATCCATCTCTGACGGGACACGGGTGACGGGCCGAGGGCTACAATTGTTGCGTCACGTGCGTTGGCTATCCACTTTGTTCCCAAAACCGAACTGACAATTTCCCAACCATGCTTTTGCGTATAAGTAACGAGTACGTAGTAGAAGGAAGAAGAAGGAAAAATAAAAATAAAAATAAGAGAAGAAAATGCAACCCCGGAATTGCTGCTTCTGCAACCACACACCAGGTGCCATGGCCTGGACTGGCGGACGTTGCTGTCTCGCAAAAGGGTTTATTTCTGGCTCGTGTGTTTCGCCATTCGTCTGCCAAGTGACTTCCCACTACAAACGTCAACTGATGTGTATTTCGTGCGTGCAAAAGACGATCAAGGCGAGGTTGGTCTTGGCGTGAGTGGCTTGATGTAGGTTCAGTCTTGGAGTGGCTAGGCACGGAGTACAGAGCGCGCCGTTGTCTGTGTAGAGAGACGTGCATATGGGATTGGCTTAGTACTACCGGTAGGGGCAGCCATGGCGATGGGCCGATGGCGATGGCGATGGCGATGGCAACGGCGGCGGTCAGCCTCAGGCTTTGTCAGCGCTTCCAGTGATAGCAATGAACAAGTTACTCCATCAAAAAGCCTTGTTCCGTCAACCCCGGAAGCAGGGAAGACTGAACGGTGGTGTTGGGCCACAAGTCAGGCCAGGACAAGACGAGACATCCACGCAAGGCCAGGCCAGGCAAGGACAGGGCTCTGACTGAGCCCCCCACTGTGAAGGGTGCACTCCGTTTGGCACTCCGCGTAAAGGTGTGGGCGATGGGAATCGCGCAAGCGTGGCCAAGGTGTGTTGTGCGAGGGGTGAGGGCTGCAGGAGGCGTGCGGCATGTATGCGGCATGCGGCATGCGGTATGCAGCGTGCGGCGTGGGCTCTGCCTCAACGTCAGTATGTGCTGCGTGCTGCGTGCTGCGTGCTGCAATGCCGTATGCCGTGTTCCCAGGTGCTGGTGCTGGTGCTGGTGCCGGTGCTGGCTGTGTGCTCAGGTGCTGGCTGCGTGCTCCGGCTACGTCAACTGGTACCGAGGTACGGGGTAGATGCCCAATGTTTACTGTTGCGCCAATACGGACGGAGTACTTGTCTGGTGCACGTCGTGCAGCCGCTGGCCAGGCCCAGCTGGAGCTGCTCGGTCGTGTCTGGCGTTACGGCCACCAGACACTCCAGCGCTCGATGCACCGGACTTCGATGCCCAGGACGCACGAGGCAGCTGGCACTGGACATGGACGCTTGAAGCAGTCTGGTCGAGGCACGTCGACGCTGGGCAACTGCTTGCCAGATGTATGTGCCAGATCCAAGCACGGAGCACTACTACTAGTATGCGCCGTAAATCAGGATCCGTGGCCCGCATTCCGAGTCCTGTACGTTGAAACTACGAGGTCCAAGTACTTACCAAGTACCTTGGTTGTTTGGCAGCGCCTAGCCCTTCGCCCTGGACTGTCTAAGTACTTAAAGTACCTACTGTAGGTACCTACCTAGGTAGGTAGGTAAGTAGGCGCTGGGTGTCTGGGCCGTCTCCAAAGCCCGCCATGGCATTTGCCAGTTGCCAGTTGCCAGTTGCCAGCCTGCCCCGCGCCTGCCCGCCCTGTCCGCCTGCCCGCCCGCCTCTCCACGCCCCTACTATATACATAGTACTGCGTGCCTGCTAGCCCTCCGTATTAACTCTTCATATTACCATGTACCCACGCCAAACCCGCCGCCAGCCAGATGCAGACTGCATGGGTGGCCCCGCTCGCTTCGCCACGGCACGCCGGCGTGGGTCTAGCGCCAGTGCGCCCGTTCCCTCCCATTTTCATGGGTAAGGTGAGTTTGACAGCCAGCTGTGCAGGTCCTTCCTCCACCAACCCAACAGCCTCTTCCCAATTGTTCGTCTTCCCTTCCTCCTCTTCCCCCAAAGTGTCGTCAATCTGGATACGGGCTTCGCTGGACCAGGACATCATTGAGTCCTTTTTCCATCTCGGGCCAGATCGTCTCTGACGCTCCCAATCTCCTTTGTCGCTCCCCTGTGGCACCGACCGAGTGCTCTGCCGCCGTTCCTTCTGCCCTGACGACTTGTTTGGGGGGTTCCAGCTCGTGCCGAAAATCGTGGGCTCAACCCAGTCCATGCGCTAGGTGTTGAACTTGATCACGGGTTCTCCACCCCAATATCCCATCGCGCATCGTGCACTACAAAGCCTCCTTTGGCTTCTTGCGAGCGACCTGGACCTTCTTTCTGCGTAACCATCGCCGCTACATCCCTACGTCTTGCACGGCCTGGCTGTCGCTGTGTAGCGCCAAGCCGGCATCGTCAAATCTTGACACGCGGTCGCCATGGCCAACCATCACCCATCGCCCACAATGATGCAGCTGCAGCAGCAACAGCAGCAGCACCAGGCCCCCGTGGCACCGCCTCAGAGCGTCCCCCCGGGTCACTTTGCGCCGTCGCATCAGATTGCTGCTATGAACGAGGCTGTCTGGCTGCAAATTGGTAGGTTTTGTCTCTTGGGCCTCCTGAGGGATGCCGCGCCAACCTTGGTGGCGACCAGGCGGGCTGACAACCGATGCAGGAAGTTTCTCAGAGTTGCTGCGCGTTCCGGACGAGGCCATGCATGCCTACGAGCGAGCCCTGCAAGCCAACCCAAACTCAACGGCCGCCATGAATGCCATCGGCATGCTTCTCAAGGGTCGCGAGGCCTTTGACAAGGCTCTCGAGTTCTTCCGCGCCATTGTGCAGCTGGAACAGAACAATGGCGAAGCTTGGGGCAATTTGGGTACGTCGTTTGCGTCTTGTCGGATGCATTTCGTCTAGATTGCGCTAACATTGTGCACATTGTGCCGTTAGGCCACTGTTACCTTATGACGGAAAACCTGCAAAAAGCCTATGACGCCTATCAGCAAGCCTTGGTCAATCTTCGGGATCCAAAGGTTAGTTTTTCTTCTTCTTTTCTGCTCTTCTAAGCGGAATCACAGCGGCCCGCAACAGCTGTTCTGATATTTGTGACGCAGGACCCTATGCTTTGGTACGGTATCGGTATCCTCTATGACCGCTACGGCAGCTTTGAATACGCCGAAGAGGCCTTTTCCCAGGTTATGCAGATCCAGCCCGATTTTGAAAAGGCCAATGAGATTTACTTTCGCCTTGGTATCATATACAAGCAGCAGTCAAAATTCAACCAGAGTCTGGAGGTATGTGGCTGACCATTGTGGTCAAGACATCATTTCCACTTTGCTAACATGGCTGTGTCAAACAGTGCTTCAAGTACATTGTCAATTCGCCTCCCGGTCCTTTGACTCAGGAAGACATCTGGTTCCAGATTGGCCATGTCCATGAGCAACAGAAAGACGTACGTGTCGGTTTTCCTGCTAACTGTCCACCGACTGATTGACCACTGACATGGCTCCAGTTTGAAAACGCCAAGGCGGCATATCTGCGCGTCCTCGAACACTCTCCCAATCATGCCAAGGTCCTCCAGCAACTTGGATGGCTTCACCACCAGCACAGCAGCGCCTATGAAACCCAAGACCGGGCTATCCAGTACCTGGAGAAGTCGGTTTCAGCTGGTACGACTTGTGCGTCCCCATGACATGGGCCGGTGACATTTGCTAACATCGCATTGCAGATAATCAGGATGCTCAAAGCTGGTACCTCTTGGGTCGTTGCTACATGGCCCAGCAAAAGTACCCCAAGGCCTACGAGGCTTACCAGCAGGCCGTGTATCGTGATGGAAAGAATCCGACTTTTTGGTGCTCCATTGGTGTGCTGTATTACCAGATCAATCAGTACCGCGACGCGCTCGACGCGTACTCTCGTGCCATTCGCCTCAACCCTTATATTTCTGAAGTGTGGTATGATCTTGGCACTCTGGTATGTTGTTTCTGACGTGTTTATCCCCCCCTGCTTTGTCCCCCAATCGTAGCTGACCCGTCCCAGTACGAATCTTGCAACAACCAAATCGCCGACGCTCTGGATGCCTATCAAAGAGCCGCGGAGCTCGACCCTGGCAATCCACACATCAAAGCCCGCTTACAGCTCCTTCGTTCCGGCGGCAGCAACGGCAGCGGGCAGGCTCCCGCACCACAACCGGCCGACGTGCACCCTCAGGCGTACCAAGCCGCCGGTCCGTCTGGCCCAGTAGGGCCGCAATGGGGTGGTTCGGCACAACAGCCTCCTGCCGGCGGCCCTCCCCCAGCTCCGGCAGGTGCTGGTGATAACTGGGCTGGCAGACTCTCCAACGTCAACCCACCACCGCAGCCCCCAAATCCATACGACAACCGAGGAGAGCCTTTCAGAGGGCCTCCTCCACCGCCTCAGCGCCAGCCCAGTCCCCAGCAGGAACAGCAGATGCGACAAGCAGGATACTCTGAGCCTCGAGGTGCTCCTCCTCCCGGTCCATCTCGTCGCGGGCCCTCGCCCGCACCTGCTGGCCATCAGTACGGACAGCCTCCTCCACCTCCACCTCCATCTCAGGGCCCAAACCCGTCAGATCGACGAGTCACCAATCCTAACTGGGGAGGCCCTCCCCCGTCATCGGCGGGTCCTCCATCAAACAGTGCCAATGGAGGGAATGGACCCTCCAACGGTGCCGCTTCTTTCAGGCCGACCAGCAGTCCCCGAGGTGACGTTAGGCCTCATGACAATCGAATGCCATCTCCCAAGTCGGCTTACCCCCAGCACCCTGCGGCTTCAAGCTATCCTCATCATCCCGAAGGGCCCCCTCCAAGTGCTTCTGAAAATGGCCCTCCTCCCGGCGCTGGCCCTGATACTGCTGTCCAGCGTCCTGACGACCGTCCTCCATCCGTCGGACCCAAGCGCATGCGTGAGTGGGAAGAAGAGTCTGTTGCCAAGAAACAGGCCAACGAGGAGAATCGCGCTCGTCTGGATGACATGAGACACCGGCGACCCTCAACCCCTCCTCGCGACGCCTACAGACGCAATTCCAACGAGGCCCGCCGCTCGGACGAACAGCGCCGCCCAGATGAGCCTAAGAAGGAGGAGTCTCGCTCTCAGAGTGAAAGCTATCACCCTTCTGAAGCTGCTCACCATCCCCAGAACCACTCCATTAGTTCAAACCAGCTACCACCTATGCAATCAGGCAACATGCCTCCCAGCGGTCCTCAAGATAAGACACAGTCTGGGCCAACTTCCAAGGAGGAACGACCAGCTCCAGAACAAGCTCCGCCCGCTGTTGCCTCCATCTCTGCGGAATCAGAGCGAGCCGCGAGAAAGATGGATGTCGATGAAGACTACGACGACAACCCTGAAGAGGACAAGAAGACGGGCATCCTCTCTAACGGATCTGGTCCTACGTCAGGATCTGGCGATGCCAAGACAACGTCCCCCGCGCGTGCAGGTATGAACGGTACATCCGGCACCGCAACTAAAACGGAGTAAAGTGTGATTTTTTCCCCTGGTATTTTCTGTTTGGGGCGGCTCAAGAGTATTTTTTAACGAGCTCTCTGAAAGTTATGCGGCAAATTCGTTCCATGTTCTTTTTTTTTCTTTTTCTTTTTTGCGAAGTGTATACCACCGGGGACTATCCGGACCTGTTTTTGTTCTTTTTCTTTTGTCTCTGGGGGATGCTTGGGGTTTGAACAGGCAATGGTGGACGGGTGCAGCGGGATTTTTATGTTTTTTTCTTGGCTACGAAAAGTCACAAGCGAACGATATCGGTACTATAAGTAGCCTGCCAAAGTAAGTAGTAGTTTTCCGCATTGTGAATCAAATTGATGGTTTATAAACACGCAACTGGATTCTTGACGATGCCAATGTGACGTTGCGTGGCAGCTGTTCATTGGTGGCACTGTGTCCGTGGGGCCGGATCGCGCTGGTGGCAAGCCTGGATGGTCACGTGAAAGTAATGCATCTCTTAAAGAAATAATTGCGGGCTGGTCGACAGCCCTGGTGGAGACGAAGCCAAGGAACCCCAATAGGATTAGCGAAAGATGCACGAGCCACAACTCGCACACTGGGTCGAGCCGCTCGCTTAAAATTTCGCCCACCAGTTTAATAGAAAATCTCTCCTGGTATTTGGTCCTTATCTGGTCACCCAGGCTTCATCAACTTCTTTACTGACCCAAACCACACCCAGCCCGCCAAGATGAGTGTAAGATGCCCACGACAACGACAAGAAAAGAACAGAAAAGCAGCATGCATTCCATCAATCGATAGACAATTGCTGATTTTCCTCTGTTTGTATAGCACCGCAAGTTCGAGGCTCCACGACACGGCTCTCTGGCTTTCTTGCCCAGGAAGCGTGCTGCCCGTCACCGGGGCAAGGTCAAGTCGTGAGTTTTCTCCCTCTAGTCTCCGGATGCGCGAGTATCCGGTCCTTGTCCTCCTTTTTCCTTCTTTGTTTCTATCTTCGGTCCCTCTGAGGATTACCCAACAAACCTGTCGAAACCCCCCCCGCCATTCAAAGTCGAACCACGGAATTCATTCGCTAACCAATCGCCATCACTATTCGACAGCTTCCCCAAGGATGATCCCAAGAAGCCAGTGCACTTGACGGCCGCCATGGGCTACAAGGCCGGCATGACGACAATCGTCCGTGACCTCGACCGACCCGGCGCGAAAGCCAACAAGAAGGAGGTCGTGGAGGCCGTCACGGTCGTCGATACACCACCAGTACGAACAACTCAGCCCGCTTGGCAGTTCAGCCTATGGCTAACATCTTTTTCTCACCATCTAGATGATTGTTGTTGGTCTCGTCGGTTACATCGAAACGCCGCGCGGATTGCGCTCCCTCACCACCGTGTGGGCTGAGCACCTGTCGGACGAGATCAAGCGCCGCTTTTACAAGAACTGGTACAAGAGCAAGAAGAAGGCCTTCACCAAGTACGCCAAGAAGCACAGCGAGTCGAGCGGCGCCAGCATCGCCCGCGAGCTCGAGCGCATCAAGAAGTACTGCACCGTCGTGCGCGTCCTCGCCCACACCCAGATCCGCAAGACGCCTCTCAAGCAAAAGAAGGCCCACCTCATGGAGATCCAGATCAACGGCGGCAGCGTCGCCGACAAGGTCTCCTTTGGCCAGGACCTCTTCGAGAAGCCCGTCTCCATCGACTCCATCTTTGAGCAGGACGAGATGATCGACGTCATCGCCGTCACCAAGGGCCACGGCTTCAACGGCGTCACCGCCCGCTGGGGCACCAAGAAGCTGCCCCGAAAGACGCACAAGGGTCTGCGTAAGGTCGCGTGTATCGGCGCCTGGCATCCCTCCCACGTCCAGTGGACCGTTGCTCGTGCCGGTCAGATGGGCTACCACCACCGTACCTCTGTAAACCACAAGGTTTACCGCATCGGCAAGGGCGACGCTGATGACAGCGCCTCTACCGAGGTCGACGTCACCAAGAAGAAGATCACTCCGTATGTTTATTTCACTTCACCTGCTCCCTCATGCTCGACGCCATGTGCTCGGCTACACTGTGCTGTGCTCTGTACTAATGCAACTTCTTTTTGTGTGTTTCCAGCCTCGGTGGTTTCGTCCGCTACGGTGAGGTCAACAATGACTTTGTCATGCTCAAGGGCTCCGTTCCCGGTGTCAAGAAGCGTGTCATGACGCTGCGCAAGTCTATGTTCACTCACACCTCCCGCCGTGCCCTCGAGAAGATCAGCCTCAAATGGATCGATACCTCGTCCGAGTTCGGCCACGGCGCATTCCAGACGCCCGCAGAGAAGAAGCAGTATCAGGGTACCCTCAAGAAGGATCTGGCCACGGCATAATTGCGCGCACGGTTGGCGTTGCCTTCTTGGCGTCTATGTCTTGGCCACTAGCATCGGCGTCCAATGGTTGGTTTTCAAAGCCCTGCTGGGAGCTGGGCTTGGTTTCATAATGGGATGATGCAGCAAAAGGCCTAGCTTGAGGGCCATACCAAAACAATCGGGACGAGATTCTCATGATGAAATATCACTTCTCATACCAATATATCAGGTGTTGACGATGAATGGTCACGTTAAATGGGTATTATGTGTCGTGCCTACTGAACCTTTTCCAACAACGCCGTGGCCAGGTAAAATGCGTATCCCAATCGTGTCTAATGCCTGTCAATCAAAACCCACCGTTTCCCCAATTCCAGGCGCTGTATGGGTCATTTGGCACCAAGTTGAAAAACACTAAGAGATTTAGAATTAGGGACACAACGTAAATAACGCATGCAGGTCTGGTGCGGCGCACGTCTGACGTGGCATCGAGCTGCAAAAGGATGAACAAAAGACAAAACGAAGAGATTGTCCGCTTACTCTGTCCAAATATGCCAAAGACTTCATCCAGTTGTGAGTCAACCTGTTGGCGTTTTTCGGCATAATGATAGTCTATTGCTCCTCGCCGGGGGTCGTTGTTTGACATGATTAAATTTCCATTCTCGCCATAAATTGTGTCTGCAGAGTGCATCATGTTGGCACCTTCAATATCCGTATCATTTGTGAGTGGAAATGGCGAGCCGTTGGCCATTCGTATTTCGCCCCCCCGATATTGGGGTTTGCCGGTCCGCCTGTGAGAACTTGGACGATTCTGGTATCAGTACTTGCTTCGCCTCTCCATCTCGCGCTTCGCTCTCAGCTTGAATGGGGTAGTGGTTTTGCTCTGGATCCCTCATAGCCTGGTCCGTCAACACTGAATAGCGCTGATCCGACTCGCTTCTCATCCTTTGCTCTGGTTGAAGACCGTTTTCTACTTCCTGCTGCAGGCTTCGCCTCAACAGCCCCGTGAGCAATTGCTCAGTATGAGGGGCAATGGGAGTAACAGGTTTCAATACTCGACTGGCATGAATAATGCGCAATGTCCCCGCCTTGGCCTCGTGGGCTATGGCACTCAGCGGCCACGTAGTAGGCGGAATGCAAAGAATGACGCCGGCAGTGAAGAAATTCATGAGTACAAAGGACACTGCAAATTGGTTCTCGAGATGTGATACCGGCACTCGAGACATTTCTAGGGCTGCGTTGACAGACAAGTGCAGAGACTCTGAGACAACACGAAGTGTTTCGCTTGACAAGGCCTGGCGTGAGTCAGCCGCCACTCGATATTCTAGAAGAGGTCGATGGATGAAGATGACGGCGCTGTTATATGTGACATTCAGGGTATTGATTTGAAGTGACAGGTGCCGCCGGGATTTCTGCTCTTCAGGAGATAGGTCTGGTATGCTACCAAGCTCCGTAAGGATGCCCTCCTGGGAGCTTGGGTTTGTGTCGAATGCGGCCGGCAAATCTGTCTTCCAAGCATACAACAAAGAGCGAACATGCTGCACCGTTTCCACCAAAGAAACCAACTCTGCCGGTGATATGGGACTTTGCAGACGTAGAAGCCTGAAACGATTCAGTGCCTCTCGCACAATATCGTAAAGATGGTACTTCAAGGCATGGAAAGTCTGGCGGCAAACTGGGCGAGAGGAGTTGGAACGCGGTGAGCTGGCAGTCAGAAGAGGGTGTTTGGACAAGCGAGGGCCCAATGCCAGATCATCTAAGTCATCAAGAGGCTGGACGTAGGAAAAGGCAGCGTCCAGCGAAACTGGACGTCCGTAAATCATGGCAGCAAAGGTATCTGCCACCAGGATGTGATTCCAGTTTCGACGGCGCACCTGGGCGACAATGGGATCATAGCCCTTTCCATTTGCCTGATCTTCATTGCTATCGCAATGTAGCATAAGAGCGTAGGCAGTGCGGACCGACATACCCAGGATGCTCCATGCCAGAGTGGGAGATGCGTGGAAGATATAGTATGTCCCCAGTAGGCTGCAGACCTGTACAGTCTCGATGGAGCAGTCATCGAGAAGATCCAGGAGGTGAAGCCGGACCTCCTTGACGAGCGCTTCGAGAAGCTCCATAGCATCTAAGGACTCTTGTCTGAGCATCGCATGACCCATCCATGAAGAATCGCGAGCAACGCACTTCAGTCCTATAGCAGATACCGTCAAAGCGGCCAGGACAATGCCAAGCTCGTCCCGATGCCACGAGTTCCTGCGAATAACACGTGTCGCTGCTAGTCTGAATGAGGGCTCGTGGAAAATAAGTGTGAACCAGTGCATTCGATCAAAGTACGCATCCATCAGAGCCTCGAGCAGCGGCGGCGAGGGACAATGCATAGTCACCAAGGACCAAGGGGGCCCGGCACAACCCATTTTGGATCGACCGGCATGACCAGGAATGCTCGAGATATCGCTCGGATAGGAGGAGCCCGCCGAGTCACCGAACATGCGGGCAGCAAAGCCAACGGCAGAGTTGTTTGCACCGAACCGCTGTCGCTCACTCAAGCTGCCATGGGAGGTCTGGGAGTGGCCTACCGAATGGGATTGGGAATGTGGACTGGCACGAGTTGGAACGAGCCGAGGATTATGCTTCGATTTATCGGGGGAAGCTAAACCTGGCGGAACCAGCTCTCTTTTGACTCTCTCAACAGCCTTCTTGATCTTGGCGGAACTATTCTTCTCATCCCGAGCCTCGCAGGTGAAGCCTGAGCGGCGGCATAGCGTGCAGGGCCTGACGGTGTCGCACTGCAGGAGACACACATGTTCTTTTAGCTAATCCGTTTCCAAAAAGTGAGGAAGAAAGGGGAGATGAAGGAACGGGGATGAACCGTGCAGTACGGAGTAGTAAAGCAATACCTTTAATTTCTGCTTCCTGCATCTCACACATGCTCGCACAACTCGGGGTCGATGGACACCATCTGGCATCTCCGGCGGAGACCTGTGGCGGACCTCGGTCTCATCCGCGAGCAACGAGGGGGCATTCATGATTGCATGGCGTTGAACGCAGCAATCAGGGACTGAACAAGCCACCGATTATATTGGGGGAGATATGGGAACTCGAATCGTGGTGCTGCACCGTGCGAGGGAATCAGAATCGAGATGCAAGCAAGATGCTTCCACCGGAACTTGGGCGGTGGAGTCTCTTCATCGAGTTCAAAATCCGCCCGGGGAAGTCGCGCAGGGTCGCCGCTGCCGAAACGGGCCATTCACCGCCGATTGATTGATTGACTGGAACGAGTACCCGCTACCGCTAGTTGGCTACTAAGTTACTTGATCTAAGTACCCTGGGTACTGCGTACCTACGTAGGTACGTACTTCTAATAGCGAGAGTCAAGACCGTCCTCCGCCTCATCAGCCATGACAAGACAGCCTATAGCCTGTCATGATGCGTGGCATTGTGCTTGGTTGGCTTGAGCAATTGCCGTTCAAAGGTATCCGACATTGACATCGTGATAAGATCAGTGGTAAAAAGGTCTGTGCCGACCCAAAGCGTCGAAAATTTTGACGCTCATAATTTCGTTACCGCTTCACCACCAACAAATGAGCCAATAGCACACCAACCAACCGTCAAGGGGTGACTTGTGGACGCCTCTTTCATTACTCTTCCGTTGCTCAAAATGACCTTTAATACCCCGTGCAGCAAGGCCACATGTACGCACAAGACAACAGGCAAAAAGCCTCGGAATGTGGCCAAGACAAATAAACCTTATAATAACCATGACCATGCCCACAGTGTCCACTGGTCCATCATATTGTCTCTCTTTGGTGTTGACAGCGTTTGTGAGTGTCTCATGCCGGAGGAATGGCGTCTTCGAGCGCGGCAGGGAGATCCAGATAGCCGTACAGTAAACCACCCCTATAACGATAACCTTCGTGAGCCTTTTTTCATCGTAATATAGCGACTATCGCTAAGATGCGACTATTGTGGGGTTGTACCTCCCCTTAGAAATTACTAGTAAAAGTATATATTAAGGGATTATTAGCGAAATTTGCCCTATTATTAGGAAACCTAGCCCCACCTAACCCCACTATAAGAAAATTCAGCCTAAAAAGTGGGGCCTTATAACGATAAAATGCATAGTGACTAAGCAAAAAGTTAACGATATCGTCAGTAACGCGACTATTAACGATTTACTAGGGAAAAACCTTAGATGACCGTGAATTATCGTAAAAACCTGAATATCGCTAAGATACAGGATCGTTATAGACATAGTTTACTGTACTTCCTTATGCAGATGACTAGACGCAGAATCCTGCATGTAATCGTTCAAGGCCCAACGGGTCACTGCGGCCTGCCAACAGACTCAACTTCAGCTCGACATGAATGCGACTGACGCAAGCATGGATAATCCTCCTCGACTTCAAATGTCTTGGACCCCAGCCCTATTTCAACGCGTGACTCTTGCGCTGGCGGTGTGGCAAAATTGCAAGCACAAGACCGACAGACCATACCACAATCGCGACCGTGAAAACTTGCTGAAAAGGCGGCCTAACCTCTGAGTGAAAGATTTGGGCGTCGGCAAATACCTACTATACCACGTGGATATTGTCCTTGGGCCATCGGGGACGAAGGCTGATTCTATGATTCCCAGTAGCAAACGGGTAACGATGAAGGCGCCGTATCTCCCCTCAAAGGCTTGGGACGTGCTCACGGCGCTAAAGAGGGAATGGCTGCAGTGTGAGCTATTTGCCCGCCAGGCGCGGTAGAGAATCACGTTGCAAGGGATTTCGTGGAGGGATTTCGGTGAGAAGACAATGCCGAGGGAAAGCATTTGTTGGCCGACGTCATATTGGTCTTGATCTATGCCGACGTTAGCCACAAAGTTTGTCTGTAATTTTATTGGCCATGTTACCATCGTTAAGTTCTAGGTTAGTTAGTCCCATGTTGTGGCATATGTAGACGAAAAGAAGCCGAGTGGCATAATGGTCAGATCTCGCCAGTGCAATAACACCGTGTCAGCGAAGAAATTGTGGCGTTGTCCATGATTGACACCAAACAATGCCGTCCTCCTCTCGGCTCTCTGATCTCGTCTCGTTCACCTCGAGCAGCCTATCATCCCCATTCGGCTGCATCTGAACATCTTTGTCGACAGCTTTCTCAGTCGACATGTGTCTCAACAAGTTGCCTCTAACTAACATTCGAAACGAGACAAATACTGACATTATTCACGTTGAATAACGAAATTTTCACCGCCAAGCAGGTCCTCCTCCAGAGAGACGCAGCTCAGCGCGTTTTCGTCGTCCATTGTCGCCAAGATATCCCTTGCAAAACCATCAAGCCTTGCCTCTCTTTGTTCAAACATATAACAGCAGTATTGGCTATTATATTTACAGACGAAAAAGAGAAAGAAAGCAACCAAATGTGCCAATATTAAAAAGTGGCTGTTTGATCTCCAAGATCCCTCCACAGCATGGCGTGCTGCTTCATGGCATGGAATCAGTCGTGGCAACGTGAGTGAGTGATTTGGATTTTCGCATGTCGTCAATTTTCCAACACTTTGCGCCATCGGGGAGTATTTGGCATTACAGATGAGCTGGTAGATATGCGCCGTGGAAACAGGTAGATGCTATTTGGTGCGTAGATCGTGTTGCGGGATGAAGATCGTCGATGACTGACATGCTGACGCACCAGCGAGTACGGCGGAGGGGGTCTCATTGAGACATGTGCGACTAATCTAGAGACGCAACTATTGATGAACTGGGCGTCGTATATTCCATGCGATGCATTGCTTGTCGAGTGGCTAGCCGACTCTCACGAGATGCCTGACGACGGGACCGCCAGTCAGAAGCGTTGACACCATTCAGCTTCGCCACTCAGATTCTTTCTCGAATGATTGATTGGAGTAGAGCCGGCGATGTCACGCCGTCGTACCATCCTACCAGGTAGCAATGATTTGTAGTTATTGTATGCCGCAACGTGCGAGGGTCCTGAAGAATCCTGCCATGCTAAACCTCATCCGACGGCAAGCACGACCGGGTTTAGTGTCGAGTGGGTATTGCTGGCCGGGAATTGCCTAACGGTTGTCAATTTCTGACGTCACCCCACTCGTCCAAGTTTGACGCGGAAAACGAAGACGACCATGAAACTCAAATAGTCCTTGTCTCGTCTGGATGTAACTACAAACCGTCGTCAATGCTACGAACCCCGTACCTATACCATTGCCGCCTGTTTCTTTCCTCACTGCCAGCATCACGCCCAAGTTCCGCCAAGCTCCGAGCTGCCTTGTCCAAACCATCCGCAAAGCTCACCTTGATCGCCGCCCGTCACGCCACAAATTTCCGTGCTTTGCCACATATTCGAGCTGCCTCGGGCTGTGAAGTCGTCGCCGCCGAGTCTCATAGTGTTACCATGGCCAGCGACCAAGATTACATGACATTTCTCGACAAAGCGAACCAAGACGTTGACGACGGGAAAGCGTTGGCAGCAAAGCAAGAGGAGAATGGCAAAGCCGCCTTCAAAACCATGGACGAGGGGTCTCAAGCCCCCAAGGTTATCAGGGACGCGTGCCAAGATGCGGTGTACGTGAGCGATGCGGACGAGCCATTTGAACAAGTGTCTCTCAGATGGGGCGGGGATGGATTGCCAGATGAAAGTGCGTTCAGGCCGTCCCCTTTCCCTCTGCTCTATTCGCTTAGTTGATCGTCGTGGAGCTGAACAAGATCCGCTCACTGAGGTCTGTTTTAGCCGAGTTTGCCAAGCTTATAAAGCACTGGGACGCCAATGAGGCCGAAATTAGTATCATGGATCCGGTTGACTGGGACTCGCAAGGCCAGTATACCAAGTTGATTGAGGCCGTCAGAGAAGCGACCAAAGGCAATGATGTGAGGGTTTATAGCGTGGTGAGGAGCAAGACCAGAACTGAATACTGGCTTGTGTCGAGGGAAGAGGGGCGCATCGTGGGCGTCAAGGCCCTGGGAGTGGAGAGCTAGACTGTCTTGACTCTTGCCAGCACCTGCAGAGAATAACATTGTTCATGGTTGGAAGGGAGGCGCCATGCCGCGAGGATGTACGCTTGGACTCTGTATTTATTTATTCAGCAATGGGCAACGAGCAATCGCAATCAGAAGGGGTACTGCGCCAACTGGTTGGAAGCACATCATTTGGCCCAAGCTTTGCCACTACCTACAGCCACGAATCACATTGATGCCTTGCGTCATGCGTCACGCGTCACGTCGAGAAACAAAGGCAGAGAGGCCTCTACGGAGCGCCTTTGTCGATGGTATACGTGCCTGCTTAAGTACTAAGTAGCCGGGAAGGCAGATATGTACCCAACTCCCAATGCAGTCAATCATCTCCACAGCATTATTATTGAAGCAGCTTGTTCCGCCGCTTGTTCCGCCGCTTGTTCGACCGCCACGGCCCGCGAGTCCGTGACCAGAGACGGCGAGATGCAAACCATCACTTGTTACCAGATAAACACAACGGCTTCTGTGCGGTTTTCGGAGCATTCGACAGAGCTGCAGCTTCTTCTTCTTCTTCTTCTTGTTCCAGCAATACGCCGCAGTTTCCGTCTAGCCGTCACCACTTCTGTTGGAAGTGCCGAGTGATTTTTTTCCGCATCTGACTGGTCACTGGCCGAAGTCGCAGTGTGACAAAGGCGACGGAGATGTGACTACCCACTCAGGCAGTGACATTAGATGCAGCTGGTTGATAGAGGTAAGCGACCCCTCACTTGGGCAGGTTTTTTGCCCCGCAGTCGGCGCTTATTAGTTACTTTCTTGGAAAACGGCCGACTTGTCCGATACTTATTAACGCTGGATATTGGATTCCTCAAGTGCCCTGACGCCATGCCATCCTCGCTGCTCACCACTACATCGTGAGTCCATACATTGTTGAAACCTTCGTCTTCCAGCACGAAGCAGCAGCGCACCATGGCTGGCTCGGTACGTGATTCGTACAAGCGTCCACGAAACGTGATACACAGAAAAGCTCGAATGGAATTTGTTGCTGACTGACTCGCCCGCCCCAACAGCGGGCCATCTTCCCAAGCCTCGACACCGTCCGGTCCATCGTCGAGAAGCCTCACACTGGCCCAGGCAAGAAGCCGACTCTTGTACCCATATACCGCCAGATTTCCTCCGATCTCATCACACCGTCTGCCGCATATCTCAAGATCTCGGCCCACTCCTCGTCCGAGCACTCGTTCCTGTTCGAGTCCGCCGCCACAGAGCAAGTTGGCCGCTACAGTTTCGTCGGCGCTGGCCCGCGCAAGATCCTCGCCACCGGCCCCGGGTATGGACCTGAAACGGACCCTCTGCCTGCTTTGGAAAATGAATTGGCCGAGCACGTAGTCGCTCACGTGCCTGGTCTGCAGTTGCCTCCTCTGACTGGCGGCGCCATTGGGTACGTGGGCTACGACTGCGTCCGGTATTTCGAGCCCAAAACTGCACGGCCCATGAAGGATGTCCTCGAGATCCCCGAGTCCCTGTTTATGCTTTTCGACACCATCGTGGCCTTTGACAGATTTTACGGCATTATCAAGGTCATCAGCTACGTCGTGGTACCAGAGGATGACAAGACTAGCTTGGATGCCGCCTATCAAGAGGCCAAACGCACAATCGATGAGCTCGTCAATGTGCTCAACTCTCCCGAAATCGAGCTTCCCGAACAAGGGCCCATCAGCTTGGGGCAAGAGGCCACTTCCAATATTGGACAAAAGGGTTACGAAGCACACGTCACCACTCTGAAGGAACACATTGTCAAGGGTGACATCTTCCAATGTGTCCCGTCGCAACGATTCGCCCGGCCTACTAGCCTCCATCCATTCAATATCTACAGACACCTTCGGACCGTCAACCCGTCCCCGTATCTGTTCTACGTCAACTGCAAGGACTTCCAGATCGTCGGCGCCTCCCCCGAGCTCCTCGTCAAGAGTGAAGCCGGCAGGATCATCACACACCCTATCGCCGGTACTGTCAAGCGCGGCAAGACGCCCGAGGAGGACGAACGGCTGGCCGACGAACTGAGAAGCTCCCTCAAAGATCGCGCCGAGCACGTCATGCTGGTCGACCTCGCCCGCAACGACATCAATCGCGTAGGAGACCCCCTGACCGTCCGCGTCGACCGTCTCATGGTCGTCGAAAAGTTCAGCCACGTCCAGCATCTGGTGTCGCAGGTCTCAGGCGTCCTAAGACCCGACAAGACTCGCTTCGATGCCTTTAGGTCAGTCTTCCCCGCCGGCACTGTCTCTGGCGCACCCAAGGTCCGCGCCATGGAACTCATTGCCGAGTTGGAGAGGGAAAAGCGAGGTGTCTACGCCGGAGCGGTGGGTTACTTTGGCTACAGAAGCGAGGACGCCAACGGAAATACGGTAGAGGGCGCAATGGATACCTGCATTGCGCTGAGGACAATGATGGTCAAGGATGGAGTGGCATATCTCCAAGCCGGTACGTTGGCACAGACTCCCGCTCCCCTGCTCCTGACGTGTTTTCCGACTTGTTCGTCTCGCTCTTTGGATGAAAAACGCCGAGAATAACAACCTATTCCCAGGTGGTGGCATCGTCTTCGACTCGGACGAATACGACGAATGGATGGAGACAATCAACAAACTCGGCGCAAACATGCAGTGCATCAAGTCAGCGGAGGAGCTATACTACGACCAGCAGCAAGCTATCAAAAGTGCCTAGTAGACCAATTTCCATACTCAAGATGCATGCATACTGCAAGGTGGATGTGGAAGAATGAGATTCTTGGATCAGATACTCGCGTATTGCTCTATTACAACAATGGCGGCATTACCAGCCATTGGTAGCAGTCATCATCAATATTGCATAGCGGGATAGCGACAAAAACAAGCCCGGTAAAAAGGAATCGTGTGATTCAAAAAGACCATGTAGAAAAAACCATTGCCCCGCTGTAATACCTATGCAGTCCGTTTCATAACTCGTGAGTAATAATGCAACCATTGCCGCGCATAAAACACGACCTAATTCGCAGCTACGGAAAGTGTAGAACCATCCCCATGTCCAGCAAGCTCGGGGATAGGCGTATCTCTGTGCGGATACGCGGCGACCGTTGACGCGCTCGGCGTCTTGGCCTCGGCATCGGCGCTGGGCGGCACGGAGAGGCAGCGGCGACGATCGGCGTCGTCCGCTGACAAGACACTACATGTTTCCGAGACGTCCGCGTCCGAGCCGCCCAGTGGACTGATGCTCTCGATGCTCGGGGTGGGAAGTTCCTCGTATGTGAGCTGAGGCACGCCCTCCGCCTTGGCCTTTTTATGTGCGGATTCAGACGGTGACGCAGTGGATGCGGCACAACCGCCGCCGTCGTCGTCGTCATCGTCCTGCCCGATGGTCCACACCCAGCGGCGCTTCTTTTCTCGCTTCCGCTCGGGGGGGCCTGTTGGTGCGCCAGGCGAGGTGGGAGACGAGGCGCCGAGGCCGGCCATTCTGCGGCCCATGTCCTCCCAGGGGCCGGGTGTTTGGCCGCCGTCTTGAATTTCGTTGGCGGTGAAGACGAGTGCTGCCTCGGGGAGGGTTTCTCTGGGGGTCGTCACCAAGGGGAATGCGCAGTGCGTGCGACGTGTCGGGGAGAGGGGGGAGGCGTCTTCGGATAGGAGCTCTATGTGGGAACGGATGTACTTGGACGTGGTGATTTCTTCCTCTAGCGGGCTGTCGTACTCGACTCTTTTGGAGGCTTTTCCTTGGAAGCAGAGGGGTTGGTGCCTTGGGGATGGTGGGATTGCCGTCCTTGGGGGAAGAGGAGAGTTTCGGAGAATGCTGTGAAGGCTTCGAGGGTGTGTGTACGGTAGTTGGCTGGTGATCTGGGGGGCTGAGCATGGTGCCCGGCGACGTTTGGGCATATGATTCTCAGTGAGGCATTCAGGCGGACGGTTCGTTTTTGACGGGGTGTCCGCGGACGGGGGAAATGCGAAGACGTGGGATGGGTTGTCGGCCGGCCCTGCGGACAGAGGCGGCGTGGCGGCCATGATGCTCGGGTAGATAAAATCGACCTGCTGGGGCGACACGGGTTGAGCTGTCAACGGTGTCTCGGGGCACGTGGGCATGGAGGGCGTCGCGAGGCGTGGCTTCAAGCGGTTGTTCTCGATGGGCGTCTGAAGTCTGAGGTTTGGCAGAGTGTTGACAGCGGTGATGGGTTCGCACTGAATGGCTGATGCTCGTTCAATGGCCGTGACGTAGACGTTGGACATGGTATTGAACGTTGTAGGATCACTTGGGTTGAGAGGAAGGGCCCTCAGGCTTTTCGATGGAGGGCTGCATACTGTGGTCCTGATCTGAAGAGACAGTCGGGGCCTCTTGGATACATTCGAAGCTTGCTGGGAAGAAGCCATGATGGGATTGGTCCGCGTTGAAGGGCAGGCGACGGGAATATCGCCAACGAGGGCGACCTGACCTCAGCCCAGTTTGCAGATGTCTACAAACCAACAGACAACGCCGTAGCGCGGCCTCCCATCAAGGGGGTATGATGAAGGAAGCTCATGTGGTCAAGACAGATTCAGACATGGACAGGGCAGAGCCAACAGGGCCAGAGACAGGCGTGACATGGCTATATACTGCTGCGATGGAGGGCAAGGGACAGGTCATTTTCCAGGCGCCATGATCGACTCGCATCAAGGCTAGACGTGAGAGAGGGCAGTGAAGTCGAAGGAAGCATTAGGCTGGTCGTCGTGGTCCTTTCGTGCTGCCCTCGTGGTTGGCTGTCGTGGACTCGTGGTGACTGGGAGGGCATCGTGTAAGCGCCGACCCTTGCAGAGGCGTGGGACGGATGTTGCCATGCCTCCAATCATAAATGTCCTCGATGTTGCTTGTTTCCACCGTCGGACTCGGGCGTTTATCTCATGCATGAGTCGTCCCAATATCACCGACGCCCAAGTTGCGGGCGGGGAACCAGGACGTACAGGCATTCGTACATGCGTTCAACAGCCCAAGACGCAGGTGGCCGGGACCCTTGGTGGAAGTCTGGTCTGTTCGAGGCTTCACCGACTAGTCCATCCATGCCTATCCAGAATACACGTGCGGGTTAGCGTCTGACAGAATGTTCCATTATCCGTGGCGCCTGTTTCGCATCGCATCCTTGTTAACCCTAACCCAGGTCCGTTAGCCGCGTTCGTGACGCCCATGGACTTCTCGACGACAGCTCCAGAAGTCGTCATGGCTACAGGAGTGCTTTGCGAGGACACGGTCGGTGAAGAGACGTAGAGTGGCGAGAACAAGTCTGGTCGGAGTTACGGAGTACAACGAACACTGATGGCAAGGAGAACTCGAGAGGATGAGTAGCGCCATGCACGTGACGATGGGGGGCCGCCATTGACGCAACGCAGAGCCTCTTCATCCAACGTTCTGTCCCAAGAAATAAGGGCGTAGCAACACGCATGAAAAAGCAGCCTCTGGCTACGCCATTTCTCGTCCGACACGTTCCCTCTCTGCAAGCTCCAAGGAGCTAGAATTCGCAGAAAAGGGCGAGTTTAGGGTCGCCGGCCCCCTCCGTGTTCCACAGTCGCAGACAACCGCGAGCCCGCGACGTTTGCCGGTGGAACTACCAGTCGTTTGGGCGACCGAAATAAACTCCGACATCGCGACCATCGTCAGTCAACCTTTGTAGCTGCTACAGAGGACTGCCGCCTTACCTATAAAATGTCTTCGAAGCGAAAAGCAAATTTCGACGACGACTTGGCAACGCCCAATAGCAGCTCCAGACAATCGCCACAAAGCCAAGGCAGTCGTGATACTCCGCGCGATTTGAGCGAGGATCCGGACGAGCTGAACACCATCATTGAGCGAAACATCCAGAAGTTCGATATCTCGGCCTTTCCTTACGAGCTAGGCCCGGGATTCTCCGACCTGGCATCTGCGCTCTTCCGACCTGAGCAAAAACATGACTTCACGGCGCTTTCTCTGAAGCCCGACCACCAGAATCGGCCACTACGAGTTGATGGATGGGGAAAACTTGTCCTCGAAAATTTTCACCCTTTAGCACCTCAAGTGCAAGACTTCTTGGTCACGATTGCCGAGCCCATGTCACGGCCGACTTTCATACACGAATACAGGCTCACCACCCATAGCCTCTATGCTGCCGTCTCAGTAGGGCTGAGTCCGAATGACATCATCACTACTCTTGATCGTTTCTCCAAGAATGAGATGCCGCCCAATGTCATCAAGTACATTCGCCATTGTGGTAAGAGTTATGGAATGGTGAAGATGGTTTTGAAAAACAACAAGTACTTGCTGGAAACCGCAGACCCAGAAGTTCTACAAATGCTGTTGAACGACCCGCAAATCAGACCCTGTCGCGTCCAAGGCGCCACCGAAATAACGACAAGCGCCCCCAAGGCAGCCGGCATCGCCATTGCTGGCACCAAGGCTGCGGGTGGTCTCCGAGAAGCAGAAGGACTGGCAGGACGCGGACAGAACTCTGAGAGTGAACAGAAACCTAGCGGGGCTGAGGTGCAACGCGTATTGGATGACGAAGACAACGACGATGAGCGAGAGATCATCCACGCCTTTCAGATTAAAGACGACAAAGTTGGAATTGTGGCAGAGAGGTGCTTGGCTCTTCATTATCCTGTGCTTGAGGAATACGACTTTAGAAACGATCACGCCAACGCAAACCTTGAAATTGATCTCAGACCGGGAACGCAGATTCGACCATATCAAGAAAAGAGCCTTACCAAGATGTTCGGCAACGGGCGGGCTATGAGTGGCATCATTGTCTTGCCTTGCGGGGCAGGGAAGACTCTAGTTGGTGTCACAGCCGCATGTACAATCAAAAAGGGCGTTGTTGTGCTTGCTACCAGCAACATGTCCGCTATCCAATGGAAAAATGAGTTCATCAAATGGTCTAATATCAATCCCGACGACATTGCTCTGTTCTCATCTGACAACAAGTCGGTATTCACCGGGAACACGGGAATCATCATCACGACATATTCCATGGTCACAAACACTCGCGAGCGTGCCTATAAATCAGCCAAAATGATGGATTTCCTTCAGCAACGGGAATGGGGCCTTATGCTACTTGACGAAGTGCATGTCGTACCAGCTCAGATGTTTCGGCGAGTAATCGGCTCGATCAAGGCACATTCAAAGCTAGGCTTGACTGCCACCCTCCTTCGAGAAGATGACAAGATTGAAGACCTCAACTTCCTTATTGGTCCAAAGCTCTACGAGGCTAACTGGATGGAGCTTTCAGAACAAGGGTTCATCGCCAAGGTGCAATGTGCAGAAGTTTGGTGCCCGATGCCAACCGAGTTTTATGAACGATACCTAGAATCTGGACCTCGCAGCCGACCACTATTCTGTGTCATGAACCCGACCAAGTTTCAAGCGTGTCAGTATCTTATTAATTACCACGAAAGCCGCGGCGACAAGATTATTGTCTTCTCAGATAATGTGTATGCGCTTGAGGCCTATGCAAAGAAGCTAATGAAGCCATTTCTTTTTGGCGGAACAGGCAATGCTGAACGCCAGCTAATCCTGGACTACTTCAGAAACTCGCCACAGTGTAGCACCCTCTTTCTGTCGAAAATTGGAGACACGTCCCTGGACCTGCCGGAGGCAACATGCTTGATACAAATCTCCGCACAGTATGGATCTCGTCGTCAGGAAGCCCAGCGCCTTGGTCGAATATTGCGGGCTAAGCGTAGAAATGAGGATGGATTCAACGCTTTCTTCTACTCCCTAGTGTCCAAGGATACCGTTGAAATGGTGTATTCCTCAAAGCGACAGGCCTTCCTGGTCGACCAGGGCTATGCATTCAAGGTCATCACACAGCTGAAGGACATGGACAGGATGCCTGATCTGGCTTTCGATACTGCTCAGGCCAGACGTGAGCTTCTCCAAAAAGTCGTCATCGAAGTTGAAAGCAAGTCTTGGAAAGAAGAGGAGGCAAAAGAGAGCGCAGGCCTTTTGGAAGATGGAAACATGTTCTACGGCCCGGATGGGAAGCCGCTGCGTAAGGGTGCCAGGAGAACAGCCGGTGTCCTCAAAGACCTCAGCGGCGGACAGGACATGGCATATATCGAGCGAAACAAGAGTGCGAACAAGTCGATGAAATTGAAGAACGGGCAACGCCACAAATTCTTCAAGTCGATTGCGCGGGAAAACGAAAGAAGGAGGAAACTTGAGTAAACCATGGCGAGACAAAAATTTTCGCAAGCGATTCTTTGTGCAGCAGTCAGCGTGTGTGTTATCGAGGAGGAGCTTTGATTCGGCGCAAGACGGACAACTTTATTGGAACAACATCATTTATCAACACACATGTCATAGATTCCGGCGCATGCGACTGATTTGTCTCAGTTGGGTGAATATCTTGGGCAGCCCACATGAACAAACGGAGTTGTCCTATCTGAACATGTACATCAACCTCAAGGTCTGGCTTCGGCATATCCACATCCGTCTCAGGTCCCGAAATTCAACAGAACGGATTGCATGTCGCAGTAATTCAAGATGCTCAAAAACTGCTCTCGTAGTCACGAGGGTAAAGTTGATGGTGGGATGCGGAGTGGTTGCATGTGCACCTTGCGTTGGGATCGTTGCTCTTCGGCTGGTAGCCAGGGCAATTACACAGAATTCTCTTGAAATTCGGGTCAAGGGCAGGATTCTTGGTCGGATTGGTCTTGTTCCAGGCAGCCCACGCTGGATTTTTAGTGGAAAAAGAGCAACCAGGCCCATGATGGCCTTTGTCCGTACCAGAATCAGCATGCTTGCAGTTCGCGGATGCCAAGAGGGCATGTTTAGGCTATACATCTACATACGCTTTATAGGTGTGAAGAGGTGAGACGAGGAAGACGGAGACTGGCTTGAGAGGGGAAATCGACCTGCGCAAGACGTGAGTACACGAGAAAATGGCAGGTTGAATCGTGAACGAGGAGGCAGACTGGGAAGGAGTGACGGGACGTTAGAGAAGGAGTCTGTAGCCGCTGGGGATGGAGCGATCTATGGCCCTTGTTCATACCTAGGTACTTGACGAGAAGACACAGACCATGGTGTCGTTGGCCGCCCGATGCAGCCTTCCCATCAGGTGACACTTTCGCACTTTGGACATGGGACATGGGATACTTACTATGTGTAGTGTATGAAGACGCAGGCAGGGCTGTGGGCGCTTATGCCGACGGCAACAGAGCAGAGGTGCCTGTAAGCGCGCGCTTGACCCAGTCCAGTGCCTCCCCCCACCTGCCCGCCCATGAGCCGTACCGAGAGGACACGCTGAGCGCTGACCAACGTCAACGGTGGCGCCGTCCCAACGACCAACCGTCCATCCCGTGGCGCATCGTGAGAATCGCATCCACGTACGTGACGTGCCGCTGCGCCGGTGCATCAAACAAACGCCATCGCCGGCCCATGGATCGCCAATCCAAACGCGTGCCGAAACAGAAGCACGACCGCGTCATTCTCCAATTCGTTTGTTTCCCCTCGCCGAGGCCCCGCCCCGCCGTTTGCTTCCAGCGTCTAGGCTGACTGACCACCCGCCCAGGACTATGACTGCTTCTACGCACAAGTATTTGAGAACAAGGACCCAGAGCTGAAGTCGCGAGCGCTGGGGGTGAGGCAAAAGAACATCCTGGCGACATGCAACTACAATGCCCGAAGGCTCGGCGTGAAGAAGTTGATGCTCGTGTCCGAGGCCAGGAGAATATGCAAGGATCTGGTGCTCGTGGACGGGGAGGACTTGACGCCGTTTCGGGACGTCAGCAAGGTTCTGTTCAATTTCCTTCGGTCGCACTCGTGGAGCAATAGAGCAGAGCGGCTGGGGTTCGATGAAGTGTTTATGGGTGGGTGGAACATTGTTCCTTTTTTCTTGTCGACCTTTGGACGTGTCTGATGTGACTTGGCGCAGATGTAACCGATGTCATTGACTACAATATCGAATGCCTCAACACGGGCTGCTTGTCTGATTCCTTCTTTCACCTCTCCAGAAAAGACCCGCAAGACGGATTCAAGTGCGATTTCACCGTCGTTTCGGGCTGTGTCCAGGGTCGCGTGCCAGACGAGGCGCCTCTGGACAACGAGACCTACCTGAGACTGGTGCTGGGGTCTCACCTAGCAAACCATCTTCGCACAAGGATAGAAGTAGACTATGGGTACACTTCTACTTGCGGGATATCGACCAACAAGCTCCTAAGTAAACTGGTGGGAAGTCGGAATAAACCCCGCAACCAGACGACGCTCATGGCCTTGAATGAGCAAGATGTGATTGCCTTCATGGACAGCCACAAGACAAGGCAGATACCGGGACTGGGGCTCAAGACGTCTACGCAACTAGAGTCTCATGTTCTTGGACAAGAGGTTGACGCGGACTCTCATTCGTTAACCACGGCGGTTTCCGTTCGACATGCTCGCCTGCACCCATCAATGTCTCCCGGGCTTATAGAGGCGCTTCTGGCAGGCCCCGGAGCCGAGAAGGGTATTGGTGTCAAGGTATGGGGTCTGTTGCATGGCATTGATCCCACAGAGGTCAAAGAGGCTGGTGACATTCCGTCGCAAATAAGCATTGAGGACACGTACAAAGGACTCGAGACCATCCCTCGCATCACAGAGGAGCTGCACAAACTTTCATGTTCGCTCATCCGGCGAATGAGAATGGATCTCCTTGCTGCAGACCACAGTGCGGAGAAGCCGGGAACACAACGGTGGATTGCTCGGCCAAAAACCCTGAGGCTTGCAGTCCGATCATGGCCGACGAGACGAGGCGGCAGTTCTGCTCCGAATTTCAGTCGAACATCCAGATCTGGCCCGTTGCCAAACTTGGTCTTTGACGCATTGGCAGATGTGGACGCGCTGGCCCAGAAGCTGGTGGCAGAAGCCCTCCTGCCTCTTCTGCGGCGGCTTCAACCCGATCAAGGACCACCCAGGTGGAACTTGCAGTTGATTAATGTATGTGTCGCAAACATGGTTGCCGGTGCGGGAGATGACAAGCAAGGCTCAGGACGGGATATTTCCGCCATGTTCAAGAGGCAAGATGAAGTGCTTCGTCCGTTTAAGCTGCCGGAGCCAGTATCCGACGATGAATCGAGGGCTGAAGCCAACGCGGATGATGTGGAAAGCCTAGAGTGCGGTCTGGACTGGGGCGACGCAGACCATTCTGTTTGTCAAGACTGCGGCCATTGGTTGCCGCCCTTTGCCATGCCAGCGCATGTGAGATACCATGAAATGGGAGAATAGTTCCATGTGACTGACTTCTAAGTGGCGATTTTCGACCGGCATGCCCCAACACAAGCCGCCGGCCCTGCCCACCACGCTCCTCGAGTAGTACACAGCCTGAGCTGCAAACCGCGTATCGGGAGAAGCAAGCCTCGAGCTGCCAGGCAGAAAGTCATGAATAGGCAAGACTGATGGTGGTGGTGGTGCGGTAGGGCCGGCGCGCAAGGACGACGACGGCGGACCAGACCCACCACGAGGGTATTGGAAGCTCTCTTGCCTCGAACCCAGCAAACAAGCGTGATTGCTGTGATTGCATCCGCACACGGGATGACCTGGGACGCAAACGGGGTCACCGTGACAACTCCCGTTGGACGTGACCCTGTACGACTTGCAGCTAGCAAGAATCATGGCCACTCGGCAAACCGCACCGCAACTTGGAGGGCAAGGCTGCCGCGGCATCACCGTCCGGCTTGTTTTGTCCTCTGCCCCGAGATGATTTGGGTCTCGGCAATGGACTGCTCGTGGGACTGAAGATTACCGACAGTGTTCGTTTTGCACGGCCGATGGCTCCCTCGGCCTGTTCAACAACAAGATCGCGGCACCGCACCACGTCCAGGCTTCCATCGGCAGTCTCGCATCTTCTGTCTGGGACTGGTCAGGAGCTGCCAGGTGGTTGCCAGCTGCGGCAGCTGTGGCAGCTGTGGCAGCTGTCAACCATGGCGTTGCCGTGACACGTTGACATGGCATGACAGCTCCTTCTCCTTGTTGAGTTTGCGCAGCTGCCGCGAGACCGACCTGCCTGCCTTCTCTTCTGCCTCTGCGTTTTGAACTGGACGTGAACAAAAGGTAAACGCTCTTGCGGCAAAGGGACCGTCGACACGGTGTTCAACCGTCCAAACCACTTATAGAAGCAGACTGTTTCGTCTTTGCCCTATAAACGTCTTTCTTTGTTTGGCTCCTGTCTGTGACTCTCTTTATTCACTCCTCTTTCTCACGCCGTAGCTTGTGGAACTTGGACACACCGTCGAGGTTTGTGAATCTCATTGCCTCTCTTGCTTCCGCTGCATGTATAAAGTAAAGCCGCGTGCCCCGGCAGCTTCTCGGGCGCGCTTTCAGGACTTTGAAGGCGTCGTGACTTCGACACTCCGGCCGTACGCATCATGGGCCGTGGGTCTCGTGGCAGTGGGCATCAACCTGCTCGCCGACCGACTGATCTGACTGGAATCATTTCCGTCGCCGAAAGAAACGATTTCGTCGCCCTTGTCAATGCTATTACCGACAGCATGCAAAAGGATATGAGCAACCCGTTTGATTCGCCTCCTGTGCGTCCCGACTTCGATCTTGGAGGCCACGGACAGGGACAATGGCTTTCGCTTCCTCTTCTCCGCCATAGGCACGAGAACAAAGAGAACATTTCGACCGTCAATGGTTTTCACGGGAGTATCCTAGACGACCGTTCCACGGCGTACCATTCCAAGGCTCGCCAGACTGTCCAAAAGGAAGTCGCAGAAAATTCCCAACCGCTCGGGGAACTGAAGAAAGAAATACTCGGTTCCTTCAGAAAGTGGCAGTCCAACGTCTTGCAGAGGTTCACAGAAATAAACGTCAACGATGCGGCTGCTGCACCTTCAAGTCCTCGTGGTCGAGCACGCAGTGTGCGCGGCACGTACCGTGCTGGTCGTGGCGGCCGTGGCGGCAGAGGAGGCTCAGTCGCTTTGACACTTGCGACAGGTACGCCGTCTAACAATGTCCTGCGGCAAGGAGAAAAAAAAAAAAGACTGTCGGGTGCCTCTGTTTTAAGCTAACAAACTACGGAAGGACCACATTGCGTTCCCACACGTCATATTGACCCCGACTTGGTCACAAGGCACCCTCCGCTTCCAAACCCTTTGTGGTCTCTGCACATTGACAGGCGAAAGCTCCTACTACATATCGCGCTCCTGGTCCTCCTCTCGCTGCAAGACTACAAAGCAAACTCTAGGCTTCTTCTCGTTAAGCTTACCTCGTCCCTCAATCTATCTTTCAGAACCTATCAGCTAGACGAAGCTCGAGTGGCTCAGGGGCTGGTGAGAGCGGCCCTTGACGCATTACGCGAAGAAGATGCCGTTAAATCCGATGAAACAAGGGCTCCTCGGAAGTTTAAAATGGCCTTTGGCAATGGCCCCGGGTCTTCAGGTCCTGTCAATCTCGCAGCTGCATTGAAAGACGTCGGCATTGGTACCTGTAAGGGTGGCTTGGGGTTGCCTACAATTGCAGCCGCGGGTTTGTTGGGAACCATGGCCGAAAATGGGATTCTAATGGGATCTCTTTTCGGAATCAACCCTGCAAGGCCAGTGAACAAGATGCTGGAGACATTCGCCAGAGAAATCCAAGACTTTGCCTTTGTTCGGCTGTGTGACGGGATCAACTACGATTACATCGACGCCAGAGAGTCCGCCGTCGGTCATCGTAGACTTCGGGTTCTTATTGCCGTCAGCGGATTCATGACCGGCCCCGATGACGTCGTCAGACCTTGGCGGTCTCTCAACAGTCAGCCAGAAATATATGCCATTAGATGGGAACATGCTGCCCTGACGAATCTCGGAAGCGCGCTCGAGACAGTCATCAAGAGTACGGCTTGGGAAAGCGCTAAACGAGAGATCAAGTCCAAATCTAGTAAGTCATGGATGGAATGGAGCTGAGGGTGCACGGCGACCGCTGACTGAGTCGCAGTTTTCAAAAGCCTGATGACATCTGCCTGGCCGGAGCCCCTCTTACGGATCAGCAAAATCGTGGACAACGCCTGGAGTGTAGGCATGGTTCGGGCCGAAAAAGCGGGCGCCATGCTCGCCGATGCGCTCATACGACACAAGTTTCAAGGCGAGCGGCCGGTGTCTTTGATCGGATATAGTCTTGGTGCTCGCGCCATATACGCTTGTCTAATGGTGTTGGCAGAGCGACGTCAGTTTGGATTCGTTGATTCCGTCGTTATGATGGGGGCCCCATTTCCAGCCGAGAGTCGAGTTTGGTTGACTTTGAGGAGCGTTGTATCTGGCCGACTAGTCAATGTTTACTCTGAGCACGATTACGTGCTTGGGTTTTTGTACCGCACATGCAATCTCCAATTCGGTATCGCCGGTCTACAGGAAATCCAAGGAGCTGGTGGCGTGGAAAACCACTGCATACATGCGCTACCCAAGGGACATTTGAGCTACTCGTCTCTGACTGGTCATATACTCAGGGATATCGGCTGGGAGGACTTTGATATGCACGGCTTCCGCAGGGAGTTTCCACCTCAGGATATGCGAAAGACTTTCTCACGGTATCCGACCAGCCTGCCTCGCAGGGGCAGGCACAGGGGATAGCTTACTATTGTATTGGTATTGGGACTTGTTTTTCTACCTTGATGATGATGATGCCGGTCAAGAGGACAGTGCATCTGATTTCAGTCACCATGATGATGAGATATGACATACGCGACACGAGGCGAGCATTTTGGTACAACATTTTAGCGCAAACGGGAAGGGATTCTCTGTCAACGAATAGCATACATGAAATAGAAATACAAGGGAATTGCTGCGGAAAATCGACTTGACGTGCATCTTGTCCATTCGGGGCAGACATTGGAAGTGATATTTTGACTGACTCATGGTCTGATAGTCGAGCGTGCTTTCGTCATGGCTTTGCATCGGCACCACCGCCAGCGAACAGTGATGCATCCACATCCACGACACAGCGAAACGCGAACCAGGCCCAGACGTGGACAAAACGCACGACAGTGAATAAGACTCGGTTGAATGCCAGCTTCACGAGTGTATGTATATTTCCTCTTCATCCCGAGCCCCCGTCCTTTTTGCCGTTCATTCCCGAACTGCGTGTTATTCTAGGTCAGGTATAAAAAAGCCTTGGTCTTGTGTTTCCCCTTTCGGCGTATTTCTTCAGGCAACGTTTGAATAAAGTACAGTACAAGAACGCAAATCTAGTGTACACATTGTCCTTTTTTTTTTTTTTTGCCCGCACTAGTGACATGATTTCACCAGTTAGTTGCCCCTGGTGGCCTTGGGCCTCCTCACTCCCAAGCTGAAACATGCGGAGAAGAGGGGGCGTGGTGGGCAAGTTTGGAGCACAAATCGCTCATGGAGGAGGAGTAGTCCCCAACATGCTGGGAACTTGCTTCCGCATAAAGGCCCTCGTGCCACGCTGTTCCATCCTCGGAACGCCCTGAATGGCACGGGGCTCGCGCATCAGCGTTTTGTCAAGACAGGACGGAATCCGCGTTATCACAGAGCGGTATTCGCCGGGAAAGTTGCCCTTCGGCAACGGGACTGAGGCGGTGCGCCAGATATGGTCAGACGTGTTGGTGAGATAGACAGGTGCTTTGCTGGAGGCCGCGCGGGACCCGTTGGCGAGGCCCAACGGTGACACGGATGCGCCGTGGGATTGACGAATGGTGGAAAGCCGCGAGAGGCCCGAGGGGAGGCCGGGTCGGCCGCGGGCTTTCTTGGCCATGAGGATCTCGTCGAACAGACGGACGGAGGGGTCGGATGCTGCCGTGGTTTCGCGGCTGTGGATGAATTCGTTGAAGGCTGCGGGCGTACGTGTCAGTAGTCATGGTGTGGGTGGGGGAGGGGCGTGGAGGGACAAGACGGTAACGGGTTGACTTGCCTTGAGTGTCGCGCATCATGGCGGCGTACTCTTGTTGATCGTATGGCAGACTCCGTATAAATCCATCCATGTCAAAGGCGTACATCTGCCCATTGGACTTTTGCTGCTTGGTAGGACGGCCGAGGTGTCTCCGGTAAGTGTAAAGTAAACTGGCTAGGCATCGTACAAACGCCGCTCTTACTCGGTCGGGGTGGAAAGCTTCCGGGCAGACAAGTGACACTTGACCCAGGCATCGGCCGTGGGCTACGGTCTTGCACGATGTGCACTCGTACAAGCCGTCACCCTCTGACTTGTCATCGCAAATAGTGCAAATGGAGGAACAGTCTTTGGCGTTGAGGCTGAAGCAGTGGCCCTCGACCCATACCGTTGTCTCCGTGTTTCGCACCGTCTGGATTTGCATGCTGGGCATGATGGTGGATGCGGCGAGGGTAGACTGAGCGTAGGCGGACGGCGCGTACCCGCCGCCGAACGATGATTCCGAAACAACAGAGAAACCAGAAATGGAGGCATTCGGCTGATGCCCGCTGAGCAGCGGCAAGCTCGATTTGTGGTTGGGCTGGAACTTATCCAACCCAAAGGATGAGCTTCGACGGCCCTTTTCCTCCCCAAAGTGCCCCGACCTCTTTTCTCGGAGTGTAGCGGTCAGGGCAAAGCCAGAATCGCTGCGTGAAATAGGAGTAGTTGGCATGGGAGGAAAGCTGGCAGACGCAGGAGATACGGAGGACTGCGGACTTGTCTTGGACGATTTGCTCGTGCTTGGTCGATGGTCAAACTTCCCAGTGTCAACTGAGGAAATGGTAAACGCGTTGAACACGGGTGGGTGGATTTGCTCGGGAGGGGTCCGGTCTGCAAAGCTTGACGAGCTTTGTGACACCCACTTGCCCAAGGTCGTCGGTTCTGCTGTGGATGTAAAGACTGACGCGTTCTCCGAGGAGAAGGAGTCGTAGGGGAAAGACTCAATGGCGTACGGCGGTGGTCCAGTGCTGACACCGTATCGAAGAGTGTGAGGAGCGGCAACCTGGAGAAGAGACATCAACTTTCGCCGATGCTGTCTGGGGAGACGGTGGGGTTGCGAGGTGGCATCGATCGTGTCCTTGTCCAGGTCGACCAGGACATAGTCGTCATCCGGCAGGTCGATCCGTTCATACCGGCGTTCAACGCCGACGATGTAGGGGCACGGGGCTTCGAGGGCGGAAATGAGTCTAGCTGGGAGGACGGGGATGAAGATGCTCGCCCACTGGAGAGGGTAAAGAAGGTTCACCAGAGCATGGCAGGCCAGATGCAACATGCTCGTGTGGGAGGATAAGAAGATGATACGAGATTCGGACATGGCGTACTCGAACAGGGCAACGACGTTTTCGAGAGAGAGACACCGAAACAGGGCGTATAAATCAATGGTCCGGGAACCAGGGAGCTCGTTGGCTCCCTCCTTTCGAGCGTAGAGCCGCAGTTCTCTCACACCGAGCTCCACCTGCGTCTTGGATCCCAACGGACTGAAAGCTTCCGTGCAAAGGTTCACCACGTAGCGTTCCAAAGGTTGCCAGCGGCCAACTTTGGGGGAGCTGGGAGGCACTCGGAGAACGGCCCCGTCCGTCATGGGAACGATGATTGACCTGAGCCACTCTTTCCAGAAGCCCATGCAGGCCGCGTCCCTGCCAAGAACACCGTATGCTCGAGGGATCCACAGGCCGCTCTCGCCAGCCGTGAGCCCTTCGATCTTTGAAGCCGCGCCGTGCCGCAGCGGCCGTAGCATATCCGTCATGAGGGCAATCTTTTCCTCAACCATACTTATTTGATCCTCCAACCTGTCTCGGGCTGGCGATCCAGAGGGTATCGTAGGGAGCTTTGAGAGCAGCTGTGAGAGATGTGATCGTTCAGCCGCCAAGCGAACCCCCAAGCTTGCGGCCAACTCTCTCTCCTCATTGGACATGTGATTCTGCCGCCACTGCTCACATCTGGTCTCCACCTCCTCTGCTGCCTCTGCGGTCAACGCTGTCCATATAATGATGGTGATGCCATAAAGCTTCCTGTTGTCTTCTCCCGTCATCGTAAAGCCGTGCCATGTAGAGCGAGGCCGATCGTCGGAGGAAACAATATGGATGTCGTTGGGAAAGGCGAACATGGGTACGTAGTCCGGGAACTTTCCGCGTTTGGCGAGTTCATCTTTGGCGTTCTTTGGTGGGTATCGATCTAGCAAGACAGGTTCGAAACGCCGCTTCAATGGGTGCATGTCAGGATCGGTGTTCAAGGGCTCCGGAGGAGGGATTACGGAGTTGTAGTTGCTCAGTCGTTTGGTAGTGCGAACCGACGCTGCGAGACAAGAGTAAGCCGGGTGCCCTCAGTGTGACCATGGCTGTTGCTAAGCAAGGACGCCGGACACAAACACAAACGGGTCCGGAAGAGAACGAGACACCTTACCAGCTCTGCTCGAGGCACCCTGTCTGGCGACTGTAGGTCCTTTGCGTACGCTATTCATCTCCCTAAAACTGATCTTGCGTCGAATACTGCCTTTGATACTCCTCAGCGGGCTCATCCTGCCGTTTGGAAGGGCCTCGTCGGCGCGAATCCTCTCGGCTCGTGGGTTCACCATTGGCGGTCGCGATTGTAGCTTGGCCCCTGCAGTAAATGACAGGTCTTCAAGAAAGTTTTCTCTCTCAGTGGCAAACTTTAGAAGTGCCTTGTCGAAATCGAAATCGGGCATGCCCATGAGCACAAGACCTGGGGTTGGGCCCTGCGTCGAACCCTCGGGAGAGGCGCCATTTGTGGCAGGGAAATTCCCAGTTGGGCCAGCAGGCTTGACTGGTTTTATGGTGGCGCTGCTCCTGTTGCTGCGAGTATTCCCGTTGAGCTCATCGAGGGTGCTGGCAATCGAGTATCGACCGTCGATTGAGATTTTGGAGAGGCGGTTGGCAGAATTTTGGCGCGAATGACGAGCAGCGTTCGGTTTGTGGCCGTTTCTGGCGACATGGTCAGGCTCACCATGTTCCGAAATGGTTGATTCGACGGGAATGCTGTTGATGTGGGTGTTGATGGCAGCAGCATCGTCGTACGACACTGACTCTACGCCAGCAATCCAAAAGTAATCTGCCAGGGGAGTTGAGGTGCTCTCCATGACATCCAAGATGAACTCTGCCCGGGAGGCGGGCAAACGCCAACGGGAGCTGCTGTCGAAATTTTTTGGTTTTTTTTTCCCCGGCCTTTTTCTGCAACAAGCAAATTGTGCTGCTGGGCGGACGTGCCGCCAATAAACCGAAGGCTCAGCTCAGGCTCTCTCGAGGTCCAGGCACAGCTACAACGCAAATTTGCGAGACGGTTGCCGGCCCGGTCCCCAAGGTGCTGAAGCAAATACTAGTTGTGAATCTGGAACACGAGTTAGAGGGCCATGAAAGTGTGCCGAGTACACAGCGGTCGAATGGTCCAAACATTCAGGATAGAAATCAACCAGCGTCGAGGCCGAGATGCACGTACCAGCGGCAGGCCGATTGCTCGAAATTCGGGACAGCGACGCTCCGAAATTTATTCGTCGGTGCTCGTCAGGGCAGATTCACTGGGTGGGCTTGGGTGTGGTTGGTCGTTGGCTGCGCTCTGTGGCGGCAGACAGACAGAAGTAGGTGGCCAGGACCAGAGACGCCGGCGATGGGCAATGGCCGGCGAGGTGAGAAGCTAAAATGGGATTTATTTGAGACACGGCGAGACGGCACTCCGTAGTACGCATGGGCTCGTCTCGTCTCGCCCCCAGGTGGGGAAGGGGGAAGGGGAGAGGCGGCGGCGCACGATTTAAAGGTCGACTCCCGGCAGAGCCTGTCAAGACCATGTTGACATTGTCAGCCCTGGAGTGTCGAGCGTCTGGTGACCGTCACGGACGGATTTATGTATACTTTGCAACAAACTCAAATCGGCTCCAGCAATGGACCAAGTGGTATTCGCGTAAATAAAGCACAAAACGCACGGGCGCCGCACACAGGAGCAGGGCGGTAGCGACACGGGTACAAGGCCAAACTAGACGAGGCAACAGGGGACATCAGTACATCAGTCAGGCCGTCAGAGGGATGGAAACGAAACGGCGACATGGCGATGCTCGATACTCCGTACACCTTGACTGGCACCAGAATCTGGCCTGGCAGTCAGGACTCGGGACCCGGAAGGAGGAGCAGACAGCACTCGAACTCGAGTTTCCTCACGCGTGAGGCACGGCCGTCCATGTCGACACGGCAACCGCAACGGCAACCGCAGCGCCAGCGCCAACGCCGACACCCAACTTGAACATGGATGATGGGACTCTGCAACATCCCATGTCGATTCTTGTTCGTGGTTCTTGGGTGTCTGGTTCCCCTGCAAATGCCCAATCATGGGAGTGCGTGCCGTTGAACAACTGAACAACTTGAGCCGAGACAGACCCCCGTGATGCTACTTCAGCAAGTACCGAAGTACCGAGGTACCGAGTGCCAGTGCTCCCAGTACATACTGCCAACAGTAGGGTACCCGGCAGCCCGGTACGTACTCACTAAAGTACTCAAGTACTCCGTACAATGCTGCTCTGCGCAGCACCATGCCCGACTGCCCGACCCCTGAAGCCAGTTCGCACGTTGCCACGGTGTGCTCTTGCTCCTGCGCCTTTCAACTCAACGCCAGCTCAACGCCAGCTCAACGCCTCCACGCCGCCGTCAGTCCAGGTCACAACAAGCTCCGTACTCCGTACTCCGTGTGCTCCGTGCTCCGTTATACCTGTTACACACCTGGACGTCTTTGGAAGGACAGGCCAGGACCGGCCAGGACAGGCCAGGACAGGACCACTGGGAGCCCGTCGATCCTGAGCTTCCTCCACCGGCCAACCGACCGAACCAACGACCAACGACCCGCATCGCATCGATTCAGCAGCCGGCCGCCCGGCTGGCTTTGGCCTCGCCCCATCCCCAGCCGAAAGCGCACCAGAGATTGAACCCAAAAGCCACGAATCCACCGCCCACTGCAGGCAAGCCCAAAGCGCAAGAGCCAGACGCCGGAGACGCAGCCCACGAGAGGTCCTGTCCAATAGCCACGTCCTCAAGCAGCTTGGGACTTGGGCTTTTTCCGGGCCCCTGCCTGCCGCTAGCGCCTCTTGGTGGCGGACGACGACCATCTTTTTTTGTTCACGGTCTGATAACGTGGGTGGCCCTGCGAGGCGCCTTGCGCTTGGTCTCTGGGCTTGGCCAATACGTCATCGGCGGCACATCAAGTCGCTATGCCAGTCGAAGAACTCATCTCGCCATACTACCGCCTAGCACGTAGTTACCCGGTGCAGACACTGGTCTCGAATACACCCAGCCAGGTGAATCAGTCGGGACCACATCATGTTCCCAATCACAGGTATCATGTAGAGAGACGGCAAGCAGCTTTACGCGAGCCAGCTTGGTTTGCGTTGTAAGACCGTCTGCAGTGTGCGCCAGACTGGCATCTGATATAGTACGGTATTATTGAAACTGAGCTTCTGTGCGAAGGCAGCGTCACATTTGTTCCTGTTCCCTGGCCCATACCGTCGCCAAGAGGCCTAGATTTCGCAATCACACCTCAACACAGAGTCAGTCACCTTACATATATCAGGGAACGACAGCCGGGGGGGAGAAATAAAAATTAAACCCCCTCCCCCCAGTTGGCTCGTTTGCGCCTTCACTTTCACGACCCCCCCCGCTACCCACATCGTATTCTGGCGTCTACTCCGTACCAAAGTATCATATTCTTTCAGGCAACGTCGAAAGCACGGAGACGGGCCATCCGCTGCAGCAAGCAGGGGCATGCAAGACGAAGTCAACTCATCGGTTCATCATGCCGAGTGCGGAGTAGCACGTACGTCGTCTTCCTGTGCCAGAAGGGCTCCCCTCCTCCTTCGACACAAAACAGCGGTATCGGATGACGGCGAAAACAAGACCTGGCTGACTATGTCCATCCATACCAGACCACACAACACAAGACACAAGCCTGATTCAGGTCCAACAATGCATGGGGGACAGGCTAACCTTGCCCCAAACCCTTCTATGCTACGGAGTACCAAACATTGATTGACGCTTTGGCTGAGGCCCTGGAAGGTCAATCCGCCTAGTGCTGGCCTGGCCCACGACTCACGGCTAGCCATGCTGCTGGCTGCATTTTCACCAAAAGTCCAGACAACGACGGGGCGCCACACCTGCAAGGGGTCGAAGCCGGGGTAGTGAATTCCGGCACTGGCATCGCACAAGATGCTGGCGACCTCGCCTGGCGCGACGAGATTCGCTTGCCAAGACAAATACCACGAGCCATTAGGAATGACTGCCGTCTTCGTCCGACCCGGCGGATTTGCCGCTTGTCCAGCTGAGCAATGCGGAGTGTCTTGATGGGCCTCATGGTGCTGCAGGGGCCTTGGCCACTCTCTCCTCTCCTCTTCTCTCCTTCTCTTCTCGGAACAACACAAAAGAACTGGGTTGGACATACATACTAATTCCCTCCTTTTCCAGCCATCCCACCACTGTCCTCGCCTACCTTCCACGACGATGGAACTGGTCGGGCCATGGTCATTGGTGACTCACGGCGACAAGGAACCCACGGTCCGGCGGCAAGTTGGACAGCCATGACCAAGACGGAAACGTGCGGATGCGGGTGCGGGTGCTCCGTACGGGTGCGGGTGCGGGTGCGGGTGCGGCAACGACCACAGGTCAGGGTTACCACTCCGTACTCTACTCCGTACTTCCCATCCGTACGGAGTACATGCGACCAGGAACCCGTCCTGCATCCTGCATGGCCCCTGTTAATCAGGCACACATGTGGCGTTTCCCAGCCGGTCTGGACTGATGAGCCAGTGACGACTGACGATCCCCCCCTGTCTTGCACGCTGTTGAGGCCGAAAAGGGGTAAGCAGTGGCACAGCATGTACGGAGTAGTTATGTAGGTAACTTGGTTGCTTGAAGCCTCATGCTTCCTGTTCTGATGGCCCGCGTTTGGGCACAAAGGCCAAGACATGGCCGACGCATGCCCAGCATGTATATACCTAGGTGCCTACTCCGTACTCCGAACCTAACTACAGAACCTACCCGAGTAGTTGGGCACTCTTGTCCAACGGAGGAAGAACAAAGCACAATAAACTACCGAGTAGTAAGTATTCTCTGACTGTGAAGAGTGGCGGGCCAGCGCTAGCTCATTCACCCAACTACGTACAGAGGAGTCTCTGCTATGTTGCATTCTAGATTTCAGGTCGAAATACCGCCTCCCAGGAGATGGTGGTGGTGGCGTATGTGCATACATGCATGACGAGCGGTGTGTTTCTTGTTTCTACTAGTTTCTTCTTCACTCTTCCTTGCCCCTTCCTTCCATGCTCTCTTTTCTTCCCCTTGTTTTTCTTCTCTGGACGTTCCCTCACAGCCGGCATGTTTTGAATGGGAATGGATGGTGTTTACAACTTACTTGGATGCATGCAGCTCCACTCGCGACCTATTTGTTATCATCTTTGTTTTACGGAGCACGTACATAGCTTGTCTTGCGCCGCCATGACCAAAAGCAAATATACACAGACTCACGGCCACCGATAATGGCGGGCCGGCGTCGCTAATCTGAGCATGTGGACATGTTTCAACAGATTGTGTATGTACGACAACACGCTTGTACGTGCGTATTCTCACAAGTCCGCCGGAACTAACGTCGGGACATTCTCGACAATCAATCATGAGTCGCGCCCCCCGTCTCGATAGGTTGTCGTTTCGTTTCTTTCACAAACCTCGCCTGGATCACCACGTCATGCACGCTGCATGAAATCCAAAGGACTTGATGACGTCTCGGGGCGAAATACCCTTCCAATCGATCGGCAATGCTTGTCCTCGTAAAACCCCTTGCGTCAGGTTGAATCCAAGCACAAGTCCAAAAATAGAAGGGGGAAAAAAAGAAAAGAAAAGAAAACCCACCAACTAAAAAAAAAAAAAACCCCATAATGTATGTACGTATGTATGCGACTGACGGAAATGTGTGTGTCCCAGTACACCCAATCCCTTCATTTCTTCTTCCCCTGACCCTCTTTCGAAAAAGACATCCATTGTCTCTCATCAGCCAACTACCCTCGTCCCCAACTTCCCCGTAGACAAAAACCCCCTGTTCCCCATCTCACCCCTCCAGCCGATGCCCAAAACACCAAAAACCACCTTCCCGTCCGCATCGCCGCCTGCACGACTGCCCTCCTCCGCCTCCTCCGCCTCCTCTACCACAAAACACACTTGTTCCACCTCCCCCGGATGCAAGACTGGCTTCTCCCCCCCAGCCCAGTTGCAGCCCTGACACCGCAAGCCTCGCTCCGGCTCCATGCCCACCTTGTCCAACTGCATCACGTCCTGGCTGCAGTTCTCCAGCTGCGCCTCCAGCAACCACCTCCTCCTCCTCCTCCTGCTGCTGCTGCCACCGCCGCCCTCCTCGCCCCCCAGCAGGCCTACCTTTGTGCGCACAATCAGGCTAGCCTTGCACATGAACTGGTACAGCTTGCGAAACGTCCTCGTCCGGCCGCTCGTCTCCCCCGCCTCGTAGTAGCTCACCGTCACGGCGAGCACGTGGTTCCCCTCCTCCTTGAGGTCGAACGACACCACCTTCTGCAGGGTCTCGCCGGCAGCCAGGTCCGCGGGGGGGCCGTCGGCCAGGGGCAGCTTGTGCGCCCCCCCGAGCCCGGGCGTCTTCATCTCGGCCTCGATTCGCACATGGCGGATCTGCTTGCCCGGCGGTGACGGCGACGACGAGGCGACGTCGTTGTTCGCGCAGAGCGTGCAGCTGAATGTCTCGCCGACGTAGGCCGATCCAAACGACACGGGGAGGTTGACGATGGGACTGAGCAGGAACGGCGCCGGGTTCGTCGCCGACGCCGTCCTGTACGAGAGGCTGGACAGCAGGTACGGGGGGTGCGTGAGGGCCGCGGCCCCCTTGGCAGCCGTGGCCGCGAGCGGGCTGCTCGGGTACTGCGGCACGAGGGACGGCCGTGATAGTCTATGTGTCGAGAAAGTTGTTCGTGTTAGCCTCGCCCTGTGTGCACTGTGCACTGTGTGGGATGCGAGAAGGGGAGAAGGTGCCGAACCGGAGGACCTTGACGGAGACGGCGTGCGGCTCCTTGATGGGGTCGTGGGATGAATATCGCGGCTGGCTCATTGTGGCCGAGACTCCGGCTGCGCTGGGCTTTCGTCCTTGTCAAGTTGGAGCGAGGTTGGCGAAGCTGACTGCGTGATTGATTGGTGGTGGGGCGGCACAGCTGCTTATCGATACGGGGGCCGCGACGTCATCTCCATCCCAAGTACGTAGTTGAGCCCCAGCACGTGTGGTTGGCACGCCCGACAATAGGAGAACCAGCAAAAGCCAACGTAACGAAGAATGCTGTGTAATTTTGTTCGAGTCTCGCTTGTTTGTTGTTGCAACCTGCTCTATCTGTCTCTTTGCTATTCAAGTGGATGCTACAGTTTCTCACTTCGTGACAACTCGCCGAGGCTACAATTCATGCACGCACGGCGCTTCCTACGCGGCTTCCCTGTCCACGTCATGTCAATACGTAGTACAGCGCGTTGCACTCACATTTTCTCAATTAACTACTTCCTCATCTCCTCCGAGCCACAAATTGTCTAGAGTGACGCCATGGTCAAGATAGTGAACTACAAGTAGCCAGATGAGCGATTCTGAACGGGTCCACGACCCCCAGAATATTCAACTATTTGCCATATCAGCAAGATGTTTGCCCATACACTACATAGTTGGAATAGCTTTATAGCCCCGGTGGGGGAGGCACCTAGGGATCGTCAACACGTTGCGGTTCTTTGTAGTCAACCTCGTAAACCACTTACAGCGCTGTAGCTGCCGCCTGGTGGTGAACCTGACGGCGGGGGCGGAAGAGCCGCACTGGGCGGGGGCGGTGGAGGAGGTGCTGCTTCGCTCGGCGGCGGAGGAGGCGGTGATGCAGATGTTGTAGCTGCAGCTTGGCCCGGAGCACCAGCTGTCTGGATTGCTTGAGCTCCGTAGTACTGCTGGTACAGGGCAACATAGCTGTCATGGTTAGTTTGTGAAACCACGATGCTTGGTCATGGGAACTTACTTGGCATAGCCGCCATATGCAGCATATGGATCAGCACTGCCGTAGTACTGAGCGTATTGAGCGGCATAGTCGGCGGCGTTTGTTGCCGGGCTGTTAGTGCCGTGAGCTGGGCTGTTGGTAGAGGCATTCTGGTCTTGGCCATATCGATCCTGACCGTATCCGCCATATGACTGGCTGCCTCGGTCGTGATGGCGGTCGTTTCCTCCTCGATATCGGTCTCCTCCGTGGGGGCCGGCTCGATCGTTATACCGAGGCGGTCGAGACTTGAACTCCTCATATTGCTCCTTGACATTGGCGACCAGGTCCTCGCAGAGTTCCTTGCCTTTTTCAACCATGCTGGGATCAGGGCCACTATGGATGATGGTTAACAACAAGATACGTACGGATGACAGACTGGCCTGTACGTACGCAACATGCAAGTACATTTCTTCGTCACTCTCTCGATTGGTAGCACCCTCGAGGTAGCCAGATCCGCGGCCTTTGATTTGCACACGGCAGCCAGTCTCCTGTTGGATGTGCTTCACGTATGACCCGCCGTGGCCAACGATTTGCGCTCGCAAGTTGAATCCTTGAATCGGTTCGAGATCAATAGGGATTCTCTCCTCGGGCCATTTCCGCTTTGCAAGTGTCAGTGATCCAGGGCAAGCAGGACTTTGATGGGGTCACCGGCAAAACGCTTACTCGTCCTCCATGCTCACGCTCGCGCTCACGCTCAGGTTCCTGCTGCTCCTGGTCTCGTCGGCGGAATCGTCGTTCATCAACCAGTTGCGGCAGTTCTTGCTTGATGAGTTCATTGATCTTGGCAACGGCAGCTTCGAGGCCTGCTTTGCTCGTGCTGGTGATGTGAAGGTAAAGCGGTGGGTTCTAAATCTACATGTTGGCGGCTGCACCCTTTGACACTGTTGGAAATGACAGAGACAGGAAACTTACAGCAGCGGTGGCCATAGCCTTATTAGGGTAGTAATTGCCCCGAGTGGTAATATCTTGAAAAGGTCAACCCATGTCCAACGGAGAGAAAGTTTGAGTGAGAGGCAGTTCGTACCAGCTCCGGTTTCTTCACCGATCTATAATCAAGCGGGAGTCAGTAGGAGGAAAGACGAGGGGATTGCTGGCGCGAGCTATCATGCCAGGTGTAAGCATGATATCCCCAATGCTAATTGGCGCCCCAAGTGAACTAGGATACGCGAGAGATTGATGGATTTGAAAAGTCTGTGAAAATCAGGTACATATTTACCTTTTTCTGTGTAGAACTCTTGGTGACTAAGTAGCGATTACGCAGGTCATTGACCTCGATGTCTTGGATGTAGTCGCCATCGGCGGTGTACATTTCCTTGCTGACAGAATGAGGCTTTGCTTGTCCCGACTGCCCATCTGCAGTATTGGCAGACTGAATTGGCGGTACATCAACGTGTTGAATACCCTTGCGAGCTTGGAGCGAGGCATTGATTCTAGCGGCGGCGGCAGCTGCTAAGGTAATTAGCACTTGGTTCGATTCTACATAGACCACGGGCTATTCGCCATCGATGAGGCGAAAGGGAAGGAGTCTTATAGCGTACCAGCTGCCGCTGCTGCATCAACTGGCGACCCTTTCTTGTCCGATGGACTGTCCTGACTGAGGGGACTGCGGTCTCTACCCTCGGATCGGCGAGTTGGTGGTGAACGCGAGCGGCGGTCGAACCTCGACGCCCTCTTTGGCTCGGGTTCTGTTTGGTCAAATCGTGACCGCTTGGCTGTTCGCCTTTCCAAATCCTCCATGCTGCAAGTAAAGCGAGAAGCCGAGTGTGAGCTACGTCAACAAGGCGCTCAGAGTCGACTGAAAAAATTGCCTGGTAGTCTTTTCACAGGCAAAGTGCGTGCGTACGTCTGTGTGCAAATCAGGACAACGCTTCAGGCGGAGTCGGTCAGCCCTTTACGTAAAAAGACAGGCTCGTGTGATCGTCGGTCGACTGTAGAAATGTGAGATGTAGGCATAAGTCGGGCGCAACCAACTTGCGGAAAAGTTGGTCGCAGCACGGTAGAAATTACAGCAGAAAATTGTACGTGAATGATTGACGAAACCAGCCGCGGTGGTGGCAGCGCCTGAACTAAGCTTACGTAAGTACTGAAGTTACTTCAAGGCAGTGCTTACGTGGGCAATCTGGGCCCAGCCATTGGTTCGTTTTGTGAGCCTCATAGATACTTGAGATTCGGTAACCTACCATGGAGGACGAATCAAACACATAACAATATCAAAGCAGTAACGTTATTATCTACATTTAATTTCCGCATCCGTTATTTGGTGAGATCGTAGATAACGCGAGGGGAGGCCAGCTTCCTTCGCGTTATACGTAGGCTCTTGTTCGGTATGGTGTTTACTTTTTCTCTTTCTTTTCTTTCCCGCACTGAACGGTTCGGCGTCATGTAATTCATGTGCCACGTCTAGATGTCGAGAACACGACTGGGGAGGGCAGATTAGTGGCTTAACCCTACTAAATAACTGTACAAGTTTTGATTCAAAACACGGTCAAACCGAGACCAAAATCATGCCGAAGACGGATTTGCGGGCCGGGGAAATTTGCCACGTTTTTTTGAAGTCACAAAAAAAGTGACATGATCCCACACCAATCATAAGGTGGCACAGATAAGTATTGCCCTCCCTTTGATTCCAAGCACTTTTCGAATCAACTTTCTCGCGTCATCTCACGCTTCTAGATTACCGTGCCGCATGTCTTCTCCCCAAGACGAAGCTAACAAAGAAAAAAGACGTCTCTGCGATGCGAGCGCTGAGGACTGAGTGAGTTCTCCAACTTAAAAGGCAACAAAGGTACAAAAATTGTGCTTCGCACGGTGTATCCACCAATCAGCTGCCCCATGCTCCAGCCAGTCGCCTCCGATTTCTCGGAGCTCCAAAGAATTTAGACCTCCGACCTATCGTGATGCCAATTGACTCACGACGGCAATTCTCTTGCGGCAACGTATCCCGCCGTCCTTTCCGACGTGGAAAGGATTCCGAAAAGACCATCTCACCTTTTCACAAAGGGATAGCCATTGATCGGCCATACCCTACCTGAAAAGCAAACAAGATGGCCTCCCTCCGATCATATGCTGCTCCCTTTCGCTGGGCGACTAAAACGTCAACACTCGGCTTCGTGCGATACATCTCATCCCATAGCAGCTCGACCTCTGCCATTGCCTACAAGGCTCTTCGAAACCGCTCCGCCCCGTTGCCTGTGGCAAATTCCCCGCCGGCATGGTCTGCCCAAGCCGCCGTTTCCAACATCCTCTACGAAACGCCTATGCCGTCCACGGCGCCGCCGAAGCGCCATGTCCTGAATTGCCTGGTCCAGAACGAGCCCGGTGTTCTCTCTCGTCTTTCTGGTATTCTGGCCGCCCGTGGATTCAATATTGACTCGCTCGTCGTCTGCAACACCGAGGTGGAAGACCTGTCTCGCATGACCATTGTCCTGACTGGTCAAGACGGTGTTGTCGAGCAGGCTCGCCGCCAACTAGAGGATCTTGTCCCCGTCTGGGCCGTGCTTGATTACAGCAATGCTGCCCTTGTGCAGCGTGAGCTCCTCCTGGCCAAAATCAACATCCTAGGCCCCGAGTACTTCGAAGAACTGCTGGCTCACCATCGTGAGATTACGGCCGGCGAGTACGAGGGCGAACAAGCTCCCGAAGGTGCCGAACAAGCTCAATCTTTGGAAGAGACGTCGGCCGACTTCCATCCTAGCAAGCTGGCAGCTAGCGAGGCTTTGCGTCACAAGCATGAGCACTTGAAGACCATCACGTATTTCGCCCATCAGTTTGGTGGCAAAGTTTTGGATATAAGCACCATTAGCTGCATTGTCGAACTGTAAGTTGATACCAAGAGTGGGGATAAGTATTTTGAAATGGACATTAATTTGGTGATTACAGCTCTGCGAAGCCTTCTCGAATCGACTCCTTTCTCAAGCTCATTGCTCCCTTCGGTATCCTCGAGTCAGCTCGTACTGGTCTAATGGCCCTGCCCCGCTCCCCTCTCCGTGGTCCTACTGAGGAACCTCTGGCCAAGGAAGCCGAAGAAGTTGTCGATGCCAGCCAGCTGCCTCCTGGTTAAAGCGAATTTTTCTTTGCAGAGTGGAGCATTAAGTAAGCTCGTTGACCACTTGGCGTCTGAAGCAACGGGGGGCTTTGTGTATAGTATAGTTGTTTTATATTGGTTCTATTTTAAATTCAACAGCTACTTACGCTACTCGACCGGAACATACCCGAATCTGTTGTTAAAAGCTGAAATCAAATGTTGATATTCCCATGCTTACATTCTTCAACTACGTTTGCAATTTGCCCTTGTTAACGACGAAGCCCTCGAGTGCAGCTGTTCACATGTTAGGTCTTGTTTTTCAATGGACATAGACTCGAAGCACGTACCAACAGCGGACCAAAGCCGATTCTCGGCCTCGGGAAAGACGAGAGACTTGGGACTGTAGAAGACCTCTTCTGTGACCTCCTCGGGATGTCGAGGCAAGCAGTGCATAAACTTCCAGTCCTCTTTAGCGCCACCCCTTTTGGCCAACTCATTCGTGATCTGATAACCCGCAAACGCCTTCAGCCTCTTCTGGTGCTCACTCTCTTGGCCCATGGAAATCCAGGTATCCGTGACTAAAATATCCGCATCCCTGATGGCTTCCTCGGGGATCGTAGTCTCCGTAAGATTACCTGGAGAACTGACACCCTCGGCCGAAGAGGTAATGAGCTGTCTCATCTTATCGGGGATACCGTAGCCAACAGGTGATGCAACGGCGATATCAACGCCCATCTTGACGCAGCCAATGGCCAGATCGAAGAGAACATTGTTGGAGTCTCCCACCCAGGCGACTTTCAGGCCGTTGAGACCCAGGCCAGCTGCAGAGGATTCTAAAGACGGGAATGCTTCGTGGATGGTGAGAAAGTCCGCAATGGTCTGGAGAGGATGGAAGTCTTCGGACAGGGCATTGATGACCGGCACGCTAGAGTGTTTGGCGAGATTGGCGACATCGGAGTGAGGTCCGACACGGGCGACCATGCAGGACGTCATTGACGAGATGACGACTGAAGTGTCGTACAGGCTTTCGTTTACCTAACACGCGGTCAGTAAGCATGTAATTCACTACAGATACGGGAATCAAAAAGGAAGGCAAGCATACACCGAGCTGGATATCATCCTTGCCCAGAAACATGGGATGCCCACCAAGCATCGTCACCGCGGCCTCAGTAGACACACGCGTCCTCGTGCTTCTCTTACTGAACATCATGGCAACCGTTTGGCCTGACAAAGAAGTCCTGAGTGAGGGCGGCGTCCGGCCGGCCTTTGCGGCCTGTTTGCGAGCAGCGGCATTGCGAACTAGGTTTGAGAATTCAGCGGGTGTGAGGTCGGCGATGGACATGAGATGCCTGGGTCCTGAGGATTGAGAGTACGCCCGTTTTTGCAGGCCGTTGAGGGCGAGACGCGCCGTGCGAAATGTTGATGGCTTCATGACGAAATGTTTGACATTGGCAAGATTGATGGCATCAATGGAAACGACGGATGCGGGAAGATGGAAAAGGAGGTGGAAGCGGCAAGTCAGGATGGCGTTGCAATCGATCCAATCGATATCTCACAAAATATGCATTACAACGTCTTGGGACTTTCGATGAGCTGGATGGGTGATGATGGCTCATTGTCCAATTTGCTGTCGCCGTTGGCGGAGCTCGACATCACAGTGTTCGTACTGTGCAGAGGGTTTAACTCCTTTGTCTCGCGCCCAGATTGAAATTCGAGGCGTCGATCATGAAGCAAAAGAAAAATGTAGTTTGATGGAAAGCCAAGAGTTTTTCATACATTTTATTACAAATGAAAGCATGTGAATAAGCTCTAACTTACTGCTTCCCAAGAGACAGTAAGAAAACTAATAAATGTGACGGCGCCATCTGCCAGCCACGCTCGACATACTCGTCCCAGCCCGTTTCTGAATGTAGCGAAGGCTGCAGCTCTAGGGTAGTATTCACCATCCTGAAAGGGCCACCATTGAGATGCGCTAGTCTTAATTTGTGGTGCCTGAGCTCTGTAGCCAATCATCAACAATTTCACGTAATCCGATGCCGGGCCTTGACCATTGTTCGCTTCCCATCAACTCTTCCACATACATCAATCGTCATTGCCATCATCATCCCCTTCCCTCTGGTCTTTTCCATCTCATCAACCTCCCTTTCTGGCGTCTCGAAACCATACCCTCATTGTGGATTTTCACCTACCTTCACTCTTACTCCTAGTCTTGCCGATCCACCCTCGACACTTGTTGCTGGTCATGCCCCTCCCAACCTGAGAGACCTAAGCAACGTCATCATGGCCGCCGACTCGGACGAAAGATCTCCGCTGCTCGCTGCGACTACTGAGCACGAAAACGGATGTGAAGCGAATGCATCCCATGAGTCGTCGCCTCTATTAAGAAATCGAAGAAGATTTTCTGCTACTAACAGCGACCATCAACATGACCATGACGAGTCCCAAGATCCTCCTAGTAAGGGCGAGGCGCCGCTGCGAAAACCAAGATGGTCATCTCTCATTGCCATGGCTATTTTGGCCACTTCAGTCATAGCGGTTATGGTCCTCGGCTTTGTTGTGCCGCCGGCCGTCCGGCAATACGTCGAGAGCGCAGTTGTGTTGGAGCCAACAGACTTATCGGTCGAATCCTTGACGGCTGGTGGAGTTCGTGCCCGTATGAAGGCCACATTCCAACTTGACGGTTCAAGGGTTAAAGATGAGAATGCGCGTCGTGTTGGAAGACTTGCCACAGGCATTATGAGACAGCTTGGTACTGCCGAGACCAAATTGCGCGTATATTTGCCTCACTACGACAATGCTCTTGTCGGTACGGCGGCGCTGCCACCAATCACACTCAATCTTGTGGATGGCCAAGTCACAAACTTGGATTTCGTGACCGAAATTGCTCCCGGCGACACGGATACGATGCGAAAGGTGGTCAACAAGTGGCTCAAAGGAAACCTCGACACACTCAAGGTCACTGGGGCCACTGCCCTCAGCTTGAAATCGGGCATCATACCACTGGGAACTCATGACGTTTCAGAGTCTATGGTATTTGAAGGCCAATCTCTCTACCGCGCTTTTGCCTCCCTGTATTTTGGTCCAAAGACCATCATATAATACGCAGTGTACTATTAATTTAGAGCACTCTGGCTAACGCTTTCGCAGCCAATGAGTTTCCGTCCATGCCGGCGTATACCATGCAGAGCCTCGTTTTCCATGACGTTCCTGTTGGTGACAATGGCCAGATGGGAGTTGGCGCAAACGTAACCATCACCGCTTACAACGAATTTCCGATCGAGCTGACCGTGCCGTCTCTCGGTTTTGAAGTCCTCGTCCCAAACTGTGACCCATCTCAGTCCAACATCAAGATTGCCGCCGCCGTGACGAGTGCAATTGAGGTGCACGCCCAGTCCAACGTTACTGTAGAGTCGGAAGGCACCATTCGGGAGCTTCCAGAGATTCTCATCAACACGTGCCCTTCAAGTGAGCTGTCACCACTGGACAACTTTATGATGCGTTATCTGCACGGAGAGGATGCCGAAGTGTTTGTTCGCGGAAAGGCACCTGAGACTGGCGATCTTCCGGGATGGGTTGGCGAGTTCATTGAAAGCATCACTGTCCCCGTCCAATTTCCGGGACGCTCATTGGATAATTTCCTACGCAACTTTTCATTTGAAGACGTCGACTTTAAGTTGCCCAGTCCATTTGCCGACCCAGGAGACCCGGATGGCAAACCTCGGGTATCTGGCACTGTGCAGGTCCTTGCTGCCCTGCCCGCCGACATGAACATTAATATTGAAGTAAACAGTCTCCGTGCCAACGGCGACCTCCTGTACAAAGGCGCCAAATTTGGAGAGCTGCGCGTTGATGAATGGCAGAAAGCCACTTCGAGTATTATCAAGGACCCTGGTGACGAAGAAGACCTACTGAAGGTGGTCGCAAGAATCGTCGACGCCCCCATCGATATTACCGACGACGAGACATTCTCAGATATCATACAGAAGCTTCTATTCGGCGACAAAGATGTCACCCTCGACGTCGATTCCACCGTGGATGTCAAGGTATCGACTGTTCTCGGCGACCTTGTCATAAGAAAAGTGCCCGCAAGGGGCAAAGTTCCTGTGAAACGTCCGTCATCCATGTGGTAGTGTGCTTTCCAGGCGAGAGCATCATGTCTCCTACGTCAATTTTCTTCTTCGTCAAATACATGAACAAGCGCTCGACTGTCCCCTGGCTAACACGCTGCAGACATGCCTGGGGACACACTCGCAGCCTTGAACCCGCAGGTCGGGGAGGTGCATATCCTCAACACCTCTAGTACAGGCGTGCATATACAGGCATCAGTCAACCTCACGAACCCCACACCATACACAGCATCGATACCATACGCCAATATACATATTATTGAAGACGATCTCTTGATTGGCGAAGCTATTACGAAGAACTTGCATCTTAAATCTGATAACAATACAAACATCATAGTGGAGGCAACATGGGATCCTCACTCCTTTGGAGGAAAGAAAGCCCACAAAGCAGCTCGTCGTCTACTATCAGAATACTTGTCAGGAAAGAACACAACCATAGCGCTGCGAACACACAACGGCACAATTCCGACAATGCCAATCATTGGCGAAGCCTTGTCCAAAATTAACATAACATTATCAACACCGCGACTAGAGCTACCAGGTGAGGAAGGAAAAGAAGGCCAGGGCTTCATTCGAGACGCCACGTTCCACATTCTTTCATCTACTGCAACATTCATGCTTGCCTCACCGCTGCACCACGACACGGTTCATATAGAGTACATCAACGCTACAGCCTTTTACAACCATACAGAGCCTGTTGGCCAAATTACACGCAGGGAAGCATTCGACGTCCCGCCGGGATTGTCGCAAACTCCACGACTACCGGTTGAATGGTCGGCCGACCACGTCGGCTTTGATAAGCTTAGGAAAGCAGTCGGCGGGAAATTGAAGCTGGATGCGGTGGCGGACGTTACAGTCAGGATGGGATACTGGGTCGAGACGGTCCATTATATGGGCAAGGCCATTGGTGCCAAGGTCTCTTTGTGAAAGTCATTGACTTGGGACATTGGCAGGCTAGGGGCCCTCCTACACGGGATAAACGGAGGTTTTCGTTGCTTTTAAATAACCTGCGAGCGTAAAATTACGAATTCAATTACACTCTGCGCTCTTTGTGGAACAGGACTGATGTGACTTCAAACTGTCTGGTTGAAATGTCCTGCAGGTTGATTACAATACCATGAATCTGGGGAAGCATACGTCTTGATGGAGCTGTTACGACATGGGACTGTTCCCAGCAGCGCCCCGATTGACAAGTAATACGAGCTACGGAGCCACGAGTCCCGTCTTGGCTTGGGATGGTGCAAAGGAAGCCGTCGACAGCAAACGCGTACAAAGTTATAGGCGCTCTACAAAGAACTCATCACAGCGCCAGATACATACTTACCTTGTCGTTCTAATCAGCACGTGTCAGCACGACCGTAAGCGCAAGTCAGGGCCAAAAATAAAAATAAAAATGCAAGGGTATCAGCACCTTTTTGGTACATATTTCTGCCTTGGACCGCGGTGGACTCGCATTTCCTTTTTTTTTTTTTTGAAAAAAAAAAGGAAAAGAAAAAGAGTGGTGCGCGTTATACAACAAGTCATAGCTTAACCAAGACGTACGCCCGCTTCCCGCCGCTTCTTCAACTGTTGCGCCGTGGCGGCGCTCATGCCGCCGTCCCTGCCTGCGTCAAACAGACTCAGGGCCTCTCTTCTCTTCTCGTCTTCAATCTTTTTGAGGCGTTTCTCAGTCTTTCCCTTGCCACTGCCCTTGCCGTGGAACTGGTGGCTCAGGTGCTTGAAGGCCTCCTTTTGGTCGAGCGCCCGGCCGTGCTCGTCCGTGTACCTGAGCTCGACGTTGGGCTTGTAGGTTTGGGAAAAGAGCTCTGCTATGCGCCGGGACTGCTGTTGGTCTCGCCACGTGTTTTGCTGGCGGGCCCAGTCTTCGCGCTCGCGGACTGTCATGCGGTCCAGGCGTCCTGAGGCACGGTCGCGCTCGCGCTGCTGCCGGGTTTGCTCGTCGAGCTCTTCCTCGAGGAGGCGTTTGCGCGAAAGGAAGTCTTCTCGGGCCCGGAAGGCCTCGTAGTCGGCGGCGCGGGATTCTTCGATAAGGCCGCGTTCGCGAAGGAGGGAAAGGGCTGCACCCATGCCGGCGCCAATGGCCTTTTCCTTCTCGACGCCCACTTCCTCTTCCTGTGCTTGGGGTGATACGGATTCTTCCTTGATTGCCGGGCGTTGCTCGTCTTGGCCGTTTTCCATGGGGTGGTCTTCTGGCAAACCCGGACTTTGGGTTGTAGATTTGTGGCGTCTTGGTTTCCTCTCTTCGTCGTCGTCCCGTTTGCTTAAGCCAGACACGAATTCTGAAATTTCTCCGATTACTAGGCCGGTGGTTTCGCTGGTGCCGTCTGCTTGCTGCTCTGTGTCATCACCATCTTCGTCTTTGAGCTGCTTTGCAATGTCCTCCGGCCTGGCCTTCTTTTTCTTTTTCAACGCGCTCTTTCTTTGAAGTGCTAGTGACGCCTGAAGATCGTCATCGTCTACAAATGTATCCGATTCGAGGTTTCTCTTCTTGCTGGTGTTCTCTTTGCTGTCCACGTCCATGGCGTTGCTGTCTAATTGGACCTCGAGAGGGAATATATCGTCATCGTCGTGTTGTCTTTTCCTCGTCACCTTGGATTTCCTCTTCTTGGGTTTCTTTACTTTGATTTCTGACGGGGCGAGGTAGTCGGAAGACATGGGCACATCGCCAATAACGTCATCAAGGCTGACGGTGGCTTTCCCTGTTCTTGGCGCAGGCTCGCTAAGAATATCGGCGAGCTCTGCAATTGTGCCGCTTCCGTCGAGCGTGAATGCCTTGCTTTTCTTCCCGTAGATCTCATCATCGTACTGGGCCAGGATTCCGCCTTGGCCTTCCTCATCGTCATTAGGGTCGTATCCCCGCCGTCTCTTCTTCAAGTCGAGCCTCTCGCCCAGCCTTTCCTGCTCACGCATGCCCAGATTCTCGAGCTCGTCGCCTTCTTCCTCATTCTCTTCGATCGTAGTGTCTTTCAGCGTGAGAACCTGGTCTTCGCCACCGAGAAACTCCGACGTATCGTGCGCAACTTTGATGCCAGCGAGATCTTTGGAGGTGTACTGAACAGCGGCAGCTGCCTGAGCTTCGGCTGCAGCAAGTTCGGCGTCTAGTTTTCTCGCCTTGTCAATCTTCCTTTGCCGTTTCTTCTGACCCATCAACCATGACTTGGCATCGACATCGCCCTTGCCATCCTCCTCACCGAGGCCCTTGCCTTCCATGACTGCTAAGCGTTGAGCTTCATCGCGAGCCTTTCGAATGGCGGCAGCCCTATCCTCACGCTTTTTCTTTGCAGCTGTCGCCTCTTGATGCCTCTTGTAGTTTTCGTACGACTCAGCTTGTCGGCTCTCAAGCGTGCTCGCTGCCTCTTCGCTCTTGGATGTTGAGGATGGATTGGATTGTACGGCGGCACCCGGGACAGGCAAGGGCTTCATGCCCAGGGACACCCTGATGCGATTGGTTTCCTCAATCGTTGCGACATCCATGGTGTCAACTTTCTCATAGAGCGCGGTGAAAAAAAAAAAAAATTACAGACGCAGTTGCACCGCAGCGATTTATGAGTGCGGCCCAAGGCTACCAACCATCTGATGCAAAGATGCAAAGATGGAGGTTCGGCAGCAGTGCCTCTGGGTCTGGGACATTCAAGCCGGCCACCAAGCTGCGTTTCGTCATCCACGTGACCAGACCCACCGAAAAGTCCGCCAAGCAACCTTTATCAAGGCCCAAAATTTCTCTCACTTCAAATTTCTTTTTCTTCTTCCCAATTACGGATCTGTGCCCAGCGGTCCCTTGCTCCCTTGCTTTTGCGGAAGTCCAAGGTCGATTGCTGTGCAGCTCGATAATCTATGGAGCCATCAACTCGCTATGGTGTCAATGTCCTATCGACAGGTCCAAGAATGACTGGTATAGCCGTCCGGATCGGTCGTCGAAAGATGACTTGAGCCAGGCGGTTGCCAAAGGCTTCATATTCCGCCCCTTTTTTCCGAGACCGTCGGTCCGTGAGGTTGAGGCAAACCATGAAGCATGACTACATTCTTCGCAGAAATGCCCTTTTACGGCTTGAAAGCGTGTGCCGTCTTTGGAAATTCCGAATCTCTGAACCCATAGGAGCAACACAAGTTCTACTATAGAGCCAAATTTTGCTTTCCCTCGTCACGTCTCGACTACCTACTCCCTTTCGCCAGTCTCTAGAATAACATGGTACCACTCCTATCGTCTCAATGCCCTTGGAACCGCTGTTCCAAAGTAATGCCCGGCTGTGTAGATGATGAGCCTTGACGTCGATCCTGTACCCATATTAAAGGCCAATTCTTCTCAGAGGTTCACCTCGCCGTGACCTTGCAAGATATAACAGAGCACATCGCTTTCATCCAGTAAACAAACAGCTCCGGGTGGATTCATCATTCCTCTTGGCCATGGCCCATCACGTCACCTCTTGGGACGACTACTGTGAACCTACAACCCTGACTCCCTGTCCAGATGGATATCACTTCTCATTGACTTGCTACAAGGCTTCTGCAACGTTGTCACATGACGTAACAGGACTGGTTTTTGTGAGATCATGTAGCAGACGGCGAGCCAGACAAGGAAGACTACAGAGAAATATTTGAACATAACAAGACCGTTCTAGAATGGTGAAATATATTTCATCTATTCCTTCAACCAAGGCCACTTACCGCATTGGTCATTTTCACCAAAGTTTTCTAGCGCATCGTCCACTTGTCCATACAACTCGCTCATAATAGCTACTCCCAAATATCGACCACCCTTTTCGTCAAACTTATCAAGGAGTAGCCTTGCTCATGCTAATAAGACGCTTGACACCGACCTATCAACCGTTAGTACAGACTACGTTCTTTGTTTTACCGAATACACATACCATCCAGTTACCACACTCTTCGGTTTTGTCTCGCTGAATCTCAACTTGCAACTTCTGCGCCGCAGCGTAGTCCTTTCCTTGAACAGCCTCTGCCAATCGTGTGAGCTGGTCAATGGTGGCCGGCTGGACGAGCTCCTCGTTGTTAAGATGATCAAACAACAGATTCAGCCGCTTCTGTGTGTCGTTTACCTGGGGGGCAAAAGTAGCAGGAGCCTTTGCCGCAACACGTTGCATGTCTTGGCTTAGAATGTCGACTAAGCGCTGAGCGTGATCCGGCATGTGCGAACGGTCACCAGCGGGATGCTTGGCTTTTGGTGGAGGAGCAGCGGCCTGAGGAGGCGGCGGTGTAGCCTGTGCAAGACTGGGTGGTGGTCCAGACAGAAGAGGACCACCCGTCTGGCCTTGCTGGGGAGCGTATGGCGACGGAGCATACTGGCCTGGTGAAGTTGTTTGCTGAGGAGGCGCGCCGTAGGGGTTTGCTGGAGGAGGTGGTCGACCGCCAGCTGCGGGAGGGGGGGGCATGGCCGACGTAGGAGGCTGATTGGGTCTCTGGGTAGCTGGGCTGGGAGCATATCTGTTCGAAGGAGGTGCTCCGGCTGGAGGAGCATTATAAGGAGATGCCGTTCGAGGGACAAGTTGGGGTGTTGCCAGTGGACCAGCACCGGGCTGTGGCGCAGGGGGTGTGTATTGGTTGGCGGTTGACGACGGCCTGGGAGGAGGGATGCCATGCGTTTGCCCGGTCAGCGGTGACTGCAACCGCAGAGGAGCCGGGCCTTTTGGAGGAGGAGGTTGTGCTGCTGATGTTGCATGTCCGTAACCACCAGGCGGGGGAGGTCCTGTCGGCGGCGCACTCAGACCTGCAGTTGGACTTGCTGATCCAGGAAAGGGCGACATGATAGGAGCAACGGGCGTAGATCTCCTTGGCAAGGCCTTGGTCACTAGAGGGACATCATTCCAGTTCTCTTCCTTCTTCGCCCTGTTCGGTGGGGGACCAGATGGTGTAGACGAGGAACTTCGGGGACCGCCTGTCGTAGGTGGCGGAGGCACCATGCCTCCTCCATAAGCAGGTTGAGTAGTAGGTTGATATCCTAGAGTAGGTTGATAACCCTGTGGTTGATACTGATTTTGTGGCGGATATTGCTGTGACTGGTTTGCGGGAGCAGGAGGCTGGCCGAGACTGCCATAGGGGTTCGCAGATGAACCGGTAATTGCTGGCTGAGTAGCACCATAACCATGAGGAAGCTGTTGCACCCTGCTTGCTGTGCTGGATGTGTTCTGTCTGGCGGTTTGGCGCATCGCAGCTTGGGCCGCAGGCTTCTTGGTCGCCAGCTGGACACGGTTTCTGGCAAGTTCACCAGCAGGGTAGCTGGATGGCAAAAGACTCAGATACTTTTGTGCAAGTTCCAGCTGACCATGACTGGCGAGGATATCGGCATACTCGACATACTTGTCGTACAGAGTTGCCAATTTCCAGTCAGAGGTCTGGTTCTGTTCGCTGTCCTGGAATTTGGTAACCTGTCGGAATACGGTGACCTTTTCTATGAAGTTCTGTAGGGATTTGGCGTGGACAGAGAATGTTGAACCACCAGTGGCCTCCTTCATGCCAGCCTTCTCAGCTTCCTCAAGTTCAGCAACCCAGAGGGACACCACCTTTTCCAGCTTTGAGCCAACAAGATAGCAGAAGGATGCATCCTTTCTTGAGCCACCCTCCTGGATTCGATCGCCTAGAGCTTCGCAAAGGTCAGGGAACTCGGTCGGATCTGAAAAGGTGCAGATAATCGCCATAGATTCTTTCCAGTTCTCAAGGTCGGCATTGTAAACTACATCCCAGAGATTCTTGGCAATGACAGATCCCAACAGACGCATGTAGCTAGGCATATCGCTCTTGTTAGCGAGGTAAGCGGACTGGACCTTGTCGACGAGCTCTTGGCCACCGCAGTTTGCAATCAAGAAAGCGTCCGCAATGCGCTGCTCCTTGAGACAGATTTCAGTGGCTTTGGCAAAGTTACCCAACATTAACGCTTTGGTGATGTCCTGTTCAACGGAAGTATCCCCATTAGGGAACAAGTGGAACGGATTGTCGGTTTTTGCCCCTTTAGTAGCCGCAACGCTCGACAAGAAATCGTCACCCTCATCTCCGCCAAAAAAATCAGAAATCTCCTTGCTCTTCTGCTCGCCATTTTCATCAGCCTTGGCATCAGTTTTTGTCTCATCAGCGCCAGCATCTGCCTTTGAGTCACCATTGACAATCTCATCTTGCTTGAGACCGAGATATTCAACAATCTGTTCTCGTGGGTTGTCTCCGGCAAGCGTCTCGATTACTTTCCAGTCGGCCTTCTCTTCCTCGGTATGAGCCTGCGAAGCACGCTCCTGACAAACAACGCCAACATCGCCACCTTCGAGTGCGGCCTGGAACTTTGCGCTTGCTTCAGAGATATCGGCATCAGCAGAGAAATTGGCTATGGCAATCTTTGAGGAGCGTTTCTGTCCGTGCTGCGATGAATTGGGCTTGAAAATCACAATCTTTCCGCCAAACGCAAAGGTAGCGCCAACGGGGCGTTCGAACCATCTGGGTGCCTTATTAAGAGACCAAGATGCGCCCTGCGGCTGCGTTTGAGCGGCTCGGAAGAATTCTTCGCCATCCAAATTCTTCTCTGCCCGGGTCTGGGATGTGTCTGGGTTGGTGTTCTGCAAGTTCTGGATGGTGATCTTGCCGTCGAAGCTGGCTGTGGCCGACAGATTTGGGTTGTGAGGGTTGAACTGAGTCTGGAAGGTCCAGTTTGTCATCTCGGGCAACTCGCCATACTTCTCGCCTGTTTGAGGGTTCCAGACTAGTGTGCGGTTATCTTTGCCAGATGAAATAACCAAGTCGCTGTCTTGACTGCACCACGAAAGGGACAGAATACCCTGTTCGTGGCCCTGGAGAGTCCTCTCCGGGGCATTGGAGTTGCGCAAGTCCCACAGCAGCAAGACCGGCGTATTGTCATCAGGAGTAGCCGTTAGGAGCTTCGTGGAGTTGTTCGGATCCCAAGCGATAGCGCTTACGGCCTTGCGGTTGTTGTTGAGAGTGAGTGAGGCCTTTTTCGTCTTCAGATCCCATACGGTGACAAAGCCGCCGGCCCCGCCAGTTGCTAATATGTGCGACACTTTTCGGTTCCAAGCTAGGCATTCAATATCATCAGATCGAGCAGCGACGTTGCCCAATCTGAAGGGGTTCTCGATGTCGTTGACATCGAATATGTACAGCTCGCCCTTGGCTCCGGCGGTTGCTAGGATTTGTGGCTTTAAAGGGTTGAACTGCAATGCCTTGATGGCACCAGTGTGCTTGCTTGTCTGTGAGATGAGTGCATCAGAGGCACCAGCCTCGAGCTTCGCGGCGTCCCAAAGCTCAAGGGAGCCATTCTCGAGGGCGCCGGCGATGATGCCCTTGGGATGTTCAGAGTCGGCAGGTCCCCATGCAATATCGTAGAACCTGGCCATGCGTGAGCCTACTTCATACATTTCTCCACTGAGAATTGAGGCCATACCTGGAGTCTGTCGTGATGCTGGCTAATGGCTGCAGCTCCAGCCCTTGCAGCTGATCATCCAGGGAAAGGTCCCACAGCTCTAGTTTGCTTTCATCTGAGAAATCGGCGTCTACGGCGCCGGCACGAGTACCAGACACCAGAAGAGGCTTTCCTGAGCCCGGAGACCAGGCAAAAGTAGCCGTTCGTGGCACTTCTCGAAGGCGCACCATGTTGGCGAGGGATAAACGCGACCCAAGGGAGCCAAGACGAGGCCAGACGATGAGAATCGAATTTCAACTTTGTACAGCTTCTACCGCTCCAATGCCAAGCCTACGGGCTGCGAGTTAGACGAAAGGTTCAAAAAACTGTTGCGGAGGCTAATTACCAGAGTGTGGAATTGGGAGGCTGGCGCAATGTCATGTATGCCATGTAAGTCACAAGTATGATGCCAGATTGCAAGCTCGGGATTGTAATGCTGATAATTTATGGGACCCTCCTGAGCTCCCGCGCGAGGTCCGTGCCTCCTGGAGCGATTACACTCTGACCAAGGGTAGCGGGGGAAGTCACGTGATATATTTGATGCACCTTGCCAGGACAACGCTCAGTCGGCAGTCCAATAAAAGAGCTTGAGCGGCAAAGCGACTTGGACCGGCTACAGAAATTCAAACCAGACAGCTCGAAAAGCCATATCGTGTCACCATGTCAGAGGCTGCTCGCTGGAAAGCCACGGTATTTGTGGGCGGTCTGTCATTTGGCGTGACCACCACTGATTTACTCAATGCCTTCATTCCATTTGGAGAAATTGTTGAAGTGCAGATCCCGAAGCCAGACTCGCGAAAGTCAATGGACACCCACCGTGGCTTTGCATACGTTGAATTTGAGGACCCAGAAGATGCCAAAGAAGCCATTGATAACATGGACCAGTCAGAATTCTTCGGCAAAGTTTTGAAAGTATCGCAAGCAAAAGCACCCAAGAGTGCGGACGAAGGATTGGGCAGCAGGAAAGCAGTCTGGGAACAGGTTTGTCATCCTGTCATCCTCCGAGCTAAATAACCGAAGAGAAACCATGTTCACATTTTTATATGAATAGGAAAGCTGGTTGGCGGAGCATGCCGCGGAAGAACAAAATGGAGCATCAGAAGAACCAGCCGCCAACAGTTCCGCAGTCGATCCTATGCAGGGCTTGGAGGGATTGGATGTAGCCGGGCCGAAACCAGTATGAGGATTCATGGCTATTTTTTATTTGAAATCCTGTTGCCACATTGTCTGATTACAGGGTGATTGCATAGCGAAGGTGTTTAACGGAAAGGCTGAATGTATACAAGAAAAATGAGCACTGAGTTCTGAACAACAAGGGACACAAATCAAGCAAAATGAAAGGCTTCAAGGGCTAAGCATGAATTAACGATCCGTTTTCTATGCCGACATGTACAAATGTTTTGTCTCCGCAAACGAAATGAAATCCTCCAACCCTATTTTCCCAGCGACATTCAGTGATGATCATCAGCACGTCCACCAGGTCCTTGTCTGGCGAGTCGGAGGTTCTTGTCGACAATGAACTTTCGTACACTCGAGTAACCGGCGGCAAAGATGGCAAAACCAACGACGGCGGCTAGGTCTATGGTTAGATTGACAAGCTAAGTAGGCATTTGTCGACTGAGGTGTACGTACCGAGGGGAATCAGCTCAGCTGGAATCTGCTTGAGCTTGCGCAACCGCTGGGAGACAGTGTGGCCTGGAAACCGATTAGCGTACTGTCGAGTATCACGAAGAAGAATTGTTCGAAAAAGTCCCGGTCAACTGTGCTAGGGTCGTTCGGCACATACCGGCCTGGTCTTCCTTCTGTAAACGCTCATTGTTAGCTCCATCTCGGCAGTCCTCGTCAGCACAGCGGACTCACGGGAACCGGTCGCATCATGCGGGCCGTGGGGCGAAACATTCGAAGGGCGGCGGTAGTACGCATCTTGAAGAGAGGAGATTGGTCTGTACAGAACAGAGTGGTATGAAGCAATTGACAAAGATTGTTGCTCCGTCTGGTGGTGCCTCTGCTCAGCACGTCGTGTTGCAATCGCCCGTCGGCCCACTGGTCGGGTGTGGATGCCTTATCCCATTGGTTGGAAAGCCTGAGGCACAAATTCAGCCACCAATACCGGAACAACTGATTGCAAGCTGCGAACGTCAACCGCAGCGCAGCAACCTCATCGCCCGGTCGTACGAGCTCAATTGGCCACCGCCGTGTCAAACTTGCCCAGTCCCCCAGAGTGTCAATCGAATAAATCCACCATGGCTGAAGAAGACGATCAGAAGCTTGTCACCAAGCCCTTCAAGTTCGTTACTGGTATGTGCCGATAATCCGTCCCCTGGTCCGTCCTGACCCGAGGCTAACAATTTCGCAGCCGGTAAGCCCCAACCCTATGGGATTCTCGTGCGCGACTTGGCCGACAGCACATTTGCGTCTATTTTCGTACCCCCGAATACTGACTCGAATTTTCCCCGTAGGCACCGACGCTCGCTTTCCTAACGTGAACCAGACCAAGCACTGCTGGCAGAATTATGTCGACTACCACAAGTGCATCCTTGCCAAGGGAGAGGACTTTGCCCCTTGTCGTCAGGTGCGACAACACATTTGCGACTTGTCAAGAATCATGGGACATCAAATATAACTAATCGTGCGGTAGTTTTGGCTGGCTTACCGATCACTGTGTCCCTCTGGATGGTATCAGCGATGGGATGAGCAGCGAGGTACGTGTACTGGTACTGCCTCACTCAACGTATTTCTCAAGCTAATAAATCTATACACAGAGGCTGGCAACTTCCCTGTCAAACTAGATGCATAAACTTATATCAGTGGCGGTGTCAAAGATAATTGTTACTGATAGAGGAAGAAGTAGCGGCCATGCTGCAAGTGTATTACTCGGAAACTCGGTTACACAGCTTTGATGAATGGTGATGTCAACTGAGGACAAACTCTTTTTGAGACATCTGGGTTTCACTACGCAAGTGATGATTGTGACATTGAAGAGCCTTAATATCGAGTCGAATTTAGACCTTGTGAATGCTGCCCTGAGAAGATGCCAAACGCCCCCCGATTGAAACCAACGTATAGAACGCCGCATTTCCAAATGATATTAGTACATTCCCAGCTACCCTTTTTCAATTTCATCTCTTGATCGTCATGCCCGTCATTATTCCTTGTTGTCAGCCTCCTCGTCGGATGAGCTCATGAATTCATCGTCCTCGTCAAAGCCATAGAAGGTTCGAGCCTGCGTCGTGGCTGGTTCATCTCGCTCATCAGATGAAGATGAATACGACTCTTTTAAGTTTGAATTTGCGTCGTCCTCAGAGTTTGATGGCGCTTCCGGTTGCTCACTTGAAGTCGAGCCATGCGAGGTGCCTAGAAGGTTGTCGCTGTAGCTTCCGCTCTTTATCGCGGCCACAACTGCATCGCGTGTCCTCTCACTGCTCTCCTCCTTGTCTTCAACCCATTTGCCCTCTAGTCTGCCTTGGCCGCCGTTCCTGATTTGATGTTGTTTCTCCTCTGACATCTGGACGATTTGTTCCCAGCGCTCCTTTCGCTTTTCTCTTTCTTTGCGATCCATATCCGGTTTGATGGAGAGATATTCTGCGAGAGCCTTTGCTTCGTTTACTGTACGAAGTCTGCGGCCGTCAAGATTGCGGCTGGATCCGTGATCTTCTTGATTTTTCTTCTTTCGGGACGACATGCGCCCACCAGCAGCACGTAACTGCGAGCCGAAACCGCCTTTACCACCGCACAAAGGAACTGCAAGTCGCAAAGAGAGAAATTCATCCGGACTGCTGGAAAGATATGTAGAGACGGGCGCCTGTGAGACTTGTGGTAGTTGTCTATTTGAGATGGTAGTGAGAATGAGTCTGGAGTCAGTCGTCGGGAGGCGCTCATTGATTTCCTCGCGCAGTTCTGTAATTGTTGTAGAATGTGGAACCGTGACCACCAGCGTAGATGGAAGTCCTAGACCACCAAAGGTGGTTACAAGGACGTTGAGATTTTGAGTTGACATGATAACTTGAAGTGGAAATCGTCTTTCAAGATGAGATTTCGTTGAGGAATGCAAATTTGCGGATGGATAGTTTGGTGTCTCTTCTCGGCGGCCTGGCTTTCTTGAGTAGTTGGGAAAGTTTCACCAGCCACTGACGCAATGACTAATGGTCTCTCACGTGACTCAGCCACAGCGCACAACTTGCAAGCCACCCCACTCGCTACGTCTGAATTTCTTGTAGGGTTTCCGCCCACAAAAGTTGTCCATTTTGAGCCCAGGCACCTTCACTGCGAAAATCTGCACATCGACCTCACCACCGAACAACCACGATGTTGATTCCCAAGGCAGACCGCAAGAAGATCCACGAGGTAAATCCACCGACAGAAGGCCCGAATCAAGCGAGAGAAAAATAAAAATCACGCAGGCGCAAAAGAAAGGACATGTGACTGACAACAGAACGATAACAGTACCTCTTCCGCGAGGGTGTTCTCGTGGCCCAGAAGGACTTCAACCTCCCCAAGCACCCTGATATCGACACCAAGAACCTTTTCGTCATCAAGGCTTGCCAGTCCCTCAACTCGCGCGGCTATGTCAAGACCCAGTTCTCCTGGCAATACTACTACTACACCTTGACTCCTGAGGGTCTCGACTACCTCCGCGAATGGCTGCACCTGCCCGCCGAGATCGTTCCCGCCACGCACATTAAGCAGCAGCGATCGCACGCTCCCCCCCGCGGTATGCTCGGTGAGGAAGAGCGCCAGCGGCGACCATTCGGCCGTGGACGCGGCGGCGACCGTGGTGACCGTGAGGGTGGATACCGACGACGTGATGCTGGTGAGGGCAAGGAAGGTGGTGCTCCCGGTGAATTCGCTCCTCAATTGTGAGTCCTGTTCCTTTCCGCCACACGTGACGATCGGGGCCTGGTCTTGTCAAAACACTGTACTGACGTGGAATTCCGTAGCCGTGGTGGTGCCGGTCGTGGCCGTGCCGCGCCCCCCTCTTAAACGAACCGAGTTTATCTGAAAACAAAATGAAAGGTTTGCATTGTTTTCGAGGTACATGGCAGCACAATGACGAAAAGGGAAACGAGGCATCGGAAATTTGCAACTCTACAAAATGGAGGACTACACACAAGAATTCTTACCATGAGAGTTGCTGTATTTCTCGGGAGACTACCGAGCTTAGTAGGGGACACGGTGGGAGTTTTTGGAGGGGTTAGATCCTCGGAAATTATTTGCATCAGGGTCACTTATTGGCAGTCAGTCAGTGAGACAATTACTTGCGATACACAAGATGAATCTCCATGGTGTTGATTTGGAAACCCATGTGACCGGGATGATTGTTGTGATTCGTGGGGCAACATGTGTGACGTTTTGTGCTGGGGGCCAGATATTTGTGGTAAAGTCGTGCCAGCGCTAGAGCTGTATGATAGCCAATATAAGCACACCGTTGGAGCTTGAGAAGACTCGAAGCTACCACGTATCCCCGGTGCAAGCTGCGGAGTACGGAGCAAAAAGGTCGTGACGCCGTTGAGGCACTCCCTCCACACAATGACCTGCCCAACGGATGTGACCAGCCTCTTCCCCCCGGCTGCACGGTTCTCAACACGATTGGGCCAGCAACGGCCAGACATTTGCCGCCTGGCGTTGACCGCAAAAAGCCAACGTTATACGGAGTACTCGGTACGGCGAGCATATATCGAATTCTGTACCATCCGTAGCTCGAGCGGGACATGGCATGATGGGACCTCCTCACAAGTCTAGAAGCCGTGCTGTCCACCGCACTGCATCACCAGCAATGGCCGGTGTACGGACATTTGACCCTTGGCACACCTAGGTATCTTCATAGACGCCTCGGTAGTACTACGTAGTGAAAAGCATCCTTGCATCTGTCAGCTATCTCACGCAACACAAAACAAGCATCTCGGCGTCACATGACGCGCCAAATGGCGGTGTCTTCTGCGCAAATGCAAGCCGCAGCGAACAATCATGGGTCATCAACTGCTTTTCTCATCAATGACAGGCCGCAAGATGCCTGCGTCTAACCAGGTTGCCAAAAGACCCAGACTGAATATTGGATAAAGCCCCCCCCTCCGGTCCCCCTCCGGGGCTGCGGAAGCGGGACGCTTCACCCGCGAACAAGAAAGTTTTGGACATGCGATGGGTATTCCAATGCTGGATGGACCCGCCATGAAATCGCTAGACGTTTGTGCCTTGGCCCTTGAATATGAGGCCGAGGCTGCTTGGGGTCGTGAGGGTGATGAGGCATCGAAGCCCTGGCGTTGGCGACCCGAAATTCAGCAAAGGCTGAAGACAAGCTGCCGGATTCGATATTTCCCTGAACCCGGACTGCAAACGATCGTCCATGTACGATATAACCAAGAGACTGTTGTCCCGTATGTGGACGGACAAGAGTCCGGCAAGGCGAGAGGAGCTGAAAGGGGCGGCCACGAATCCATCGGCCGGCGGGTCACAGACTCGCAGCCGCCGCCCCGGCTAGCGCATAATATCAAGAGGCCCAGGCGAGACCGATGTATCTCAAGTGTTTCTCCGAACAAGGTGGCTTGTTGAGGCGGCGGGATAAAATGCTCGGAGGGCATCTGGAGGCGGGGGACAGAAATATCCGCCGCGTCTTTTTTTCTTCCCGAACTTGGTTCCTGTCAGACGAGACAGTCTATTGCATCTCTTCACGTGCGTTGGCTACTGTTTGCTGTGGTGAAGCTGGTTGTTCTCACCTTTGCTAATATTTTCCATTGCTGCAGGTACGACTTATCGTTATCTCTGACTGCTCCGAGTTCGCAGGCACTCGGCAAATCGTCGCACACACCGACCGGCGACAGCACAGAAGTTCAAAATATATCTTGGGCACCAAAAAAAAAAAAGGAAAAGAAAAGAAAGGAAAAGGATAAAGTATTTCCACCATGGCGAGCCTTCCCAAGGAGATGAAGGCCCTCAGGTACGTTATGTATAACTATATTTGTTTTCGCCGTGGGTCTGTTCCAACTTGCAGCCATCAGGGTGCATTCTGGGACGGATCATGGAACCCCCCGACAAGCCCGTCTCACGGCGTCATAGCTGGATATTACAATATGCCCGGTTCCCTCCTGGTTCATTGCTGACTGTTGCTCAAAATTAGATATGAGAAGCCGGAAGATTGGTCCATTGTCACGGTCCCGCTTCCAGACCTGCGCGATAATGATGTACTTGTGAAGGTCAAGGCCTGCGGTGTCTGCGGAACCGGTGAGTCTCTGCCCGAGTACTCTGGGCTGTTTGCTGTTCTGTTTTTGCCAACAGCGTTTCTCAAGCTTACATGACATAGACTTGGTACGCACGCTCAATCATCACCCATCGGCCGGTCATGTTAATTCTTAGCGTCACAGCATATCCACGAGGGCGAGTTTATCGCCAAGTTCCCTCTCATTCCCGGCCACGAAACCGTGGGTGTCATTGCAGCAGTCGGAAAGGTACACTCTTGGGACAGAACGCGCACCAGTCTGTCAATTTTACACAATGGCTAAAATTCTAACGTACCCCTAGAATGTCAAGGGCTTCCAGGTCGGCGACCGCGTCGCTGCCGACAATAGCGAACTGTGCAATGAGTGCTTCTACTGCCGCCGTGGCCAGCTGCTGCTCTGCGAGAACGTATGCAGCCATGGCCTTGTCGTGCCTTTTGTTTGCGACGGTGCTGACATGCGCAGTTCAACGCCCATGGTGTCACCATGGATGGCGGCTTTGCCGAATACTGCGCCTATCCGGCCGCCAAGGTGTTCAAGATCCAGAACCTGAACTGGGTTGACGCCACCCTGCTTGAGCCTGCTTCTTGTGCCTGCCATGGCCTGGAGAAGATTCGTCCCAAGCTGGGCTCTCATGTCCTCATGTTCGGTGCCGGGCCCACTGGGCTTGTAAGTTGCTTTCGCCGGCTGTCGGCTGTGTCAGCAGAGGCGAGCCGACAAGATAGAAGGACATGGATACTGATTAGTGTGTGCGACTCCAGATGCTCGCCCAGCTCCTCAGGCAGAATGGAGGCTGCCAGGTGACCATTGCTGCGCCCAAGGGGTTGAAGATGGACCTTGCCAAGAGCCTTGACGCGGCTGATACGTATATTGAGCTGTCGAGAGAGAGCCCCCAGGCCCAATTTGACCAGCTCAAGAAGGACAACCCTTATGGCTTTGACATTGGTACGCCTAATCCTTGCCCTGTTGGAGGTGGTTATTACTTTGATGCTGACGGGTTGCAGTTGTCGAGGCTACCGGTTCCGTCAAGATTCTGGAAGACGCCATCAACTACGTCCGTCGCGGTGGAACACTCGTGGTCTACGGGTAGGTTGGCGGCCACGCGGCACATTACGTTTGCTGACGAATTGTCTCGACAGTGTCTACGCCAATGCCGACCGAGTCAGTTGGCCCCCTGCCAAGATCTTTGGTGACGAAATAACCATCATCGGGTCCTTTTCCGAGACGTACATGTTCCGTAAGTACTATCCCACAGACAGCTAGCCGCCCATGACTGACGTGTTTGACTGCAGCCGCCACCATTGACTACCTCGACTCTGGAAAGGTCAAGACCAAGGGCATCGTGAACAAGACCTTCAGGCTGGAGGAGTTCGGCAAGGCTCTTCAAAGCATCAAGGACAAGACTGCCATCAAGGCCGCCATCGTATTTGACTAGAATTTAATCCCTAGAGTTGTAGACAAGAGAAGTGAAGACTAGACATACAGCAGACTCTTGATAGAAATACAGTCCATGCTTGCAGCTTTACAGGTTGGGAATAGCACAGCGGCCCGAGTGGGCAACATGTGGTTCCGTGTTTTGCTTCGGCCTCGCTGCCACGACGAAAATCAGCAATTACCTCTCGAGTCGTGTACTTGCTTGCTGTTGCACCAAAAAACGGGCGTGGCCACGCCACATTAGTTCGTGTTAAGTACTTAATGTCCCCTATATTAAGTAAGTACTGCGACACTTGCGGCCCCCAGGTACCTCCGCGCAGGTACCTCCAAGTACTCGCGACTCGGGACGCCGTATTACAATTTATGGAGCAATCTGTATTGCGCAGCCCCAAACATCAACGCTGCCAAAGACGAGCCACTGTGCGCTCTTGACATGCTGCTGCTCTCGCGCATCTGATTTCATTTCACCCAAGACCGAGCAAACAAGCCCGGGAGTCAATTTTGCCATCCATCCAACCAGCCAGCGCCCCTGACTGCCGTCTCACGAGTCACGAGCCACAGCACCGAGGCCAAGATGCCACAACCAGGCCTCCTTGTTCCGCCACGATAACTGTTGTCGTACTTGCCTCACCGTCCTCTGATGTGACGAGCACTGCCGAGGTACTCAGACTACTCAGATGCAGAAGTCACGTTCCTGGTTAAACAGGGAGGCTACCGAATTCGCTACCCAGTCCATGTCCCGAAAGAACAAACAAAAGAAACAGACTGGGGGACGACTATGGCTTTCTCTTCTCGTAGTCGCTCTCGTCCGTCTCGCCACGACCTCGTTGCTCGAATCCACGCCGATGCTCTGGAAACATCTGCCGTACGTCTCGGAGCCATCGACATCTCCAAAAGTCAAGCACAAGAAGACTCGAGCTCTTCCGATTCTGACTTTCAGCAAACCAAATCGAGCAACTTGCCTTCCCGCCATGCACGCTCCTTGAGTAATCCGATTCCTTCGTTTCTCGGCCCGGCCAAGAATAGACCAGGCTCTACTAGCCACCCGCAGGCTGATCAGGATAGGGGACCTCTCGACAACGCCATGGCTGGACCAAGCATTGGTCATAGACACAAGCGAGGGGGTCCCATGGGGAGTAAGGACTTCGCAACGGGAAATTGCATGACTTGCGCATCTTTGATGCGATGGCCCAGGGAGTTGACGGTATTCAAGTGCACTATTTGCACCACGATTAATGACTTGATCGTTCCATGGAGCGGGACCCTGAAGCCCGGGATTCTCGGGAGGCGGCGCGACGGGACTGCCCATGCGTCGTCTGATGCTTCAACTTGTACGTGGCCCTCGTTGTGTATCTTGCAGGCTTGAAAGATTGACTCACCTTCGTTTCTTTTCTTGTTTTCGTTTGCTCTTTATAGGCCAACCGATTTCATTACAGCAATGCCAACGACTCACCAGACAGTGTATTCATGCATACATTTCCGAAAAATTGGCCCCGAGGCCAGCGCCGGAATATACTGACTTGCACCCTCATAACACATCTCAAAGCAACGCCTTAACACCAGATAATTACGGAAATCAACGCGACTACTACCATGGACGATCAATGTGCGCCTCGTATGGAGAAGAGCAACACGGGTTTAATCCCAGTTATGTCTTTGATGAGCATCCTACGTTACGGCCCAGTCCATCACGACCAAACGTCGGCGCCAGGTCACATTCATCTCCCTATACCGAAAAGCCGCCTCTGCCGGGGCAGCCGCTTCCAAACCCGAATCCAACGGCACGCCACAGAGAGTCATCGACGAGCGGTCCCTCAGAACCAAAAAGGATTTTCAAAACCCTCGAGGAATACATTACGAAATCGTTTGGTTCCTTAGACTGTATCAACTCTTCATTCTCAACAGAGAATAGCGGGCGGGAGCGCCATCCGACCGAGCCAATTCGGCGCAAACCAGTGCCGTCGCGTGGGAGGTCGCCCTCCCAATCTACTGAGCTGAACCCTCAGGAGGAGTCCCAAACAGGCATTGTTATGGATGACCTTGACCCGAAGTTGCTCCTTCTGGGCGATTTTGCAGAGAACGGCTCATGGTGGACGGGCAGCCGCAGACAACCAGGGCCGACGAAACAAACTTCTACCCGTCGACCTGAAAGCCCTCCCAGGAAACCAGTTGCAATGAAGTGCCCGAATCTGAATTGGGACGAAATTGACAGCTGGTACTCCACAATCGTCAATGCCGCGCAGGACTGGTTTTCTGTGTACGAAGACGTTTGCAAGAAGACAACAGTCAGGGCTCAAACGCAAAGAGAACTCCAGATTCTGGAACAAGAACTGCTACAAGGGCAAGAACATACCCAAAGAATATTGCTAAAAGCTACAGAACTGCTACTTAAGAGGCCTGGCCGGCCGATGTCCAATGTCGGTGATGTCCGATTTCTTCTCATCATCATAGCGAACCCTCTTTTGCACGCGGGGTGGAAAAGATTTTGTGGCATCTTACAACCAGAGATTGCGGCCTCAGCCCCCCCTCAAATAACCTCACCAAAACAACAACTTCTTCCGAGTTCAGGGCTTTTATCTGGCCAACATTCAGGAATAATTAAGCGAATCATCGGCCTCATATCCAACACCACCCCCGAGTGCCACAATCAGCTCATCACATGGTTTTCCAAATTTGAGCGCGGACGATTTGTTCGCACCAAGGATCTGGTATCAGGCTTTCTGAGCTACCGGCTCCTCCGTCAAATTGATAAGAAACAGCCCACAGAAGTCGACATCACGGCTGGTCTGATACCAGAGATGCGTACCGGCCGCTCTGGGGCTGGTTTTTACCTACATGACGAAATTAGGACTGGGGGAACATCCAAAAAGAAGGAGCCAGAGCACAAGATTGCGTACACGGAGGATTGGCAGATCAAAGCGGCGTCCCGCGTGCTTGCCCTCATGTTCGCAGCCAATAACATCTCTGGAAACAAACCTGGCTATTCAACGACAGCAGCGGGGGTGAATATTGCGGCCGGGTCAACTCGTGAATATGGACACTCTGGGGGACAACTGGTTCCGACCACAGACTTTTATAACTCAATGATAGATTATGCTGATTTGGTGAGCGATTTCGAGTGCTGGGAGTCGAAACGGTCCAAGTTCTCCTTCTGCCAGTATCCATTCTTAATGAGCATCTGGGCCAAAACTCACATCCTCGAACATGACGCCAAGCGACAGATGCAGATGAAAGCACGGGACGCATTTCTTGACAGCATAATGACCAACCGCAATGTAAAGCAATATCTTTCTCTCGACGTTCGCAGGGAATGTCTTGTCGAGGACAGTCTGGCCGCTGTCAGTGAAGTCATCGGGAGCGGAAGCGAAGATGTCAAGAAAGGCCTCAGAATTACATTCAGAGGCGAAGAGGGCATTGACGGTGGCGGGCTGCGGAAGGAGTGGTTCTTGCTCCTCATCCGAGAGGTCTTCAATCCGGACCACGGTAAGTTAAGCCGACCGTGGTTGACTGCTGCCGAAGCTGATCCGACGCAACAGGAATGTTCCTATACGATGAAGACTCGCAGTATTGCTACTTTAATCCCGCCACGTTTGAAACGTCTGATCAGTTCTTCTTGGTTGGCGTAGTCATGGGCTTGGCAATCTACAACTCTACCATTCTGGACGTTGCTCTACCGCCATTCGCGTTCCGCAAACTGCTGGCGGCCGCGCCAGCTCATGGCCTAGGCATGTCCTCTCGTCCAAGGCCGTCGATGCAATATACTCTGGAGGACCTGGCGGAATACAGGCCGCGAGTAGCTCATGGGCTGCGCCAGCTTCTGGACTTTGAGGGGGACGTGGAAAGCGCATTCAGTCTTGACTTTGTGATTGATGCTGAGAAATACGGCACGACCGTCGAAGTTCCCCTCTGTCGCGGAGGCGAGCAAAAGGCTGTTACAAATAGCAATCGACGAGAGTATGTTGACCTCTATATTCGATACGTCCTAGATACCGCGGTGACTCGCCAATTCGAGCCTTTCAAACGAGGCTTCTACACAGTCTGCGGAGGCAATGCCTTTTCCTTGTTTCGACCAGAAGAAATCGAGCTTCTTATCCGAGGGTCAGATGAGGCTCTTGATATTGCATCACTGCGGGCTGTGGCTGAATATGACAACTGGGGCAGTCGACAGCCGGACGGCACCAACTCCGTAGTTGGCTGGTTTTGGGAAACATTTCAAGAAGCGACAGCAACGAACCAACGCAAACTTCTTTTGTTCATCACGGGAAGCGACCGAATCCCTGCGACGGGCGCCGCTATGCTGCCGATCAAGATTTCGTGTCTTGGCGAAGATGTAGGCCGTTATCCAATCGCGAGGACATGCTTCAACATGATTTCATTGTGGCAGTATGGAACGAAGCAAAAGCTGGAGAGCATGCTGTGGAGGGCAGTGTTTGAAAGTGAAGGATTTGGTCTGAAGTAGGTTTGCATGTATACAAAGCAAACCGGCATGGACCCAACTGTCTTTTCGCAGAAAGCAAAGCATATTGTCTCGGCACGATGTGGCGGGGGTCAGACATACGTGTTGATAAACGTCCTGAGGCCCGAGGACTTGCCGTCCAGCAGCACAATCACTGAAAACCATTGATACCCAAGTTGGTGTGATTAGAGTCACAGATAACATATACAAGGTTTTTTTCTCTTTGTCTCGAGTTCGGATGACACGAAGCCTTCCAAGGGGGTGAATATAATACAATACACTTTCCTGTCTTTCTTTCTTTCTGAGTGAGCATACATCTACGCCTCCTCCTGCTCAGCCATACCCCCAGCCGCCCTCGCCCGCTTCAGCATGTCGTCCTCCTTCTTCTTCTCCGCCCTCAGCGCCCTGATCCTCTCCCTGTCAATGCTCGCCTGCTTCTGCATGGCCTCGAGCTTCTGAATCTCGGCAATGTCCGCGCCCGTAGGCTGCAGTGCCGTTGCGCGCGTCTCGGCGAGCAGGCGCTCGAGTATGTCTGCGCTGTGGACACCCCTCATGTCTATCGTGACCGTCCTTTCGTCCGCGCCGGGCGGCTGCCTCTTGGAGAGGTTGTTCCGCGACGAGGCGGGCTGGGGGGTTTCCTGCGCCGGGGCCGCGGTCGAGGTCCCCGACGACGAGGCGCGCATGTAGATTGTCATTGTGGGCGGGGCGGCATTGTCGTCGTGCCGGTTGAGGATCATGGGCACCGCGGGGTTGTGGTACTTTAGCCGCGGGAGGTACTGGCGCCAGAACTTCCTGCTCGTCCACCGGGCGTCTTTAGTATTCTTGCGCGGCTCGCTTGCGCGCGGGGCGTGGCCGCACGAACCTGGCTCCCATGTGGCCGTTGGACATGCGGGTTGCAAAGTCCATGTGTATTCTGGTTACTTCTGGCGGTAGGATGGCTGCGCCTGGTCCGCAGCGGAGGTTGAGCAACTGGTTTACTTTGGTGCTTAGATGGTTACTGGTTGGGGGGGAAATTTCGGGAAGGGGGGGGGGAAGGACTTGCCTTTTGGAGGAGATGGATTCTCTCCCCTAGGGAGCGCATCTTGGTGCCTTTTTGAAGCTGTATGCGAGGTGAGGTGATGGTGGTTCGGGGCGTGTTGGGAGGTTCGTCTGGGAATTCTGCAGCTATCAATGGTCTGGCGGGCCGGGCCGGCTTTCATCCGCTACTGACGGACCCTTGGATTTTCTGGACTTTTTTTTTCCCCATGTTCCCTTTGAGCTTGTTTGTGTGCAGGGGGAAGAGCCTCGACCTTTTTTTTAAACAGAGCTTTGCCGAGGATGCAACGCGTTTCGACGGCGCGCTTGCTTGGCAGGGCGTTGAGAATGGGGGAACGTGCGGCGAGCGTTCCCGTCTTCTTGTGCCCTGCCGTTGTTTGTTTGCGCGGCCGGCCTGGTCCCGGTGCGTTGGGGGGTCTGGATAGATGGAGCGGCCGATTCTACAGTCCTGGGTCGTCTGCGACGGCGGTTGACGATGGGCCGGCGAGGCAGCTCCCGGTTACGTGTAGCGGGTGCGGAGCGTTTGCGCAGACCGGCGAAGCGCAACACCTTGGATTCTTTGATTTGCGGAGCAAGAGAGTGCGCAGCTGGCTGCATCCGCAGAAGAGCGAGGGACGCGGCGGTTCGGCGGCCGAGGACAGGATTGTGGACGATGCCTTGAAGGCCTTGGACAAGCGACAGCTGGAGGCTTTGGGGTTGAGCACGGAGAGCATGATCGGGGACGGGAGCGTCAAGGAGCTGGAGAGTGAGTGCCGCCACTGGGACTGCATGGGCTGTCGCGTTGGCAGTTTGACGTTGCACGGTATTGACGGCAATGGTTACTGACGTCCTTTTTGGGGGCGGGCTCTACAGGACTTGTCACGGAGAGGCCGCCTGTTTGCGACAGATGCCACGACTTGATGCACCACAGCACCGCGACCGGCACGGCCAAGCTCACGATGCACCACCCTACGGTGGAATCGCTCCGGGAGACGATTGAGGAGTCGCCGTACAAGTACAACCACATCTACCACGTCATCGACGCCGCCGACTTCCCCATGTCGCTCGTCCCGCGGCTCAATGTCCTGCTGGGCGATGTTCCGCTGCGGTCGAGGAACCGGCGCTCGCGGTCGAGCAAGTTCCACGGCGACCGCAAGACGGACATGAGCTTCATCATCACGAGGGGCGATTTACTTGGCCCGACCAAGGAGATTGTCGACTCCATGATGCCCTACCTTCGGGACGTTCTGAGGGACGCCCTCGGCAGGGTGGGCGGCCGGGTGCGCCTGGGCAACCTGAAGTGCGTCAGCGCCAGGAGGGGCTGGTGGACCAAGGATTTAAAGGAGGACATCTGGAACAGGGGAGGCGCCGGCTGGATGGTGGGCAAGGTCAACGTCGGGAAGAGCCAGTTGTTTGAGGCCGTGTATCCCAAAGGCAGGATGGACGCAAGCAAAAAGAGGGACGAGGGCCAGCCGGCGCCTACGCGAACCGGCCACGACCACGCTCATGACCAGCAGAGCACCCCGGGCATGGATTTCGGGGAGCTGCTGCCCCCGCCGCAACCGAACCGGAACTATCCGTCAATGCCCGTCGTCTCCTCGCTCCCAGGCACCACGGCCTCGCCCATCCGCGTGCCGTTTGGGAACGGCAGGGGCGAACTCGTTGACCTCCCGGGCCTGGCGCGAAGCGACCTCGAGCTGTTCGTCAAGGAGCCTCATCGCCAGTCCCTCGTCATGAAGAAACGCGTCGTCCCCGAACAGGTCGTCGTCAAATACGGCAAGTCGCTCATCCTGGGCGGCGGCCTCATCCGCATCACGCCCCGCACGCCGGGCCTGGTCTTCCTCATGTACAACTTCACCCCCATCAACGAGCATCTCACCATTACGGAAAAGGCGATTGGGTTTCAGGAGCAGACACGCGAGTCCCCCGGCGTCGAGAACATCAGTCTTGCTGGTGTCGGGGGGGAGATGAAGCACGCGGGGACCTTTAAGCTGTGCCACGACGTGACCAAGAAGCGCGCCGGACCGCTGACGCGCAAGAACGCCGTCGGACTCCAGGTTGACCGGTTGCCGTTCAGGGTTGTGTCGGTGGACATCCTGATCGAGGGCGTCGGGTACGTCGAGGTGGTAGCGCAGGTGAGAGCCAAGGAGTTTGAGCGGTGGGAGCGCATGCAAGGGGACATGGATCGGGCTGCGGCCTTGGAGGGCGAGGACGCCGGGTCTGTCGCCGCGGCCGGGGGAAACGAGCCGTCGTCGCAGGATCCGTTTGAGCAGATGACGAGGAACAGGAGGGACGTGATTCGCGGCGACGGGCATGCGGTCCGGGCACGGGAGAAAATGGCCGAGCCAGACTGGCCGGCGGTGGATGTGTTTTCTCCCGAGGGCAGGTTTGTGGGCTGGAGAAGGCCGATCAACGGGTGGTCGAACAACAAGCCGAGGGTCCTGGCGGAGCACAAGAAGACGCGGCCGAGGAAGAGCATGAGGGGGGCCAAGAAGAGGGCCAAGCTGGAGAGGCGCAGGGGCAGGCGGCGAGGCGAGGCTGTATAGTAGTACTGCAACTCGGCACTCCGTACACACGTACACGTATATCCGCAGCACGTAATTTGTACAGACGAGACGACGCCCCGCGGTTGCTGATGTGCAGATGCCCGTGTTGGACCCTGGCGTGACGTCGGGTCGACGCCGGACGGGACCAGGACGAGGGGCCGATTGATCCCGCATCTCCACCGGTCGACGTCGCACGTCACTCGCAAAATAAACACGGACGTGTCTGGCGCACCTCGACAGCCCGTGCCTCCCTCCTCGTCCTCATCCTCGACACTCGACGCCCACCACGCCCGCCCAGCAAAAAGACGTGATCCGCTGCGCCGTCGACATTGCAGAACAAGAGCGCGCGCAGGCCCGTCGCACTCCAGAGGATTCTCCGTTCTCCTGCCCGCAGCTACGTCAGCGCCGCCTCGCCCTCGGCAAACGACTCGCCGCCACCATGTCGGCCACACGAGACCAGCGAGCCGCACCGGCTCCGGCACCGACCACGTCCCAGACGCAGACGCAGACGCAGACGCAGACGGAGACGGGAACCCGACGCATCCTACGTCTCCGCGGCGGCCGCAATGCAAACGGGCGATCCGTACAGTGGGCCCAGGATGTAGTCGACAACGAGGGCCTGGGCAGGAAGAGCTCCAAGGGTATGCAAGTGCAATGTCTCGGTCTAGGGATGCTCGTGTGCTTTTTTTGGCCATGTTCTGCTTTTCCAAGGCGATCCAGGGTATTAACTGCTGGTCTCTAGTCTGCTGTATATACCACCAGCCGAAAGGCGTAGACGAATCCAGCGACGAGTCGTCGTCGTCGTCTTCTTCTTCTTCTTCTTCTTCTTCCTCGTCGTCGGACTCCGACACCGACTCGGAGCCGGAAAGCAGCAGGGGAGACGGCAACAAGGTTCCTGCGTGCGGTGGCCACTCGCACGGTGGCCGGGGGACGAGGACGCCGGGCGGCGGGCGCAAGCAGAAGAAGAGGCCGCCGAGCCCAAATGCGTACGAGAAGGTGCCGAAACAGAAGCCCCGCGAGGGGTCCAAGTAGCGCTTTGCGGGTATGTCTTGAAGACTTTGTTGTTGTTGTTGTTGTTGCTGCTACAAGTTACTCACTGTGGCCTTGCGACTGTTACGTCTTCATTCACGGCACTTTTTGGCGTGCTGGACTGGGGGCTGGGGGTGGCCTGGTGGGATTCGGGCACATGGGTGGCGTCACGGGATGACGGATGGTGGATGATGATCAAGTACAAGAGTATCGCGCCGCTTTAGGATCATGATGCAGTAGCTTAACATTGGAGACCTGCGAATGCCATGCCCCGAGCGGATGGGAGTCCAGCATGTCTTGGGACCCCTGATGTGTGCATGCTGGTAGCACAGAAGACTCCAGTGCCGTCTGGCTCTCGGGGTTGGACACCTTTGTCCATCTAGACGCGGCCAGCACTTGGACGAGCCAGACCATCTCGGACCTTGAACGATGTTGCCTTCAAACACTCATGCATCGCTGCCTTCTCCCACGTCGGCTTCGGCTTCTCTAGCTCAGACGGGTCTGGGGTGCTCCACGCGGCGCAACCGCGACCGCGAGCAGGTGGGAGAACATGATGTCGTCGTGGGCAAGTAGCTCTTGACTAGGCTAGCAGCAGCCGGCTCCCGGGCGCCAGGATGCAACAGTCTGCTCCCGACCGCCAGAGTTCAACTCACGTCCTCTGGCTCTCCACGACAAGATACTTGCCCGCGCGCCTGTTGGCGGTGCCCAGAACATGCCACTTCTCGCTGCTCTCGTCTTCAATCTTTGCTCGCACCCTCCTGGGACGCTTGTAATGGCCCACGTGCTCTTCGGCATCCAGCAGCGGCCGCATATCTGCCAACGTGACTGTGTTCTCGCGCCTGGCCTCGTCCGTCTCGTCTCGGATTGCGCAAAGCGGCTCGACGCCCGTTGTGTCGACGCGCTGGACGGCGCGAACAAAGTGGAGCTGCTCCCGGAGGGTGGAAATCATGGTGTCTTCTTCCGAAGGCGTCTGGGGCAAGGGCAGCGCCGCGAGGCGCAGGAGATGGTGTAGCTGGGACCTTGTTATCTCCTCCGTCGGCGCCGCCCGTGCTGTCGGTGCTGCCGGCGGGTGATGACGGAGAGACGTCACGGACCAGGTTGGCTTGGAGAGAATATCGGCAGGTGAGGGTTTGCCGCGCGTCGACACGGACAGGTTGTGCTGCCGAGGGCGTAGAGCCGGGACGCAGCGCGGGAGGGGGCGGCAGCTGCTGCAAAACGACATTGTTGGCCGGGTGCTTTTGGGGAGATGTGCATGTGCTCCGTCTTTGATGTTTCTTCGGGTTGTTATGGCGGCGCGGCCGTGGTTGTGAGGACATCAACGACGTTGCACTTGGGACTGGGAAAACGACATCTAGATGGTGGATGGTGGATGGTGGAGGAGCATGGAGCCGAGCAGCTCGCAGCTGTGAGCGGCCGGGCGCCAGGTGCTCGCTCTCCGGCTCCACACACCGTCTCCCGCCGGCGGCAAGGAGCACTGGAGAGAGAGTAGAGGGAGGGGCTCTGGTGGCCGGTGGCCTGTGGCCCGTCCCAGGCGCTTTGTGCCATGTATGTGTCTTTGAACCCGCCGGCTGATGAGGGGTGCGGCTGCGCGTGTCATGGCTCCGTCTGCTCCATCTTCCTCGTCAACCCATCGCCTTCCGCCTTGTCCCATCTGCAACCTACAACTTTGAACATCGAATCAGCATCATCATCGTTTATCATATGAGCTGCAAGGGTCATTGAACCGCACATCACTCCTGTCCAGTACCAAGTCGACGCGATCCGCAGCCATGCCTCGAGACCCCCACACTCTGCTCAAACAGGTGCGGCCAACCCTCCCCCATCCGCTACCGGTCTCCCCAACTGACGTCTTCGTTTGGTAATGCAGGCAGAGAAGAAACTGTCCGGCGGCGACGGCTTCTTCAGTTTCTTGAGCGACAAGAGCGGAAACGACAGTGATGGCGCAGATTTACTGGAGAAGGCAGCGAATGCCTTCATGGCAGAGAACAAGTGTACGGGCCCCTTCTGTCTACGACAAGCCTCCAAGGACGCCGTACTTGACAATGGAAACCGCCCTAACGATTGTTGAATAGTTCTGGAAGCAGGAAAGGCCTTTGAAAGGCTCGCCCCAGTCTACAGAGACAGGTTGGAGTTGGATTCGTCGGCTGCCGGTGCCGCTGGGAGTGCTATTGAGGCCTACGTGAAAGCCGGTGACGCCGCTGCCGCCGCGCGGTGTTTCGAGCTCCTCAGATCTCCGGCCTTGAAAAAGGGTCAGTCGAATCGAGTCGACAGATACGGGCGGCTATTGGCCGGTTTGTACGAGAAGACGCTGGGGGATATGAAGTCGGCGTCGATGTGTTATGATGTGATTGCTGAAGAGTATGAAGCAAACCTCAATCCACAGTACGTACACGCGGCGCCCTCCTCCTTTGCCAGTCTTGAAGATTGCTCCTACTTAGCGTGCTCACGTCAGTAATGCCCGAAAAAACAAGACCCAGGCCGCGGCGACGCGCGCCATCTATTTCGCCCAACTCGTCACAGCCGGCACTGATCCGCATGAGAGTGCCAAGGACCTCAAATACGTCGAAAGAACCTTGATTAAATTGGCGCAAGATTCCTACAACACCAACGAAGTCTTGCTCAGACTGGGAATTGTGTACCTCATCACGGGAGATTCGAATGATTATGACAAGGCTGCGGCCCCTGCTGGACCCGCCGCTGCTTCCGTTGGTGCCCAAGCCGCCGCCGCCGGATCCTCCGCCGGTGCGCTTGCTGATGAAGCCAACGCTGCATTCGATGCTCAGACTCGTCTTGACTTTGGTTTTGCAAAGTCGAGGGAAGGTGCGCTGGTGCGTGATTTGGCCGCGGCGCTGAAAGCGGACAACTTGCAGCAGTTTGTGAAATTGCTCATGCAGTACCCGGGAACAAATGAGGAGTCAAAGGCTTGGTATGAGACCATGTTGATGCTAGCCGGCGGCTATAAATGGAAGGGCAATGCCGTCAAGGCAGAAATGGAGAGACAAAAGAGACAGCCCTTTGAAGACTCGCAAAACGGCGGCCAGCAGCAGCCTTGGGGGGACCAACCAGAGCCTCAGCGTTACTCGCAGCCTCAGCACCAGCCTCAGTATTCTTCGCCGCCTCAGCACGCGCCAGGAACGCAGGTCAAGAACGAAACGGATCCAGACGTCCCGGATGCAAATGAGTGGGCGTAAGGCCTCGATGAGCGAGACCATGTACGGGACAGCTGAAGCGGGACTCGAGACGGATCTGAAAAGCATCGTACGGGGCTGGCGTGCCAAACGACCCAGCGTGCCTTGCACGAGGCAAGAAGAAGCCGTCGCATGGCGAATCGGAGGACCAGACCGGGAATGGAATTGGAGTATTAGTTTGTTTAAGAAATGGCCGTCTTACGGGGCGTAGTGCTGGGCTAACAATCCGATCGTGTCGACGGCCCCCCTGGCTGTGCTCCTCCGACGGTGATGATTCAAGGCTTCACCACTTCAAGTATATTCAAGTAGTACGAGAATACTGTGACGAATGGACAGTCGCTCTATGACGTAAGCAACTTGGGACTGAATACGTATTCTACCGGAGAGCAAACGTAAGCTGTACTGTACACCTAGGTGCCGCCGACCTTTTCAATCCGTTCCGACGAGATGGACCGTCAGTGGCCCCACATCAATACTCTTCCCCGGCCCCGCGAGCTGCCAAAACTGGACCGTGTTCAACGTCGCCTCTTGCACGCCTCTCAACCTTTATACTCTCATCCTCCTCGCCCGCACCAGCCAACAACCGCACCGCATCATGGCAGAAATCGCAGGGCCAGCGGCCAGCTCCAGCGACGCTGCCGCTGCCGCTGCCGCCCAGCGCGCATCAGAACAAGCGCGCCTTCGCCGGGAGCGCCGGGAGGCCAAAATCAGGGCCGGCGGCGCAGCACGACTAAACAAGATCAATGGCATGGCCGGCCGCATCGTGCGAGGTACGTGGCTCTCCGATCCCGTCCGCCCATCACAGCCCGACCTGCCATGTTGCGCTTCCCAGCTGAAACGGCAAGCAGACGGCGACGACCAAGCCACGCCCACAGCAGCAGACAAAACCGCGTCACCGTCGAAACCCGCAACCCACGGCGACCCCGACGAAGTCGACATCTCGCAACACTTGTACGCACCGCAAACCACAGCCCGGCCCGTGCCCTCGTCCCCCTCCCCGGGCCCTGAACCCATCATCTCCGAAGCCCGACTCCGCCAAATGATGCTCGGCTTCGACCGGCCATCCGACCCCAACACCCCCGGGTCCTCGACCCCCAGCAACGGCAACATGCCCAACACGGACGACGACCCCCTCATGAAGATGATGGCCCAAGTGATGGGCCAAGCTGGCACCCCTCCCTTTCCCGGGATGGGAAACATGTCGGCACAGCAAGTACAGCAGCAAGGCGCCGCCGCCGCCGCGCCGTCCGCCTACCACACAACCTGGCGTCTCGTCCACGCCCTCGTCGCCCTCAGCCTCGGCCTCTACCTGACCCTCTTGACCACCTTCTCCGGCACCAAGGCGGAGCGCGACGCCGCCGCCCTCGCGCACGTCCAGCACACGGCCGCCGACGACGACAACGAGCACCACAAGCGCACCTTCTTCTGGGTCTTCGCCACCTCGGAGGCCGTGCTGCTCACGACCCGCGTCTTCCTCGACAGGGGCCGCGCCCCGCCGCCCGGCATCCTGTGGACCGTGGCGGGCTTCCTCCCGGACCCCGTCCGCGGCTACGTGAGCGTCCTCCTGAAGCACGGCCAGATTTTCACCACCGTCAGGACCGACGTACTGACCTGCATGTTTGTCCTGGGCGCGTGTTCCTGGCTGAGGTCCTGAGGTCCTGAGGTCCCGAGGTCCCGAGGTCCTGGTCCGGCGCGCCGGGCACTCCGTCCTGTTCCTGTCCCTGTACGGAGAAGGAGGTGGACAATGATGAACGCTCAACATGTACATGTAGCCTGTTTCTGTATCCGCACCGGCACCTGCCACCATCAAGTGAAGAAACACAGCGACTGCCCGTCGACCAACCCGCCTCCAGCTTAGCTCCTCATAGTGAATGAAGCCTGTTGACCCCCGCAACTCGGTAGATTGCCCTGTCAGTCCGGGCAGCAGCAGCAGCAGCAGCAGCAGCCGCCTTCAAAAACCGACAATCTTGCACACAACCGCCCGCCCGTCAGCCAGATCTCTCGCCCTCGCCCGGACAGTGGCGCCCCAAAGACACCACTTGCCCGGACGGGACGGGACATGGCGACGACCAGCACGGATAGAACGAGGGAACGAGGCCATGCCAGCGCTGCCCTGCCACGTAGGACCGCGGGGCCATCGGATTCCAACATGTACAAGTCACTCGCCGACTGCGACGGGACAGGCAGATAGATACGTCATGTCATGCCAGCAACGCCACCCATCACATGTACCACGACGATGACGCAGGCTGTCTGAAAGTGCTTTTATTTGAATGCATACATTCTTTTATCCTACCTACCGTCCGGAGCCAACAGTCTTGCCAACCTCGGACAACTGCCTGGAAACCATGTAATGTCCTCGATTGAGTCGCCTGGTGCATATTAAGGACGACGACTTCTTTCTTCCTTTCCGTCTCCTCCTGCCCACCAAGAGGAAAAAAGGGAGCGCGGGCAGAGTAAATAAAAGTCCGTTCCACGCACCCACCACCCCAGGGACTCGTACTGCGAGCAATTTTTTTTTCCCCAAGTCATTCAACGCCGTGGTATCAATTCGGGAGCTCTAGTTCTGGCATCCCCCCAATCAAATTTCCCACCCCAAAGGCCGCAGCAAACATATCCACATCAAGAAGTAATAAAAGAATCAACGGCAAAATCTTGGCGTCATCGTTTCTCGAGGGAAGAGACTTGCATGGCGAGGGCCTTGTTTCCTCGTAGCAGCTCGTCTAACCACTCGGCAGCCATGGCTAGGGTGGTGCTCTTGCTAAAGCCGCCCCCCTTCAGCCCGGGTACCAGTTCGCCCAAATCGTCAAAGCCTTCCTTGATCTGAGTCCGTCGCTTTTGTTCACTGCGAATGTGGTTCTCGCGCTTCTGTTCCTCGGAGAGATTCTCACGGGGCGGCTTTGATCCGTTGGCGCCCGGCTTGCGGCGTCTGCTGCCGGCAGCGGTGTCCGAAGGAGGTTCTGATCCGCTTGCTGACCGTTCAGACTTGATCTTTCGCTTTCGGCCTGACTTTGAAGAGGTGGCGTCGTCGTCGTCGTCGTCGTCATCCTCGTCGGCCGCGGTGCTCCGGACATTCTTGCTCTTCCGCCTCTTTCTTGGCGGTGCGTTGGCATCCTCCTCCATCTTGACGTAGACAGGTCCGTCACTGTTGCTGCTTGTGGCTTGCCCGTTGGCGGGACTGCCAGGGCGGGTGTTAGCCGCGCTCTGATTGACTTCCAAGCACTCGAGGCACTTCATTTGGGTTTGATGCATAGACTCCACGGACTCCTTCCTCGGCTCTGGTACGTACCCCTGGACTTCGGAGAAGCTTGCGTCTGAACCCCATTGGAAGTCGCCCAAGACGGGCTTCGAGACGGACGTCTTTTCCTTTGACCCCCACATCCAGCGAGTGAATGTGTGGTCTACTTCAGGTGCCTGGCTGCTCCTCCGGTTCTCTTCCTTGAATTCCTCCATCGGCTGGTGTCTCAGGTGGCCAACTGGGTATACCACAGGGCGGTTGGCGGCACTGCCGGGGCTGCTGCTGCTCTTGGGTGCACCGGATCGGTTCCCATTCTGAAGCAAGGTTGCGGCGGCGTTCAGGACATCGTCCGAGTGATGGTGAGAAAACGTCTGTGTATGCGAGGGGGCCGAGCCTGGAGCAGGAGGGGGAGGGGGGGGCATCATGCTCGAGTCGGCAGACAACATTCTAGCCAGATCGTTCTGGTGGTCACTGGAAAAATCAAAATCGGCCGAAGGCGCTTGAGAACCGAGGGAGGTGGATGAGCCCATGAACTGAGGGGGAAGATCTAGCCAGGCATCGCTGAAGTTGAGGCCTTCGCCAAACGAAGGCATGTTGTATTGATTTGACGTCATATCCTCGAAAAAGGAGCTGAGGAATTTGCTATCCGTCTCGGTCAGGAGCGGTGCTCCGGGAGCTGGGTCTGGGGCGGCATCGAAGATGTCTGCCTGCGTTGAGTCTACCGAGTCTGTTGCGTCAAAGGGGAGAAATCAGCCTGAGTTGCATGAATGGGCGCGCACATGTCGCCGCGGATGGGTGAAGGGGACAATAACAGGGAAGGGCAGGACAGAAGAGAGTAAGAATTCCACATACAACCAAACATGAGCAAGGACTCGGATTCACGCTGCGTCGAACCGCCCCTGGGAGCGTGCTGCACGGCCAGCATGAGGAGCGTCGGTTCTCTCCAGGTCAAGTTGCGATGATGCGGAATTGCGGGAGCGGGCGCCCTGCACCGACGATAGACAGGGGACAACGGCGGCTTGGCGAGGAAGCCTGTATCGTCGAGAAGATGAGATGACGACGCTGTGTCTAAGGCGAGTGCTCCAAACGATGAGTGAGATGAATGCAGCGGAAGAAAAATACAGCGGACAAGAAGCATGTGCAAGGTGGGAGTTTTGAATGCTAGCACATGATGATGGGACCGGGGGGAATCTGGGGTAGTGGGCAGGGTGAAGACGGGACACCGTGGGACAGACAGATTTTTGGAGTTGGGAGAGGGAGGATGGGCGGGATGGACGGCGGAGGGCTGACAAGTCGAGACGACGGACGACGGACGACGGACGATGGCGGAGGCTGAAGGATGCCGCAGGGTTTCTGAGCTTGGAGGTCTTGAATCTTGGGTCTTTGTGACCTTTGGCGGTCCAAGTCGAAGTACCCAGGTTCTCCGTGCTCCGTGCTCCGTGCTCCGTGCGCAAAGAGAAGAGAGAGGTACGTACCTCCCTGGCGGTTTGGCTCTCTGGCGCTCGCTCTGACTCTGCTGACTCTTTGACGGAGGTGGGGCAGTGCCTCTTCCGACCAGACCTTTTCTTCCTCTTCATCGCCTCCGCTCTGCCGCCCGTCCCCTCGCCCCTCCCTCCAGAGAGATGTCGTCTCCTTTTGCGCTGACGGTGGTGGTGCCTTGGATTCTGCGGCTCGCGAGTGGTGGAGGCGTGCGGTTGTGGCCTCCGGTGTTTTTCACCTGTCCAATACCAGACTCCTCACAGTCAAACGCAAGGCCAATGCGCGGATAGTGCTGTGCACACGTTGATCTCCTCTCCGTATAGCAGAGGACCGTTGCAGCATGCTGCTTGCTCCATTAGGGCGGCGGCAGATCTCCTCCCTCCTCCCTACTTCAGTCTATCAGCTGCGTCCAAGTACGTACTATGTACTCCGTACGTGCATTCCTTCCCACACACAAGGGGACTTGGATCAAAGCGGGGCTTCGGCTGGGCACTACATAGTATACGGTACATGCGGAGCACCGCCAGGACAGTACCAGCATCGGTATCTAGAGATGGTGTGTACCTGCCAGCAGATAATATGCAAATACCAGTAAATACTAAGTAGGTACTTAGTAAGTATTTACTTAAAGTAAGTACGGGGACTTGGGTATTGTCCAGTCGTTCTGGGCAAACATGACAAGTCTCGCTTCAAAGCTGCAAGTCGTATCAACGTTAGTACGAGAGCTGCATTACATTATAACCTTTGTTTCAGTTGATCTTGTTCGGAATATTGCCCATCTGTGGGTCGATTGTCTTGGGGATTGTGTATATTTCATGCATGTGCTACGCTGTTCTTGTCTCCGTGAACTGTCAACCACCTGGGCGTACGTAGGTACCTGGGTACCTGCTTGGTGACTACGAGGCCATTCCGTTCGACTTAAGAAGTAGGCTGGGCAAGTGCTACCATGACACCCGCTTCGAGACGGCAAGCCACCGTTCCATCTTGTCTGCTCCCTGAAGCCGGCTCGACTGCTCTCGCATCATCACTCACCGTCCTAGACATTGGTCGTCAAAACTTACCCAACCCCCGCAGCCGCCGTCGACCGATCGACTCATGTACGGAGCACGGACTGCTCAACTCTCCTGCGCTGCGTCGCCTGGCCCCGGCGGGGCAGGCAGCAGGGCAGGCAACGCAATATCCAAAGTAGACGTTCGCCCCGCAAAGGGCTCAAGTCCCCACGTGAGATGCGGCTAGCGTAAATCATCTTTTGCGGACGTGGGACGACCAGGCACGACAAGGGACCCCGGGCCACTCACTCACTCACTCACTCACTCCCTCACTCACTCCCTCACTACTGCCGTGTCGGCTCGATCACATGTCAATCCGCTCTCCTTTCCTTTTCCCCCCTCTGCCCTTTGCCGTCTGTCTCCATCCCCAGCTTCGTTTGCCGTCGATTCCAACAAGCCACGGCGATGGTCATGGCTCCGATCCATCCCGGGTATTTCACGCCTTGTCGCAATGTCCGGAGTCCTCCGTCACTTTCATGTCAAACGTGGAATTGGCGCTGCGACGATTGCTGTCGGCCATCTTTTTGTTTCACAATACGATGTAGTCCGTACTGCCTGGCCACACAATCATTTGTCTCGTGGTACTATCAGCTCCCTGGGCAATTGGGCTTGCTCGGGAAAGAATCGGACCCGGCGTAGATTGGGCCGGTCCACACCATTGCCTCGCTCAGATTGCATTGCCTGGTTGGCGTGGCTTTCGCGCCCTTTCTCCATTCGTGAATCTACGAAAAGGAATGGATTGCGCATGCCCGTTGTTGGTTCGCATGACCCGGTCACTAGATGCAATTTGGGTGGCGCGCCTGCAAGATTGATGAGCTGCCACGTTGACGGGAACCAACTGCAAATAATAGCAAATATCTGTCAATATTCCGTCCTGTCGTCGGACAAGCCCCGTAGGCCCTTGGCAAAAAGCGCCGGGTGACACTAATACATGAGAGCAGAGCACAAAACCTGAAACGTAAGTACAAGTATCATCAAGCTTCCATCTTCGCAGGATCCGAGGCAGCCTTGTAGTGATTAAATCAATCACGGAGAGGAGCGCCAAAGTATAGTGTGCTTCATATCCTCGTTTGAGAGAGGCTTGCGCACACCCGATAGCCTTCTCACCATGATTGCCCTGCCACAACATAGCTTTCTGGCTTAGTTTGAGAGTTTGATACTAAACCCGAGTCCCTTTCTCGTTGGCTAGCGGGTGAAATTGGAGGCATCGCCACGGATCTTCACAGAGTTGTGACTACGGGAGTGGTGTCTGTAGATCTTGGTACTCCCAGTCGACTCACTGCATGGTTCCACGCACCCCCGCACACGCATATGTGTGACAGCTACTCCGGACCAGCGGTGGTGATCCGGAGGGCTTCCCGCATTGGATTAAGGACCGTGGTTGTCTCGGGGCATTTCCCTGGCTTGTATGTATAATGCGTCTTCCCGGGCGACAGCCCGGGTTTGACCGTCAACTTGCAATTTGCCGTTCTGGGGCCTTTGAGACACAACGCATCTAGAAGGCTTCCGTGATATTGCCTTGGCCCTTGCCCCCTTCCCCGGCGGATAGAACGGGCGCCACAGTGTTGTCCGGACAGGAAAAACGCCCACGTCGATCTGCAGCTCGCATGCGGAAATCGCCGGTCCAAGTCATGTAGTTGCAGTATTGATGGGTGCCAAGCGATGCTTGGCCTAATAAACAGAACAGAGACGCGGATAGATGATGGTGACCGGTGGCTCCACCTCCTGCAAGTTCATGTGCAGCTGCGAACCCCGTCGTTTTTTGTGGTGTTTTTGGATCTTTTGAGGCCAGGAAAACAGCTCCAATTCAGACATTTGAGTTGGAAGCGTTGAGAGATTCCATGGAGATAGCAGACCGGATGCAGACACTTGGGATCATCCTGCCGCTTGGCACCATCAAGCACACCCACATGTAGGCCAGCTGCCCACACGACGCGGGAGATGCCAACCGTGCTGGGAATGTCGTCCGACAGCCCCTGTAGGCTCTGGTACTACGTACTCCGTACAATGGAGGATAATAATACGCAGGCATTTGGTGATGGAGCGATGATAAGTCGAAGGCTGAAACGCCGGGTCGAATTGCATATTCCCTTCCCCCGCCGCGGATTGCCGTTCCCCACGTTTCCATTCCAGGAAAGAGCAACTGACACCTCGTACCCAGCAAGGGGCCGCACCGAGTTTTTCAGAAGCCGAGGAAGGAGCTAGCAGCTTCACTTGCCATTTTTTTTTTGAGAGAGAGAGAGAGAGAGAGAGAGAGGCAGGCAACCCGACCGACCTTGGGGGCTGCGAGGCTTCGAAATAACGACATCATTGACCAGGCCACAAAAGTCGATCTCCTTTCGCGACCGTCTCCGAACTCAACGTCCGGGGGCCGTGACGTCGTACTCCTCCTGTACGTACGTACATCTTGGACGTTGTGCGACCGAACACGCGCCCGCGGCTCTTGCTGTAACCACAGCCGCCGTTGTTTTCGGCTCAGACGCTGACCTGCAGCCGCACGGCAAGCCATTCCGTGGCGAGACTTTGTCATCTAACTGTATTCACGAGATGCCAGATTGCCGAGACGGTCCCAGTTTCTTCTCATCCAGCCCTTGACGTCTACGTTACGATATTCTCACATCTCTTCAAGGACACGATTGGATGCACCCTTTTGCCTTTGCATGCTGTGCTGTTTGTCTGTTGCGCTCCTTGTTTTGGCTCTGGACGTCCGGAAAGAGCATGCGCACAACACTCTACGCCTGGGGTGACTTCTCCAAAAAACTCCGACGACCTCGAGGGCATCAGGTCTTGTCGAGGAAAGGCTCAGTTGGAGGAGCCCTGTCCGAGACTCAGCCCAGTTCCACACCAAGCGATGCACCACCAGAGCATTGAACTATCACCGATCAACCCGGCTTCTGCCGATTCGCTTTGAGACTTCACGAGCCTTCATTCCGCTCCCCGGATTGTCAACTGCAACTGCCCCATCTATCCGTTGTCAGCCATCCCGGTCAGCCATCCTGGTTCCCCATCTGTTTCCAACATGGCGCTACGGGGTGCCGGCTCCCAAGGCAGTCCAGATACTCGACGCATTCTCACCTCAACAGTGACCAGAGCAAGTAATGGCGCTAGCTCATCCAGAAAGTTGACCTTTTTGCAGCTGCAGTCCATTCCGCCGACCCTGCGGCCGCTTTTGCGTGCATACCTCTTGGGCTATGCATCTGCCGTACTGCCACGACTCTTGACTCTCGTCTTGCAGCATTTGTCCAACAGAAAACGGAAGACGCCTAATTACGCATTGCCGGAAAGGGATGAAAACACTTTTTTGGCATCCGCAAAGCATGTTCTCAAGATAGGCTTAGATCCTCGCCGATTTCCCACGTTTTGTGCCACCTTGGTTGGAGGTTCGACTCTCCTGCAGGTTCGTCATAACATCTTGGTAAACTGTGACAAGCCCTCTCGCGAGTCATATTAATCTCGCATACACAAAACATCCTCATATGTCTCACCTACATACGCACCACGTTTTCCCCACAGCTTTACCCCAATTACTCTCTTTGGGACCCGGATCCGGCACTTCCTCTTCGCCTGCTCCATTCCCAGACCATCATCATCATCACCACTACTGGTCACAGTTCAGAGCAACATGGTGGCTATGCTGTCGCTGCCCTCTCTCGCCTCGAAGCTCCATTTTGCTATCCTCGTGCCCCCACCCTTTTTTTTTTTTTTTTTTTTTTTTTTTTTTTTTTTTTTTTTCTCTCTACACCCTGACTAACAGGAGTTGGGGACCAGGCGCCCCTGAACAGAGTCATAGGCCGCGCCGCCACGAACCTTGGTAGTGCCGGCAAGCTAAGGTACGTTGGGTCGGATCTCCGGCCAAACTAGCAAGCTCCGTCCCGAGTGAAGCTAACCTCCGCGCTTGATCCCCACCATACAGACTGAGCAGATTCCTTGCCACATTCATTGCTGCTTGGTTTAGTCTAAGGCTGTTGCAGTCTAAAAGTCCTACGTTGCGAAGGCGTGCCGGCTCATCCACAATTCGATATGTCGATCCCGAGACCGGCGAGAAGCTTGCTGGGAGGACGGTGGACTTGACACTATTCGCTGTAACGCAGGCTATAGACGTCATTGTCGGTGAATTATGGGCACGACACAAGAGCCGCCGTCAGGCTGCGCAAAAATGGACCAAGGTATGAAATCATGTGGCTCACCGCTTTGCTTCGCTGTGCAAGATGTGTCTGTAAATGCGGTCTTGCGACTGCCTCCCACCCTGCTGTGTATGCTACTGTAGCTTACACTTGGACCATAATACAATTGGATCTAGTGACGTTTTGCTGATTCGTACAAACACAGGCCGAGACTTTCGTGTCCCAGATGATTGACCCAGTCTCATTCGTAGCATCCTGCGCGCTCATCATGTGGGCGTGGTTCTATGCTCCAGATAATCTACCACGAGCGTACAACAAGTGGATCACATCCGCTGCCCACGTAGATATTCGCCTCATTGAAGCACTACGGCGTTGTCGGACTCGAGAGCTGAGTTATGGGAAAGACACCGGCCAGGCTTCTCTCCTCGGTTCCATGTGCGCAGATCATGACCTGCCTCACGAATGGGGCGATCCATGCAAGACTATCCCATTTCCTTGTGAGATAGTCCATATGGGACGCGGCCCATCGTGCGAATATCACGCCTGGCGAAGATTCTGGCTGTCGTGGAAATGGTCGATGTATACTTACCTCCCCCTCGCCTTGGCCCTGCAGTTGCGGAAGCCGAATCGCAACTCCCTCAGAAGCGCTCTGTTCTCAGCCGCCAGATCATCCGCCTTTCTAGGCACTTATATCGCTCTATTCTACTACGGTGTTTGTCTTACCCGGACTCGAATCGGCCCCCGTCTGCTCGGGAAAGATGTGGCTTGTTGGCAGAATATAGATGGCGGGTATTGCGTCGGGGTAGGCTGCTTCCTCTGCGGCTGGAGCGTGTTGATCGAGACGGCGAACCGAAGGAAAGATATGGCCCTGTTCGTTGCACCTCGTGCACTGGCCATACTGCTACCTAGGCAGTATGAAATCAAGGTGCAGTGGAGAGAGACGCTGGCATTTGCGTTGAGCACGGCAGTGGTTTTCACCTGTGCGAGAGAGAACCCCAGGAGAGTGAGAGGTATGTTGGGCGGAATATTGGGACTTACCATGAAAGAGTAAGTATTGTATGAGTTGTGTGTAGCAGAAACACGGGGACCCCGTCGTAAGTAAGTAGGTAGGGTCTTGTACTTGTGGTGCCGGTGACATAATGGTTCCTTGGTGTGCAGGCTGGAGATGAAAGGTCTGGTGACGGGGCAACTTATTTTTCTGCGCCTCTGTGCGGACGCTGTTGTAATTACATAGTTGGGGAATGAGAAACATCCCATGCGAACAGTAGTGATTCTCTGTGTGTGCCTGCCTTTGCCCACGGGCCGAGATGCGTTTCGAGTACTTGACTTTGAGTAGGAAGCTGCAAAGAGCCGAATCGAGGGTTGACATCTGGCACCAAAAGTCGAACGCAGCATCGCGAAAGTTGTTCAGATACACAATCCACATGAAGCACAACAGCATAGATGGGGAAAATCTGCTGGCATGGCAGTTTTTTGCGTGCGCGTGTCGCTGCTGTTTGGGCTTCCACGAATGGGAATGAGCACGAACGCGGTGTGAGTCGTGGTTTCCTGCTCAGGGACTTCGTGCCCAAGGTGAGTGCCTAAATATCCAGGATTCCACGGCGATGCATCGAGGTCACGTAATCTATCCGAACAAAGGCTTGACGAGCTCGATAGCCCTCCACTTCGCTTCCCGGCGTTGCAGGTTGCCCCTTTCAACTCTTCACGAGATCCAGCTCGAACGCACATCCGACAAGCAGAGTAATTACCGACACAAATCATCATGAATCCCAACCAGGAAGGCTATGACAGACGCATGTACCTCGTCAAGGACATTGTTCGTTCTTTCGGTCTGAAGGTTTGTTTCACAGCCATCTCGCGCAATCTATAGGAGTCCGTCTGTTGAGCAAACGCGTGGGATGTAACGAGGCCATAGCATACCGCCTATCACGACTACATGTCAAAGTTCCCCTTTGAAAGCAGGCGTCAATGCAATTCTTGCTCAAGCTAATGACGCGCTCTTACAGGACAAGTCGATCACGCCGGTAGAGTACATAGGATACAGCCCCTTCCCGCTCAATAATTTCATCTACAAGGTCTTGCTCTCTTCACCCGCTACTAGAGAGCATGTTTCAAAATCTGGACACCAGATATGCACGGTATGGCCCCCTATAGAGGGAAAATCTACCGTCATTGTGCGGCTGAGTAATCCTCAGTCCATGGGGATGAACAACACGAACCGTGGGGAGAATGAAGTTTCTGCCATCCTCGGGGGATTCACGAACACTTATGGTGTGCAAACACCAACGGTGAGACGAGGCGACCGCGAAGGTGCGAAACAAAGTTAAAAGCAATCGTTCTGTTGCGATCTCGGCGGTCCTAGAAGTTGGCTCGTCTGTGCGGTGCCCAAGCATGCGGGGAGGGCAGTGTTTTCAGTAAAAAGCAGGTTTGCCCCGGAGCTTCCAGATACTGTAGGTAGCGGCCACGATGGAGTAGATATTTCGTTTGGGCCTTCATGTTGATCATACGCTGACGCATGTATAGGCCAAATAGGAGCATGTCCATGTTCAGGCCGCTCAGGCCAGTCTGATTTCAGTCTTGCCGATAGAACCTGATTGATGATGTCTGGGTCAATGGACTGTAGCAGAGCTTGCCCAAGCAAGAGCGATTGGTGATTGGAGGGTGAACCTTGCTACCTGCTCGACGTCCAACGACAGGACCTCGGGAATGAGCGAGGCTACAACAGCTATTGCACTCGACTTGATCTATTTCGATACCAAATAGCGTTGCAGCTTCGGGGAAGTCTTGTCTCCCGTGAAACCACGGATGCGACCGCCTTGGAGGTCATAGACGTCAGGCGGACTCGGACTCCACCAAAATGCCGACAACACAAGCATTACCACTCGACCCTGAGAACTGCGCTGTTGCCTGGATCGCACCTCTCGAGATCGAAGCCCAGGCCGCCCTACACTTGCTGGACGAGCGACACCGCGGCCGATTTCCGGTTGGCCGAGGCGATGACTATGTGTTTCACGCAGGTATCATGCACCCACATTGCGCTCCAAGTCTGACACAGCAGCAAAAGCGCACATGATGGTTGGAAGAGTTGTTGAATCAAGTGGTGAGTAAGAGCTGAATAGGAATGACAGCCTAGGGATAGAAAAGATCACTAACAATGCACCAGAGGAGGTTCATCAGCCATGCTATTGTAATCCAACTTGCCAATAACACCCGCTTCACAGGTCGTACCAGCATCCGGAACACACTGGAAGAGAAGTTCTTCGCCAAAGACCAGAGCCAGAAAATGGCGCTCGTCGGACTCGGTGGAGTGGGCAAGACTCAAATAGCGCTGCGTTTTGCCTACCAAATGAAGGAGAAGCGTCCAGATTATTCAATCTTCTGGGTGCCCGTTCTGAGCGATGAAAGTGCAGAGCAGGCAAATGGCTCTTCATTGTGGACAACGCCGACGATCAGGACCTTGTTTTTGCATCTGCCGACAAGCCAGGCTTGGAAGAGTATTTCCCTAAGAGCGAGAACGGTTTAATCTTGTCAACGACCCGATCTAGGCAAGTCGCGGCAGAATTCGCACAATCTCATGTGATCGACGTTGAACAAATGAATGGAGTCAAGATGGGTGATGGCAGTATGGACGCAGTCGGCACGAGCATTCACCAGGACTCTGAAGGAGCGAACTGGCCTGCTGATGCCGAGGTAGTCGCAGTCACGTTCATGGTCGACTTGTGGGAAGACACTGACGTCCATTTTACGTGCTTTGGTAGGTTTGTACAGAGTTTTGGGGGGTTCTCTTTGCTGGCCGGGATGACGACCCGATTTTCAAGTATCCGAGCTGCTTTGTCCGAAAAGTCGCAAAGATCTTGTGGAAGATGGCGGGGCCGTGTAGGAGGATAGAGACGAATTTTCGTGCGACGTGTGCAGGTACCGCAGTCACGGTCACAATTCCTGCCATCATTCGCGTGGCCAACAAGCGTGGAACGGTGACATGTATGAGTGGACTAACTGCAAGGGCGGAATTCGAGTTTTACACGACTCCTGAACTGCAGATGGATAGACTCTCAAAGAAAGGAACGTGCGGCCTCGGGTCTTGGGTGACATGTCCTTGTACATGATGCAGAGCTCTCGTCAAAGAAGCAGTGAAGTCGGCAAAGACAAGGGCACAAGAGTATTCCGTGGCTGATCACGGCACGCGGGCGCGCAGTTTGATTGCCATTCCTCATCCTACAATGTGCCGGGATACACTCGACGATAGATGGCCATCGTTTTCAAGAATTCCATTACACCTCGGCGGCGCTCAGAAGCTGCTGAAAAGACATGTTAGGGGAAACAGGTGTGTTTGTTTCCATGAAAGAAAGGATGAGCAGCAGCACAAGAGCGCGACCACCTCACTGCTCACGGCCTTTTGGCTGACTTCTTTTCCTCCCTGTACCCAAGGACCCAAAGTGCTTTCTGTTCAAGCCAAACGCTTGAATATATAGCTTGCTGCGTCGCCTGGCTGCGTAATGACGACACATCCGCCCAAAACCGGGCCGTCTCGCCGTTTCTTACACAGGCTCGGAGACCTGGGAGACCTCCTTAACCGGCGACGTCATCGCGCCGTCTAACCCGCACTCTGACCTTGCAGGCAGACAAGCGTTGAAGTATGAGAGCAAGTAAGTGTCCCGATTTGCTCGTGACGCCTCCCGTTTCTGACCACGTCCTTTACGCCCAGCCCCTGGGAACAAGTCGTCCACATTTCGGTCGGAGACGCTAGAAACAAGAGGGCCTTCAACGTCCATCTGAAGCTGTTGGTTTCATCGTCCGAGTATTTCCGGCGATCGCAAAGCGGACGTTGGGCCGAATCAGACACCCGCGAGCTGTGCCTCGAAGAACAAGACCCCGAGGTCTTCCACACCTACATCAACTGGCTGTACTCGCGGGCCGTGAACTCGAAGTGCGAAACCGACCTGGGAGACACGTTCTTGTCTCTGGCAAAGGCGTGGATTTTGGGCGACTATTTGCAGGACGCGGCCTTTCAAAACGACGCCATGACAAAGATGTACAGGGAGGTGCGTGCCCTGCATCGTTGGCGAAGCGGATGGGATGGTAAGACGCTGCCCATGGCTTGGGTTTACGAGCATACCCCAGTAGGTTCGCTGCTTCGGGCGTTCCTGGTTGATGCCTTTCCTTGTTACTCTGACTGTCTTGACATGTTGGACTCGGAGGACCCCGTTTGGACTGAGATCCAAAGGGACATTTTCAAGGCACTCGGGCAAAAGATGCGCAAGTACTCGCTCGTGATGAAGGGGAGGTGGCCGGAACGCAGATTCAAGGCTTTCATCCGGGGACCAACGCGGCCTTGTAAGCATTACTTGGTTCAAGCTTGAGCTGCGGAGGAGAACAAGCTGAGACGGGAGTGTCTCGACTCGTAGGGGGCACTCCTTGTTGTAGGAACGAGACTTGGTTCGTGGATGGTGTGACTGGCCACCGCTGCAGGACAGCGATGACGACGGCGACAGTCTGGAGACAGGGTGCTCGAGCAGCGGGGTGACAGTTGAATCGGAGTGGTTGTCGGGCACAAAGGAACCTCGGGCGTCGTCCAGTGGTGGTTTCGAGATGACGTGTTTCGGCAGCGTGTTGGAGCTTGACTTTGGACAAGTAGCATTTGCGTCGAATCTGACCACGATTTGAGCGGAAGGTGTGCCGCCGTCCGGTTGGAACGAACAAATGAATGCTACTGACCTGATCAACTGTCAGCCTGTGCTCGCTCTTTTGTAAACGTAGGAATATTCGTGTCGCTGTATGCAGTATGTACCTTCATTCCCTGATTAGCAGCAAAGGCCAGATAGAGACTCAGAGCCTGCCATCAAGACGATGTACTTGTGTTTGCCTCATCACCTTTGACTTTGCACGGAGTACTGCTCGTCTTGCTTCCTTCTGCTCTTCATGTGCTACGCCCTTCCAGCCGTAACTTATCTCGTGGCAGCATCAGCTGTCTGCCAGCTTCAAACGCCCGACAACGCTCAAGACATCTGTCAAGAACAACCACAAGGTCTCACGCCCAAGCAATCGCCCCCGGTACTCGATGCTCGATGCTCGATGCTCGATGCTCGTGGCCCCTGCAAGGATTCGAGTCCGCATGTAAAAGCCCGACTTGACCTCGATCCATGGCAGTATATCTGACTCGGCAAACGAAAGTCAGCCAGCATCAACAGGACTGTCCGTCCATGATTCGTACCCCGGCGGAAGCAAATATCCATCCACCTTCGACATCCTTTCGTAGAAAGTGAAAGTGAAAGTGAAAGTGGCTGGCCAACACGGCACGCAAACAAGATCCAAGGCCATGTCATGACTTCCACGACGTGCAGCACAAGCGAGCACCCGTGTGCTCCGGCTTCCTCCTGCCCGGCCTCGTCTCACCTGGTGTTTCCTTTGCCCTCACCCGACACTCACTTCACATCAGCAGCCTCTGGCTCCCTCACTCCCGGGCAAACAAGACACGTTCCCTCGCCCTCACTCTACTCCAAGCAAGCGGCTGTGGCTCCTCCTCCCCTCTCACCTCACATCTGCAACTCGCCGCTCACAAGGGCCCTACTTGGCAGATACACATTCCATCTCCCTCTCATCAACCGACAGCTGCACCTCGCCTCTCCTCTCTACTGCTCACTCTCTCTCTCTCTCAGACTCTCCGCCACGTTTAACCCAGGATGCCCGCGACCAAGAAGTGGGAAACCACCGACGAGCTCGACCTCTGCATGGCCATCATCCTCACCGGCGGCTCGACCAACTCTTACAAGTGGCCCGAGATCCACGAGATAATGACCAGCATCGGCCACGGCTTCACCAAAGATGCCATCTCGTACGTGTTCCCCTCGTGTGTCCGGCACCGCTTGGGCCTTGACGCCTCGAGCCAAACGGGACCCCCCTGACAGGCCGCAGACAACATTTCACAAAGGTCATCCTGAGGCAATTCAAGGGCCGACATGGCTTCCCGCCCGGCAAGCTGGAGTCCGTGTCTCCCGCCAAGACCAAGAAAAGGGCGGCCGAGGATGCTGCCGAGTCCCCGTCCAAGAGAAGGGCTGACTAGACCTTGAGGTCGATGCGTGCGCCTCGTCGTGAGTGTGCGTCTTCTTCTCCTTGCCTCGAGTGCCTTCTAAAAGTGGCAGGTCGCGCACTCACATGGGCATAGTCTATAGACGGCGGAGCATGGATGCCCGGTTCTGCGGGTTTTGGGTCTTGCAGAGAAGAAACGAATCGAGGGTAGACTTTGCTTCGGAGGGAGGGAAAGGATTCACTGGCGAGAGGGGGAAATCGAGTCCAGGCGTTGGAGGGAGACGGCTGCGTGTGCAGTGGCAACAAGTCGGATGGTATCCGTCAACGTGGGAGACGGACGAGTTGATTTTCCACGAGGATTCAAGCTAGACAACAGAGCAATCTCAGAATCACTTCGTCCTATGTGTGGAATCTAGTGGCTTGACTTCTCTCATTCACCCTCATCCCCCGCCCCGAGGACCTTCAAGGCCGTCAAAAGCTAGTCATCACTTCGGACGACGACCGTCCAGTCTGTACCCTTCGTTAGGGGCTTTCTTGTCGGCCGCTTTGCCCTTGTCGTCTGCCTCGCCCTTTCTCTTGACGGTTCCCCGGAGACTTTGTCCCTGGCCAGCAAAGTGCGGTCGTTTGGCGTCCTCCTCCTCCTGTTCCTTTTCCTGCGTCGTCTTCACCGGCTTATATTCGTACCCAAAGAAGAGTTTGTTTGGGGCCAGGCGCAGCGGTGCCGGCGCTCCGGTTCGGCTCCGCGGCGCTGTTGGTTCCGCCGGGACGGGCGTGGCTGGCTTTGGCGTCGACGCCTTGCTGCCCTTCTTCGTGAGGCGCTGGCCCTCGCCCACAAAGTTGGTGGCATTTCTCGTGACCGACGGCGCGATGGAGCCGAAGCCGATGGCCTGGGCCATGGTGCCCTGGCTTTGCACAAGTCCTCCTGTGGCAAGGCCGCCTCGGGTGCTGCCCGGGGTGTTGGTGCCGCTCCTCCTCTCTGGCTCGACGTAGCCGACGGGCGGAGCGAACTCGACCGACACGTCAGTCTCGATCATGCTGACGCCCATCTTGTCTGTTTCCGGCTTCACATCCAACACGGCCACCTCGTATATCTCGTCGTTGTATTCAAAGTTGAACACATCGCCCTTGGTCAGGGTGGCAAAGTTCCTGAACGCCCTCTCCAGCACAGCCTTTGGATCACTAATTTCTAAAAAGTTGACTGACTGGGGCTGCAGCTTGACCATTTTTGCCAGTTCCAGTGATGTGGTTCGGATCTGAATCATGTCTCCCACGTCCATGCCCAGCGTCTCCATCATCTGTAGGCTGTCAGTGCACGGGCGTTGAATGAAGATGCGGCGTCGCGGCATCACGCACCCACTGGGGAATGTATGCTCGTCCCTCCTCTGCGATAAACTCCAACACACCGGCGTGAGAAAGCCGTCCCTTCTCTCCGTTGATCATTTCCATCAGCAGCGGCCACTGCACATGCAGTTTCGAGACCTTGTCTAGGGCTGATGGCGGCAGGATGATTTTCGAACCGTAATTTAGCTCCGGCCGCTCTGCACCAGGGGCCATGACGACGGGGTAGCATCTGTAGTATTCATCGAATCGCTGCATCACAGGTCTGCGGCCGCGCGCCAGGTTGTAAAGATGTTCCGGATTGCCCGGATCGAAGCCGCCGCCAAACCCGGGTTGAAACTGCCGGTCCAGTCAGTCTAGTTGGACCATGGCGAGCAAAGCTGAAGCTTACCATCGTGACAGGTTACCAATGGGTGCGAGATGTCAGAGTGCTGTTTTCCTTGGGGAGGGCGTTTGCGGCCGTCGAGTGGACCAGCCTGATGTTGACCAGGCGGCTCGGGGAAAGCGGCAGATTCTCACCACTTGTGGGAAACGTGTATGCGTAGTTGGGAATCGAAAATCGAAGGCAGGAGACGCTTCCTTCCGAGAAGATGCAGATGATGTTGAAGCTAGACGGCTCCCGTGCGGCGTGTGGGCTGACGGGACAAGTCACCCATCTCTACGAATGACGAATGACGCAGGTGCGCTGTGGCGCACGACAGGGGCGCTGTGGCTCGAGCTTGGCACCGCCGTGCCACTGTCTGTGGCGCCTGCGCTGAATTTCAGCCTCCCTCGGTGGAGGGTCCAGTTGATGTCTAGCTTCAAATCGCCATCACGCACCGTCGGAAACGCCTTTCGGTGTAGACACACTGGCTCTTGATGGACACCTAAGTCCCGACCGAAACTATACGGTTCATCTTTCATTCCTGGACCATGTCGTCGAGACTCTCAGCTGCCCGGCCAAATCGAGCGGGCGAGGACTTTGCCCGCGCCCACCACGGTGAGGCGGGTGGCGACCATGGCAACGCCAAGTTTGACGTCCGAAACCCGTCAATACTGGCTCCAGACTCGAGAGAGGAAGATGCCGTCCTAGATGCAGACGTCATAGGGAGCAGGGGCTCTACAAAGCGTGGTGCCGTAAACCTCGACGGCTACGACAGCGACTCGGACAATGAAACATTCAACGCCAAGGCGGCGGGCCGCAAAAAGGGCAAGGTCGACATTAACGAGCAGTTGGATAACTACGATGCCGCAAGATCCGCAGCAGCCTCGGGAGGTAATGTCAATGGCCACGCGGACGACGACGACGATGGCAACGGCAACGGCAACGACGATGAAGACATGTTTGCCATGGGCGGCGAGGCCGACGCACCAATAGAGGAGGAAGACGTCGACTTTGATAAATCTGGAAAGAAGAAGACGAGTGTCCAGTTTCTCGATGCCACGCAGATCATGGGCCAGGAACATGGCAGCAAGAGTGGTGGCCACGTGAGACTGGATGACCAAGACAGCGAGGACGACGAGCTTGAAGCGCAACTGGCAGCCCTGGAAGAGGGCGTGGATGAAGAGGTTGGTGCAGGCGGTCTAAAGCGGAATGCGCCAAAGGTCGAGGCTTTCAACTTGCAAGCTGAGATGGAAGAAGGTCAATTCGACCAATCAGGCAACTATGTCCGCAAAGCAGCCGACCCGGACGCCGTCCACGACAATTGGTTAGACGGGGTGAGCAAGAAGGACATGAAGAAGGCAGCCGCGGCGCATGAGAAACGCGCGGCTGAAGCGCGGCGGCAGCGCCTTGAAGAAGCCGACGTTCTCGTCTCCGACTTGCTCGGGACCTTGATTCTGCGATTGGAGCCCTCCGAGTCGCCCCTCGAGGCCCTGGCTCGACTGGGGAGAGGCCAGACGAGAACCAAGAAAATACCCAAATGGAAACTCAAGAAGATGAACAAGGGCTCGGAAGACATGGAAGTGGACGACAAGGGCGCTGCCCAAGACGTGGAGCAGACTCGAATCAAGGAATCCATCAATGCCATTACTGACGCGGCTGACAAATTGCTCAGCCGTGACTACGAAGAGGTCTACGACCAGGATCGCGAATTGCTGATGCGGGCATACCGGCGCGAGACTGGAGAGGATTGGGTCGAGCCAGCGTCGCAACATCAACATGAAGACGTCGAGCGAGAGGTGACTCGTGCTGATCAGCCAATCCAACAGTGGGAATTCCGATGGACAGATGGCCGTGATGGCGAAACGAAGCAGGGCCCTTTTGATCAGGCGACCATGAAGGCGTGGCAGGACGCTGGTTATTTTGCACAAGGCATTGAATTCCGCGTCGCCGGCGGTGGTGATGACGGTTGGACAACAACGGCCAACTTTGCGTCATGAATTACTCTCGATGGACTCAAGTCAAAGCGCCTCATGCGCCGTTTGCTGACGCCAGACGCGCAGTTTTACTGATTCTCGAATGAAGCGAAAGCTAGCTTTTCGAGACTGACTGACGGCACCACACGTGATATAAACAACTAGACGGGCCATTGTGTCGCAAATGATCAGTCATGGAGGAGGGACCTTGTGATGGTTGCCCATCAACTGGTGGAGATGGTCGATGGATGGCAAGTCTAAGCGCTGGGCCAAGGCACTGTTGACACATTGAGTTGGCAGCAGCCTTCTCTGTTGCAAAAATCGGGAAGACGAGAATTGTTCCTACCGTTCCCGATGGCTGCCGCCACAAAGCTCCGGAAAGGTGGACAAGACAGGGAAAAGAGCTAATGAAGGCCAATGCAGTTAAAGACCTTGTCTGTTCCATGCATCCGAGTTGCCCGCGCGATCAGAGCGAATTAGATTGAGGCCATCGTGAAGCCAATCCGCTGCTGAGGGTGCGTCGGAGCTGGCGTCGGTAGAGTTCGGACGGGAGCGGCTCGTATATTTTTGCCCTCGTCTCGCACCCGATGCCTCATCCCTGGCTGGCCTAGCAGCAACTGGTGACCGCGACCGGAGGCACGTTCTGAGTGACTCGTCATGGCCAACACTGGCGGGCTTGCTGGGTATCGCAACAATCACACCGGCACGGCAGGTCCTGCCACGGCGGTACTTGGACGCTATTTGGAGACTACGGGCCGGGCAGAGCGGGTACCCCTGGGTCGTGATTTTTTTTTTTTTTTCCCCTTTCATCAAGGCACTCGCGTGGCGCTGTAGCGGTTGAGAGAGCGGGCTTTTTGTGAGACGCCCGCCGGATCCGTAAAAAAGGCGCATCGGCTCGGTGGAGCAACGCGAGGTCGTCAGAGCATCATCAGTGGCTGGCGCTCATACGATTCCTGAGCAGGTTACTATCCCGTACCTGCCCAGGGCACCTAGGTGATGAATAGTTGGGGCAATGTTGCGTAGGGAAGAAGTGCTGGCGAATTTTGCCCTTGGCGACTGGCCAGGACGCGGGATCATGGATGAGGATGCGCGGTTGACATTGTCGGGCCATTGGAGAGGTCGGTCGGGGACTTGGCGGCATCTAGACGGAGGCAGCAAGAATAATGAATGTGTGACATGGACCAGACGTGCTGTGACGATGATGCCAAGCCAACAAATAACGTTAAAGGTGCAGGTTTGGACCATGGCCAGATGATGGTCTGCCTCGCGGTCTCCGTCGCCTGGCCAAGTCCCGGTTGACGCCGCTCAGCGCCGTGCCGCTGCCATCCAGCGCCAGACCCGGGCGCTGCAGCCTCCAGCACCATCCCGGCGCGCCCCGGCAGCAGCACCCATGTGCACGCAGCACCTGCCACCAAGCACCCGAGCCCCAGACGCTGACCACTATTTGTGTCCCACCTTCCCTCCCCCCTCCTCCTTCTTTTCTCTTCCATTTTCTCTTCTTTTCCTGCTCGTCATAATACAGCTTCACCATTCTTCCCACCCGACAATCACTCTGGTATGTCTTCCGCCATGCATTGACCGAGGAGCGCCTGATCACAGCGTGCCCTCAGGTCCGTCCTGTTCTGTCCTGGCTGACGTCCCAAGCTCCAGCTCCAGCTCTCGCCGCCACCCACGCATACCACATAGGCAAAAATGGCTCCCGTCAAGGTCGGCATCAACGGCTTCGGTCGTATTGGCCGCATCGTCTTCCGCAACGCCGTCGAGCACCCCGACATCGAGGTCGTTGCCGTCAACGACCCTTTCATCGACACCGAATACGCCGTGAGTTGTCCATTTGCCCTGTTTTCGCTCCATGACGCTGGCTTTTCCGCCGTCGTGCGTCCGGGGCGTTTTGGCTGTCGGCTTCGCCCCTCCCCCTCCTGCCCGCCCTCGCCCACCACCCCCTCGTTGCCCGTTGCCCCTCCTTCGAGCTTCGTGCCCCGCCCGACCCAAGATGACTTCGGCTGCCCCACGCCAGATATTTCCATCACGGCTTGCTGACAGGAACTCGTTCCCAATTACCAGGCCTACATGCTCAAGTATGACTCGTCCCACGGCATTTTCAAGGGTGACATCAAAAAGGAGGCCGACGGCCTTGTCGTCAACGGAGACAAGGTCAAGTTCTACACCGAGCGCGATCCCGCTGCCATCCCCTGGAAGGCAGCTGGCGCCGAGTACATCGTCGAGTCTACCGGCGTCTTCACCACCACCGACAAGGCCAAGGCCCATCTGTCTGGAGGCGCCAAGAAGGTCATCATCTCTGCTCCCTCTGCCGATGCCCCCATGTACGTCATGGGTGTCAACGAGAAGACGTACGACGGCAAGGCCGATGTCATCTCCAACGCTTCCTGCACCACCAACTGTTTGGCTCCCCTTGCCAAGGTCATCCACGACAAGTTCACCATTGTTGAGGGCCTCATGACCACGGTCCACTCCTACACCGCCACCCAGAAGACCGTCGACGGTCCCTCTGGCAAGGACTGGCGAGGTGGCCGTGGTGCTGCTCAGAACATCATTCCCAGCAGCACCGGTGCTGCCAAGGCTGTCGGCAAGGTCATCCCCGACCTCAACGGCAAGCTCACTGGCATGTCCATGCGTGTTCCCACCGCCAACGTCTCGGTTGTCGATTTGACTGCCCGCATCGAGAAGGGCGCCTCCTACGACGAGATCAAGGCCGCCATCAAGGAGGCTGCTGACGGTCCTCTCAAGGGCATTCTCGCCTACACCGAGGACGATGTTGTCTCTTCCGACATGAACGGCAACACCCACTCCTCCATCTTCGATGCCAAGGCCGGCATCTCTCTCAACAAGAACTTCATCAAGCTGATCTCCTGGTACGACAACGAGTGGGGATATTCCCGCCGTGTCCTCGATCTTCTTGCCTACATTGCCAAGGTTGACGCTGGCAAATAAACTTGCCTCGAAGTACTTAACATGGACCGAGTTTGCAATGTTGTGTGTCAGGAATGTGACTTTGGTGGCTCCCCCGTACTTCTGGCCACGACAATGGCCTGAAGACGGGTTTTTTTTTTCGCATCATATTGCAAAAAAGAGAAAAAGAAACAATACTAAAAACTAAAACAGAAAAAAACCAAATGAAACTGAACACAAGTTTGCACTTGTTGCCGGTGACCCAAAATTGTTTGTAATGAAAATGAACAAGGATACTCCCTGAAAATGGCGCGTTGGGGGCACAGGGCATATATAAAGTTGCTTGAGAATAGATCGCTTGTTACCGTTCATTATGTGCCTGTTAATCCTAGGGAATGCATTTGATGTCGGAGGTGTCAGCGTTGCCCTTTGCGAAATGTTTACTGCCAAATATCTACTTAAGCTGAAAGGACGCTCCGCCTTTGTATTCTTCTTCATTCCAAACCTAGCCAACCGACTTCGCAAATACACCAGTGCTGCTCTGGAAATGTCACTCACAGTTAGTTCTATTTCCGGTTTTTGCAGTTACGCAGAATCGGTTTGGCAAATCTCCATTCCACTACTGCTAAATTCTACGGTGCAAGACCCAAGCCATGGCTCACGCCCTTCACCACTCTCACTAAGCTCAAAAAATCTGCTCTCGAAACCAAGTAAATGCCGCTCGCCCTTCAGGAGCGGTGGATGACGTTTCAAAAACAAGGGGGATATCATGGTACAAGAATAAAATGTCATTAGAGGGAAAAGAAATAAAGTACACTGGTGGCTCAATGGTGGGGAGGGGATATCCTAGGTGGCTGAGCATGTAGACTTGATAAACCATGTGCATTGGGTGAAAAGTGGAAGGCCGCTCTTGTCAACTAAAAACGCCGTGGATGCATAGCCCGTCCTGGGCCTGTCCTGTTCCCATTCACAAAAACGTCCTGACGCCTCGTGTTTTTCTCGATGGTTTGCTGGCGGGGCTTCGCCTTGCCCGATTTGTCATGATACATGGACGGCTGGTGACTTGTATTGTACGACTCGCTCACCAGCCGTCAGGGTTCGTGATGTAGCCAGCTACTGCCGGTCTCGGGTGGCTGGCATTCATCTGCGGCCGGTGCCGTGTGGTACGGGCCAAAGATCCCGGAGTGACTGGGTCGGAGCCCATTCGACTTTCTCTTCGGCGCACCAGAGGCGCAGTACGCGCAATGATGCATCGGCAATGTCGTCCAGCGTGGACCACGGGTGCACGTCGACGCGAAAACGGGGGTTCTGGATGCCCGAGACGACTTCCTGGACGCGTGGCCATATCTTGCTCTTCTCGCGCAATCTCGCGACTAGCTCTTTGCCGAGTGTCTCGGTGATGCTGTCATAACGAGCATAACACCTGATCAGCTCCTCTAGCGACACCGCGTGTAGCATGAGGACCATGGCATAGAGTGGTTGACTGTTGCTGACGTCGCAGCGGCGCATTTCGTTCTTTAGAAACTCAATCATAGGAAGCATGCTCAGCCATGCACGATGATCTCCAATCTTGTGGTCCATGCCGCGCGATATGTCTGCTCCGTGAAAGGCCATCATGAACACGAGGATGCTCTCGAGGCTCAAAACAAAGGCAGACTTGACCTTGGCCTCTCCAGGTTTGCCTCTCATGCTCCCCGTGTCTCCGCGGTATCTCTTCATCGTTTGATCCGCTTCGTGCTTTAATTTCCTTCCCATTTCTTTAAGCCGATCCACCTTGTCGCCCATCGCTTTGGCCTCTGAGCTGGTTCCCTTCAAAGCAGCGTCACTGCCATTAGGACGACGATCTGCAGACGCTGATGCTGAAGGAGTAGAGTTGACTGCTTCTGTTGGCGTTTGCACTACAGAGTTGGTCGAACTCACTCGTGACATGGCAGCAGGTTTCTTGGATGGTGTTGCTGGTGTGACGAGCTTCGAGTGCGTCGATACATCTGACGACCGAGGTCGCTTCATAGCAGCTCCATCAGAAGAACCAGTGACTGCCCCGATGGGTCTCTTCCTTGCTGGAGCCTGTTGTCCTGCTTCCTCGCTACCGGCGCGAGTCCGCTCATTCTCACGTTCCGATTGGCTTTGAGAATCTTTGCGACGTGATGGTGCTCGACCAACAATGTCAGCAAAACTGGCTCGTAATGCCTTGGGCACATTGAGAACGACAATCAATCTCCTGCGATGGCCCAGTTTATTGGTAGGCTTGTGATCATTTTCATCCCTCCTCTTGATTGCGAAGGCGTCCCTGCCGTCTCTGGATCTCTCATCCGAAGAGTCCGAAGAAGCCTTCTTTCGTCGTTTCAACTCGGCCTCTATGGCTGGCGGCAAAGTAGGTGACAATAATGGAGGAATTACCACGGCTGGCTTAGGTTTTTTGCTTTCCGTCTTCTTTTGCTTCGATGTCGAAGTCACTTCGGTCGGGCCGTCCTGCCTCTTCCTTTCTTTTCTAGGGTTCAAGTCATCATCGTCACCTCGCCATGGCTTCTCTTCAAATCCTAGGTGCAAAGGCGACAGCAATGGTGGTACATATGCCCTTGTTGAGACGTCTGTCTTCATTGGCGAGGTCCGATTGGCGTTGTTTCCACGTACTCCGTTCAAGGAATCGCCACGAGATCGACTGGCTGGAGACGCACTTCGGCCAGAGGTCATGGTACCTTTTAGAATCGATCTGCCATTCAGTAGAGACGAGGACGAGTGACCCCGGTCGTCTCTGGACGCAGGGGCAGACGCATCTCGATTCCTACCTCTGTCTCTATCTCTGTCTCTGTCTCTGTCTCGCTCACGGTCTCGGGATATTGTCAGAGGCTTTTCTTTCCGTCGAGGAGGCTCATCGCGACTGGGTTGTGGTCGTTCCTCAGGCCTCGGCCGTTTTTGTGGGCGATCATCATCACCATCAGGTACGCGTCGCTTGCCTGCAGGTGATGGCGGACGTGGGGGTAGGGAGGGCGGTTTGGGGGGGAGTCTGGGAACGCTCGTCAGCTTGTAATTTGGTTAAGGACACGAGACTAATAAGCACCTTGTGTCAGCAATGGCGTGGTCGCGATTCGGTTTCGGCTTTGCGCCTGTAGGTTCAGGCTCCCGTATCCTTGATACATCCAATCGCTTGGGATCTTGGCGTGGTGGTTTGTTGTCGTCAGCAGCTACGGGAGCAGGAGTAGACGTTGCGGGGCTGTTGGCGGCAGCGACACGTTCGCTGTCTTTCTTTTTGGCGATGGCAGGTTCCGGGGGCGAGGCAGAGGCAACGAGACCAGTCCTTTTGTTCTTGTAGTCGCTCAACGACAACTTCTTCTTCTCGCCAGTACCAGTTCCCTTTGCGAGCGTGCTTACCTCGCGCGGTACGGGCTTCACGGGCTCTTCTCGCATATCGTAATAGGGTCGCGTGAACAAAGTGCCACGGTCGGCCTCGGATAGTAATGTCAGATATTGTAGGCGGGTGTTGTGCCATTCCTCGAAGCGCCTTTTAGCGCCGCGAGACTCGGGCGCGTCGTCCTCGGGGGGCGGGCGGTATCGCCAGGTGGGATGATAGGCAAGATGATGTGGTTTCTCTGGTAGAATGCGCTTGGAGAGCACCTCAACCGTCTTCGCCGCAGCTTCCATTGTTCGCGGGTCGTGACCATGCCGGGAGGCAACACGCGGCGGCGAGCGGTCGAGCGCAAGCGGCAGCTATGGGGGCGGAGGCGACGACAGTAGCGGCAGCACACGCAGCTACGTCGTCGCACGAAATGAGGCCGCTCCCCCCCAGTTGAGAGTACGAATGAACAGATGAATGGCGCGAATGCTGAGCGTGGGCAGTGGTGTAGGATCGTAGCCGCGAGGGTGGTAGGTCGTTGGAACTGTGACCCTGGCCAGAAAGGATGGGGTACTCCGTAGATTGGTGTCGGAGCCGGCGTGGATTTGTCGTCCCACCACGATTGACCCCAAAGTCCCAAGTCGCCGCGACGATGGATCGGCTTCGAACCGGAGACTGTATCAGGACGCACTTTGACCGTGGGAATAAACGGAACAAAAGAGTGAATTTGCAAGCTGCAGACAAAGCACAGCTGCGCAAAGCCTACTCCATTCCCCAATAGCCAACAATGGGGACGGTTGCGATTCAGCGCGGGCCGTGACAATGGTCGACGGAAGCCACTACCTTCGAGACGGAAGAAGCCCAAAACAAAAAAAAAAAAAGGGCCGGGGATGGGGTTGGGGGGAAATGCGGCGGACCTTCAGAACTGGGGCCTCGTCACTCGTCAGCCGCCAGCGTCAGAGAGCCTTGGGACGCCTTGGATGATCCAGTCTCGGGCCGTTCTTGGCTCTTGGTTGGCCGCGTACTAGACAGCGCCCTCGACATTGGCTCGCTCCCAAGGCCAACGGGGAATCGCACCGGCTATCTAGGGGCTGCTGTTGCAAGGCTGCGCACCTCTGTTGATGTCCGGAGGCGAATCGATGTCCGATGTCCGATGTCAGCGTGATGCTTGCCAGTGCCCGGTCACAGGTCACAGGTCGCAGGTCACAGGTGCCAGACGCCAGACGCCAGATGCAGGCGAATGCGGGCGGTTGTGGCTGGTGATCGAACCAAGGTGTAGATTCGTGAAGTTGCGAACTCGTGTACCGGTACTTGTGTACTCGGGCACTCGAGTGCTCCGTCACACGGACGCGTGTGACAGCACTGTGTGGAGGAATAGATGAAGGGGGAGGAATCGAGTAATAGGTAATAGTGATACTGATAGGCATATGCTGGGAGCTATGATTGGGGTCGCGTTGAACGAGATTGAAAAGACGATGGGAATAAAAAGAGTTCCAACATTCGTACGTCGCAAATGTCGATAGCGCTTTCCGTCAAAGCCAATGGAGGCCGCCTGCATATTGCCAGACCTCGATAAACTTTCCACGGCAAGTACCCGACAGGTACCTTCCTTCTTTGACCAGCCGGTTGCAAGGTACCGAACCGAACGAAATACTCGGCCCAAAGGCAGTACTTTATTCCGCACAGATCTTGCAATGCCAAGCACTCCAGTGACACCAACACAATTTTTAGAATTGACCTCGCGCACCAACTGTTGACCCTCAGCCAAGCCGGAACTACGTTGTCAAGTCCAACGGAAAGATGAGCGACGAGATGCTCCAACGACTCTCGAAACCGACTCTCTCACGGCCATTGCACTAGTACATTATCCGGGTCAGAAATAGCCTAGTCGCCCTTTGTTTCGTGATAGGCCGTCACCTTTGTTTATCACGTATGTGTTGCGGTACTCAGACCAAGTCTCACCTGTCTGTCTACTCGTCGAGTACATCCATTCAGACGACATGTGACGTTAGCAATTCTCTTTTTCACTATACTATATCCCCGTTTCTCTCGAAGAAATCGGCCACACATCTTTTACATGCTTTGAAAAGGGCGGTCGGTGCACTCTTGAAATTTCTCTTTCGACTGTGGACGAGAAACAACAAACTTCCCTTTCGGTCAACAACCAATCGAGATCCAATCTATGTCACCACCAAGCGCCGACGCTTCACCAAGCATCATGACCATGACTGACATGTCAGGCCTTTGATTCACCGTTATATCTGATCATTTGCTTTACTCTCAGGCTTATTAAGCAAGTACAGTGTTTCATACTAAAATAAGCAGGAAAGCAGTTCAGCAAACACTGCCAACTTCAAGTAGCAGCCCGTCCTGTCTTCTTGTCTCTCGCGCCGCTTTCCTTCATCCCTTATTTATGTGCCGTTTTGCGCTTTCTTGGGGGTCCTTCGACATGATGACTATTCAGCTGTTGTTCAACCGCCTCCAAGCGAGACGTAAGCGATGATATATTTTGTAACGAACTTGGTGATATGGTGGTATTGGTAATGTGTTTAGTCATGTCTTGATTTGGTCCCTTGGTACTGACGTTGCTTCGCCTGGTATTGACAGTTTGCAATTGCAACTCTAATTTGCGGATATTCGTTTCGGCTTCTGCTGAAACACGTTGCAGGCCACTTTCGAGGGACGCAACGCGCTCATTGCATGAAGCGACTTGTTTGCCCTGCTCGCTGATTTTCTGGCACAGCTTCTCCGCAGACGTGGAAACACTCTTCTTTAGGACGTTGATATCTCGACGTAAAGCAGACACGTCAGCAGAGGACTGGTCAGCTTTAGTAGTTGCGCCTTCTCTTGCAATTCTTTCCTTGTCAATGAAAGTCCCAAGGTCAACTGCCACTTGGTTTAGCTTCCCTTGCATCGTGTGGTTCAAGTTCTCTTTAAGAGAAGTAAATAGGGGTTGAACCTTTTGGTCAATCATTTGCTCAATTAATGTAGAGTTTTGCCCCGTGTCGTTTGACGTTGTGAAAGACGTCAATTTCAGAGTAGCTTCAATGGCTTGGACTGCCTCTGATATTGATAGTTGCTCCTTCGAGTTGAGCTTGACCATGTCCATGCACGATTCCAGCCGCTTATGAAGACTGGCAATGGGTTGCGGTGCCCCGTCAACTGACTCGCATTTCAGGCTTTGCTTTAGAAAACGCACATCATCCAGAACGGCTTGCAGACGTTGTCTGGTTTTCATGCCTACGCTAGTGTTCAACCACCGATCACCCAAAGGTGCTGCATTGCCATCTTCGGACGCCGAGACAACAGTATCAAACTGACTCAATTCCTTGGACAGTGCATGCGAAGTTACTATGTTTGTCGCGAGATCGTCAATCTTGGTCGAGAGTTCGTTGAGCTTGCTTTCAAATTCGGTCAACTTGCCATCCAAATGCAACGCCGCCCTTTTGTTGTTTTTAGCTTCTTCTGCAAGGTCCAGGTGCCTCTTATCAAGACTTCCAAGTCTTTGCTCCATCTCCTCCATATGCTTCTGAAGCTTGGCGCTTTTCTGTTTTTCCTGCTCAAGGCCAATGTGGAGTCCTTCTGTTTCTTTGCGGAGCTGTGAGCGGTGATCGTTGTTGGTTTTGGTCGACGCCTCTTTCAGGTAGGTGCGGAACTTCTCGTCCAGACTGTTTTGGAGAGCCTTAAGACGAGCATCGACGTCCTCGCTTCCTATGGCTTGCGTGGATAGGGCGTCTCCAGTCTGTCTGTCTATAAATGTAGTCAAGTGACTTAGCAGTTTCCCATCAGTGCCGCTGAGTCGATCGCAGGTCTTCCTTTTCTCTTTTACGCATTGGTCGATCTGAAGCTTGAGAACCTCGGCGTAATTCGAGCTTTCAGAGTATCCCGGACGACAGCGGTCGAGGTCGGCTTGCATCTTCTTCAAATTCTTATCTTGCTTATCTCGTTGCATGTACCAGTACATCCTATCGCAAAGCAACTCGACCAGGTGCTTGATTTCTGTCTCTCTCCGAGAAAGGTTAGACGGCGAGGGATACTGTTGCAAAATGGAAGACGGCCCTTTACAATGCTCATAATGTGGATATTAGCCATGAGAGTGTTTGTGAGAATAGTGGTGCAAACAGTAAACAACGAACTATTTTCAGTACGCCCTGCGTAGCTTCGAGAAGAAGACATGATGTCGTGTTTTGTGGCTTGGCTCGTCTCCTGCTAATGTCCAACTGTCTTCTCGTGATGGGTCACGGTGTTGGTGGTGGTATTGTCTGTCAAGCTCGTTCAAGTGATGGCATAGGATCCAATATTGATTTCAAGGTCTAAGTTGGCTGTTTCTAGAGCGACCGAAGTTGGCTCGTTGTCGTCGGTAGCTACGCGCTTTTTGGCTCCCGTTCTGACAGCTGGCCAGCTGTCACGTGGCTGTGGCAGCTGGCAAATCGCACGAGTGTAGACACAGACCTTTTCAAGTACGCAGTATCAAAGATTCCAGAGTACTGCGCCTGGATTTATTGACGGCGTGTAAATACTTGTTATCTTGGGGATGTGGCGGGTTCTTAGGTGGGCAGACTGGCTCGACGTTGTAGCAGAATATGGATCTTGCCCTTGGCTTGGCCTGTCAAGCATGTGAAGTCATCGAAGTAGTACGAATCATTCAAAGAACTTTGTGGGTTTCCTTGGCTTTTGAGGGAACAAATGGAAGTCCCGGCAAGCGCGAGCACTGCCTTTGCCCGTTGAGGGACGGGACACGAGTTGGAATCAGCGGCCCATCACTTGGGCAAATAGGCCTAGCTTCCTACATTGTCTTGAATTGTATTTATTTGGTCTGCCTGCGATTCCGTGCAGCTGCTTCAGGAGTCATGGCCGTGGTATATGCCTAGGCGCCTACTTAACTCGTAGCATAACAAGTAAGTACTTCAATACTTATAGGACCCTGGGAGGCACGTCCTCTGGAGTGTAAGTTGTTACAGCGAATCAGATAGCATGAAACACTGACCGTGGAACCCCATTTGGCGAATCTTTTTGTGGGCCGCGCTTAGATGACTGGTCCAACGCGATCCTAGGCTTTGCATAAGCGCAACCGCCAGCTGCCGGCTCGAGGCTGTCGCAGCAGGCAATTTTCCAAGGGTGTTTTCAGGAAGCTTGACGACAGTCCTTGACTCTCGCTTGTGCATGTCCCCTCGGCCAACATCCAGCCCAATTATCACAACCATGGCTGCCGTAAGTCGCGCCGCAACTCTTGCATCAAGTCGCAACAGCCTGGACTGACCGTTCGCCCGCAGCCATTAGTGACCGTCTCCGAATCCAAGGACCTTCGGGGCCTCAACCTCATCGCCGCACACTCGCACATTCGCGGTCTGGGTGTCGATGCGACCAGCCTCGAGCCCCGAGCCTCGTCGCAAGGCCTCGTCGGCCAAGAAAAGGCCCGAAAGGCGGCTGCAGTCATCCTGCAAATGATCAAGGATGGCAAGATTGCCGGCCGCGCCGTTCTGATTGCCGGCCCGCCCAGGTACGATGCTGCTATCACGGGGACGAGGCCATGCGCACGGGGGAAACAGGTCAACTAACACTACTCGGACATGTAAGCACCGGAAAGACAGCCATTGCCATGGGAATGGCGCAGTCGCTCGGCCCCGACGTCCCCTTCACTTCGCTCGCCTCGTCCGAGATCTTCTCCCTCGAAATGTCCAAGACCGAGGCCCTCACCCAAGCGTTCAGAAAGTCCATCGGCGTCCGCATCAAGGAGGAAAGCGAAATCATGGAGGGAGAGGTTGTCGAGATCCAGATTGACCGCAGCGTCACCGGAAGCACAAAGCAGGGCAAGCTCACCATCAAGACCACCGACATGGAAGCCGTTTATGACATGGGCAGCAAGATGATTGACGCCATGACCAAGGAACGCGTCATGGCCGGCGACATCATCTCCATCGACAAGTCGTCGGGCAAGATTACGAAGCTGGGCCGCTCCTACGCGCGATCCCGCGACTACGACGCCATGGGCGTCGACACCAAGTTCCTGCAGTGTCCCGACGGCGAACTGCAGAAGCGCAAGGAAGTCGTGCACACCGTCACCCTGCACGAGATCGACGTCATCAACTCGAGGACGCAAGGCTTTCTCGCCCTCTTCTCGGGCGACACTGGCGAGATTCGCAGCGAGATCCGAGACCAGATCAACACAAAGGTCGGCGAGTGGAAGGAGGAGGGCAAGGCCGAAATCGTCCCCGGCGTCCTGTTCATCGACGAGGTGCACATGCTCGACATTGAATGCTTCTCCTACATCAACCGCGCGCTCGAGGACGACCTGGCCCCCGTCGTCATCATGGCCAGCAACCGCGGCAACTCTCGCATCCGGGGCACCGACTATCGCAGCCCCCACGGCCTGCCCATCGACTTTCTCGACCGCGTCGTCATCATCAACACCCACCCGTACACCTCTGAGGAGATTAAGCAGATTCTTTCCATCCGCGCGCAGGAGGAGGAGATTGACGTTTCGGCCGACGCCCTGGCCCTGCTCACCAAGATTGGCCACGAGGCCGGCCTACGGTACGCCAGCAACCTCGTCAGCACGTCACAGCTAGTCTCTGCCAAGCGGCGAGCCAAACATGTCGGCGTCGAGGACATCCAGCGCAGCTTTCAGCTATTCTACGACCCCGCACGCAGCGTCAAGTTTGTCACCGAGTCGGAGAAGCGTCTGATTGGCAACGATGGCACGGTGGACCTGTCGGTGACGAATGGCCCGGCTGCCGCCACGGAGAAGATGGACCTCAGTTAGCACCGCCGGGTAGCGTGACGGATTTGATTTTGCAGTTGGCAGATGCGAGCTGGACGGCGTTCTTTGGGGCACAAAAAAAAGCCGACGCCCAAGGAAGTAGAGGGGCTTGCGTTGGCCTCATGTTTTAGCGTCCCGTGTACTGTTAGGAGTTGGGCTTTGCAAGGCCTAGATAGACGCGACCCAATCCCGATCAACGAGTGGGAAATACTGGCATCTCTTTATAAAGTCTCACTGTGTGTAGGGTGGTGCTTGGAGTGAGATGCCACCTACCAAGTGTAGTCTACGTGGATGAAGGTTGGACGTGGCAAGAGAGCATAGCCGCGGCCAGGCCACGACTACCTTTATTTCGTCTGTATTAGGGATACACTATCCATCGATGCGATTCAACTTTTTTTGGCCCCCTTGGAGCAGCAATTCCAAGTCTCCGATTCCAGCTAGCAATCTCCAACCCGGTTCAGGGGCAGCAATCTTCTCAATCCCAAGACACGCGACAGGACGGGGGTGTGTCTCGTCCCGTGGTCACTGCCACTGAATATCGGAGAATCAGCCACTGCTCGCACGCAGCTGCGACGAGCACCCTGTCCGCGGGAATACTTACTTCAGCCAGCCCTCTCCTTCTTGGGACGCTTGAGACGGGGCTCATCCGCCCCAGACAGCTCGTACTCGAGCTTGATAGGGAGTTCGTCCTGGTCGTCGGAATCCTGGACGCCAGCAGGGGACCTTGCGAGCGATGCCTTGGGAGCGCGAGCGCGAGCCTTGCGCTTGGGGGTGGCCTTTGAGGGGGTGGACGGGACGCTGCCGCCGTCGTTGCTGGCCGACTTGTCGGGGGAGTCTTGGGTGCGGCGGAGCTTCTGGATGTGCTGTCTGGGACGAGAGGGAGGCGTTAGCAGCCGGCCTTGACGACGGGGGTTTGCGTGGGGGAGACGACGGCGGCGGAACTTGGGAAAGGGAGACAGGATGGTGGGCGCGTACTTGACGCCGCTGAACGTGGTGTTGAAGCCTTGGGATTGCATGTGCTCCGTCACTCGGAGGAGGAAGTCCTTGTTTGGCCTGGCCACCTCGATCAAGGAGAGGATGAGGGCGTAGTGGGATTTCTCGTCCCACTTGTGGGTGTGCGTGACGCGAGACATGGCGGGTGGGGTGGATGAGTAGATGAAGGCGTGGATAGACGGTGGTATAAAGAAGCACGGGGACGGTGATGTAGGGGCAGTGGATGAGTAGTTATGTCGGGAGGAGGGTACAAGTAGCTGAGGAGGATGACGGGCGTATCGACGAGAGGAGGGGGGGAAGAGGCTCAACAAAATGTGAGGATCAGCAGAAGGGGGAAAGAAAGCAGCATACAGCGCGGAGGAGGAGATTGAACCAGAGCACAAGTGAAACTCGACGGCAAGCAAAGGAGAGCACAACAGCCGGCATGGCAAAATCGAGGTCAGATACAAAAAGAGAGAGAGAGAGAGAGAGAAAGAGAGAGAGAGAGAGAGAGAGAGAGGGCGGTTCACCGAAGAGCACTCTCTGTAAAGGTATACTCCCGAGTGCGCAACTCGTCCATAATCTTGGACATTTGCTCGTTTGTGAAGCTGACGTGATTAAATACGGCCAGAAGAACATCTTCATGGACGCGCTGATCCCACCTCATAACCTGACGGGGCATCTTGACGCAAAGCAGAAGGAAGGAAAGAAATAGATGGACTGCAGAGGTATGGTTGTCAAGGGCAGAAGAACGGGTTGAGGCACGGGCTTGTGTATAGGCGTGAGAGAGATGAGAGAGGTGAGAAGAGTGCAGAAGTGAGCCCTGGCCAGGTGCACAGTGCCTCGGGCGAATCCATCTGGAGTGAGAGGCAGATAAACAAGTGGTGAATGACAAGGGGATGAAGTCGTAAGCCTCACCTGATGCCCTCCCAGGTGACGTCGTGCTTCATGGTCTTCATGCGAGCGGCGATGTCTTTGCGCATGTCTGCAGTGAGAGCATTGGCGTCGATGCCGACTTGGTAGAAGGCTACGACGAGGTCGTGGAGGAAGTTAACATCGTTCCAGTGCCCGCTGGGTGCCATGGTGTCGTGAGAGTTGCGATGGCGCTCGACGTGGACGCGGACGTGGACGCGGCAGATGCCAAGGTTGTGTTGTGTGTGAGAGGCAAGTTGGGGCGAGCGAGGCGTCCGAGGTGAGTGTGAAATCCATGGGAGAGCTGGACAGAGACACAGACGGCCGTCATCAAAACACGCCCAACACAGTCGTCGCAGGTGGCTGCAGACGGCGACGGCAGACGGCAACCAGCCCAGCCAGCTGCCAGCCATGTGTGTATTCATGTGAGCAGATGATACACTGTCTGCCATCCTCTCGCCAATGCAAATACCGTCATGATTGTCCAGGCATCCTTGCCGGGTTCCCCGAAAAATAACTGCTGCCTCGTACATGCACGCCGTAAAGTCGTGTCCCAACCACATATCCCAAGCCCAAGTAATGATGATGATGGCAATACGCCTTGATCCAGTCAGCCTCCGTCACAATCCCGTCGCATTGAAACCCAGCAGCCCGGAAACATCCCACGTCTGTCTATGTGTGTACCTTGTCATGCCTCCCCGTCCTCGTAGCTAAATCTTCAACGGTCGTTAGTACAGATATGCCTGTGGCGTGAGGCGAGATGGGATAAGACGCCTCACTCTTCGGGATAATCAGATCCTGCGGCGCCATTGTGTGCTGCCAATGCTAATACGGCTTCGTCGTCCAGTGGCTGTTCGTGTTCCAGCTCTTGCGTGTCTAACCTTTGACGCTTGGCGGGATGCTCCTCCGTTCCGTCGGCGTCAGCTTCGGCGTCGGCGTCGGCGTCGGCGTCGACGTCAGCGTCAGCGTCACCGTCCTGTTCTGACGGTGCCCCGTAAGCAGCGTCTGTGGTTGCCGTTGCAGGAGTGGTCAACGCTTCTGCCGGCAGTGGTGTCGACGCCCTTTCCGCTTCGGCGACAGACTCTGGCTTGGTAGGTTGTGGCGCTTGTTGGCGGGCTCGGGCTTCCTGCTGGTCGTGCTGCTGGTCTGCAGAGTGCGTCTCCTGTGTCGTCCCTGGTGTAGGGATTGTGCTTGGAACACGAGCAGCGGCAGGACTGGCGGCTCCGTCAGCAGGCGACTCGGCTCCTGCGCCGGCAGGCAGCTTTCTCGGACGGCCCCTACCCGGTCCTGGTCGACGAGTAATGGGGTTAAGGGTCGGGTCGAAACGACGAGACGTCTCCGGGGCCGCCGGTTTTGCCTCGGCTTTGTTCTGGGACCGGCGCAGACCTTGAAAGTGTTGACTGCGGACCATGTCAGCAAAGGATGGCAGTCGTCAGTGTGCGTATCAGAATGCTTGGGTACATGGACAGGTCATTTTACCCGGCCCTGCCATGGCCTCACTCGAGGCTCTTCCGTGTCGCGGCCAGGGAGAGAGTAGCACCGGCTGCCCCGGGAGCCAATTGCGGTCGCATAGCACCGAGTCAAATAAAGCGAGGCGAACCATTGACATATAAGGCGGCGGTTGGCGGCGACAGCAAGGCGCACACCTCACCAGGAGCCTCATCAGGAACCTCGTCGGGCACCTCTCATCGGGCACCTCATGACACGTACCGACATCCCTCATTGGTGAAGCCGTAGCCCATGGTTCGCATGTGGTTGCCAATCGTGGTCCATTCCGTTCCACTGATGACGCCGATGTTTTTGACCGACAGGATGGTGAAGAACAAGTCCTTGTCTGCACGGTCATTCCAATTCTTGGGGTTCATGGTATCTGCGACGGCCCAGTGGACGGGACGGGGCCAGCGCAGTCGCGACGGATTGACCGTCTACACGATGTCAGGGATGTACAAGTCACACGGTGCTTCTGCACCGAGTCACGGATACAGGCTGTTAGGAGACGGGCTGGATCAATGCGAGAAATTGGTAGTGGGATAATGGTCAATGGAATCTGGAGACAACGATTGGGGGTGGAGGCGCCCTTGAGCGCCCGCGCACCCACCGAGGCAAAGACCGGCGCCGGGATGCGGGCCAAACATGTTCCGGTCGGAGACGAGATAGCACCAGGCGCTGTCCTTGGACTCTCGCTGCAACCGCCAAAAAAGGTGAGGACTTGGCAATCGGAATGACGGTATTTGGGAAATTGTCTCGAACTCTTATCGGCCCAATTTTACCAGCGCACACCGAACATGTAGCGGCACATGTAGCCTTTGCTGTAGCTGATGCTTGAACTTAGCCGGGGTTCAGACGGCGTTTAGCCGCGCTAGTTTCAGACATGGTGCTGCACGACCAATTTGGAGGATTTTACAGAGCACGTCGAGCTACGCCATGATTCGGGCTAGAAATCACCAATGGACTTCCGCATGAGAAAAAAAGGATGCCTGTCCCGGCGCCTTCCATTGGAACACGTACCTCATTATTCGAAATATCTATCATTTAATGAGAATGCCAGAGAGATGCAACTGCCATTAATCAAACTACCACGTCTTGCCACCCTATACTCCGTACCTGACCCAGACCTCGACACACGCAGCCGCCAAGGCCAGCAGCTGGTACGTACTCCGTACCTTGCACGTGAGTTCGCTCCTGGGACGTGCAAAGTGGCCCCGAGTTCCCGCAAAAATCGCGCCCCCCGTCGCGTCTCCCATCCACCTCACCCCATCCCCTCCAGCACGTTGGTTGAAGATGAGGCCGATGCGCGACCATGAAGCCGACAATAGAGCTCTGCAATGGTTTAAAAATGACGATTTCATGCATGTACGAATTTTCCACGGCTTTTGAGCGTTTCCGGACGTCAAAGTACAAAACATCGTCCGTCTTCCACCATGGTTGACGACTTGCTGCATCAGCCCCTCTTTCGAGGACGCCGTCGCTGCCTCAGCCGATCAGACACCAGACACCAGACACACAAGTGTGATGAGCGTGTGATGGGGCCCTCTACGCCCCAGATCTGACCGGCCATTGGCTCTGGTGATGGTCGAGAACTAATTTAAAAAATCTTACGAGCCGTCGCCGTTGAGTTGCGACACTGTGAGGGAACGGCGACTTTTCTTTTCCATCCTTCGAAATGCTCTGTGCCACGGGCGACATTGTCCATCGGCCGGCTTTCTCGGGCCAGGAATTGGGACTGTTGACTAACTTGTTTCGTAGGGACTAAGAGATGGCAAGTTGGCAACATAGGGTGCCTGATGGCGGCACCAAAGACTTGCCAGACGAGGTGGCTTTTGGGCGCGCATTTCGTAGCGCATCATAGATGGGGTCCGCCGGGGCTGACGGAATGAACTGCCAGGATTCGGAGGCCACCGCAGCACACCCACCCAAACCGTCCCGGCTCTTTGCTTTCTTTTCCCCAAAGGCTTTACGTATTGGGGTTGAAAAGATGAGTCACACTGGTTTCAGTCCATGCCAAAAAAAGTCACGCTTGTCGAGACGTCACGACCTTTTTGCGACGAACCACGGACCTGGACTGTGCGAGGGCGCTGATTGGCACAGGGCATGCTGCCTGTTGTGTTGCCGCAGCAGCGAGGGCGAGGGCGAGGGTGACAGAGAAAGGGACCGTGCCTGAATATGCAACCAGATTTGATTGCAGCTTGGTTTGTCTTTGGAAAAAGAGGATTGGCCCTCCTGCATCATGGATCTGAAGACAAGGCGATGGTGGATGGGCGCTGCTGCACGCACTTTACGCGCCAGCGCCAGCGCGGCTGTACAGTGCGCAGACCCTGACTTGTGACTGGCTGCCACCTGGCGGTGCAGTCTTGGCTGGCGCCCCACAATCATCCTCGACATCCAACATCCCGATTCCCAACCTGCAGCATCCAGGTCCAGCAACAAATGCAGCATGCCCGTTCCTCCCCCCATGGCTGCGGCACTAGGCAGCCATGCCCTTGGGAACCTCGTCCTAGACTAATCATTCGACATGTCGGTGCCGATTCGAGCCCCGGATGCCTCCAGCGGCGTCATGGCACGCCATCGGTTCCTGGATCCTGACATCCGGACACACAAGTCCATCCATCAATTGATGCATCCATGCATCATCCTCACACCCCGTCAATGCCGTTTCCCCTTGATCAGATAACTATCCGGGTGGTAGTGGTGATATTTCTTGTTTGTTTGCCCACACGCCTCCCGTTTTGCCTGAAGTCGATGCCTTTTTAAAACGCAAACCCTTCCCCGAGGCCACATCCCCGAACCTTCCTCCGACCACATCACCATCCGTACCGACGTTTGTCTTTTTGTTTGACCTTCTGGCCCTCGCCATCTCTCCTCGGTGCCGTGTCAGGCATACGCCAGACCTACTTGGATAGTAGAGAGCTCGTTCCAACCCGAGACCTTGTTATCGGATCCTTGTCTCGGCCGCTTGCTAGACTTTGACCAGCCGTCTTCGACGCATCTAGCTGAACAGGTCTCGCAGTAACGCCGACACATATTCATCTTGACTCACAAGGGGACACTCCGAACTTTGTGGCCTGCTCGTCTCCACGGATCGTCTCCACCTCGCACCAACTATATCTACGCCTAACCCGCCCGCCGTCTTCTGTGAGCCCGACTGCTTGTCGTCAGTTCTGAACGTCTGAACATATTCAACCGCTTCACATCATCACCAGCAGTCTCAATCTCGCCACAATGTCTCCCAACAGTGATAATGCCATGGCCCGCTTCCTTTTCGCCATCTTGAAGCAAAAGAACCTCAAGGATGTCAGTCTTTCTCCTCCAGACAAGTCCTGCCTTGTACATGACGAATTTACTAACAACCACTCAAGATTGACTGGAACCAAGTCGCTCAAGACCCTGTCCTTTTGCATCCCATCCCGAACGGGCACGCGGCCAGGATGAGGTATTCTCGTTTCCGAGCCACTGTCACTGGCCATGAGTCTCAGAAGCGCGGACGTTGTAGCGGAAAGGATAGAGTTTCCAAGTCTTCCAAGAAGGACCACTCGTCCAAGAAGGACGCCATGGTCAAGTCGGAATCAAGCGTGAGTCTTGCCTCGCTCGCTCAGATAGGCTGGGGCACCGGCCCCGTAAATCACAATCAGCATCGCTAATACCTACATAGTACTCCCCAGCCTTCCTGCCATCCCCCTATCCTGGTGAAGACGATGATTTCACGGCTCGGTTCCTCACACCCTGCAGCGATGACATGATATCTGTCCATCCTCCTGTCGTCGAGAAGCGCTGGCGCGGAGGCTCCAACGCCTTCTCACCCATGATGGACACCAACTCGGATTTCTTGACAGATTCCGGTAGTCTTACAAACTCACCGGCATTTTCGGCATTCGATGCTGCCTACGACCTCAGCAATTACAGCGGTGCGGCTCCCGATTTCCCAGTCCAAGACATTTCCGACCTCAGTGGTCCTCAGTCGGCCACGGACTGTGGCCAGGAGTGGCACGAGCGCTTTCACGATGCGCAGCTTTTTTGATGCCCGATGGAAGCAGCCCATTCCAGGTTGGACGGTGTGCACCTGTATACAAAAATTATGGCGCATGGTAGATGAATTATTTGCTTGCCTTATGACTTACGATCAAGTTTAGTTCAAAACAATGCCGGGGTGATGAAGATTTTACATGGGTTGATCGACCCGATAATGGAGTTGAGCATTCGAGCAAATTGTATACTAATAATAGCTTGCACTGAATACAGTCAAAAGTTGATGAATCTCTTTGCACCGGCGGCTGTTACTGTTGCTCCCGATGTGAGAGTACATTCACTGGATACTTTGATTTGCAGCAGTCGTCGTATCTGTCTCATGCGAACGAGACGCGACGGCTCTTGGCTGCTTGTTGCTTCACACGCTGCAACCGACAACTTTTCTGCAAAAGGGGGTTCTCTCGAAACAATCCGAGTCGGCTGTGGTCCGCAACTTGGCTGCGCGGCGCCATCATCATCACCACCATCGCCATCATCGCCATGGTCCGCCCAGATCCGTCATGCTTTTATATGGCAGTAAATACTGCGCAGCTGCCAAACTCAAAAGCCGCCGCCTGCCATGAATCCAAGAAGTAAAAAAAAATAAATAAGAAGATGACAAAAATAATAGAAAATAGAAAAGAGTCATCCGCAGTGTTCCCCCTGCCGGCGCCACCAGCACCGTTCACTTTCGATTCACTTCCCATTGACCTCGCTTCTCCTCTGCGCCCTACAACAACTGCGCGCCCCCAGGCGCCATGTGCGTTTGCATTTCTTCTTCTTCCCTTTTCACCGCACACTGTGAAATAGGCGCAGCCGCAAAAACAGCACACAACGCTCTCCTACACGCCTCCAAGCCGAGCTCTCTGCAACAAAGACAGTCTCGTCCATACGCCCGCGCACTCGCTCTGGCCTTGATCACACTGTCCGTACTTGTACTCGGGACCCTGGTGCGGAATCTATGCCAGTGATTCTTGTCGTGGACTTTGCTGATATTCCCAGCCGACATGTCTGATACCCCAAAGAAAAAGGAGCCCACGGCCTCCGAGGCCATGTTCTTCTTCGCCATCGTCAAACACACCCGCAACAAGGCCGACATCGACTGGAGCGCCGTGGCGACGGAGCAGGGGTTCAAAAACGCCGATGTCGCCAAGGTATGCTATGCTCTCTCCCCTGGGGCCGCCTTGAGTCTTGACTATCCTACGTCTTGCCCGACGAGGCGAGGCCGGGCGAATCTTGCTCGAAACAGACATACACGAGTTACCGTGCTGGCGGATGCGTGCTGACTAGGGACAGGTCCGCTTCGGCCAGGTCAAGCGCAAGCTGGGCATCACCACTAACACCGACACTCCTGCTACTTCCTCCCGTACGCCCATCAAGAAAGTTGGTTCTGTGGCCGGAACTCCCACCAAGGTCATCAAGAGTAGTGGTCGTGCCGGAACCAAGGGGAGGACCAAGGGAAAGGGAAAGGGAGTCAAGGCAGAGGACGAAGGGGCCGAGGATGATGATGAGACGGTGGTTGGAGTAAAGGGTGAGTATTTGGAGCTGGGTCCGGAGGCTGAGATTGGGTCGTTGATGGGAGACGAGGACTACGAAGATCCTTTCTAGGCAATGAGATTGTGCACATGGGGAGGGGAGTTGCGAGACGTGTCCTCTGGAGTCCGAGATACCCCGGGCTGGTTCGATGGAGGTTGAGGTTGACGAGACGCTTGCATCGCGTAGACAGAGTGGCTGGAGTGGTTTTTTTCTGCATTTTGAGGGATAGGCTCGAGGATTGTCCCAAGTGATGGAGGCTGGATGGATGATGATAGATGCCTTGGCCATAATGGTGGTGCGTACGTATATCATGGGGCATGGCGAGTGTAAGTGAGCGACGGGGAGGCTGCCGAACGAGCTACCCAAGACTGCTTCTGGTTCGCGAGGTCCCTGCCATGTCTAGGCTATAAATACATGCGAATTGCTGGATTCGACTTGCTGGAGGCTTCGTGTTTGAATTTGCACGTGCCGCTGTGCTGGCTCACACTGACTGACACATAAAAGGTGCTCTCAACTGACGCACTGCTTACTTTCTTCTCACACTGGTCACCGGTAAGGCAACTGATACCTTTGGTATTAGAAGTCGTTTCTCAGCTCGTACAGGTAATATCTCCTCAAACACTTGTCTGGCCACAACTTCCCTTCTCTCCCCAACAACGCTCATCAGACCTGCACGGCTGCCAACTTCTCATCCAACCCCAACCGAAGCAACCAGCAGGACATCAACATCAGGCCAAGACATACACGTATGTTTATGTTTCAACAGAAACTGAACTGCAAAGACCAATTCCCATATTAACAAGGCACAGAAAAATGCCCCGCAAAGCCAAAGCTGCCGCTGCCGCCGGCGGCGAAGGAGAGTCACCCACGGGCCTCACAGAAGGCGAACTGCGCTTCGTCAAAGCCGTCTTCGACAACATGACGCAGAAGCCCGACGCAGACTGGGACAAGGTCGCTGCCGACCTGGGACTCAAGGACGCAAAGTGTGCCAAGGAGCGTTTCCGTCAAATGTCTGTCCGTCACGGCTGGCGCGAGCAACCGGCCTCTGGCAATCCCAGCCCCCGCAAGCCTGGCAAGAACGGTGCCACGGGACCGTCTGGAGATGGCAAGGTGACCAAGCGGGCTCCAAGGACCCCTAGGAAGTTGAAGAAGGAAGAGGCCTCGGAGGAAGCTGGGGAGGATGATGAGGTTGATCTTATTGAGGGCGGGGACGATGGCGACGTCAAGATGGAGGCCGAGCAGGAAGCCGAGGTTGAACAACGAGACGAGATTTGATACACGGGGCTTACTTTGGTACTTTGTTATGGATGCGTGGTCCAGTTCACGATTTTAGAGATCAGGCTTGGCACGGGGATTGCTTCTTCAGGACTCCAGGAGAACAATACAAGATGCTCGCGTTTCCAGATGAACTGGCAATAGTGTCGGCCATTTACCGAACAGACTCGTTTGTGTTCTTGCTTCCCTGATGTAGGCTTTATGCATCTAGGGTTGGCATTGCCGGCTCACTTTCTGCTCACTTTGCCCTGCCCTGCCGGCCACATGCTGCCCGTGTGAATAAAACCCAACATCGCTCTCTGGCAATTTCAACACCGACTTGTTCCAAACAACTCTACATCATCCTCAGAGCTCATAAGATCTCGCTTCTCGCACCAAGTTTCGTTCAGGACCTGCAATCAGCGTCATCTGCTCGTCCCAACAACAACAGTCCAAAACCCTACGCATAGCTACCACCAAGTCACTCCGCAAACGCAAAAATGCCCGGTACCCAGGATCCCGCGGAGCAGGTCAAGTTCCTCGTCTCCTGCATCGGACACACCAACAACGGCCGTGTGAGTCTGCGTCATGGTCCTGTCCTTGCTCCCTCTCGCCCCGACTGACGCAGCAATAGCCCGACTTTGCGGCCGTGGCCGACGAATTGGGCATCGTCACCAAGGCTGCCGCGTGAGTGGCCCCCCGTCGTCTGAAAAGTCCAACGACGCCTGCTGACCAATTGCTGAGCAGACAGAAGCGATATGAGCGCATGCTCAAGGCCAACGGCGTCACCGCCACCAAGTCGCCTCCAAAGGCTGCCGACGATGGAGCCATGCCGACTCCCCAGAGCACTCCGGTCAAGCGCAAGGCTGCTGCGCCCCGTATCCCCGGCTCTGCCAAGAAGACCAAGGGCAAGGCGGGTGAGGAGGTGAAGAAGGAGTCGTCGGGCGACGAGGACACCAAGGAGGGCGTCAAGAAGGACGAGGACTCGGAATCCGAGCTTAGCGGTTGGTAGCCGGGAAGGCTGTCTTTGGGGTGAGGATCGTGCTAACTGGCGGCGCATAGATCCGCCGCCCTCCGAGGATGCTGAGTGTTAGATTCTCGGCCGGCTTTTGCTTTTTCGTCTTGCCCTGGGGCCTGGGCTATGGAGGACGGGGGGGACATGGGATTGCCCCCGGGGTGACATTGGCGGCGGACGTGGAATTGAGGCTATCGTGAGATGCTCGGACACGGTTTGAGACGTGGTGTGGCTCTCTACATGGATAAAATCAATAGACGGCGGATAAAATTTTGTCGTCAAGATGTGTGATGCCGTTCTTGAAGTGCGGGTTCAGGTGGTGGCTGTGATGATGACGGATATGAAATCACGGTTCAACCCGAGTATGACGGGAGAATTGCGGGATTCTTCTCAGGCGAAGCCACCAGAAGCATCATCAACCTTGTTCCGCAATTTGACCTTTTCGTCTCACGTGGCGGGGAAGCATCTCGACTTCGCTTCATCTCTCCCGCACTTGTTCGCCAGCTGCCGCGCCTGGCATCTCCTGGCTCGCAGCTGTCAGCCCGTGAGCACGGTCAAGATGGATGCTGCCACGACCCGTCGACTCGCTCTCGCACTGCTGTCTTCTCTACAATTCATCAGACTCGTCTGGTGTTTACGCCGCTTGGAAATTCTTTTGTCGTCTTTGATCCGGATTCACTTCCTCCGTTCTCGCTTACACCTGCTCCCACGCACAAACACCCGCACACAACTGCGTATTCACTGCCCGTCCACACCAGAACGCAGAACCGCGTCTGTGTTTTCTGCCGACTGCTCACCTGAAAAGTTCTCCCTCCTTCACTTTACCGTGAAACTAGCCTCATTTTCCTCGACAGCAATTCACTTCTCGCCACGAGTCCGTCTCAACTCGCCTCGGCCCTGACAAACGCTTGGCTAACAAAACAAACGGCCCTTATTGACTTACTATTGCCCCTTCATCATTGTCTTGTTGACTTCAACATGGTTGCCGCACCCGTCAGAAGGACCACTGCTAGCAAAAACCGCTCCCCGGCCAAGGAACGCAAATCCGCCACGAGAACACAAAGTGCTGAGGCCTCTCTTGTCTCGTCGAGCGCTCCCAGCTCCCCCGGCAAGACTGAGACGCCTCGCACGGCTAGGTATTCGCACCACCTCCCGACGAATCAGCAGAGAAAGGGCAATGGGCGTGTCCCAGGGAGGAACTTGATTATGTGGAATCGTGAGTTTTTCGCCTCATCAATATCGCCGTCCCGATGAGGCCTTTCTGACCCATGACCGTTACAGGCCCACGAATGGCCGAGAAGCTCCTGCTACACATTCATTATGAATGTACTCGACACAGACTCCAGTTACCGTGGGACGCAATCGCCCACCGCTTCCACCCTGGGTCATCGGGAGCTGCCATCATTCAACACATCAATCGTTTGCGGCGGGAAATCCTGGCTGAAGGCCATCTGGTCCCGCCTCTCACACAGCGATCTTCGGCTACACCTGTTGACCCCAACGTTCGCGGATTCGTCCGCCAAGACACGGAATGTGGTGACATCGAAGCCACTCGTCCTGTGTATTTTGGCGAGAGAATTGATGATCCCAAGTTCAGTCTCCCTTGTGATCTCTCCTTCCTTGATGAAGAAGAGTCGATGGAGCCACAGGCCGGGCTCGGCACCTCGTCAGCTGGGTCCGACGAGGGAGACTCTCGCCAGGACTCCCCGACTCCCATGACACGATGTGGTTCAAAATCATCCATCGGTTCAATGAGCGCTTATGAAACCTTTGCACCGCAGTTCGTGGCCCCGGTTGAGCTCGTGAGAGACAGACGAGGCCTTGACCTGTCCCATTTCCCAATCGTCGGCCAGCAGGTAGTGGTAAGGCAAAGAACATGCAATTTGGCAGTGGGAAGCACCACTCTTGCTTACATTCTTCAGGAAACGGAGCCCAACCATGGCCGACACCTTCCGCATGGATCCGAGTCCGTTGCCAACTCGTTCGAAGGAATAGCCTCGCCCGGCGAGCCGCTCGAGACCAGCCTTCCAGTAATAGCACCAGGACATTTTGCGCTTCCCGGCATCCCCGAACACGCGCATCATGGCTGCAGAATGTCCACCTTGCAGAGCCTGGCTCACCCATTCGTGTACCAGATGAGCCATCACCAGGATTGCTTACGTGCGGCTTTCCACATGGGCATGCCTTTTGCCATGACAAGTCCATACGACCCCTACATGGCACTAGACCCGGGCCTTATGAAACAAAGCATTGGGCAGCCCTTACCGGCTGCTGCTACTGCCGAAAATCAGGCAACGATGCGAGGCGACATCGAGGCTGCCGACGTCTCTACACCCCTTCCCGCTATTTCAGGCCCTGCTCTGAGCCAGACAATTCAATAATGCAACGTGAAATCATACTTATCGGTAAGGACTCGACGCCTCAATACTCAGTACCTTGCTGCAATGCATTATCTTTTTTGGGTCAAAGGACGACCTGGGGGTCATTGGGTAAAAAGTCTGCACGACGTTACCAGTTGCTTTGCCGCCATCTAAGAAAATAGAATCCGAGTGCCCACGCGTGGCTTGCACTCGGCGTGGGCAAATACCTAAGTACCTACTGCTCTTTCCACCACATGTATTAAATAAGACGCGAGAATCTGGATGAAAAGCAACACAGCCTTGTGAGTTAGCTCGAGATGAGGAGGTCGGAGACATTAGAAAAAAAAAATTCTTTTCAGGTATAGATAGGTAATCAATGCTCTGCACTGTTAGCTTGGTGGTCGATTTAGTGTTTATCGAAGACTTGGCCGTGTCGTGGAGGTTACACAAATCAACACAAATCATCTAGCAAATTCGGCAACGGCGCCAGAACCTTCTCTGGGTCCCTCCTTCCCCGAGCCTGGCAAGCGTTGCCGTGGAGGTGGGCTGCGCCGGCGCGCGTCTTCCGTGGCGACAGGTTTTTCCGACCCTTGCCCGTGACAATTTTTTTGCGGGTGCCAACAACTTCCAATTACAACCAAGACTTCTCCTTGATTCTCCAGACCTCTGACCCAAGTCACTTTCCCCCAGCTTACATCCTGTATCACTTCTCCCTTTCCTCCCTTTGTACTATAATACCCCCCGTACCGCTCTCGTATCTACAAGATGCAGCGTGCATTGAGCTCACGAGCTCGAGCTACGGCTCTGTCTTCTGCAACCTCCCGTTATCGCGCCGGTGCCGGTCTGGGCCAGCAGCTCCGGTTTGCTCACAAGGTGAGAAGACACGAGCTCGAATTATCCAACGACGGGCCCCAATGTGTCTAACTGGTGCTGTAGGAGCTCAAGTTCGGAGTTGACGGCCGTGCCGCGCTCCTGGTCGGTGTTGACACCTTGGCCAAGGCTGTTGCTACTACTCTGGGACCCAAGGGCCGAAATGTCCTGATTGAGTCCAGTTTCGGCTCCCCCAAGATCACAAAAGGTGTGTAAATGAAGACGCTTCTACCCGTTTGGCGCCAGTGGAACTTGAGCTATCGAGACCGACTGACTCTATGTGCAGACGGTGTCACCGTCGCCAAGGCCGTCTCTCTCAAGGACAAATTCGAGAACCTCGGCGCCCGTTTATTACAGGACGTGGCCTCCAAGACCAACGATGTTGCTGGTGACGGTACTACCACTGCCACCGTCCTCGCCCGAGCTATATTCTCCGAGACGGTCAAGAACGTCGCTGCTGGCTGCAACCCCATGGATCTTCGCCGTGGTATCCAGGCTGCCGTTGACTCTGTTGTTGAGTACCTGCACAAGCACAAGCGCGACATCACGACCAGCGCCGAGATCGCTCAGGTCGCCACCATATCTGCCAATGGCGACAGTCACGTCGGCCAGATGATTGCCAATGCCATGGAGAAGGTTGGCAAGGAGGGTGTCATAACTGTCAAGGAGGGCAAGACCATGCACGATGAGCTCGAGGTCACCGAGGGCATGCGCTTCGACCGAGGTTTCGTCTCCCCTTACTTCATCACCGACACCAAGGCCCAGAAGGTCGAGTTCGAGAACCCCTTGATCCTTCTCTCCGAGAAGAAGATTTCTGCTGTCCAGGATATCATCCCTGCTCTGGAGATTTCTACACAGTCGCGTCGCCCTCTTGTCATCATTGCTGAGGATATCGACGGCGAGGCCCTCGCTGTTTGCATCCTGAACAAGCTCCGCGGCCAGCTCCAGGTTGCTGCTGTCAAGGCTCCCGGCTTTGGCGACAACCGCAAGTCCATCCTTGGTGACATTGGTGTCTTGACCAAGGGTACCGTTTTTACCGATGAGCTGGACATTAAGCTCGAGAAGGCCACCATTGACATGCTCGGCTCTACCGGCTCCATCACCATCACCAAGGAAGACACCATCATCCTCAATGGTGAGGGTTCCAAGGATGCCATCTCTCAGCGCTGCGAGCAGATCCGTGGAGTCGCTGCTGACCCCACCACTTCTGAGTACGAGAAGGAGAAGCTCCAGGAGCGTCTCGCCAAGCTCTCTGGCGGCGTTGCCGTCATCAAGGTTGGTGGCTCCTCCGAGGTCGAGGTCAGCGAGAAGAAGGACCGATTTGTCGATGCTCTCAACGCCACCCGTGCTGCTGTTGAGGAGGGTATCCTGCCCGGTGGCGGTACCGCTCTGATCAAGGCGTCTGCCCAGGCTCTGGGAGACGTCCCGGCGGCCAACTTTGATCAGCAGCTTGGTGTTAACATTGTCAAGAATGCCATCACCCGCCCCGCCCGCACGATCATTGAGAATGCCGGCCTGGAGGGGTCCGTTATCATTGGCAAGCTCACTGATGAGCACGCTACTGACTTCAACCGGGGCTTCGACAGTGCCAAGGGCGAGTACGTCGACATGATCAAAGCCGGTATCCTCGATCCCCTCAAGGTCGTCCGTACTGGTCTCGTTGATGCTAGCGGTGTTGCCTCCCTGTTGGGTACCACTGAGGTTGCCATTGTCGAGGCCCCTGAGGAGAAGGGGCCCGGTGGCCCTCCAATGGGAGGCATGGGCGGGATGGGCGGGATGGGAATGATGTAAGATGGACGGACTCAAGAGGATGAGGTTGCGATTTCAGGCGTTGTACAAAAAAGAAACTAATCGGGCATGGGTCGGGTGCTGGTCGAAGACGGACAAACACATGGGTCAAAGTGATGTTGCACCATCTCCTCTCTACATCTCGGCATGCTTTTCTCATACCCCTGCAGATTTGCAAGCAGCTCAGACATTATGTATAATAGCAAGTAGTACTTGGCCATAAAAAAAACACTTTCCCAAGAAAGAAAGCAAGGAGAAAAGAAAAAAAGAAGACATGACAAATTATGCGACGTGGCTGATTTTGGGGCTGTACAGTCTTAACTAATAACTTAGTTGCCTTGAGGCAGCGAGTTTCCAATGACGCTAGTTGCCGAACGATGCGACTAGTGGTGGAAGTCTGGCGGGATTTGTCATCGTATACCGTCAACCCATGTTGTAAACATGTTATTATTTTGCGCAAGGCAATGTCGGCTGTTGGCCGCGAGATCAGGCTGGCAAAACGAACAAAGGGTCGTCGAGGATGCCGAGGCTGCGCGAGGGCTTGGCGGGGTCACGTGGCAGCAACGTCCATGTCGCGGCCAACCCCACATGCGCACCACACCATGATGATGTGGACAGCTGGGTGATTTTTTTTTTCGCGGGGCCAGGCTCCAAGGCCCCTCCACCCGAGTCCCCGACCGAGCAGTGAGCACCACCACGCACGACCCGTTGACCCCATGCCGTCTGTCTGACTGACTGACTGACTGGCACTTTCACTTTCCTGACCTTGTTATCCTCCAAACAAACAAAGAGGCACCAGTTTCCGACCCTACCTTGCCTTTGCATCGCAACACCGCACGTCTGCCTGTTTGCTCTCCCTCAGATGTAAGGCCAAGTCAAGTTGTCCCTGCACGGCTTAAATACTCGAGCGTTGCCGGCAATCCAGTCGCCCGCACTCTTTTTCTCTCCGTCTTGTTTACTGACGAGCTCCTTTCACTCGACTCCAGCCTTGCTCCCCCCCACCCCTCACCGTCGCGCACCACCTCCTGACGGCAATCATGGTGAGTTTCGCCCCAACGGCCTACAGCCCTACGCCCTGCGGCCCTGCGCGGCCATACGACCCGTCTTCTGACCTTGTGCTCTTGGCAGTCTCAATCTGGGTTCGTAACTGCCTTCGCTACACTCTGATTGCAGTTTCGAGCTTGCCGCTGCCGCCGTCTGCGCGACCCTCCTCCGTTGTGACGACGGGCTGCCCTGCCGACGTGGACGTTGGAGGGGTTTGCGGCACAGCGGAACAGCCGCCACGAGAGACAGTGCGGAATGCTGCTAACACCTTTTGCGCCGATGCAGAGCGACCGTTTCGCAGGATTGCATAACTGCCTACAACGACTTGAAGCTGTCCAAGAAGTACAAGTACATCATCTTCAAGCTCTCGGACGACTTCAAGCAGATTGGTATTGAGGAGGCTTCCGACGACAAGGATTGGGAGAACTTCCGACAGAAGCTCGTCAAGTCTACCACCAAGAACAAGTCTGTGAGTAGAGAGCTATTTGCCCTCTCTGTCGCATTCGTATTTGCGCTAAGTCTTTGTTTCCTTTTACAGGGCGTCGTTGGCAAGGGCTGTCGATACGCCGTTTACGACTTTGAGTACAGCCTGGCCGCTGGCGATGGTGTCCGGTATGTGTGCGCCCCGCCCCCTTTCTGTATTTCTCTTCTTTTCTGCTTTCAAATTCTTCCCTTTTCTTTTTTTTTTTTTCCGGAAATCGCTGCGTTACTGTGAGCATCGTGCTAACGTGTTGCAGAAACAAGATCACCTTTATTGCCTGGTCCCCCGATGATGCTGGTGTTCAGGTAACATGCTGCCACAAGACCTGACTCTACCGTCTCTTCACCACTAGCTGACGATGAACACTGCACAGCCAAAGATGATTTACGCTTCCTCCAAAGAGGCCCTCAAGCGATCCCTCACCGGAATTGCTACTGAGCTGCAGGCCAACGATGCCGATGACATCGAGTACGACACCATCGTCAAGACCGTCAGCAAGGGTCTTGCCGGTTAAGCCTCGTGTTCTGTTTACTTTGTATCTTTCTTTGAGTGTTGCGAGGGACGACAACAATGGAGAAAAGAGAGACAGTACCAAAAAAAAGAAAAAAAAAAAAAGGTCCTGGGCACGCCGCCCGCCTTCTCATGAGCGCATGAATTGAGAAATTATTGCTACCCAAAATGGCTTGTTCTGAACCAACCCCCCTTCCTTCACCCCCCTGTTTCATCTGCTGAAGAATAAAAGCCAACCCGAGTTGTGACGCCAAAAAAAGAGACGACGGCGACGGTGTAGGATTTGAAACACGGATGGATGCAAATTATACAATGGTGACGCATGCATTTGGGATTCTTCATGTCGGCGGAGAGTTGGCGTAGCTGCTAGATGTGCGAGTCGTGGGCGAAATCAACATCATGGGAAGACGGAAATAAAAATCACGCTGGATGTGCTTCACAGTTGGCCTTGATTTCCCGACGACGTTGTGCGCCGGAGTGCATCCTCATGACATCGACGCCGGCTTGTGTCGGCGCTGCCAACCCCCATTCCTAGCCACGATAAAATTACAATTCAGATCATGGTTGCAGAGCGACTAGACTCCCAAGTCCGTTTAAACAAGGCCCCCAGGTCGGCCGCGGCATTCTCGTCCTTGAGCCGCTGCTCCAAAAAGCCCCTCAAATCGTCCCAGAAGGCGTCCGTGGTCAGGGCATCCCACCCACTCGCCTTTGCCGCGGCGTCGGCCTTGCCCTCGGGCTGCATGGCCGCGGCGCCGCCCATGACCATGACGGACAAGTCGAGCCGCAGGTCCGAATCGCCCACCACGTCCTTGAGGACCTTGCTGTCCGTCAGGGGGCGCTTGTTGTGCAGGATCTTCATCTTGTCGACCGGTATGCTCGTCTGCCGCGCCACCCTGGTCTTGATGTCGAGTATGGACGTGTTGAGCGGCTGCGAGGTGAGTTTCAGATCGAGCGGCGGGTTGCGGAGGGACTTGAGGGTCACGGTGAGGCTGCGCTCTTGCCCGGGGAGGACGGTCCTGGGCTTGCTCATGGGGTTGGGCATCCGGGGGAGGATGTACTGCATTTTGTGAGTTTTTGCTTCTTTCTCCTGTTCTGGTCCTGTCCTGTTACAGGCCCTTTTGTTGGGCTGGGGAAGGGAAGGACGCACGGGAGGGCGGGGCGGGAAGGATTTGGCATCTTCGACGTGGTCTGGTGAGAGCTTGATGGGGCGGGAGTCGAGGCTTGAGAGGAACGTCTTGGCGAATGCTGCTTCCGCCATGGTGGCGAAGGCGAAGGCGAAGGCGCGGAGAGGGCTGGGCGCGAGGCGAATGGATGAAGGAATGGCGATGTTTGCTTCGGCCTTCAGAAGCGGGAAGCTTGGAGGCGGGAGTTAGGTAAGCGGCGGGGCGTCGTGCGGGATGGCGGCGGCCGACGGGTTGGGTTACATGTAGTACAGGCTCGCGAGAGCGTACATTGCTGGGTTGAATTCTGGCTTTTTTTTTTTTTTTTTTTGCTGTCTGCAGGTGCTGCACTGGTTTCTTGAGAGCGATGGCTGATGTTGTGCAGGTTTGTCGGACGGAGAACGCAGATTGCAGCTCGGCTTCCACTGCCGCTCTTGCGTACTGTCAACTCAAGACTGAAGTCTGAAGTGGGTGCCTCGCGGGTTCGAAGTGGAGCCTCGATACGAAGTTTCACCGACCAAAGAAAGTGTTATCGGACTGGAGAGGAAAAAAAAAAAAGTCAGGCGGGGCGCATTGGTTGATTCTCGCAAGTCGCCGTACATCCATCGAATCGTCGCCGGTCCTTCTCACGGCCGACTCTCCTCTCGCACGCTGATTGCTCTTGAGAAGAGCGAGAAAAGAAGTTGCACAACATGGGTGCCGGAAGGCGGATGAAGAGAAAACAGGGTGCCCCCGAGCCCCTTTCAGAAGAACACTATGCAAGACTCAAGCGCAAGGCTGGCATGCCAGTCGACACTCCCGCAGAAGCTCCCGACAAGAAGAGAAGACGAACAGCAAAGAATGCGCAGTCCAAAGCCAACGGCTCTGCTGCCTCTGTGAAGAAGTCTGCCGCGTCGAACAAGTCCCATGGCGACAAGTTGGTAAAGTCAAAGCCCAATGGCAAGTCAAAAGGCAGGCAAGCCAAACCCGCCATGCCGGACCGGGAAGACGGCGATGTCGAGCTCGATGACGACGAGCTCGACGCAGATGACTTGGGTATCGAAAAACTATCCGACCTTGACGACGGCGAGGGCGAGGGCGAGGGCGCGACGTTGGGCGACGATTTTCTGGGCTCAGACTCATCCGTGTTTGACTCGGGCGACGAGAACGACCATGTCGGGAAGCCTATATTTTCTGAGGACGAAGACGAGTCTGACGCCGAGGAGAAGCTCACGGCCGCCAACATTGAAGGACTCTCGAGAAAATTGGACCGCAAGCTGGCCGAGGAAGCGGCTGCCAACGCGGCCGAAATTGCCGAGAGCGCCCTGCAGACCAACATCATTGACGGCGACACGCCGCACGTCGTTGACGACGCCGGGGACGACGAGCTGTCTGCCAAGACAAACGCCCTCCTCGCCCCGGATCTGCAGCTTCTCCGGACGCGAATCACGGAAAACGTCCGCGTGCTCGACGACTTTGCCAATCTGGCCGAGGACGGGCGCTCGCGATCCGAGTACACTGCCCAGTTGATCAAGGATGTGTGCGCATACTACGGCTACTCCGAGTATCTCGCCGAAAAGCTGTACAATCTCTTCCCCCCCCGGGAGGCATTCGCCTTTTTCGAAGCCAACGAGACTGCCCGTCCCGTCGTCGTCCGCACTAACACCCTGCGCACGCACCGTCGCGATCTCGCGCAGGCCCTCATCAACCGCGGCGTCACCCTGGAACCGGTTGGCAAGTGGTCCAAGGTCGGCCTGCAAGTCTTTGAGAGCAGCGTGCCCCTCGGAGCCACGCCCGAGTATCTCGCCGGCCACTACATCCTCCAGGCCGCCTCCTCCTTCCTGCCCTGCATGGCGCTCGACCCCCAGGAGGACGAGCGCGTGCTCGACATGGCTGCCGCCCCGGGCGGCAAAACAACCTACATGGCAGCCATGATGAAGAACACGGGCGTCATCGTGGCCAACGACCCCAACAAGGCCCGCGCAAAGGGCCTCATCGGCAACATCCACCGCCTCGGCGCCCGCAACGTCATCGTGTCCAACTACGACGCGCGCGAGTTTCCCAAGCCCATGGGCGGATTTGACCGCGTCCTCCTCGACGCACCCTGTTCCGGAACGGGCGTCATTGCCAAGGACCCCAGCGTCAAGACCAACAAGACGGAGCTCGACTTCATGCAGCTGCCGCACACGCAGAAGCAGCTGCTCATCGCGGCCATCGACTCGGTCAACCACTCGAGCAAGTCGGGCGGGTACATAGTCTACTCGACGTGCTCGGTGACGATTGAGGAGAACGAACAAGTCGTCCAGTACGCGCTCAGGCGCAGGCCAAACGTCAGGCTCGTCGACACGGGGCTGGCCTTTGGAAAGGAGGGCTTCACAAGCTTCATGGGCAAGAAGTTCGACCCCAGTCTCCGCCTCACAAGGAGGTACTACCCCCACGCGTACAACGTCGACGGCTTCTACGTCGCCAAGTTTAAGAAGATTGGGCCCACGCCCACCCAGGCTCCCCGGGGCCACACCCCCAGGGCGGGCGCGCCCGGCGGCGGCGGCGGCGGCGGCGGCGACGGCGGCGAGGACGACACCATTGACAAGACGCCCATATCTGCCGACGACCAAGAGGGCGGCGAGGACGACTTTGGCGGCTGGGACGAGGACGAGGACAACGAGTACATTGAGCGGGGGCGGAGGAATGCCATGCGCAGACGCGGCCTGGATCCGAGGAGTAACACCAAGGCCAAGAGGGGGTCTCAGTGACGGCGAGTCCCGTGGAGGCGTGGATTTTAAAGCGGGCCGCTCTATCTACACATGTTTAGCACAGGAGTTTGAAAATGGTATCAATCTTGTCGGGGCGTGCGATTCTGTCCCCTCTGCCCGTTTGATGTGTCCGTCTCGACTCTCGGGGCCGCTGTCCTTGTTGAAGAGGCCGTCGGTGGACCGTGGCCCCTGGGGGGGGGGGAAGGAAGCAGCTGCAGTGTTCGAGTGACGGGGGTGAACAGAGCTCTGGCTATATTCCGACTTTTTACTACTTCACTGCGCAGCATCTCGACTGGGAGTACGCACATGCACTTGTTGGCTCTGCTTGGCGCCCACCGCGTGTCCGGGCCACTTGCAAACAAGGCTTCACTTTTCAACTGATTACTTCTCCGTGTGATGAGCCACCGACAAATCGGGCAGCAAGGAAATGGGTTTCTTCCGTGGTTTGTCATGATGTATTCGCAAGTACCGCCGCGGCCTGTTGAGGCCTTGGCAGCTAACGTGCTTCAGGCGAGGCGGCCTGGACTAAACGAGTGACTGACGAAAGAGACATGTCCTGCAACATTTGATTCCCAACCCAAACGACCCAGTCAGCTCAGCTCCCTTTGCCTACCGCCGCAAGTAGCTGGGAGCCCGCATGGGCCAAGGCCCAGGACTCGGAGAGACACAAGGGACGCTGGAGACGCCTCTCCAGAGACGCACGTTTCCTCCCGAGGACGTCTACTTGCATTTGCAAGACTTGCCAATGTTGTCTTTGGAGCAGGAGCAAACACGAACGGGGTTGGTGCAGTGGCATCCGTTCTCGTTGCAGGTTCCCGAGCACTGGGACGAGACGAGAATGCGAGATTAGCAAAGGTGCCGGTTGCCGTGAGCAGGTGAGCCATGGACGAGGGAGAACGGCAGCGGGAGCAACCGGGGGAATCGAGATGGACTCACCGTCTTCCTGGCAAAGATGTCAGCTCTGGCCAGGAGCTCGGCGTCGTCAGAGGACCTGACGGAATTGTCGCCGTTGGGGACGGCCGAGGCCAGGATTGGAGAGGCCACGGCGCCAAGGAGAACGATGATGGCTTGGAACTTCATGTTGATGAGTTGAACAAGTTGGGAAGGGGTTGTTGCGATGATGAGAGTCGACGGTTGTAGAATGGCAGATGGGAAGTGGTTGAATGGTGGTGCTGCTGGAGGACAATCGAGCAAGAGAGCCGGGAAGAGCGATGCCTATATATATATACGTGTATATGTGCCTTTCGGCGTGTGCTCAATGAAGAAGACCTTGGCACACACCAGCTCATGACCAGGCCATGGCCGACAATCTGGCAATGAAGCCAAGGATAATGGCGAGGTCCTGGGTGACGACGGGACTCGAAGGAAAGGCGGTTGGGCACACCAGCTTACTGCCGCACAAGATGCGGGTTTTCGGGCAAGACTACAAGGAGTAAAACGCCGCGCAAATCGGTAAGCATGGCGCGCAACGAGCTCGATGAGGTTGTGAATATGTCGAGCCGTGTCACCGCAACCACACGTTGCACAGACCAACGAGAGCGACGTGCCGGACAACCGGACGATCGGCCAATCGGGCGTGGCTGCACTTCAAGCCAGTCGGCAAATGCCTCATGGGGTTGTCGGGGCGTCGTGTCGTACGCGGCCAAGTCGACGACGATCCGGACGTCATGAGTGATGACTGCGCACCGCTGCGTCCATGCTTCCTTCCTTTCTGACTGCCTGCTGCAAGTGACAGGTCTGGCTGCAAGTGGCAAGCAGGCAATCAGTTCCAAGGCACGTGCAGCGCCGCCGATCGGGTGCAGCGTTGGCATGGCACGGCAGTACATAAGCTCGACCGTCGAAACAAACCGTTTGTGCCGCGCGTCAGTCTCTTCCGCTGCTGCTTCCACTCCAGAGTCTGACTATCCGATTCCCTACCACCATCTACTTGCTATCCCCCACGGAAAACAAGAACAAGAACAAGAACAAGAACGAGAGCAGAGGCGAGCACGAGACGAAACATGGCCGACTGTCCCACTGGCGGCTGCTCCATCCCGCTCACAACTCGCGCCGAGAAACGCAACGCGTATGAACGGGACCCCCAGAAGGCTCGCGAAATCTGCCAAGGTCTCCGGGACGACCTCTTTCGCATCGGCCAGAACTACTTCTCCCGCACGTACGACCTGGCCAGCATCGAGGGGTTTCTTCACGATGCTTGGGACGAGTTCATCTATGCCGCCAAGATGCAGCCGGCCGACAGTGCTGAAATCGACAGGCTCGTCACACTGATCCTCGAGGTGCGAGAGCTCGGCGCCTTCAGGCCGACGGAGCAAGATGCCGTCGACCAGAGCAAGAGATCGGAAGAAGCCGTCACCATGTCCAACGGCCAGTGGCTTTGGACCGACCTCCCCTACCTCGCCGACGACCTTTACGACTTCTGGGTCACGGAGTCGGCCGCGCTCACCGGCCCCGAGAGAGCAAGCCTCGCCGCCTTCACAGGCAAGCTCTGTGCCGTCGGCGTGGGTGCGCCCCAGCTGTCTCGCTGTGCACTCTGGCTCTTCGTCAGAGCGCTGGAGACAGAGCTGCCACCCGAGACTCTGGCAGACCTGCTCCCCGCCTGCCGGGAGTGGCTCAGGTACAGCAAGACGAAGCTCGTCAAGATGGCGAGCGACAACTACTGCCCTCCCCCGCCGGCCGAGGGTGAGGACGACGCCACTCTGTATGCCGTGGGACCGCTGGTGGCCGATGCAGACATGCCGCCCGGCTTCAGCATCGCCAGGTGGTTGTCCTGGAGGAAGCGCGCAGGGGACATCTACAGCGCCGGCTCCGGCGACGTCTCCAAGCTCGGCAGAGCCTGCTTCGAGGAGATGATGAATGCTGGGCAGTTTGTCGGCATTGACGTTCCCGCCGAAAAGGTATACCTAGAGAGGGTATTCAAAGCGCTGGAAGACGAGCTTGCGTCTGGGAGATTCACCGGCTGCGTCGGCGTGGAGGACATTGAGATTGATCCGGACTGGGCAAAGGAGACGTAGTCGCCGCCGGGCCTGGGCTGCTCCGGCCGGTGCTTGGTGCTTGGCAAGGTGTCGGGCTCTGAGTTTGGCATCCGGACAAAGACAAGGGCGAGGGCGTATCGATTGGTCATCAGCCATCACTCTACGGAGTGCCGTAGCAACACGCATCTGTAGGGCTTGCCTGAGCGCTTGACTGCTCTTGACGCGTCAGCATGCCACCGAGCTTCGTGTAGTAGTTTAGGAAGCCAGACGCCACTGGCCGGTAGAAATAAAAGAACAAACATTGGAGCTAGCGCGACGTCCGGCCAGCACCAGTCTGATGGCACCCGGGAAACAAACATCCGACATTGCCGAGCGCCGGGTGCTGCTCGACTTCATCGCCCCGGTCCATGGGTATAAAAACGGTCCATGTCCAGCGAAGGGGAGCTGTGAGCAACAAGTCCTGAACAGCGAGAGTCCAGCCAACATCGTCTGCATTTCACTCCACCCCTTGCCCCAGCACTTGAAGAGGCAAACCTTCCAAATCGACGACTCCGCCATGCCGGCATCTGTGCAGATCATACGAGGCAGCGAGCTAGACCCCGGCATCAGCCAGACGCACGGCATGATCAGAAGGGGCGGCGTTGTTGGGCAATCGGACAAGATATGTTCGCTGGGTAGGTCGGCCTGAGCGCCCAGGGATCGCAAATCGTCTCCGTGACCACGAGTCAAGTCAAGTCCAACATCTGACCGGGTTCGCAGTCATGACGGCACAGCCACACACGGCCTCTGCCGTTCACCACCACCAAGGTATCTTCAAACGGCCACCCGTCCCCTGTGCATGTCCCATGTCCGATGCTCTCGCTTGCTTGCCGTCTTTGCATGTCGAGGCCGAGTGCTAAGGTCCATCAGATCAGGACACCATAGTGTTCGCGTCTAGTGGCCACGGGTCGCTTGTTTTCGACGGAGGGTCTAAGCGGCAGGACCTGATGCCGGGGGACTTTGCGTTCATCCCGGCCTATGCGGAGCATCAAGAAGTCAATGACAGCGATGGCGAGGTCGTGTGGGTGGTCATGCGCACTGGGAAACACCCGACCACGGTCAATCTCAAGGGTTGGGGCTTGGAGGAGCGGAGGGCCTAGATGGAATGGGCTGTGCCGTGCTGTGCTGTGCTTGCTGTTGGCTAGGTTATTATGCCGGTAGTGTAAATGTTGCTTGCTCAAAGGGCGTACCGTGTTTGTCCAAGGCTCTGCGGCCCAGGTGAGCATGTTGAACATTAAACACTGACCGAGACGACGACTAGGGGCAGCTGGTGAATCCCTCGTTCCGGATGCTCGCACCATCTCCAACCGCCACTGGGTGCTCGAGGTGGCTCATCGCCGTCTCTTGATTGGCAGAGTCGGAGAACCTGGAGTCGTAAAGAAAGGATCCGCGCATTTCCTGGGCCCTCACTTGGTAACTACATAGTTGTTACATGCAACCAAGGCTGGCGATGAGGTAACAAGTTGCGTCAAAAGTGGCCTCTTGGCGACGCCATTTCTGCCCGCAACCCCGCCCCCACTTTTCCACCTCGACGAGCTTGACCCACGAGTCACGAGTCGCGACGTCCTTTCTGTGTAGCTGACCATTGTTTTCTCCTCGTCACCAAGACAAAGGACGGCGACGCCAGCGAACAAGACATCAGTCAACATGGGCCGGTGCGTCACCGTCGCCACCTGCTCCCTCAGGCAATGGGCGTTGGATTTCGAGGGCAACACGGCTCGTATCATCGAGTCCATCCGGCAAGCAAAGGCCGCCGGGGCCCGACTCCGCGTCGGACCGGTATGTTGCTCGCCTCGCTCTTGCGTCGCCTCGAATGCCAGTGACACTCTGTAGGAGCTCGAAATCACCGGCTACGGTTGCAACGACCGTGAGTGGCTCCTTGACATCCTCGAGGCATCGCCGGCGGCGTACTGATGCGTCATCCGACTGCCAGACTTCCTGGAAAGCGACACGTTCCTGCACAGCTTTGAAATGCTTGCCCGCATCATGAGCGACGAGACCTGTCACGGCATCTTGATTGATACCTCGTGTCCCATACAGCACAGGAACACGATATGGAATTGCCGAGTTGTGCTGTGCAATGGCAAGATTCTCTACGTCAGACCCAAGATGGACTTGGCCAACACAGGTCGGTGACAACCTTGGACAAGCCGCTCCGTGCTGTCCCGCGCTCATCTGCGCTGCAGGCAACTACCGAGAAACCCGTTGGTTCACGCCGTGGATGAACAGGGCCGGGTGGGAGGAGTATCATCTGCCTCGTATGCTGCAAAAGCTGCAGGGCGCCACCCACGTACCCTTTGGAGACGTGGTGCTCTCCACGCCAGACTCGACGTACGGAAGTGAGTATTGCGAAGAGCTGTGGGCCCCCGAGTCTGGCTCCGTGTTGCAGAGTCTCGAGTATGTGCTCCCTGCAACAGCACTCCGTGCCCCCGAACTGCTGCGTTTTGACCCGTCAGTGCTGATGCGCAACGACGCAGCGGCGTCGAGATCTTCTCCAATGGCTCGAGCAGTCACTACGAGTTGCAGAAGCTCGGCGATCGGGTGCAGCTCATCGCCGCCCAGTCCAAAAAGGTTGGGGGGTTGTACCTGTACAGTAACCAGCAAGGTACGCCTCCTCTCAAGGCGCTGTGCTGCCGCGGCGAGCTGCTGACCAGTCGCTGTTTGTTGCTGTTGTAGGCTGCGACGGCGAGCGAGTGTACTACGACGGCTGCTCCATGATATTTTTAAACGGGGAGCTCCTGGCCGCGACGCCCCAGTTCACCCTGCAAGACGTGTCTGTTGCAGTCGCAACTGTTGACCTGGAAGACATTCGCGCCCACCGGCAGGTCTCGTCGCGCAATTTTCAGGCAGCCAGGAAGACCCTACAGTACTACCGCATTCAGACCCCCTTCGAGTTGAGCCCCGACCAGGACGACGCCCACCTCTCTCGTCGCCCAACATTGCCGAGGGAACCCAAATATCACCACATTGCCGAGGAACTGGCCCTCGCGGCCGGATGCTGGCTCTGGGACTACCTTGCTAGGTCCGGCAGCAGCGGGTACTTGATCCCGCTGTCCGGAGGCTTGGATTCCTGCTCCACGGCCGTCCTCGTCTACGCCATGGCTAGACTTGCCATCAGCGCCATGGATGCTGGCAACAAGACCGTCACCGACACTCTCAGGCGCATCTTTGGTGATCATCCCCTCCCCAAGACGGCCCAGGAGCTGTGCCATAGAGTCCTGCACACCGTCTACATGGGAGCGCGGGTGAGCTCCGGAGAAACGCGCCAGCGTGCCCGAGACATAGCTTCCAGCCTCGGGAGCTATCACATGGAAATGAGCATCGATTCGGTTTACGACGCTATGAAGACTACGGTGACTGAGAGTCTGGACATCCACCCCAACTTCAGGATGGAAGGTGGGAGTGACGAAGAGGGAAAGAGTTTGCAGAATATCCAGGTGAGCCATGGCCCTCTTACAGCGTCCTCCGTCAGGTCTTGATCGCAACCGACCTAATTCCACCAAGGCACGCATTCGAATGGTGACGGCATACACATGGGCGCAGCTTCTACCTCTCAAACGCCAGCTGCGAGGCGGCTTGTTGGTCCTTGGATCAAGTAACGTGGGAGAGTCGTACGAAACCCCTGCTTGCCTTGAGTGTCTTTCCCAACGCTAACGCTCCACAGACTCCGCGGGTATTTTACCAAATGGGATAACAGCGCGGCAGACATTTCGCCAATCGGCTCCGTCGATAAGCAAGATCTTGTTCGTCTGCTTGAGTGGGCCAAGGGAGAGTTCTCACTCCCAGCGCTCGATGAGACGCTCAAGGCAACGCCGACGGCTGAGCTAGAACCGGTCACGGAAGAATACTGCCAGAGCGACGAGGTGGACATGGGAATGAGTTACGCCGAGCTTACATTATTCGGGCGCCTTCGCAAGGAGAAGAAGATGGGCCCGTATTCCATGTTCACGCATCTGGTCCGTTTGTGGGGTAGACACCGGGACGAGGTTGACGATGCTCCGCGTCTGGAGCCTGCCGAAATTGCGGCCAAGGTCAAGGCCTTTCATCATTTTGTGTGAGTGGGAGAGACATTCCGAGGGGCCATCCTCGCGAGACGAGCACCAGGCTCTTTTCGGGTTTGCTTGCGGCTAACTCGGACAGTGCCATCAATGCCCACAAGAGGGAAACGCTCACGGCGTCTTTGCACTGCAACAGTCAGTCAAATCAATTGCACTCTCTGCCCAGGTCAACCTGTGCGGACCGCATTTCGCTAACTTGCACCAAGGCTACTCGTGCGACTCGAACCGGTTTGATCTACGTCCGTTTCTTTGTGAGCTCTCCCCTCCTCGCCGCTGGCGCTACGCTCTGCGAGCCCATTCCACTGACTGGATGTCTTAGATCCGCCATTCTGGAAGAGTTGGAGTTTTAAGAGGATCGACCGCGAGGCTAGCAGGTTAGAGAAGGCATACGGGACCCGGGACGAGAGCAAAAAGCCGATGTAGAGGGGGTAGAAGTAGAACGGCCAGCTTCGTGTGCATGGTAATTTAAGACTCGAAAAATTGAACCAACATGGGACGCGCGAGACCTAGTAACTCACAAGCCCTTGTTTGAACTGGGCCCTTGGGAAACAACCACATGAACAGGACGTGATTCGTCTCCCGTTCGGCGGCGTCAACTCTACTCTCGGCACAGAAGGCGCGGCACTCGTTGGGGGATCCCGTCCCTCTCTGAGCACCGACCTCGTTGGGGTTATCTACGTGGGCACTGGGTCTCGGAGACGGTTTGCTACGGCAGGACGTTGCACCGGCGCTCAGATCCAGAGGCTCGATTCAATAGGAAATCCGGTGAGAAAGAAGCTTGGTTCGCTCAGGGGCCGGCCGGACGGCCCAAGGGGCGCTGTCTGTCCACGGCGGCGGTGAGGTCGGGCGGAGGTCGGAGGTCGGCGCGACGGGTGGGGCTGCGGGATGAGACGGAGCGAACCCAGCGGCCGTCTCAGCGCGCCGTCCCTCCCGATGCCACGTGCTCCGTCGACGACGCGGGTGCAGCCGTGCAAAGAAGCCGCGGCCCCCGCCGAGCCTGGCCGACAAGAACAAGACGAGGGACGTCTTTATTTGACGCTCAGGACTTGGCGACGCGCGCACATTGACGAGGCAGCAGCGCGGGACTTGCAGAAACCAGTATTATTAACCCACGCAGCTTGCTACCAATGCAGAAAAGGGGAAAGAAAGAACAAAAGAAAAGTTCGTCAAGCATCATAGTCCGTCATCTCGGTCGTGATAAAAAAAAAAGCCCACAGCGCGGAGAGTCTCACCGCACAATCAATCGCCAGAAATCCTCCCATGCACGGCCACCAGCCAGATCCTTTTTTTGTCTATTGCCCAGAAAAGACACACGACAATACAGTACAATACAATCGAGACGAAAAAAAAAAGAAAAGAAAAGAAAGAGAGAAGGAAAGAACGAAGACGCAATCCGTATCGACCCGCCTTCTGTTGGCGGTGAGGTTAGGCCAAGCAAAACAAATAACCTTCTTTTGTACATGGCTATTCTATCCACCGTAAGGCAGATGCAATCCTGTTCGCTCAACTTCAAGATTGGCCCCAACTCGAAGACGCCTGTGTTCGTGTTCTGTAATCCTGGGATCCGGGGTACTGTGCTCCAAATAGCTGATGATTCTGAAATGATAGCAATCGCTGGTAGATGGTGCATGCTCACATGGGGAGCTCGTCGCAGTGAGCAACGAGGTCCCGAATCGTCCAGCGCCACGTGTTTTGATCTCGCGGCCCGCGGCCGACCCATTTCTCGCACTTCTTTCGCCATCTTTCTTCCTCCTCGCGCTGTCGTCTGACAAACTCGGGACCGACGTCAAACTCTTCGCCCACGAGCCAGTCATCCTTGACGTCACTGACCCGGCCGCCTTCTCCGCCGTCGTCTTCTGCGGCGTTATCGTCTAGGTCGGGAATATCTTTAAACACATCCTCTTCGTCGTCAAGCGCGTCGAAGCCATCCAGGGTATCACCTGCATCCGACTTGGTCTTGTCGCGTTGCCCCATTCTGAGCCAGCACATGTTGTGGGGGTCAAAAACCATGCCGCCCACAACCTGTACGCCTTTAGTTGCGCTGAAGTTGGCAATCAGCGCGGGTCGCGGGGTAGATGCCTCTCTTTCGCGGGTGACGTGTGCGGATGCGGTTGTAGTTGACGGGGTGGCCACCGTGGCATCAAACGCATTCAGCGCATTCTCATTACCCTCCCAGCGGAATGTCTCGGCGTTGTAGAACATGCCGTCCACGATTTTACACTCTTTGCCGGCGTTGAGATTGGCAATGAGATGTGGCTTCAGCTGCTGCGGTCGCTTCGTCTTCTTCTTCGACCGCACCGTGGCCTGAGGTAGATGGGGCTGCTGATTCAGGTTCATCCTTGACGCGGGCGCACCACCCTCTCGCTGAGCGGTTATGGTAGACAACGGGCCGTGACTTGGCGCGCGGTGAGCCAGAGACGTCTCTCGGGCAATCCGACTTGCGGCCGTGTCGCGTGCAAACCGCGGAGTCGACGCTGATTTTGGCGGGCAAAATGGACTCGGCGGCGCTGGCGTCGCAGTCCTGTCGGGCAGGATATTCTGGTACAGCCGATTTCGAATGGTAGTCTTGGTGCCGCTGGCAACAGGCTGCTTCATGAATCGCGTCTCCGCCTCTCGTGACGTTGGCAAGTCATCGAATCCGTCGAGTTCATGGCCATCACCAAAGTGTTTCTTGTTCTTTGGCTTGCTCAGACGCTCCCAGGTATCGGCAGCAACCCTGTATCGATGTGGACTAGGCGATCGTCCCCCCGACCTAGAGAAGGACCTCGACGTTGGTCGGATGTCGATTGCATTTTCGGAGTCGTGGCGTCGGAACTGGCGCAAGGTCTTTGAAGCGACGTGATGTGACCGAGATTGCGTTGCACCGGCCGGCAAGAATGGCTGAGGCTTCCTCGTCAACGACGCAGGGCTGTCGGTAAGGCCGGGGCGCTGCCTGTCCACGGGTGTCTTGGGTCTCAAAGCAGACTGGGGTCGCCCAGTCTCGGCCCTCGACGGCGGTCTGTCTGTCGATCTTTGAGGGACTGGCTTTTGCGCCGTATTCTGACCCCGAACCGCCGGGAGAGATCGCTTCTGTTTCAGTAGTTGAGAACTGGTAGTCAGTGCTTCACTTCTCAAGGAGGAAAATGATGATCTTGCGCCAACTTGTCGCCCCTGTGGCGTGGAAAGGGGAAACTGTCGTCCGGGGGAGGTAGTCGTCGGGGTGGGAAGACTGGCTACAGACGATTGATGTGAGTGTCCGAGACGAGACTGAGAGCGTCGACTGCGCGAGGGCGCCGCTGAACTGCCAGACTCATAAACTGGCTCCAACGAGGTTGAATGGGCTCGTTCATGGCTTAAGCGCGGAATCCTGGTCTGGGTTTGGGGCTTGTTCGTAAACGTCAGTGACACAGCAGCCTTGGGCCGTGCGGGTGACGCAGGCTGGGTCTCCTTGACCTTGATATTGCGATGCAGTGTCAACTTTCCGGGGCCAAACACATTTCCATCTCCAATGTCAAGATCATCAAAGAAGTCGTCACGGTCGGCCTCGGCCGGGGCGGCTTTGTTGGGGGGGGATGGAAACGGCGACGGCAACTCTTCCGGGATACGTTCTGGTGAGAAACTCTTCTTGCGCTGCTGAAGGCGCTCCTTGAAATTAAATGGGCCAGAAGGCAGAACAAGACCGTCAAACGTCTCGTCCTCGCTCTCAGCAGTGATGGAGCTCGAGATGCTTGGGCTGAGCGCCGAGGCCGAAGAGCTTCTGTTGGAACGGCCATCTCGTCTGGTGCCGCCATATCGTGTGCCGAGACTACCTTCGCCCCAATCCACGTCGTCGACATTGGATGATGGCGTCTTTGGAATATCTCTCCTCGTGGACAATTTCAACTTTCCGTCCGAGGGCAGCTCCAAGTCCTTTTCATAGTCATCCTCTTGTTCTCTGGCAGTTTCAGACTTTTGCGGTGTAGGAGGCGTAATAAAAGAAACGGGCTTGGGGGCAATGCTCCTCCCCTTTGGCAATTTGATTGTCGCAACGCCGTCCCCAAAAAAGTCCTCATCATCTTCCGTGTCTTTAAACTTGTCCAAGTTGAGGGCGGACGAGAGAGCGCTCGTATTCGACTGGGCTGAGAGCCTGCGCTGTGGCTCGGTGCACGATGACGGCTTCATGGTCCGCAAAGGACTGGTCCGCACGGAACCGCCGCTCACTTGCCGCAGCGTTTCGGGGAACTCGACATCGGTTTTTGGTTTTATACTGAGGCTCTGCGAGGTTTCTGGGAGCTCGAGATCGTTTTCCCAGTCATCTTGGATAATCTTGCGAATCTTGCGTCCCCCAAGCCGCTTGATGGTACCGCCCATGAGGGCAGAGGAAGGGACATTCTTGGGCAGAGGAATGCCGGCATGCTCTGCGGCAGCAATGGCGTCCATGGTAGAGGATTCGTCATCGCCCGGCAAATGTAATTGCTGCTCTTCCCCCTGGCAGGATTCAATTTCAGAGCGCAAGGAAAGGTGAGAAGAGGTGGAATCTCGTCGCCTAGACGGGGGCCGCGACAGAGCGCGGGGATTGGAGGGACCGGCTGTGGTTGCCAAGGAGGTGCGAAACGACAGCTCATGGGCCTCAAGCACCAAATCCTCATCGTCGTCCCAGTTCTCGATTTCATCCTCGATGGGCTGGCGCGGTTTGAATCGTAATGTCTCCATACCCGGCAGTGATGCGGTTTGGCAACGTCCTGCTCAAGTTTGTGTTTGTTGTCGAACAAGTAAGTATTACAGGTCAGCTGTTGGTGTGTTTTGTGAGGTAATGTGCGACGTCGCCCACAGCTTGGTGTCAATTAAGCGAACTCATAGTTGTCAACAGACGATGGCGGTTGCAGTGTGGCTGTCTCGTCGATTGCAAGCAATCGGTGCCGGAAGCACGGACGGAGGGACAGTTGAGGCCTCGGGGGGGTTCGTCGTCGTTTTTTTTCTTTCTTTTCGTCGTCGCAAATGTCGCGGCTGGCTCGGAGTGGTGGTGCCAAGTGCGAAGTGCTCGGTGGTGCAGAGGGAGAGTGGAGTCGGCGTACCGTCGCAGGTCACGCTTTGTCGACAAGTGCCAAGGTCGAATGGGCGCTGGTCGGGGCAAGAAGAGTCGCGCCGTGTCGTGGATGAAGTTGTGCGGGGAGATTTTTGTGTTTATGCTTTTGTGTGGTGTGTGTGCGGGCAGAGGTTGAGAAGCGAGAGTGGTGACTGGTGAGACTCATGAGTGGTGATGGCAGGATTCGGTGATGCGGTCAGCCAATACGGAGTATGGGGAGCAGGCGGGGGAGGTGAAGGTGAAGGAAAAGGCTGGGGCGGGAAGGAAGGAGCGACTGGTGCGAGAGCTGGAAGACCCTTACTAGGGTACCTCGGCAGGCACTAATAACTAGGTACCTAGGTACCTAGGTAGGCTCGGTGGCAACTTAAGTAGGCTAGGTACTCAGGCCAGGTACCGACTTAGGTAGTGCAAGCACTCCCTATCCGTACTCCGTGCAGCAACCAGCAATCAGCGACCAGTAACAGGCGACGGGGGTCGGTGGCACCCGTGAGTGCACAGTGGGTGGCTGGGAAAAGAAAACCAAAAGAAAAATGGGGGGGGTGAAAAAGAGAAAAAAGAAAGTGGCATCAGACGGAATCGCTGCCCTTGGGCCTTGGCCCTTGGCACAGCTGTGCCTGCGGGAGGTTGGTTGGGGACAATCACCCGGACTTGTCCTAGTCCAGATTAGCGCCATCGCCGCTTCAGGCTATGCGCCAAGGCCCAAGCATCGGGTCGTGCTCTCACAAATAGCACGGCCCCAAGCATCATGGGCGTCTCGGTCGGAAGCATCATCATCATCATCATCATCATCATCATCATGCGGGAAGAATCAAGTTTGCAATGATGCGTCCAACCGTAGCCCTGTTTGCCTCTTTGTCCTCGATCCCAGACGTGAACGTGACAAGTCGAACTTGCAGGGATGGATTGTAGCAGTGCCCGGAATATTTGTTTCGTGTGTCACCAATATTTTTTCATCATGGAATTGTCCGCCCATCCTGTTATATTGTTCCGACAAATGTCCCCAGAGTCGGCGGGGATCTTCCAGAGTGCAGACGAAAAGTCATTTAACAAGCCAAGATTGTGACGAGCCTTGGGTCTGTCTAATATGCGCAGCATAATATTTGCAATTTTGTTTGTTTTATTAACTACGGAGCAGGAGGAGGAGAACCGTAAATGATGACGGGTGAGGGCCGCGACCAACAAAGACTTGGGCGGCGACATGAACTTACTCGGTCGGGACCGCGACGACACTGCAGCCGAGCAGACATGACGAGTGCGCTCGCTGATGACTGCCGGCAGCTGCCGTATGCACATCATTCCTGCAGTTTGCATGTTTGTTTGTACAAGTTGTCCGACTGCCGACTCCCATCTCAGGTCCCCAAGACGCAAAGAAAGGTTGACTCGCTCAGCAGGTAAAGAAAGCCTTGTAAAAGCGGCGCCGCGCCGCCTTGGTTGGCTATTCACAGCCCCTACTGGGCACACTGGTGCCACCAACACCAGACAGAAGCAAGCACCGCCCCGCCCCATCAATTAAACGTTCTTGATTGGACAGTTCCGGTCGCGGGATCCCTCCCTTCAGCGCGTCAGGTTCGTGATCAAACACAAACAACAAGATCCCGAAAGGCAGGCCTTGAGGGATGAAGATCTAGAGTCTAGACGCTGGCAGTTTGACGAGTCTCGGCGGGACTGCCTAAGTAGGTACGCAGCCACGGAAACCATCTGTAGTACGTATTCCCAACGGAGCCTTGCTTGCATTAAACAAACGTGGTGTCTGGCCAGATCCGCGGCCAAAATGCACGTGGCTGGTGGTCGCGGCCCTTGGAGGCTGTTTTTGCCATTCCAGCTTGACCACCTCTTGCCACATCGAACGGGTCGGGCCACTGGCGTCCCCTGATCCCATGCCATGTCCAATCATGATTGCATTTCTCTCGTTGAAGTTTGTTGTTTTTATACGGAGTAGCCTTGTTGTTGTTCGTTACTCCGTACAGGGCAACGTCAATACCACCGTCGGGGCTGAATGGTGCCCAGCCACCTTAGGGTAGCCCCCCCTCACCCCTTTTTTCTTCTTCAATGCGTAACTTATCGGCCGACGTCGTGACTGGCCAAGCAAGATAAGCGAGCGAGTCACGTGGAAAACGACCAACCAGACCCGTCACTTTCCTATTTGGGAGGCAGTTGGGCGCCTGGCCCTGCTTCGTGGCGTGGCGGCAAGATGACCTCAGACCGAGGACCAAGGTGTGACGAGGCGATACCTGATTACAGATGTTCCTACTTTGAGCATCGTGTAGATGACATCTTGCTCAGCCTGGGAATTTTAAACGACGCCCCAGCGGAATCAATCACGTGTGCGGACGCGCAAGCACATACGTCGGCATGATGAATGATATTCGAGTCTTGGAGCCTGACCACACAACTATATGAGCCGCAAACAAGACGCTCAAGTTGATGCGCTCAGTGCTCCCCGGCCCATCCGTAACCAGTCCAACCGTCTGAACAAGTCAAATGCTATCGTCATGCTCGTACCCGCCGTCACCGTCGCCGCCATCGTCTTCCTCTCCGTCACTGCCGCAGCCAGCAACTGCCCGTCTTTCCCGCCGTCAGTCCTGGAATACTCTTCTGAATTCAAGCAGCCCGAGCCACCGGCAGTGAAGCCAGAGTTCCAGACACACTTTATACAGCACAAATGGCATGTCGGCCTCATATACGCGCCCCCGTCTGAAATACCACGTCAAATAAATAGTTCACCAACCGATGACGTCTAACCTTGCCCCTTTCCCACAGGAACCACAACCTCTCCCACATCCAAAATGGCTACATGTACCACTCTCCAACAAAGAAGCTCGTCCGGGTCGATGAAACCTTTGAAAATGGCCTCGCCACATCCATGTTCAACTTTGCCAACGTCACCAAGGATGGCCTCGTCGACAACACGCTCACCTCCGTCTTCAAAGATTTCGCGCACCCCGAGATATGGAGGGGCTACGTGAACACAAACTATCCTCTGATCAGCGCAGACTTTCTCACTCAGGCTGGTGCCGTGTTTTCGGGTCTGGTCGAGCGGAACTTTGTCCCGGGAAAGGTCGCTTCGGTGTGTTTGCATATATTCCCGCAGCGTGCCACCCGGTTGCCGCGATTGCTGATCTTGATTGCCAGTGGAGTATTTTGTACCAAGGCCTTATTCCGGTCACGGTCTACGTGGATGGCTGCAATGCCGTGCAGGGCTACGATTATTTCTACCCCAACGAGAGGACCAGGGTCACTACCTCGTTCCTCAATACGCGCGTCGGCAAGGTGGACATGTGAGGCCTGCGAGGAGCGTGCAGGCACCAACGTGGGGTGAGGCACGGCCGGGCCGGGGAGTTGGTGAGACGCGTCAATGTCTACGCCAGCATGGCCTTGCTTGCAAGAGCTTGGTGTTGTTGGTGTTGCCGCGGACATGCTTATCACACTCGGACAGTTGACCGCACTTTGAGGAACTGTAGGACAAATCGTCCATGTTATGCGTTCCTTCTCACTAGTGACGTGGGACAATGGAGTCGCCAGCGTCTACCAGCCAGCAGTCAAGTTGAATCACCACCAAGCGAGCGTCAAGACGTCTCCTTGTTTCTGAACTTGGCCACGGCGACGAATCTTGGAGTAGAATCACAAGCAGCGTCCGTAGGCGCGAGACATGACAAAGCAAAGCGGTGCTGTACTTTGAAGGGGGGTCAACTCCTTCTTGCCAAATACCAATTGCTCGCGTTGAATAGATGCACGCATAGCATGACGTCTCCAGCCTCGTGAACAGGACCCTACATCGTGCCAGGGAATGTCGGTAGCGCCTGCCGGAGACTTCACATTCGGCTGTAAAGCATCTTGCAGGAGATGGACGTTGAAAGAGGACAAATTCATGCGCAGGATAAGAGAAAGAGGCAGTTCTTGGACCGATACATGCAGCGCGCCCTTGCCTTGTACACCGGTCCAAGGGCGCGATCCAAGTCTGGTACTCGACCAAACTCGATGATTGACGTAATAACTATTGTGTGAGATGGTGACCGTGGTCCGTGAGCAGCGCAAGGACGGGTGCGGGGCCGACATGACCTGCAACGGCAGCGCTGAAGACGCTCCCCTCCCCCCCAAGCCCACTGGAGGCTGGAGGCACCACCACCATCAATCAACTGCCCCGCCACTGCGACGTGCCCGACTCCTCCTCCATCGCCCGATATCGCCCGAATCTCTTCTTCACCAAGCATCAACACCACCGACGACCACGACGACGACCACGGCGACGCTTTGATCGCTCCTTGCCCTCCCCCCCGACGCAGTCAGTCCTGGGGTGTCGCTCCCTGGTCTGCGCCTGTCGTCCTTCTCTTCCTCTGGGAGCCCTGCCGTCTCGGCATTCTCTCTCTCTCTCTCTCCATTCGCGGCCCCCGTTGCCGTGCCGAGCCCGCCGCTGTCGCACCCGACCGCATGCAGACACTCCGAGTCACCGTCGCCGTGCACGACCCGAGAGAAGCAGCGCAACAAAACGGACACACTCCTTTCCCAACAACGACTATTCCTTCCCCCCACGTCTTCCCCCGACAACAATCACAATGGCCGTCGCCACCGATGGCTCCGACTTCGACTTTGTCCGTCGCATGACCCCCGAGGGCTACGTCTTCCCGACCCACCGGCTCAAGCAGACGTGCGCCCCCGGCAAGGTTCCGCTCATCATTGTTGCCTGCGGTTCCTTCTCCCCCGTGACGCTGCTGCATCTGCGCATGTTTCCCATGGCACTTGACCATGCCAAGAATATAGGTGCGTCTCCCAGCTCCGCCTTCTCCCGCCTGAGTGCTGCCTGGTGCTGGCTGGCGCGGTCGAGGGCAAGCTCGGTTTGTGGCTGACTGGGCAACTGTAGGCTTCGATGTTGTCGGCGGTTACCTTTCCCCCGTAGGCGATGCATATAAGAAGAACGGCCTGGTACGGGCGCATCACCGCGTCAACATGTGCCGGCTTGCCGCCGAGAACACCAGCAAGTGGCTCATGGTCGACACATGGGAGGCTGAGAACCATCTCTACATGCCCACTGCCGTAAGCGCCCCCCAGACACCCCTCAACTGTGGGCGCATGCTGAAAAGTGCACTCAGCGCGTCCTGGACCATTTCGACTGGGAAATCAACCACGTCCGCGGCGGCGTCGAGACCACCGAGGGCACCCGCGTGCCGGCCAAGATCATGCTCCTCGCGGGCGCGGATCTCATCCAGACGATTTCGACGCCCGAGGTCTGGGACGTCGGCGATGTCGACCACATTCTCGGCAACTTTGGCGTCTTTGTCCTCGAGCGGACGGGGACCGACCTCGAGACGGCGCTGGGACAGCTGAGGAGATGGGAGAAGAACATCCACGTGATTCGACAGGTGAGTTTGCAGCACCTTGTCCCTCGCGCCTCCTAGATGTGGATGGTTTGCTAAAGGGCCTTTCTAAGCAGATTGTTACCAACAACATCAGCTCGACGACGGTTCGGCTGCTCTTGAAGAGGGACATGAGCATCGATTACCTGTGAGTTCACCCAGTGTCTGATGGGATGCCAATAAGTCTGACATGGTGACGGAATCCAGGATTCCCCAGGAAGCTGTCGAATACATCATGGCCAACAATCTGTCAGTCCCAGTGCATTTCTCGATGAGGACAAGGAGCTTCGCTGCTAACTCTGCACCTCAGGTACCGCGACATGGATCTGCAACCAACAGAGGAGAGCAAGGGCAAGGGCAAGGGCAGGGCCGTGCAGCCGTCTGGTTCCTAGGACAGGCCGAACCGGCCTGAGCTCTTGGCATGGCGGGATTTTAGACCTCGGTGGCATCAAGCGCAGTCCGTGACTTCTTTTCCGGATGCTGTTGGAGGCGTTGGAGGCGTTGGGTGGCACGTTTCTTGCATCTTTTTTCTACAGTTGCCTTGTCGCCCCTTTCTAGTGTTGATTGATGGAAGGGCCAAATAGAGACATTTGGCCGAGAGAGCCATAGAGCGTGTGTCTCGCCCATCGGTCTCCACTGGGCTTCGACATGAGCTCTGAAATGCAATCCGGTTCGATGACTTTGCTGGTTGCCTTTGCACAGGACCGAAAATCACCCGACGCAGTCTTCCTGCAATCCGGTCAAGGCAGCTGGTGGCTCGTCAAGGCCGCAACACGAGGCGATGGACGGCAAGGGCTTACGCCGACCCGGGCTCTGGGCCTCTTATCCAAGGCACGCACGTATTGCAGTTGCGACAACGGCCAAGGTGCTTGGTTGTCTCTGCGGGACCCGGCTCGACTTGACGCGCGTCTGTTTAAGGCTGCGCCAATCCGAAAGCGGAAGAACGTGATTGATAACGGACCCAAGTACTCGAGTCACGTGGTGAGTGAGGCTTTGACCGCAAGTTGCTGTGTGGCAACACGGTCGCCATTGGCCATTGCGTCATTTAGGTAAAAGCCGCGTAAAAAAGGACTGTCGTTAACGACAGCAATATCAAGCCAATACTGTACTGTCTCAAACGTGGTGACGGGCATTTTTAGACCAGGAGACGGTAGTTGCCGGTGAATGTGGCTTACAGACCGGGGAGTATGTACGTACTTGAATTTTTCAAAACTACCTACCTACTTACGTACTAGGCCCTGATGCCGGCGAAACGTCGACCCAGCCAGGGGTAGGTAGGCAAGGCGGGAGGGATGCCGGCCGGACTTTTAAGTTTATGGCTACTTTTTATGCCATGCCCTCCGGCTTGAGATTTGCCTAGACGTTTTGGATCACGTCCTCGGGCGGGGCGCCTTCGGCGAGCCCCGGCCCGCAGCCGGCCGGCCCAGCACCAAATTGTGAGGTTCGCGACATTGCCCACCTCACGTTTTTCCATTGACCAGTCGCGAAAGAGTACTTGCTTGAACTGACGCGATGCCCGGGGACGCTCCTGTTACATACACATCAAGCATCACAAGGCAGAGCGGAAGCTTGCCAACGAGTCGTCTCGCGTCTACACTAGCCAGCCGCCTTTCCGCATTGCCTAGTGCCTTGTCGGCAAGACATGCGGAGCCCTTGACTCGTGTGTTGAGGAAACCCTGTCCGTGACGAGATTGGCGAGACCACGGTGCCCCGTACTTGAGTAACTAGTACATAGTTTGTGTCTCACTCCATGACAGGCTCGTAACTCGGTACTCGGCACCACAAGGTCAAGGTCCCCAAATCCCGTACTAGCGACTCAAGCGCTTATAGACCCGAGCAGTAGTGATAATGGCGAGCATCTCAACAGCCGATGACGCATAGCTCGTCCGCCTCGGCAAATTAGGCAGCCAACTGCTTGATCAGTGACAGAGGCATAGCGAGGCCCGAGGACGCCGCTCACAGCCGCCTCTGGGAATAGCGTCAACGAGGACCACGCGTTTCAGGGCCGCAACACGTGCGATGCAGTCCAGAAAACGTCGGCACCTCTGTCGTACGGTTTCTCAGCGGAGCCACGTACCTCATGCGGAGGATTTTACTGGCCCAGTCCTCAGTCCCGGTCGGTTGCCAGAGATGGACGGACCTTTGCACGTTCAAAGGGATGGCCTCGCGGGCAAGCAAGGGGGAGGGGAGGGGGGCTTTTTCCTCAATAAATGGCCAGACGCTCTTGCGATTCCTCGGCGCATCCGCAGCTCTCGAGCAGTCAGCACCTGCTCTGTAACTTGCATTCCGGTGGTGATTTTGGATTGAAAACTCGGACCCTTGTGCCCCGTGCCTTGTGGCCCCAAGCCGAGAAAGACGTTCCGACGGCAAGAAATGCCTGTAAAGTAATGGATGATTCTCCGCAACATGGAGCAAGCCCAACCCCCACATGCCGGACATGACAAAAGCAAAGCTCCTAGTCGCCAGAAGCAGAAGCAGCGTTTAAAGCACGTCACGTCCTTTGGACCTGCCGATGCCATGAACCAGTCTCGCGTGGCCAAGTCGTGCATGCAATGCAGCAGCCTTGTCAAAAGAGGTGGTGACAGAGACATTCGGGAGATACGGAATGGCCTGACCGGCACTTGGGGACGGGGGTCCGGTGTCTTTGTCTTGGGAATGTGTCGAAATTGGCAGGCGCCGGGATGAGAAAGCCCGGCTGGCCCGGCTGGCCGACGGCGCTGGCCGTCGATGCTGGCTCCCATTTGACGCCGCTTTTTGCGTACTTGGATGTATGTAGTTACGTAACGGAGTTATGTATCCCAAGAGAAAAGGTGGGCCCACCGGCTGTCACACCAAAAAAACGGCACCACACGATTTTGTGTGTGGTACTCGAGTACGCGACAATTGTTCAAGGACCCCGACAAACGTGCCAAGGAAGCGGGCTTCCAGGTAGGTTCCTCTTCCAGAACAACATGACTCTGGATTTGTACCTGACGGATTGTTTGGCAGTTGGTCGACAGGAAAAAGTAGGCCAATCATGTGTCCCGGCGACACACGTGTACAACATCGCGCACCTCACTCACACAGCGCAGGCCACAACCCCCCCGAGGGGATAATGCAAAAAGTCTAGTCATAAAGAATAAAAGCCCGGCATCCCTCCCGCTTTGCCTACCCCTAGGTCAACATTTCGTCGTCGTCAGGGTCTAGTTGCAGAGAGAGAGCCGTGGCATCCGTCTTCCATCAGGTCATATCCCTGCTTCTACCTGACTCGTCGCTGGGTTCCTGTCACGGCCTGACTCGTTATCATCTAGTTGAACCCCGGCGCCCGCGTACGCGCTGCGTAGCTCTGGCCCCTTCGTCGTCGCAGACCGTAAGCCCCTGTCTGGCAATGTCTCCTCCGGCACAAAAAAGCTCCAATTTGCATCTCCCGTCTTTTCGCCTACCCTCCACCACGTCCTTATAAGCCGTTGGCGGACACTTGAGAGGGCGACTTTGGTGGCAACCCCAACGCAGAAAAACACATCTGATTATGCTGCGATCCGCGTTTCTATTGCCCTCCTGGTGTCGTATTTCATGTCTTGGATTGATTGTGTTTCTTCTCTTGGCAGGGCTCGCGCTTATAGAGCGGGACGGAGGTCTGTTCCATGGCGCGCTGGGCGACTCGAGCACCGTGTCATCAGGATTCTTGTCCAAGTTTAGGAAGCAGCCTGGAAGCCCCCAAGCCAATGGTGCGTATTGTACTTGAAAAAACGTCCATCATGTGTATGCTGCCGTGGAAATGCTGACAAGTCTCGCGTGCGCATAGGCATTATTCTGAGCGCCGCCGACATCTCGTCCTACAGAGATGCAATATTCAACACTAGCTCGAAAACGCTTGACCGCCTCGAATGCCCTGCAATAAACGCCACTCGCTATCAGACGCTGAAACAAGTCGCTTCTTCCAGTGCCAAAATCGAATACGTCTTCCCGCTGAATCTGCGACAGAACCTGCCTCTTCTGCCCACCCTTCTTGGTTCCATAGTAGAAGCCATTCGATTTCTGGGCCCAGAACGTTGCGCCCTGTCCATCGTCGAAGGCAACTCTCCCGACGGCACCTTTGAAGTACTCGAAGCCATACGACCCGACCTCGAACGTCTTGGCGTTAGCTACTTCTGCCGGACGACAGCCCTCAACCCGTCCCAAGACGATCGCATCGAGAAGCTCGCGGCCCTCCGCAATGCGGCTCTCCAACCAGTCCTTGACATACCTGACATGCTGTCCCCGTCGTCTACAGTCGTCTTTCTAAACGATGTATTGGCCTGCGCCGAGGACATTCTTGAATTGGCCCTCCAGCTACGCCTGCTCGGTGCCGACATGACGTGCGCCATGGACTGGGAAATAACGGAGCCGCCTCGTTTCTACGATGTCTGGATCGGAAGAAGCATTTTAGGAGATACTTTCTGGGATATTCCTGCGAATATGAGCTGGGACAAAGCCTTGGACCTGTTCTCCAACGAACCGGAGACGGCCAAACGATTCGGGCATCACCTACCGTTCCAGGTGTTTGCCTGTTGGAACGGGGGCGTCTCGTTCCGAATGCAGCCGCTTTTGGAAGGACTGAGATTTAGGGCTCCTAATTTTACCGCCGGCGAGTGTGTACAGGGAGAGCCACAGCTGTTTTGCGCCGAGCTGTGGTATCGAGGCCATGGTAAGATTGCCGTCGTTCCGGCCGTAAATTTCGGATATTCGAATGGGGGTTACGACTATATAAAGAAGAACGTTGGCTTCGTGTCGGATTGGGTCAGAGACCAGTCCCCAACCACCTCCCACATTAACTGGGTTGGGCCGCCAGATGAAGTAAAATGCATCGAGCCATGGTCCAAGCAGTTCTGGCAGCCCTGGAATGCGGGCTTGGAGGCGAGGCAGTAATGAAGGCGAAGCACCATGTAAGTTTAGACGATAAAGCCGGCGCAAAGAGGAGTTGGGCATTGGCTGACCCCCCTTGATTAGACGAGATCAAAAGACACCCAGGCAGGCTCATCCTTTTCCCTCCTTGTTACCAAGTGTCTGTCAACTGGTAAAAGCGCAGTGTTCCGTCTGCAGAGTTTGTGGACTCCATGGCCCTGGTGATGATGATCGGTTCAATCTACCAAAGCAATCTCCAATATGTGCGAGCGGGAATTTATCCCGCACGCAGCTGTTTGGCTTGTTTCCCCGAAACTTCTGTCAGAAGCTGAACGACGGACTCGTGTTTCCGCTCTGCTGCTGCCGACAGGGGCGTGTAACCGTCGTGATCTGTCGAATCCATGTCCGCCTTTCCCGTTTCTAGGAGAAGCCTGACAGTAGGCCCGTCACCACACGAAGCAGCAGCCAACAGCGGCGTGCATCCTGTACGGTCCCTAGAATTGATTTCGACTTTTCCTGTCGCCAGAAGCAACCTGACAATGAAATCATGGCCCTTGGCCGCCGCCAACAGGAGGGGAGTCTGGCCGTCATTGTCTCTCGAGTCAAACTCGACCGTCTGTGACTGCAGCAGACGCTCGACGATGGGTTCGTGTCCTTGAAATGCCGCCCACGAAAGCGGTGTGCGACCAAGCTTGTCCCTCAAATCAGCTGCGGCAGGCCCCGCGTCTAGAAGAAGCTTGAAGATGTACTCGTGCCCTTGATGGGCTGCAGATGACAGCGCGGTGTGGCCATTGTTATCCTTGGAGTCAAGATTGGCCCGTCCGGAGCGCAAGAGAAGCTCAACGATGGACGCGTGACCCTCGTATGCGGCCCACGACAGTGCCGTCATGCCGGCCGAGTCCCGTGCATCGACCTTGATGTTTCTCGAGTTGAGCAGGAGCCTGACGACGGATTCGTGGCCCCTCGCGGCGGCTGATAGTAGCGGTGTGTCGCCGACAATATTTTTCAGGTTGACTTTGGCCGTTCCCGAGTCCAACAGAAGCTGGACGACCGATTCGTGGCCTTGATACGCTGCCCATGATAGCGGCGTGCGTCCTCCCGTGTCGCGTGAGTTCGCATTAGCCTTGTTTGAGTTGAGCAGAAGCTCGACCACATGGTCGTGCCCCCTGGCTGCAGCCCACGACAGGGGCGTGCGGCCTTGTTCATCCCTGAAGTCAACATTGGTCGTGTCAAAGTCTAGCAGTAGCCTGACGACTTGCTCAAGCCCGTTCATTGCTGCCCATGCCATCATGGTGCGGCCATCCTTGTGCGGCCTGTCAACGCTACTCGGTCCCGGTTTCATGAGCAGCTGGACAAGAGACTGCTCATCGGGCAAGGAAGGATCCAGTTTTGACAATGCATCTATTGCATCGTGCAGCTGGCAGGCGTGGCTCGTCATGGTTTCTCCCATGGCGGCGTCCTTGGCCAGAAGACAAGTATCCCTCGCCATGCGAGAAACCAGAACCTCGACCAAATCTTGTCTACCTCGTTCTCCCATGATAGCTTTGTAGTGTTGGTATCTTGCGTTGTTTGGCGCCCGGGAAACCTCCAGAACCACATCTTGCAAGGCCTGTGCGTCGATGCTGCAAGTCTCGAGCGCGCGTGCAGAAGCAGCAGCGTACTGCGACCGACTTCCTTGTTGCGTATCTGCGGCCCTGAGGGCATTCAGGACCAAGGTGAGGGCTTGACCCGCTTCATGGAAGGCGGTTGGGAGGGCTTCGTCACCACGCACAGCCTTGAAATGCCCAGTGGAGATTTTGACAGAGTCGATGATGTCGGAGACCAAGTCCCCGGCGCTGCGGCTGTCCATATCTGTGCTACTAGGGAGTCCCAAGGCCTTGGCAGTACGAACTGAAGGGTTGACAGGAATCGTGTCGGAGCAATATTGAGAGGTCCAGGCAAGTTGAGGAGCACAATGTCGGTCATGTAAAGTTGTGCCCGTCGTTGCCTCCTGACTCGTGCCACGCTCCACTTTAAGACCAGACCAGCTCCACCCGTTTCCAAAACCGACGTTATTCCGTAACTTCTAATCCAGAGCGCGGACGGACTCGGTACCTATTAGTTATAGACCTATACGTCTATGAGAGCTTGGTCCATGCGGGGAGCTGGAGACAGCGGCCGAGAGAAAATTTGAAGGGGCGCGGAACGACGTGGGCTTTGATGACAATCAAGTGACTGCGGTCAGGGGACCGGCCGGTTGGACCGAAGCCGTCTAGACTGCAGAACAGAGTCCCCGCGCCCCTGAAGCAAACAGGCAGCGAGAGATACTTGCTTCCTGCCTGTCTCGACTTGCACGGTACGCGCCGCGCGAGAGTATTCGGGGGTGCATTGTGTTGCCGATTGAACGATTGATGGATGGACTTGGGACGGGCATCCGGCATTCAGGCGCGAGCCATGACGGACAAAGCTTGAGGTCGGACAGAAAGGAAAATGCCACGGCGCCGAACTTTCTCTGGACGTTCAGACAACACCTGCCTGTGTGATGAGTAAGCCGAGTGTGGTGGCAGCCGTCACGCCCTGAAAGGGGTCCGTGTGCCGAGTGAGCAGGTGCGAAGGTCATATTTCAATGTTTGCTCCTAGTTCATTCATACGGTGTGTTTGGTGTGTGATTTATTGTTGTTCATGTCTTGTCAGGAGCGAGTTCCCAGGCCAAGCGGCAGTTGGCAAGGTATGAAGTATTTAAACCCCAGCCCGTACGAGGCACGACGTTGCGGCTGCGGCTCAACTGTCATTATTGGTGGCCGAGACGCAAAACACCACACAGAGCACAGCACAGCAGACCAGACTGCAGCCACTATACGCGCCGTCAGAATGTGTAGTGAGAGCTACGATCAGTTTGTGTGCCCGACGTGCAAAAGACCCGTTATAACGGACACGATTCCCAACCGACCGAGTTGCGACAAGTTCGCAAAATCTGGCAAATCCTGTCCCGGGGAGCCAAAGCCAGTCTTGGTAAAAGAGCATCAAGTCCACTGTTCCGAGTGCAAAAAGGGGCGAAGGCTCACCGTCGAGGAAATCCAGCTGCTTGCATTCGGAGAGTCGGGACTCGTGTCCGCCATGCACCGTCGGAAAAAGGAGAGCGACTCGTCTGTTCCGGGCTGCCGCCGTCGAAATAAAGGACCGCCGGGCACCACTTCGACTGTTCTTGACGATTTCCTACCGCTGTAATTGCATCGTGTATAGGCACACAACCGATGTCACACCGACAAGGCCCCCAACAACGGGGCTGGCCCATCCTGTCACACGCCAGAGGGATGTGAACGCCACGACGTCATGGTGAAGGCTTGACGTCTCGAGTCCAACCAACAAAGGGGCATGGCAGCTGCCTCGGGCCTCTGGGGCCCAAGGAGCTCAACGAGCCAAAGTCAGTGGTTGTATTCGGAATATATTCTTACAAGCCTGGCATGCCTGCACCGCTTGCGACCGGCCAGCAAAGTATGGGGGCACACGCAAGGGTTACAACTATTCGGCTCGTTGCCATGACCGCAAGAATATCGTCGGGTTGAACCTCGAGATTGCCTTATGCGGTCGCCGAAAGGGCAGCATACATTACAACAGGCCATGGTCACACGTGGAACGTGTCTAGCACTCGGCTGTTTCCTCTTTGTCACGACAATGAATCGGAGCAGAACGAGGCAGCTGATGGTACTCTGATGGCAATAGGGCTTGGAGCAGTCTGTCGCTGAAATGATCCAGTCCCCACAACAACTGTCCTCAGATTCCTCACGAAAGCCAAGTACGACAAATGACGCAGGAGGAAGAGGGCAAGCGTTTATATTCCAAGTCAAATGCATCATCGAAATCATCTTCCAGAGTTCTGTCCAGCGGTTCTACGCTGATATATGTGCGTGGAACGGGAGCCGTGTACGAGTATTACAACAGGTCTACGCCCACCCAATCAGGCCCATCTGTAGCTGTGGGGTGGGAAATGAGGCGACCAGGTTGAGCTAGTCGGTGGCTTGCAGATAAAGTCGACCGGGACTGCTAGTGGCAGTTGCATTGTATCATGTTGTGGAATAGCTTATGTTTACATTTACAAGATATTCTATCAACATGATATAATCGAGAAGTACAACATTGTATTGAATTATACCTGAGAATTGTTGAGAACGAGCCTTGCAGGCTTTGTGCTATATGTACTCGTCGCTATTATGACCATAAATTTACGGCGGAAAAAAGAATCGCCCCCCTTTCCTCTTATGCCAGCATTATCTGCGCCGTCTTCCCTCACATAGTCCCGACATGCGCCGGAGTCCTGACACGGGGTCTGTAAGTGTCAATGACAATGCCTGCAGACTCGGGCCCCCATCGTGGGCCGTGGCCTCGTCGTCATCTTGCGTGACTGTTGTTGGTCAACCTCGGTGGTCTTGGTGGTTTGATGGCCTAACCGAGTGACGCCAGACTACTCGACACTCTGAAATTTACTGATCAATCGTCATGTGGAAAGTGCTGGAATTCCTGACGGCACCACGCCCAGGGCAGACCCAAGCCGTCACTTGAAGCCGCATCCCCACGCAGTCGCAAGCCAAGCTGTCCAACAACTCATTTGCCCGAGCGACCACTCGACGGCGATTGGGAAACAGTAAAGCCCGTCGCACCAATTTGGCGTTCGGTCACTCACCCGGCAAGTCGTGCGGTCCCTCCAAAGTCAACGACGTTGCCTTGATTAGTTCGCCTGTGATGCGGCTGCGCAAGGGAGCCAGTCTGACTGCCTCGTGACGGACATGGCTGTTGTACGTCAAGGCGGCATGATTGTGTTGAATGTGCGTAGTTAGAGTAAGAGCATTAGCTGCCGTGCGATTCTCGGGAGAATGTAGAGAAGAATTGACGTATTTCTGCCCGCCTCAGCCACCGAGATCGGCCACACGAAGCCACGATGGAAGGCCGAGCTCGCGGGCACAAAACAGGCGGCGTGGCGTAGATGCCTCAGGACGGCAGACTGCCCCGCTCAAGCACATATATCCAGATTCCAGGCCTTGGGGACTAACTTCCTGGGTCTGATTCAAAAACCCCCAGTGCCTCAGCGCTGCTTAATCGCTTGAACAGATGAAGCTGTTCCCCAGCCCAGTCATCACTGCCCTCGTCGCACTCTGACGCCATTCAGACGGAGCGGATACGTCTTGTCTTACTGCAGACGCCGACGAAAAAAAAAAGCACCAAGGTTACAGCATCAGTGAAGGAGATGCCTCGGGCTTGCGCGAGGAGCCGAACCCTCAGTGACTTGCCCCTCCTTCAGCGGCAAGCTCCCTCGTGCTCCTCGGACTCTCATCCCATCTTCTAGAGGCGCTGTCCGACCGTTGACGTCTTGAACTGGGCCTTGTTACGTCCATGTTTGCTGCCGCCTTCGCCGGCCGGTATGCCTCCGACGACGCCGGAAACGGCCCGCATCCGGCTCGGCCTGCAGTCGCGCAGCCAGCTCTTACAAGCTCCCCACGACATGACGGCGTAGATGATGGCATTCCAGAACCCCTGCAGCGGCAGGACAAAAGCGCTCATGTACAAGAGCGGAACAAGCACGTCTCCCTGGTGGGCCACGGAGTAGGCTCGGTTCGCGCTTGACGGAATCCACGTGATGAGAATGGCCGTAAAGAACAAAAGGGCGCACTTGGCATAGGACGAAGCCGCGTTGTTGAGCTCGTGGACGCGTCGTCTCGCGGACCTGGAGACTCTATGCGGCGCACCCTGTGCCGTGCCCGCGTGGCGAACGGTTCCGTCGGGAACAGGAGGCACGAGCTGCTCGTCGGGGACCGCCGACGACCCGGGCGAGGACGTGCGGACAGGACAGGCGCTGTTGGCGCTCTGGGAATCGCCCCCGGAGAAGGAGGCGAGCCTCCGCACGGGGACGGGACGGCTCGCAGACTCGGCAGCGGCTTCGGGGGCCGCCGTGGCCTCCTCTCCAACGGCGACGCCAGCTTCGCCCTCGACGCGTACGGGGTCGAGATCCGACGACTGCAGGGCGTACAGCTGCCGGCGCTTCTGGTAGATGGTGCGGCCGGCCCGTACGTAAATCGACAAGGTGACGAGGATGACGACCCTGTCCGGACACGAAGCGCAGTCAGCAGCCTGTCGAGCGAAAATGAAAATGCGCGCCCACGGAAGCAAGACAAGCGCTCACCACACCGGGCCGTAGAACGTGGCAACGCGGAGAACATCGTAGTCGGTCGAAATCCAGCACCACAGGGTTGCGTTCCCGTAAATGCGCTGCCCGAGCTTGTTGCGGGCGAAGAGGAAGGCGAGGGCGGGGACGGAGGGGATGCCATAGCAGCCGAGCAGATAGCACAGCTCCATGTTGCGGAGGCGTTGCGCGTCAAACCTGTGGTAAAAGGTGAGGTATACGTTGACGGCCATGGACAAGGTCCAGAAGGCGTCTGCAGGCATGAAGCTGGTTGGGGCGTTAGTAGTACAATTCACGGGGACAGCCAACGGCTCATGTGTATGCAGTCTCGGGTCGCGTACAGCTGAAGCAGGAAAGCCTGGAGGCGGCAGCCGAACGAGTCAAGACGATGCAGGTAGGAGACGGACATGATGGTGCCAACGTTGGCGAGCATGTTGCCGAGGGAGGCGTAGAAGACGATTCGGTTGATGGGCTTGCGGAAAGCCGCCGACGAGCAAAAGGTGACGATGATGAAGACGCAGCCCAGGAGCGAGAGCACCGAGCACGTCCGCTCGATGACGCAAATAGCGTTGAGCTGGTCCTCGCTGAGCTGGCCATCACTGAGCCGGCCCATGGTCGTTGCGTCGTTGGCGAGCGCAGTGCCAGCGACGTCGACCGCCGATGGGTGTCAAGACTGACTTGGTCCGGTCTGTAACAGTTCAAGGCGGATGCGCCCAGAACGGCTGCCGCGAAGGCGCTTGATATTGCCCCGGAGCCGTGCCGTGCTATCTGACCCGCGAGTCGTCATGTAGATGGCGTCCGGGGTTGGACCTAGAGTCTCGACAAGTCAAGAATTAAATGGCCATCTTATAGTTCACGAGTCGAGACACTCGCGGCTAAATGGAAAGCGGGCTCCAGTAGTAGTAGCCTTGCCGACGACAAAACTGCATGGGCACAAGGGGGTTCCGCGAGACATGGCTTTGTTGATCATGATGCAAGAATCAACCGGGATGATGGAGCGGCGCACACAGCTTCGCTCCGGCTCAATACAAAATCGTCTTCAGCATAGCCGGGCCCGGGTAGAGGGATCATGACGGCGGGCTGGCAGGCTGATTGATGTCTTTTGACAATGTAGCATGCGGCACTCTGTTTTGTCGACCGAGAAAAAGAGGCTGTACGTTTTTGGAGGCAAGCGGTTCAGCCAGCCATCTTGAATGAGCGTCCAGAGTCTCTTGTAGGCTCGCGGGAGTCCCAGACGCCACGGTGTCGGCCCTACCCTGGTCCCAACGTGGACAGCCACTTGCCATGCTCCGTTGTCGAGAGGATCGAGATGGCAGCTTGATGATGAGGTCAAGATGGGAACCGAGTCGACGTCTGGACACGGTCAAGGAGGGGGCCGGGAGTCTTTTGCGAGCCGGCACATGCGAAGAACCGGCAAACACGCAACCGTGCCTGGCGAGGGGAAAACATTGACCTCGAATAGACAAACACGACCCAGGGCACTCAGTCAGCCCTCGGCAACAAGTCCATCTACACCCCTGGGTGCTTGATAAAGATGGACCTTGTTCCGGCTCCCACAACCGGCACGCGCCCAAGGGACGGTTGCCTTCTACCCGTTCACAAGTAAAGGCCCGACATCCCCTCCCCCCCTTGTCCCAAGACGGCGGAACTAGATGTAGATCTACGCCATATTCCAACGGAGGAGGCGCAGACAGCTCTCGGGCTGCATTCCGCCAGCCCGGCCGGATGGGACGGCCAATAACAGCAGGGTCCTCGTGCCACATCATGACGCGAGTCGCCGCATCTGCTTGGGGATCTTGATGCTCGGCCTTGAGTAGAGCTTTCATCTTGCGTGAGCTATTTATTACTTGGCCCGCACGCAAAGGTGGCTTGTCTGTCATGTCGCCGAGTTTTCGCCATCGCACCACATGGGGAGGAGAGACGGCGACCCAGAACCATGTCCCTTGACAGGTTGATCCTGCATTCTCAAAAGCTTAGCTCGCCGTGGGCTTGCTTGCGCATGACGGCCAGCCGACGGGGACAGCCTGCCCGTTGCAGTTGCCCTCGGACACGATGGTGTCGACGACCTTGATGCGCCGCTCGTGACCGCTCGGAACGTTGTTGGTCTTGGTGTTGATGCAGTTGATGGTGTTGGGGCCATTCTTGCCCATGTCGTCCTCGCCAACGCCGGTCTCGTCGTGGGGGACCCCGGGAGGCGGGAGGAGGACGGGGATGTCTGTCCTTGACGGGCTGGAGGAGATTTCTTCCGTGCAGGACCTGGTATTGCGTCATGTTGGCGACGGATTGGACAAACCACCCTGTTCGAGCGTCCGGGCCGGTGACACGTAGGGTTGTATGTGGTTGTGGCGTGACGTTTGAAAAGCTTACACGGCAATGCTGCGGCGAAGCACGACCGAGGCCGCCTCGAGATCTGCCAGCAAGGTCATGCTATATATCCAGAGCGCTGCAACTGGCGAAGGTCCGAGTTCAAGCCTGCAAGGTTCGTCCGTGTCCGAGAGTGACCGGTATCAGGGGGCAAAAACTTGGTTCGACCTGCGCAGGTCTTCGTCGTTCAGCACGCCACAAAACCTGTGTCATGTCAAGAGCAGCATGGCGCCAGCTGCAAGCGGCTTCTCTTGGTCCATGTGAGCAATCAACATTCAGCCAGACAACGGTACGTCCTCGGCCTGGTCTACCTGCGACTGTCTGTCTTCATGTTGGCCGCGTCAGTCATGCTATTCGAAGCAGGAAAACGTGCTGCAGCTCTCTGAGCACCCAGCCGCCAAGCTGTGCTGCCACAGATGCCGAAAGCGCCCTCCGACGAAGCTACAACACAAATCGACGACCCAGCCATCGTCTTGCTCCGACCCGCGGTACTCGCATGAGTCCAGCTGCGTTGGGCGGGCGTGCTCGACGGCAACGCGGGACGATGCCTCTTTCCAGGCCGTACTTGCAGTCGCCACAGCAAGGCACCGACAGTATCCGACGAGTCGACGACGAACTGCCGTGTCGTCATGGCTCGGGGGTCAAAGTCGCCGACAATATGCTCGTCTTTCCAGGCCATTGTCACTGTGCCTTGGTCCAGGCCCAACGGGCCGGCCTGATCAACATTTAAGACCCAAAGCCTCTCTCCACAAGCACAAATTCGAGGGGAAGTGAGACCCCGTCATAGTTTGCCCGGAACACGTCTTCCTCTCCTCCTCCACATGGGCCGTTGGAGCTACACTTCATCCTTCATCATGCCCCCCTACGTAGGACTGCCCGAGGTCGACGCGGCGTCTGTACTTGAAGGCCGCGCCACCGCGCTCGCGGAAGCCGAAGTGACAAACGACTACGGGACCCCGAATCTGCTCTTCCTCTACTACATCCCGCCCATCACGGACGAGCAGAGGAACGACCTTGAAGCTGCCAAGACGGAGCTCCAATCGTGGAACGCCTGGGAGCTCTCGGCCGCAGAGGACCAGGTCCAGAAGCAGCTGCGGAAGGGGACTCTCCCCGGCGACGACTCAGCCGAGTCACGAGCCAGAAGAACAAACTACCGCGCCCAGGTCGTGACGTATCTGCGCGAAAACAGCGAGAATGCATGGTATGCATGGCCATCCCCCCTCAAATGCGTTGTCTGAAAGGGAGAAGGAGGCAAGCAAGCAAGCAGGCAAAAGCAGAGGTCCTGACACGGCTCCAAGGTTGGGTCCTACTCAGTCCCCCCAAGACGACGCATTCAACCAAGTGGTGAAGAAATCAGAGGTCAACGGCGTGATTCGCAGAGTCCTTCGAGACCACTACGCCGCGAAACGGAAACCCCGTCAAATGTCCGTGGCTGTAAACATCCTCAGCGACGTTGCTGCCTCGAATCCCGGCTCGGCAAACAACAAGTTCTACTTGACGCAAGTATTCTACAACTGGGACGCCACGGTGCGTGGGTTTCGACCAGGTATGCGTGCAATCCATATCCATCCCCTTCAGGGAGCCAGCCGGGGGGGCGTTTGTGGTTTGTGGTTGGTTGACACGCTCAACCAGACATCCAAGTGTCGTCACTCTCCGTCACCCAAACACCAGACCGAGCAGAGGAGGACAGCGTCGCTCTCAAGGTGGAGGTTTTGGACTCGGTGTTTGTGCTGGACAGGGCTGGGTGGAACGAGGCCAGCGGCGGCACGCAGGCCGCCATCCGGGCTGGCGAGAAGATTCGCAGGGAAATGGCTCTCGACTTTTACCTGGAAACATGAGCCTAGCCTCGGAAAGAGAGACGAGACGTTCAATGTGTTTAATAGTTGCCGCTTGGCACGTGCCGATGATGCCATGCGTGGATAGATACTGCTTGCTGTCCGGCTGGGCGCGTGGTCCGATCTGACTCGGCAAAAAACCGATACAAAGTCGCAAGGAAGTAAAGGGACATGCGGTGCCCATGGAACAGACACCAGAGAGTATCTGCTACGGACTCGACCAGGCCCGTGTGACGTCGCAGATCTTTTCCATAGTAATTATCACCGCCGTCGGCTGTGCCGGCATCGACAGAACAACATGAACACTACGGCCAGCTCTGCACGGCAATTATCTTGGCGACAAGACGTACAAATCCTTTAAATTTCTAATTCACAAGGCAAATTTGTACAGGAATTAAAAAGGTCAATCAAATGGGCCGCCAAAACAGCTCTATTGCGACAGTAAAATATCAGCTAGGCGTTGCGTGTCTCCCGCAAAGCTTTCGATTCACACAGCTAAACTCCCCGTACCAACTTTGCCTGCTTCTGTTGAAGTGTGCCATGTTATTAAATACATTTGATTGGGGGGTTCAAGAATTAAAAAAGAAGGGCCATTGCAGCCAAGAAGACGAGGGCCACGGATGCCGGCATGGTGCCAGCAGAAGCGGCACTGACGATGGGAGGCAGGTTGGCGCCATCGGTGTTTGAAGGAAGACCGGCAGAGCCAGAGAGGGATGGCTGGAATAGTCCAGCGGCATCGCCATCGGGCTTGACACCAGCCCCGGAGCTGCTGGGGATAGAGTTGTCCGAAATATCAGCCTCGGAGCTGGGACCGGAACCCGAGCCGTTGGAGCCGACGGCCTCGGGGCTGCTCGGGCCGGAACCTGAGCCAGCGGAGCTCACAGTATTGGGGCCGACGCCAGGAACCAGGCTGTCCGATTTCTCAACACCGGGAGCAGCACCGGGGAACCAGGCTGTCCGATTTCTCAACCCCCGGGAGCAGCACCGGAACCTGAGCCTTGGGGCTTCTCGACTTTGGGGCCAGCGGGCATGTCATTGTTGGACTGGCCGGGGACGCCCTGGCCATTGCCGCCGACGGGCTGAGGGGGGCTGACGTATCGGCATTGACAGACCTTCTGGATGTTCTCGGTCGGGACGACGACGCTCTTCTTTTCCACGTCGTTTTCAGGCGCCTTGGGAAGATCCTTGGGAGCAGAAGGCAGTTCCTTGGCCTCGCCCTCGCTGATGCGCGTCTTGTTGCCTTCTACCGCCATGGGGACTGTGCATACAAACTCGCAGCCACCCCCTGGCTTGGCGACCAAGTGGCACTTGGCGCAAACGTACAGGCCGAAGACGGCGCCGTCCGGTTGTTGCTGAGCGGCGTAGGTGTAGATCCATTGAATGCCGGTTGGGATGATGGGACCGTTGCCCGCCGACACGCCGGGAGCAGTCGCGTTGACCGTAGAATTGGACGTAGAGACGGTGGCATTCAGGCCTTCGTCTTCACAACCGTCCAGTGTTGCGCCTGCATTTGCCGTGGAATTGACGTCTGGGCCCTGGGCGTCGCTGATGCCATACTCGGCCTTGACGTACGCGTCTCTGTAAGACGTCTTTACAACGGGCGCTTTGCAGTAATTGTTGTCCAGCCGTTCATAGACTTCCTTGTACTTGTCCTCGTCCGCGGGTGTGCGCAGACCTTTGTCCGTCAAGCACTGGAAGCACGTATCCTCGAGATCGAGGACACTTGGCTTCTCGCACAAAAAGTCCCTCTGAGCCCCAAGGGTGTTTTGCTTCCCCCCCTCCTCCACGCGCTGTGCCAGAAGGTCGCAAGGCCCCCCTGCCTGGGTGCACTGATTTGCCGCGGCCTCGATATTGACGTCCTGTGCTGAGGCTACGGACAGCATGCCCGCAAGGGCGAGAACGGTGGGAAGTGCAAGCATATTAGACGAGCGAGTGGCACAAAGATGCGAGAACAAAACAAGCCGCGTTGTTAGAGAGGGAATGTAGATGGTGTCTGGATTCCGGCGAGTGTGCAGTGAGCCGGCGAGACGACCAGTATTATATACGTGCGTTTATCATATGCGGATGGACGCCGCCCTCGCCACGCACGCACAGCGTGAGGTGAGATGAGATGAGCCTCGATTCCATTTCAAGTCCAAGTCCAAGCCCTCCCTGGCTAGTCCTGCGCATCCCGGTGCCATGCCCACGGCACTCTGCGCGACTGGGGCTTGCATGAATGCAAATCTTACTGGACCCGGCATTTCCTTGTCGTCCCGGCCCATGCAGGCGGACACACAGGCATGCGTGTGCATGTCATGTCATGTGTATGAGCATGGACCGCACCTTGTTTGATTGTTTGATTGTTTGTTTGTTTGCCTCGCGCTGGCCCGGATGGAGGACGACATCGCAACGTTACTCGGACGCCATGCTTGACGCCTGCCGGGCCACGCTTTGCCGTTGAGCTCCTTGCGAGTCGCCGTGGAGGTGCTCGCGTCCGCCCCTCGCCCGAGCCAAGGGATTAAAATTACCCGTGGGTAAGTAAGTAGGTTTCCGGCACTCTGGTCTGTCATTGTCATGACAAGCGTGCCAGGGGAGGGAGGGAGACTCGGCCTTTGGCCCGGGGTGCCGGCGGACAATGTGTCCACAACAACAACCCTTCCGCGTGTTGTCGAGACTCGAGACTAGACAGCCAGGTACCAGTTGACTCGTGAAACTCGCAGAGCAAAGGTGCCCAGAATTCGTTCGGCATGGACATGCGTGGCACCGCGTGGACGGCGCGCCGAGACCAACAACTTTGGACGGCGTCGGAAATCACCACCACCCACCCGCCGTCTCCCTCTTCTTTCTGTCTCCTTTCTGTCTTCTTGGTGCCGTCAGCCCGACAAGGAAGCCGCATGTCACAACTTAATCTCACAAACCTTCTTGTCAGGCCACTCGTGAATAAGCTTCACCGGGGTCAGCCTGCCGCGACGAGGCAATGACACGATGACGCGAGCGAGAACCAGGTGCTCCCCGGGAGGGAGGGCTACTCTAACACTCGGCACCCGCTGCTGCTGCCGCTCCCAACACGGAACAAGCGGAGCCAGCGATAAACATAGTTGCGCGGCCCTGCTGACGAGTCGGCGGCGTCATTTCGTCATGACCTTCCTTTCTAGCTTCTGTCCTTGTTGCTGCGGCCAGCCATCCAAGCTCTTGGGACCTGCGCCGGCTCCTTCGGAATCATGCTCGGCCTCTCTTCTTGACCCTCGTCTCCCGGTGGCGTCAGGGACAGGCACGGTACTCGACTTGGCACGGCGTATTCCGTTGTCGTGTCGGGTCGTGTTCCCCTGGGACCCCTTGCATTGCCACTTTGCAGCTTGGCGACGAGGGTCATGAGTCGTGGCCTCGCTCAAGTCGTGTATTGGGATTTCCGACGCCCCAGTCGACGAGGCGCTGTCGTGCCGTTGAATGACTCGCTCGCCGCCGGCAGGGCAGGGCAGGGCAGGACACACGGTATACTCCGTACGTCGTGTCCGCATCCGACGGTGGCAATAACGCCCAGGATGGCGTCCTTCAAGGCTGCTGCCGGCACTTTGCCCGCTTTTCATCACACTCGTGTCGTGTCGTGTCGTGCCGTGCCGTGTCGTGCCTGTCTTGTCCCTCTGTCTGACGTGCTCCAGCTCTGTGCCTCGTGACTCTGTCAAGTCGAGGGCCCGCAGTCCGCCGAATTGCCATTAATCTGGTCCATGTTTATTCCGGCCGATGCCCTCCAAACAGCCAGAGCTTCGTTGGGCGAGGGCAGACGACTGGGTGGACGGCAGAAACCCACGACATCACAGCCACCTGGGAATAGTCGACACGTCTTGAAACACTTGTCTTGACCATGTGCCGATTTCTATTGATCGTTTCGTGCAACTCGACACGAGCAGGGACCTGTAATGCCAGTCTCGTCAAGGCCCTCCATGGTTACGCGGTCGTTGCATGTGACGTGACGTGACATTCCCTGGCGTTGAATATCAAAGATCAACGACAAGCGCACTGCGACTAGAACTCGTGACAAGATTTCACATGGACGCTACTTGGCAGGGAAGCATCTAGAATTTTTCACTCCTCCCTGTGGAGAAACACTCGGTAGAACTCTTTAGATGGGAAGAACAAACCCTTGTTTGAGGCCAACCTACCCGGCGGGGGACGGCATGTTTCACAGAAGAAACAAGGTGTACTAGCCAACTTGAAACCTCGATAATTGATGTCGAATCCGTCTGTCCGCCTGCCGGGCTTGCCCTTCCGTGTGCGGCTCCTGCACGTGGCCTGTGAGTTTGGGCTCGGTCGTGACATGCTGCAAAAGTGTATAACGCTGTTATAATGTCTTCCGTGAATGATGTTCTGACTGCCAGTCGTCAGGGCATTATCAAGCTGTTGTTTGCAGGACAAGCAGAGCACGCCCATTCTCGAGTCGTTTCTCAGCATCATCACATATAGGTAGTATAGCAGAAGGATGACGCTAGAGGAGTAGGGAGCTAGAACCACGTCTCTTGAGCCTTTCACACTTGTACGCCACCTAATCAAGGGAGCTCCTGGAATCCAACTCTCCTTTTGAATCTTCTACACTTCTACGCCGCATTAGTCAAGGGGAGCTGCCGGAACCGTGACTCTTTCGGGCTTCACCATAACCTAATAGGACAGCTTATAGAGGTCGTCGACAAGGACCTCTATTCCAGCCAACCTGCGGTCCCAGGGTTTTGTAAAAGGTTACTGCCACAATAATCAACTACGTCGATGAAGAAGTAGTGATTTTTGACATGACAAGTTGGCTTTGAAGCGGGTTCCGTAGAGAATAGAGTTGCTCTTGCGTTTACATACTTGATTTTGATTTGATACTTGCTATCTTTTATCTTGTACCAGCCTTGGCTCTTGGTGATTAACTACTCGAGGCTATATAATCAGAGATTATGTTGTACACGCCGGCAAGCTTTATCAAGGTCTCCAGTTTAGAAGGAACATTCATGCCAATGTTTAAAGTCTCCTTGTCCGGTACGCTGCGACACACATACCGTCGACTCCGGGCCGTAATATAGAGCGGCATAGTCTGCCCGTCAGGCGACCACGTCTGCAACCAACGAGCCTTCATTCCTGCAACGACTCGCGCCGTCTTGTCGGGTTACGGGCCAACCCCTGGGCCACGACGAGGGAAGTGATATGAGGCTTGGAGGGACGAGACGTCTCGCCAAGGGCGTTGAGCTTCGCCTACAACGCTACATCTGCTTTGTGCCTCCGCGGCTGGGATACATGTCGAGTTCCGAGCCGACGTGTGTCTGTGGAAATTCAGCCATTTCGATCAACGATACATGTCGACTTCAGATACCGTGATAATGCCATGTCGCTCACTTTTATCATCACTATATGGATGAGCGCTGGGCACAACTCTTGGAGCCTCTGCGCGGTTTTCTTGCCGAAACCGGTTATCACAACGCCCAGGTGGACTTGGCTCTGCGGTCTTCCCTGATCGTCCATGGTTCCAAACGGGGACTACATCGTTCCAAGCGGGACTACAAGCCAGTGTATATGTGTACACGACGACGAATTTCCATCCTTCCTGCCGTGCTGACTTGCTTCTAGAGCACGCCATAGTTTAGTAACATCAGCCTTCAGTAAGAATGCAGATGAGCCGACTATTAGTCACCGATTCAACCTGACCGGGTTATCTAAACTCCACCGCAGTGCAGTTGGCCGGATAGCAAAGCGCTTCAAGGTTTCAAGATTCACGCCGCGACCCGACGTGCAAGTCGCATGGTGCTGAGACTTGAATATAAAACCAGGCCTCTCTCGCCCAGTGAGCTCTCCTTTGTCGACCTCGTCGTCGTTGAATACCATCTGCATCTCCACCTCCATCTCCATCTACCCCCAGGCACTTTGTGTACTGCTTTCAACCGCCGACATGAAGTCCGCCGTCGTCGTTGCCATCTACGCCGCCGTGGCTGCCGCCAGACCGAGAGCCTCCTATCCAGACAAGCTTGAATGGATGGAGCCCAGCGCAGGCTTGTTCCGGACGCCCCCTGCGCTCCTTTGCACGCTGCCGGAGCGGGACAGTGGCACCGAGCTGTTCTGCCGCTGCTTCGGAAATGAAGCCGAAAAGGGCGAGAACCAGATTGACGGCGAGGAAGGGCGCCAAGAGGCACGCCAGCGTCCCCAGGGTCCTTGGACCAGCGAACAAGACTGCCGGGCTGGCCACAAGAACAGGCCCTTTCTTCTTCCGAACCCAAATGAGGGCCCTTGTGACGAGGAAACCGGTTTCAAAAAGGAGGCTTGCGGGACAGAGGCCTATTGCCAGCAGTACCGGGAGGAGAAGAAGCCCGTCCCCGCCATATTCGACGATTACCTCGACTGCCGTAGAGGTCACGAGCCGGAGCCCGAGTCTGACGATAACTAGGCTTTCTCATTGGCCATTCTACGCTTCCTGCCTGCTGTCAAGTTGGATCCACGGGGCCTACGTCCAAGGCATGCTGTGCCGCCCGAATGTGAAGAGCGGATCACAGAATGGAGGAAGCTTCAGTGCATAGCGGCTTACCTAGAAGGATCTGGGTGCAGACAGGCTCTCTTTTCTTGATTTGTTGCTGCGTGCTACGGCACAAGCCAAGTTGCGGCCTGGATCGATGGAGAGTATTGGCAATGGCAAATCTAGTCATCTCTGTTGAAGCCGGTAGCTAGGCCGTCTTGGTAGTCGACTAGGCATTTGAATTGAATAGCTGGCTTTGCCGGGCGCCTCGTTTCGTAAAGCTGCGTTCTCAACCGGAGCGAGCTCACGAGGACTCGTTGAGAAGTGTCTATGAGCCTGCGCTTGATCGTAGAGAGACTAGGTAGACATTGGCGGTCCGGCTCTGTTTGTCTACTTGTGATTTACTCAAATACTCTGGATGGCTAGCACGAGGACTATACTGACACTTTGATGGGCTTTGTTGCCGCAAGACATGGGCGCGGTGAGCCCGACCAAAAGCCTCCGCGTGCTACTACTCTGTCGGAAATTATTCCTGAGCAAAGCATGCTTGTCCCGCAAATATATTGCTTCCATTGAATCGGAAACCAGATGTCTACTCCACTCCACCCCGGAGCTAGCATTGTGCTGTTTACAGGTTGATGCCATCGTTGCCTCGAAAACCTGCAAAGCCGTGCCTCGCCAGTCTGGTCCGGTCCGTCGGGCCACCATGTGATGAATGTCTACTTGGGGCACAACAGGTCTTTATTGGCCCCCAAGCGATTCACGCGTGAAGAGTCCCCTTGGTACTGAGGACGAGATGAGCCCGGGCGTCGGGATTTCCGCCCCGTGCGCACACCTTCTTCACATTGTCTTCCTCCCAATGTAGGAGTCAGTCTCGTGCTCGATCGAGCCGGCTTGACAGAATGGCGCCTTCCAACGCGGACCGAGGACATACATCGCCCAGGAAGATGTAGATCCCGTGACAATCATGCAGACTCGAAACATGTCGACTGCAACCCAAGCAGCAAAGGTTGCAAGTCCATGCATTTCCACAAACGGACCCGTGACCATGTGTTCGTGGTAACGCAACGCATCGCACCCCATGCCCGAGTACTTGAATACAGACCGTTCCGACGGGTATTGCTGTGGCAATTCCCGCCCGCGCGGTACATTGATAAAGTTGGCATCCATGCAGCAACGTGCCGTGCCGTGCCGTGCCGGTGCTGATCCACGGACGGAAACGACGTCCACGCAGAGGCAGCTCTTGTGAGTTCAGGCGTGTATTGCGCTGAAGCGGTAGACGCGGAAATTTCTACACACGCTGCGTCTACGTCTACAGGCCCATGATGGTTCGTCACTCAACTTGGGCAATATAAGCTTAATTCAAGCCTATATTCAGGGTATGAGTGGCGCGAAAGCTCCGTCAAGGCCGGTTGATTGTCTTTTCGAGCCGCTCGCCCGAGCAGAACACACGATGATCCCCGCCCCAGTCAAATCAGACAATCTGATCCCTATTCTGCGTCAAGAAACAGAGGAAAACAGTCGGAAGAATCTGAGGAAACAACACCAGCCGTCAACGGGCTTGGCAGGCTTGGTCACGCCGTTTATTACATGGTTTTTGCCCATCTTGCCGAACCGACATGCCGAAAACCAAGGCTTCGACAGACTCAAAGAGCTACCAGAAGCGCAATCAACAAGACTTTGGGCAGAAGCCAGGTCTAATCAGGCACTTCTTTTTCAAAATTCAGCACGTCTCTTCATTATAAATATCCCCTCATCCCCCTACGTAGATTGCAAAGAGCGAGCTTCCATGTTCGATAGGAAACACAAACGCCCATCATCGTCTCAGCTGCTTACCGCGACATTTTTGAGTACTGTACCCATCTTTTGTTCTCGTATGATTAATTGATTACATAACTAAAGGCGCTTCATCCTCTTTCATCCCCCACCCCCGATATATCCATCACCATGCGATGCCATCTTCTCGCACTGTTTGCCGCTGCCGCGCTTGCTGTTCCTCAGGGCTATCTCTCGTTTGGTAGTGAGCTGTGGCAGAATGCCGGTCGGCAACTTTGTGCAAGTGCCGGTGTGAGTGAGGACTGTGTAGGAGATTGGTCCCGAACGCTGACAGCCACATTCCGTTTCAACGCATAGACTTCCTGCAGCCCGGATGTGAGGAACAGACCGCCTTTTCATGGTACAGAGACGTCTTTCTGACATTTGGTCTAGGCCTCCAACTGCTGCACGGGCCGTTGCTGTGAGCTTGGCTCTGCGAGGAGCTTTGTCTGCGGAGGAATTGTAAGCTGCATCCTTACAGCTTGAACAGGCACGGATTCAGCTGACAGACCCCCTCCTAGTGTTGATGTCCATATTGCGCTTGCTGAGGGGGGTTGTTGACGAGCTCACCCTCTTCTGTGGCACTGGAAGGAGGACCAGCGAGGTTTGAATGGTTATTGGATGATACCGGCTGGCCCTCCATGATCTTGACAAGGGCTGGAGCATTTTGCAGCGCAATTCGTCAGATAACACTTTGGTAGTCAAGCTCCTTGGTTTTCCGAAACGACTTTGCGGCCAGAGGCTTCATGAACCAACACGTCCTATTGGTCTGGCTCGGGAACAAGAGATTGCTCGTGAACAAGGGTGACACTCCACAGGCTTCCAAGCCTTTCATCTTGTCCGTTTTGATCTCGTCCGTGGGCTGGGGCTCGGGCGACAATGGTGTCGCGCAGGGCAGCAAGATTCAATCTTTAGCTCCGGCCGGCACCTGCGGCCGGGTCCGGATCGGGAACAGACCAACGGCCCGGCCCCACTTGACCCCGCGGTTCGGGGACAACGGAAAACAACAAAGACAAGAAGCAAGCAAAGCAGATGAGTCGCGTACCACACAAAAAAAAAAAAAAAAGGGCAAAATCCAAATAAAACACAAACTATGTCACTTGATCAATGCTTGATTTCTGCGGAGACTAGCCTTTCGTGTGTTTGTTCTTGCCATTTGCCTAGGACCCAAGCCAGATTGTAACCAGCAGCTATATTATTAGATGTTGAAAAAATAAATTCAAACGTGCCCTATTCTGCTCTTTGAGAAACAGACCCTTCCATGTGTGCTCTGTTTCTGGGCTAGATTGTCCAACTAGTCGGCTGTATGACGCCCCTCGGCAGAATGTGCCGTAAAGGGGCAAGGTGACGTTTGGAAACTAGCCCTCAAGCTTGCCACTTTCCATGAGATAGTCAGCAGCATCTTTCAGGCTTTTGTGGTGCCTTTCTTTTCGAAATTATGAGGTAGGGCAACTGGTCAGCTCGTTGACGTCGCAATCGTTTCCTCGTGCCCCTATTTTGACAACTCGGCCGTTTGTCTTTGCTGATCCCAAGCGTGCCGTGACATTTTTGCCCACTGACAAGGGCTGAATAGAGGGCTTGGAGCGATGACTCATTTCAACCGTAATAACACACTTTGACGTCGGCGTCGTTGGCTTTGCACAAGACCCTCGTGCTCCGTGCTCGCAGACTTCTATTCCGTGCGCCAGCCGCTGAAAAGCCTCGGGCCGTGTCTCCATCTGCATTTTTGTATGTTTTTGATACAGGGTCTTTATGTAGTCGGGCAAGGGTGATTGGGCTTGAGCCAACTGCTTCCTAGACTTGCCAGGAAATTGTCGATGCTTTGTTGGCGCTTTTGCTGAGAGGCAGTAGATGTAGGCCCAGCCAATATTTTGCCTCTCTCGAGCGTACTTCAGAACCTTTTTGATGGCGAGTGAGGCGAGGATTGTTTTCCCAGCGCCCGGAATGCCTTGGCAGAGCAAGGTTTACCATTTCTGGAACTTGTCCGAGTCTTTTAGCCATTTTAGTGTATTGGAATGCCGCCCCCTAATGAAGGTATTAAAGTGAGCGGCGTGGTCTGCTTCCGTGATCCATCTGAGAATCCGCTGGTCCTCGCCTCTGTCCGTGGCGCTCCTTACTCTGTTCACCTGCGCCCTCGCGCTATCCATTAAACGTGAGCCGCGTAGTATGTTCATCCTGGACTTACCATCTGAAAGCAATTGCTTGATCGGCGTGGTTGCTCGCACTTGCTGGGCGTTCATGCAAGTGACGAGGTCCCTTGCGTATGCCGCGGCTACCATGGCCGCGTATCCCTGCCACTCGTCGTTCTTGTGAGAATCAGAGTAGTCGGAGATGCCCCGGATGACTAGGCAAGGAAGGTGGTTCATCAGGCCTGCGGCTTCCATCTCAAAGCAGAGAATGTTATGCTCCCGCGCCATCTCGTCTCGAACAGTGGCGTCTTTCATCAGGGTATCAGCAGAGGCGATTATTCCGTAGTGAATCACGGGATCGTCTCCGTCTCGGCTGCGTTCTTTCCGAACTATCAGGTTGGACGCATCATCGCCGCACACCACGCCACACGCCTGGGTCGTGTTCTGGGGATGCGTAAAGGGGAAGAGGTGGAGCCTGTCCGTCGTGGCCGCTGGCCGGCGGTATTTCTCCCGGCGCGTGATCTTTTCCAATGCCTTCTCCACGTTGCCGCGGATTTGATGCGCACTCCGGTCGTATCTGGCCTCGAGGGCGCTCACCGCTCTCAGCAGCAGAAGCTGCGGTGGCTGGTTCAAATGTCCCGTCATGGTGAAGTCGCGGTTCTGGACTACCTTGCCATAGTCATGGTGCAACACTCCTCCGTTTCCGCCGCCTCGGCAGCTCACGACGATGTCGCCTAGTTGCACGTCATTCTTTGCACTCGGTGCTCCGCCTCCGATGCCGACCATGAGGCCGATCCGAATGCTGGGGAAAGATCTTTGCATGTCGTTCGCAACCACGGCCGCACTGGACTTTCCATGCTCCTTGTACGGTAATACAGCAATGACTACATTATGGCTTCCTGTTCTTCCCACCCCATAGCTATTATTGTCATTTGGCGCGAGACATTCGGGTACTTGGTACTCTTCGTCAAGGAACACCTACACTGGGCGGCGACGAGCTCGCGGTCCAAGGCACAGATCCAGCCAACGGTAAAGTCTTCGGCGTCAGGCATAATTGCTGTCACAGTTCCTTGTTTTTTTGCTAAGAAGGCTGAAAATTTCCTGGGAAGCGCTTGAAGCAGTGGGAGTATGGCAGAGGCGGGCTGTAATAGTATTGATCCTGACCAGAAAGCAAGCATACCGGCAAAGAACAGCCAGCCTCTCTTGACGCGAATCTCCGACCAAAACTGACACTAAATTAACTCAAAACGGCATGTTCACGGTTAGGTACTCCGTACTGTTCTGCCTTATTCTGCCAAGACACCATGTAAAACTGGTTTCACGCGCTACGCATGCCTATCCGCCATGTAGCATGGGCAAGGTCGGAAGTGAGGCTGGGTGAAAGCTCCGGTTGCAAACGCAGAGTTGGGAGACATGTCATATCATGCTCGTTCCGCTACCTCTCATGCTACATACTGCACCACACGCAGGAGAATGGACCCCGAGAACTTACTTGCGTGAGTACTACCAAAATATTCTGGCTCAAAAAATCGCGCACAAGTGGTGAGGCTCACCACGCCCACACAAAAGCCGTCGTCGTGCGACTCATTCATTCTGGATCCATCACTCCGCGCCTCGTACTACATGGGAGACTTTTGAAGACGGACGGCATTATGGAAAGTTGAACATTTATTCGCATCTGCTAGTGAAAGCCGAAGGGAAACGTGGCTACCGGTGCTTCTCATGTAATAGCTCCAGGACTGACGGCGAGTCTTCACTCTTCAAAGAGGTCAGTCCTAAGGGTCCTGGGCCCAGACTCCCAAATTGTAATGTATGTCAGTGGCGAAACGAGTCACCGGGACGAATACTTGATGGACTATCATGTCATCGAATCTCGTGCATCGGAAAGACAAGAGGACCGCGGGCGGCACGGGACGGCAAGTTGTGGGGTACATGAGTTAAATGCGTCGACATAGAATTGGATGAATTGTACATTACACTGCGCGCGAGATTCCCGAACTGGCTGGTACCAGGCATCAAGTCATAGGTACTGCTTCCCGCTGTCCGCGCAGGTACCCACTTATATCAACGCGTCTCCACAAATGCCGCCGAGATCTTGCACCTTATTTAGCGGGGCTCCGCGGCTCCGCTCCGCGCGACTCGCCGAGAAGACCGGTACCATGCGGGCGAAGAGCTCGCCAAGTCGACGACGCATCCAGCTATCATCTCGAAGCCCTCCGCTCTACTGGCAAAGCCATTCACGCCCCTGTCCGCGACAACAATGTTGGCCAGCTGCGGCAGCTCGTTAGCAGCATCAGCTAGCTGCCCACCGGCTAATGTAGAGCATCTGAACCGTGTCGTCGCCGGCATCTAGCAGAATTTCCATGGCGGCCAAGTTGGCATACAACCATACGTTGACGTGCAGAGGCGTAATATATGGGTTCTCGCTGAGGCTGCTGGACTCATTGTTCGCGACGCTTCTCGGCCTGGCCGCGCCCCTTGGACTTACACATCCTCAGGTGTCTCTAGATTAGTGTCCCGCTTGATAGTTATAAATTGTCTTTCTCAGAGCGCTGTTGGGCCATTTTCTCCATGGCATTGGAAAGACTTGAACGCTGCCCTGGTCGAGGGATGCAGCCTCCCAGAGGCTATTCGTGGGAGCAATCTCAGTCCTCAGGAGTGGGCAGTGGTATCTCCAACGACTCCAAACGGAGACAAAGAAAAAAGGCAGTCATCATGAGAAAGCTGCACACTTTCGCAGGTACGAGACACTGAATTTCATGATAACATCAGAGCACCTGATGCTTGCCGGTGATAATCTTCGAGGGAAATACCCATTTCTTGGGCGACTGGCATTCCCAGCACATCTCTGACTTGTCAGGCGCCAGTATCAGCGCTTCTCTAGCTTGTGCAGTTGCGCATGCTTGTCTGTTTTGTACTTGGTTCCGGGGGCAGGCACAGGAAATGAAAGTCCCGGTTGTTCTATGTTCTGGGATTTTTGCTTGATGTCGCTCTTGTTGGGTATTCTCGTACCTGTCACAGAGTGTGACCAGGGCTCGTCTGAGGGCTTGGAGCACTTCCGCTCGATTCGCATCCAACACACTTTGGTATCAGGGGTCCTTGTACTCCGTGTGCAGCAGCCTTCTGCCCTAGTCTCGTGACCAAGCCCTTGTGTCACCAACATCCGCGTGACACAGAGCAAGGAGCTGGCGACGGAGATGGGGCTCGCGGAAGTCGTCGCGAATGACGCTTCACAATACGGAGTAATCAACAGGGCAATCAGTCCTTTTGGAGCTGATGCTAGGTGAAGAGCTTTGTCAAAGGCGTTTTCGGGCGCTACCCGTGTATTTCACTTGAGCTGGCCATAGCGTATCTTTGTTGTGGTTTGTTGTTATATTATAATAATCCCATCATAGAAAAGATGATCGAGCTGCGGGGAAGTATACTGTCATCACTTCTAGCTTGGTGGTGTACGAGATTGCTTCAAGCCTCGCTAGGGATTCTCAGCATTGGCCAGTTTCTTGCTGGGTCCGGATTTGGGGTCTCACGCAAACACACAAGTATTTCTAGCCTGGTATCGAGTTGATTGATGCTTTATGTAATAAAAGAACATGGGCAAAGCAGTCCCTGTCAACACGCCAATAAAAGACAGCGAAGTAGCAAGAAGCTAGGGCTTATACTTATAGTCCGTACAAATATAGAAAGAGCTGCGTTTTGATGGCTAAAGGAATAAATGAATTTTTTGGAATCTCTATAGAACCCCTTTTCTTTCCCTCCAGTGTATGTAATAGCCGCCCGTGTCAATCAAAGAATCAGGTGCCTCAACTTCCACTCAACCTCCCCCAAACGATTACTCTCAATCTCATCAGTCTACTCCGAACATGCCGTCTACACCAAACCCGAACACTCTTGTTTTCAATCACGTCGGGAGTTATTCACACGCGTCCTGCCATTTAGAGCAAAAAAAACAATTCCTCAAATACGAATGAGCGAAATAGGAGCGGTGGTTTAAGCGGTAGCAGCCTGCTTTGCCTCGCCCTTTATCTCGTCCTGGGCCTTTTCGGCGACAAGGACGGGCTCAGCAGCAGGGGCCTCTTGGGCCGTCTCAATCTTGGAGCCGTCGTTCTGAATGATCTTCTCTTCTGTCTTTTCCCACCAGGCAGGTCGAGCCCATTCTGGGTCGTGCCACGGACCGGCATCGCTGTTCTCACAGCCACCGTCGCATCTGCACGTACCCCCAAATTCGACGGGCAGACTCTCGCGGTCGACGTGCTTCAACAGCTCGGTCTGGTAGCTACTGCCAAGAATATGAATCTTCTTGACGGTGACGGGGTCAAGCCAACCCTTGACTACGCTCCAGACAGTTGAGAAACCCCACGGCGCGTTGATCAGGAACAGCTTTCCCAGACGCTCGGGGTAGTAGTTCTGAGAGATTTCGGAAGCCGAGCGAACGTAGGAGTAGACGGACGGGACCTTGGTCAGGGTAACGCCTTGGAGGTCCATGATGGTGCAGCAAGTCTCCAAAAGGTTGCCAACCTTGCGAGAACAGGCGGGCAGCCGTGGGTCGGCGAGTCGCTCGTACTCGACGGCAAGGTTGGTGAGCATCCGCTCAGAGGTGGTGATTTTGTACATGGCAGTAAGGTCAATACCGCCGAGTGTCTCAATGTAAATGGGACGGCCATCCTGTTCAGTGGGGGGTCAATACAGGCTCCACGAAATTAGGCATGGCTTTATGGTCAAGTAGAACTATTCACCTTGTCGGTCTTGTGGTAGAACTGCTTGTAGTACTTGGCAACCTCGGGCTTCTCGGGGTAATTCCAGGTGGGAACGGTCTCGTCGAGCTTGGTCTTCTTTCGCCACTTTTCGGTATCAATGAACCTGGTGGGCAGTGTCGGGTTTTTGTCAACTCATCTTGAGCGAGTTCGGACTGGTAAGGGAGGCGCGAGGAGAGATCTTACATGGCCTTGGACAAGTTGACATCCCACTTGCGTGCTCGCAGGAATCTCAACTACCGCCGGAAACGAAACGTTAGCCTCGCCTGAATGGCTCGCAAGGTGTCATTTGCCCCCAATTATTGTCTTGCTTGCACAAGAGAAGAACAGAGGTCGACAATCCGGCACGGATGAGTCAAAATCTCGAGGGGAGCTGGCTACCAAAGTCAATGTGTCCAGACGATCCGTGTATCCCTCAGCCTCGAGCATCATACGCAGCTGGTGGACCTGGGCAATCTGCTGCTGGTTAAGATGACCAGCATGGCCATTCTGAGGCTCGGCAGCGGTGACGGGGAAGTCGTAGTTGTCGTACTTCTTGTCGATATCCATGGTCGGAAATGTGGTAAAGGGGTTGGCTGGAAATGAGGATCTGGCGAGGAGAGACTTCGGTCTGTGATGAGTAGGAGGGAGGCGGGATGAGGGGATCGGACTCGTGCAGGAGCCAAGTGAACAAAGGGGGCGAGTCCTTGATGGTGGAATATGGCACGTGGAAACAAAGGGAAAAGACGGAGCAGGAACTGAGTAGCAAAAAAAGGCGGGAGGATGATGGATGACGAAGCAACCAGACACAGACAGACAGCACCTGAGACAACAGGGCGGAGAATAAACTTGAGCCAACAGCGTCAGCGTCGATGCGATGGTGGTAGTTCACGGCCGGGTCGAGAACTTGGAAGCCTTCTCAGCGCCCACGAGAGCCTAGCGCCACATTACGGCGGCTGTGGGTCGGGGTTGACCACGTGCAGCGTCACGAGCTGATAACGATCAAGATTTGTTCTCGTCACTCATCGCGGGTGCAACTCTGCTCCAGGTCGTCGATCCGCTCCCCAAGGCAACTCTCAACTCATCATCCATTGACTTGTTGTCGGCCGTCAGTCAAGCCAGTCAAGCCTCACCGCCATGGTCCGCAGCGCTACATACGGACAGTCCAAACCCTCGTCATGAGGTACCCTCCGCAGCGGACAACCCTCGCCGTTGCCCGACACGTCTACGGCTCCGTCACATCGCGACGCCCTCGCCGCTCCTTCCACCTCACCTCATCGGCAGGCCTGCCGCGAAACCGACACTTCTTCACCTCGAATCCGTTCCTCTCCAGCATCCCCGCCGACCAATCCAAGTCTGCCCCTCGGACCCCGAGCACTGAATCTCAACCAGCGTCGTCATCCGCCGCCGCCAAGCGCAAGCCTACCCGCGCGACCACGGCCAAAAACTCCCTCCGCCGAGTCGCCATCATTGCTCAGCAACCAAAGCGCGCAGGCAGCCAGCCAAGTCCGCACGGCGCAACGACTGACGTCGAGACCACCATAAGCGCAACCTGCGTCGCCGAATCTTTCAACATGCCCTCTGTGGTCGAGATCCTCTCCTCGCACGGCTTCGTCATCGACCCCGACAACACGGGCTTCGACGCCAGCGAAGTAGTCCATGCCAAGGGCGTCAACGGCGGGGACATCTTCGTCTTCCCCTCGGGCACCATAGTCACATGGTCACTGCCGCCAGACATCGTCACGAGGCAAATCCTCCGCGCCGCCGAGGAACCACACCCCCCCCAGCTCCGCGAGGCCGAGGACCTCGACTTCACCACCGACACGGCCCGCGCAGAGTCCACCATGAAGGGCGACATGGTCGTGCTCGGCACCCGCCGCGAGCACAAGGAGGGCGACACCCTCGACACGACCCTCGCCAAGATCGCCTTCTCGTCCGGTCTCGCCAGGAGCACCAAGCTCGCTGTCCTCGAGAGCGCATTGACCGCCTACTTCGAGAGCACCCGCAACATCCCCGCCGTCCTGTCCCGGGGCTCCGGCCTTCCTCTCGGCCGCAAGTTCATCCTCCAAAAGACGGGCGAGTTGCTCAGTCTACGGGCCCGGCTGAACCACTACTCCGAGTTGACCGACTCCCTGCCCGACATCTTCTGGGACAGCAGATCCGAGCTCGGGCTCGAGGGGTACTACGACCAAGTCGGGCGTGCGCTAGACGTCAACGTTCGAATCCGCACCCTCAACCAAAAGATGGACTATGCCCAGGAGATAGCTACTGTGTTGCGCGAAATGTCGAGCGAGCAGCACGGCACGAGGCTGGAACTCATCATCATCTTGCTAATTGCCGTCGAGGTAGTGTTTGAGTTGAGGAGAATCGTTCTGGAGTGGGGGCACGAGAGGGAGGCGGCCAGGGCGGCAAAATGACGAGGCCCTTGCATAGCATTCAAAAAGGGCGCTTTGGGCTTGTATATGTCATGCGTCAGACCTGTGACGCCTGGACGGACGAATGAATGCATGGACCTTTTTGTATTGTATTATAGTGCCGCGCTATTTCACGGCGTTTAGACGGCAGGCCCTAGATATTTTTGAATGATACCCACTCAGCTCGACGCTTCACCAATCCTTCCTTTACCTCTGTTCATCGTGTCCATCATCCACCATCCCGCTTCATTCTAGCTACGCTGGCACGCATCCAAGACAGGCATGGCCCTCGAGACATTATTTCAAAAGGTCTCGTCCAGTCACACAAGTATAGAACAACTCACATGAGAAACAGTCCTGGGCAGTTTACACGTCTATTCCGCTCGGAGCCAAACCCACGCCTTACAGAAAAAGAGTCCTGCCTCAAGTAGCTGCAAATCTTGTGTACAAAGTCCCCAGGGGATATATTCCATGCACCACAACGCTGCCTCCCCTTTTGATCGCATCTATTCCCCAGCCGTTTACATGATTTCCTTCCCGTTTGCCTTCCTTTTCTTGCCAAGAACAAAAAAAAACCTTTGCAAGGGGGGGGGGGGAAAGTACTCCTAAATACGCCCTTGACCTTGGGGGTGAGAAACTCGTCAAAAGGGGTGTAAAATACGGCTCCCCCTCTTCTCACAAAACAAAACATCATCACTTCCCTGGTCGTCGTCATCTCCCGCCAACAGCTTTTCCGCTGGCTTCTACTGGTGTCGTGAGTAAGGTCCTCCGCGCTGGTTATGACTCGAGACCAGGGAAACCCTGAGGCGGTTGCTGCCCCGATTGCGGCTGCTGCTGTCCGGCACCGGGGATGGGGGGCACGGGAACCGGAGTTACTTTTGATGGAGGGACGTATTGCGACTGGGGTGTGCCGTTTATACCTTGTCGCTGACCAACGGGTGTTTGTGGCTTCTGCTGGTTCATGAGGTTCGCACGAGCTGTTGCCATGCGATTCGCATCCACGTTACCGCCGTATCCCATGGGCATCCCGGGAAAACCTGGCTGCATCTTGTCGCCAAACATGGCAGTCCTCTCTTGCGCAGCAACTCGTGCCTTGGCTTGCTCCAGAATTCGTTGTTGCTGGGCCTCGGGAATGACAGTGTGGTAGCCGGTAAGACCGGGAGACTGGTTGTATTGAGGGTGCGGTCCTGGATTGCTGGCATGCCGGGCCATTTGTGGATTGCCTTGACCCGGGGTCCCAAACCGTTGTTGAGCTTGCTGCATGTTTGGTGATGGGCTATAAGGGTGTCGCGGGGGAACTTGCGGCGACATGTTCCTAGGCGGCATGCCGGCGCCATTCATATATGCACCATAATTGGGCTGCCCCGGAGGCCCAGGTGGCGGCGGTTGTGGTGGCGGTTGCTGCTGGAACTGCTGTTGATATTGGAATCGCGTAGCATTCGGAACACCCTGTTGTTGAAGTTGGCCGTATTGTGGTGGCCGCTGTTGATGGGCCTGGGGCATGTTCTGATGGCCGTAAGGAGTCTGTGCTTTGGCCAGTTGCGTGGCATACTGATTTGGATAGCCGTTAGGTCGAGTGTATTGGTTTGGCTGCGGTGGTCTAGGATGCTGTGGCGCGGGACTGCCCATAGTCCGAGGTTGGTGATAGTTGGGAGTCGGCATAGATCGGAAATATTGCTGAGGATGTGAGGGGGTTCGCGTCGGTGTACCGTACTGAGGCGGGTGTTGATACTGATTTGCGTAGGGCGTGGAAATACTGGCAGAGCGTTGCAAGGGCGGCCGAGCATTCGCCTGGGCTGCTTGGGCTGCTTGAGCTGCGACGTGTTGTTGCTGCTGCTGCTGCTGCTGCTGTTGTTGTTGTTGCTGCTGCTGCCTGCTGCTGCTGCTGCTGCTGTTGCTGTTGCTGTTGCTGTGCTCTGATGCGAGCCTGTACACCAGCATCGTCTTCCTCCATGACACCCCGGTATTGATCTGTCCGAACCTGAATCTTGGTGCTGATGAGCAAATCATCCAGCTGATCTCCGTTCAGTTTGGCCACTGCATATGGCGGTAGGGTCTTGATAATCAAAGCCAGCTGAGCCTTGAGCATCTCATAAGTGGCCTGTTCTTCTTCTGAGGGTTGAGGTCCGGAATTAGCCAGCATGTCACCATTGACGGGGTCGCTGGATTGGCGATTTTGAGAATTAGGCAGCGTGAGGTTGCGAATACGCTGATAGGAAGCCAGGGTTCCGATCAAGTCGCTGACTTCATCAAGAACATCATCAACCTCCTTCTGGCTCTGGTCACGCTTGGTGCCCATTGCGTCCTCGAGCGAAGGGTCAACGGCATCATCATCCCAGTTATCAATGGCTTCCTGCACAGCATCTTCGTCGAGTTCCTCGCCTCTAGGGCTGGGGTGAAATGCATCCACGTCCGCAATGTCCGGATAGTATTCAACCTCGATCATCCTCTGAAAATTCTTGGAGCCGCTCTTGTGCCACCACATCTTACCAACAGTTCCTGATGGGATAACCGCTCCTGAGTCATCCTTACATGGGGCAAAAGTAGAAAAGGCGCCTCTGAAAAGGGATTCCATCTCCGACATCTCCAACTCGGAAGTAGATGGCTTCTTGCCAGCAAGACTTTGGGCGCGCTCTCGCTGTTTGGTCTTGGTCTGATATGATGGCGTAGCGTTGCTGTAGTCAAGATAGTAACCTGACGAAAGCTTTGTGCCGAAGTAACAGGCTCCACGGTACGTGGCAGTGTCTGCTAAATCAGGGTGATAAAAGTCCAGCGTGTTGCCCTTGGCTTGGGTTTTGGGTTGTTTGGGCGGTTGCAAGGGAGGTAGTGGTCGAGGAGGGCTAAACAATTCACCCAATGTCTGCGTTCGCTCTTGTGTGTTGGCGGGAACAAGGCGCGAAAAGGAGACGCCAGGCGGCAGATTGAGCTCTGTCAGGTCAATATCCTGAGATAATGGCAGACTCGAAAACAGACGTCTTTCCTGCGGCGCGTAGCCAACCACCGACAGAATTGCCTGGCTCTTACACGACGCAGCTTTGGAATCAACTTGGCCGTTGATGGCCTCGGAGGTCGCAACTCTGGGATATGCCTTCTCCCGCTCCATAATCGCGAGGGCTTGCGCCTTGAATTCGGCAATGCGGACTGCTAATTTGGTACTTCCCGCGCTGCCGGAGCCATCCGGGACCCTGGCCCTGATTTCTGACAATGCGGCATCGGTGGCAGATACAACATCAGAGGCAACATGTTCGATATGGGTATACGAATCGGCAGCAATTTTGTCCGATATTGACCTCACCGACGACGGGTCAGAGGACTTTTGTCGCTTCGTGTCGGGCTCATCCTGAACTTTACGGTCCCCTAATGGTCGTTTTAGAATGGCGGGCTCAACGTCGATACTAGAAGTCGATGGTCAGCCATTGCGTTCGGCCACAGGTCACGTCGATGTTCTCATCAACAGCGAGGTCGCACCGAATTGGCGTTGAGCCCGGATGGGGAAAATTGAGCGACGTACCTCTTCAAAACATCAAAGTACGACTTTATTAGATCCTTTTGCTCCCCCGCAGCCCATCGGTGGGGTGCGGCCGGCTTCTGTTCTTCAACACTCGTCATTTCGGCTCCAACCGCACCGTCCTTGCTGTCGCGTTTTCGCTTGCCCGGGACGGCGAGGTGTCCGTTCTCGTCGTTGGAAGGAGTCGAAGCGCCGTTTGCTCCGACCGGCGTTGGCTGCGCCATGTTATAATCGCGATGAACGAGCTTTGGTGATGCTCGCCGCGCCTCGTCGCGATACGCGGTTGCAGGATGGAGAACAGATCGGTGCGACTCTAGGCCCTTTCATCAAGTGTGGTCCAAGACGCCGTCTGCATCCAACACAGAGGGTGCAATGGTGAGCTACGCCTGCAGAATGGCGATTCGGGGCCCTTCAACCAAGGTGGCGCAATTTTTGGTTTTTTTTTTCTGGTTTCCGGCGGACAACTGTGAAGCGAGCGCTGCAGAACAGACCTCGAAGGAAGAATGTGTCGTGGACCACAACGAACGAGTAGGTACTTCTGGCTGGCGGGCCTACGTCCCAGGCTAACGCTGAAGTGGGAAAAGTCTAAAATTGCGTGCACGTGACTCTGCATGTTCCCCATTCATATGCGCCGACTCCGTCCAGCGTGCCAACAGTCACGGACGGCAGAACAAAGGAATTTGACTTGCACCAAGTCTCCGTGGCGCACAAAGTTTAAGCATGTGCTCATGAGCTGCAAAAATTACACTGCAGCTCCTATCTTTTATGCCCGACCAGAGACGCACAGTGTACTTGTGGATGCTGCAATCTAGGGCACAAATTGCGGCAGGCTGTGACGCGTCTTGACGGAAGCTGCTGTCATGGCTTGCCAAATAAACCTGCAATCTAGGCACTCGACGGATCCTTTTCATGGTGCACCACAGAGAAGCGTTATAATTCGTATTCAGTATAAACCGTATTTCTGGCACTTATTAGGGCAAACTAATGTGTACAATGCCGATTCCAAAGCAAAACTCGAATGCAACCCTCGTGAACTCGTCTTCAAAACCAGATCGCGAACGATTGTGGTGCATGTCTTGGCCCATTCACTTGGCGCGGGCCAGACCAACGGCGTTTCTGCCAAGGTCATATACAGAGTAGTAACGACGCAAAAAAGCATCTCCCAGGATGATAAGAGGCCCAGCAGGTTCGGGAATGTCCATGCCTTGAAAAGTAGAGATGCATGTACCCTGAATTTCGAGGACGTAGGAGGAGGCAGGGAGACTGTAATTGGACCCTGCCAGATTGAAGACAATATCGGGAAGAGATTTGATCTTGCTGCAATCAATGGTGTACTGGCCGTTCCAGCCCTTCTTAGCGCCAATCTCCTTATTGAGCAATTCGGCCAGGGTGCTGGGGAGAACGTTCAAAGAAGTACCGGTGTCAAGGATAGCACCGGTTTTCTCAAGCTCAGCAACTTCGTCGCCAAAGGCAATAGACTCGATGTCGACTTCCCAGTAAGCCTTGCGGCGAAGAGGGATGTATTCGAGCTTCCCAGTGTAATGGTTCTCATCGATGCCACCAAAAACGGCTTCGCTGCCTTCGTCGCTGCTGCCGAGGTAGAAGGCAAACACAGGCTCATCCAGTAGCTTTTGGTTGATCATCTGGTAGAAGGGAGGAACAATTCCGTTTACCGAGATGGTGTCGTAGCCCAGACCGAGAATGCCGTCAAATTTACCAAAAGCAAATGCAAGCCCAGGCTCCGTAGTAGCTTCGGCAAAATCCTGTTCCTTGACCTTCAAGTCACCGATGCGCAAGACATCCTGGGAGACGAAGCCAGACAAACTGCCAGACCCGTACCTAATCTCAAACGACGAGCCATTCTTCTGGTATGACGACGAGGAACTTGAGTCATATTTAGCGTGCAAAAAGCAAGCTATGCTGTTACAAGACTGCGAGGGAACCCAGAGGTTGGAGCTGCCCGTGTCCAGGACAACCTTGAAGCTCTGCGGCGGGGTACCGATTTGGATCTCGGTGAAGTCTGCGTGGTAATGAGAAATCATGTCTTTCCGAGACTTTGCTGCCACTTTTTCGCATCTACTTACATTGGGCATTCATGAAGTTGGTGACCGGCACAGGATGACCTGGCTTGACCTGAGGAGCCTTGGTATCGAACATGACGGAGGCTCGGGATGCAGGGCGGGCACCAAGGTACTTCTGGCCAAGAGCCCGAAGAGGCTCGGTAGAGGCATCGGCCTTGGCCAGCGGTGTCAGCGATGTCCGGGAGCTCAGGAGATGCGTTGGCATGGAAATAAATGTCCCTCGGGATGATGGCGACGCATGCTTACCAGCTGCTCCTCCAGAGAGATCTTTTGGAGCTTCATCTTGTGCACGCCACCGTGGGCGGCACCAGCCAGGGCGGCCGCGGCGATAAGCGCGCTCTTCATGATGGGCAACGCTCCAAAGAGATCGGACAGCTGGAATCTAATAAGGGACTGCTTGCGTGCAAGCAGATGTGATGCAGATATCGATGAAACGGCCTGCTCTGACGATGGACGCAGGTTAACAGATGTGACGGTTGGACGAAGCTAGTAACAAGTAACAAGAGAAAGGGAAAGACGCGACAGGGAGCAGACGCAGGCAGCGAATGCTTCGGGTCAAGTAAGTTGACGTGCTAATGGAAGGTAGGTGGCGGCGGTTAGTGACGCCTGGCTGCTAGGTGCATCCAGATGTTGGGGTTGGGGTACCGGGGAAGCTTGCGAGCTCAGGCTCATTCGTTTGTGCTGCGGTGCGGCAAGCGATGACCACTTGACTTGACCAGGCTCCACTTTCGATCCATCGATCCTCGTCAACTTCGGAGTGTGTGGCCACTCCTCGTTTTCTACTGGTCGAATCCACCATCGCTTTCAGGAACAACATGCGGACGAGCATCAAGATTCTGACTCCCGCAAGCTGTCTGGGTCACAAATACCACGTGCTCTGACCTATCCAAATTACCAGGTGCGGCGTTAATAGATCCAGGTATGTACAGCAATATGTCAGGAGTTTGCTCTGTTAATAATAAAGGTCTGAATGATTGAGCCCTGCTGGCCGTGGGTCTCGAAGACAATGCTGCCTGAGGCAATAGTCGCTGCCATGACGACCCGACCGAAGGACGGAGTACGGAGGGCTTCACCCCCGCCCGGTACGTACCTAGGTATCGATACTATTGGTGCGACAGACTGCGCCGCGTTTCATACGCGCGACATGGGATGCCGTGCCATTCAACACGATGCGATGCCATGCTCCGTTTACTCATTCCATCGTAAGCCTTGACTTTCGACTTCTCAAGCGTTTACACAGTAATACACAGTAACTGAACAAGCGCAAAGAACCCCAGCAAGCAATAGCGATGCTGCACTTTTTGCTGTCGATTTGCAGTCCCTGCGTTGTCGGGTGCGCAAAGCATCTCTCGGGCAACGCAGTTAAAAGATCCGACATTGGCAGACGTACAGAGTAGACGAAAGTCGACCACGGCCACGATTCTTTTCTGCCCGACACGAGTAGTAGTCAGAGTACGGAGTACAGAGTAGACTAGCTAGTAACTACCTAGGTAACTACCTACTTAGGTAGTTGCCGCAACGCACTCCGTGACATACGTCTCCAATTTGCGGCTACCCTACACCGATCTGGCATTCCCCGGATAGAAGATCAAGTCATCGTCCATCCTTCATCCTGGCTCCCATGCTTTCGGGAGGGGTTGGCCGCATCATAATAAGGAGCAGACCTTGTTGGCGCCCGAAATCTCGGCCATATATATCCGTCCAGTGCTCCGGTTGTTATGTGCAAGCCTCCCCAGGGATGGAAGATGACATACTCACGACGGTTACTTCCTCCAGCTGCACAGGCTGGGTAGCTTCTGCCATCAAAAGTCGTTGTCCATCACGGATAATTACCCCACCATGCCGAAGGCGCATACGGGCACAAAGCCCAAAACCCACGATACAGAGCACTTGAAACCGCGAGACGCAAAACCGAACCGAGTCCAGGCAGGATCTCCGTCTCCCAACCGACGAAACGCAAATGCGCTTTTGTAATTCTGCCCGCGGCACCGCCAGGCTCTGCACGACGACGATCAAGAGATACCTTTTCGTATCAGCCCGTCGTACTTGCAATACAAGACAGAGACACTACAAGTACCAAGGCCCGGTGTGCAGACCTGGGCAATATCAAACATGTGGTTGACGGGCACAGGGTTTGTGAGAGACAAGAGATGAAATTATACAAACGTTGAATAGAATAGAAAAATAGCGGCTGTGGTATTCTCTTCGCACAAATCGACGATCCTGAATCCCGACTCTCTGGGCATGTCTCGGCTGCGTGTCTGCACATGGTGGAAGTCTCTATCTATCATCATGGGGCCTATGCGAAGTCCTCCGCAGAACATGTCGGACGGCGTCATGGTGGTGGATTGGTGCTGCGTGCGTCCCGCGGAACGACCTGTCGTCCAAAGAGGTCTCCAATATTTGGGGCTCAGGGGAGGACAATAAGCAGCGACTCCAGACATGTGTGACGATACAGCATCAAGTCGTATTTACGAAATACTTGGCACTCCAACCTACTAGTCAAGACGCGACTTTGACAATACGTCGACGGGGCCGTGTGCTCACTCACTGCTAACATATTGTCCGAGGTGCTCGCTCCACCAGATGCAGGGTATCAGAATCTAGACTCCGGAAGCCGAGGATTCCTAATTCCTCACACAGGGCATCCGAAAGACGAGGTGCGCCCACGAGCTCAATAGACCTCGTATGCAGAGAAGAACCAAAGGCCCAGCGTCAGTGAGTCGTGAGTCGTGACGAGGTGAGGCGTTCGTATATAGGAAGTCATTGCATACTGACCCGGACTCTGCGGAGTACAGTGGCTGACAGAGGCCCAACCAAGGCGCAGTCGCGAGAATTGATACTCCTGTAGGAGCTTGACTCCGTCTTGATCAGATTCGATCGCTGTTCCAGCGACTTTTGAATTGACAGATTTTACAAATACATCCAAAATGACTGACGACACAGCCAGTTTTCTTACTTGGCGAAGAGGGAAGGAAGGGTTCTTCTGTGCCCCGAGCCGAGACTCAAGTGACGCCTTCAGTATTATGCTGGACCTGGGCTCCAGCGAGGAGTAACTCCATACCGCAGACCGATAGAGGTTGATCAGGGGCCAGTGTCGCCAGACTGTCTCAGCTACATCTCACACCAGGTTTTGGACGCATTCCATCACCTGCCAGCACTCTGCCCCGTCGCCCGCATTGTACGCATGTACGTCGGTACGGGATGATGATGATGGGCTGGCGGGCGTTGGCATCGATTCCCAAACGCTAGTTCCTGAGTTCCCGTCGGCGTGGCTGACTGGCTTGACGCCGAGGCAAGGAATTCACTGTGCCACTTGTTTGGTCAGCACGCGGCTTCACACCAGGAATGACCATTACATTAGCGCTTGGACGGAGTCTTGAAGCAGTGATATTTTTCTTTTTCCCTTTCCCACCAGCCTGCGGAGTTCTCCTTAGGTGGTGGTGCCTGATAAGAGGGACGAAGCGAAGAACCGTACGGTGACATTTTGTACGGAGAATTGGTTGGTTCAGCAGTGGTGGAGCATTTTATTCCGTATCGGCCCAGTATTTCGGCGTTGGAACAGGGTATTGCCACCTACAAGCGCAGCCGACCAGAGGCACCGAGGCCTCATTGTTTTCGCGCCTTTTGTTGATCGGCCTACACGCGCCTTCTCCATGGCCATGGTCACAATGTCATCATCGAGAACTTGATCCCCACGAAAATCGTGGCCACACAGTGCCAAAACCTGAGTCGACGCACATGATCTCTCACCCGGCTGCCTGCTGTTGGCTGGATTTGACGAGGGTGTGGTTGTTTAGTTTGATTGCTGTGGAGTCATTCAGGATGGACACCTTGATACTCCGTACCCTAGTCTACTTGACTTGGTATCTCGCTAGTCGAAAGACGTTCCTAGGTGCTCTGGGGCAGTCTCATGCGACCAGTCTCAGGCCGTGTACTGCCGTGGTGGTCGACCTTCCAGTGCTGTTTTGTCTAATCGTGACCGCGTGTTCGTCAAAATGCCTCTGCTTCGTTCTGGCATCCTGGCGCCAGACGCCACGCAAAAATAACTGCCAAGTTCGAGGCGAGACCGACAGACAAGACTGAGAAGTGTTGCTGATGGGTCCATTTCGGCTTTTGGTGTCTTTCACTGGTGGACACGGACATTGTTGCCGGTGCTCTGTACAACTTGGCGCAACCGGGTGGACAATCTAACGTCCACCAGGGGGGGAAACAGATTTTGAGTGCTGAAGAGACTTGTTGTGACTTGTCACGCTCCCGCAGCCCACAGGGAGAGACTCCTGTCGACGTTCACGAGTCTGCACCATCTCACGGTAATCAGCACTAGTTCCACTGCGCATTACAGCGTAGTCCGTCAGATAAGAAAGAGCGCGGGTATTCGTACTCGGCGAGACAGTTGACAAAATCCCAAGGAATGGACGGGGATCCTGACTCCTGAGTCCCGGCCTGGACCTCAGCTGCAGGAAAGATGGAGCTGGGAGGGGCGTACCGGTTCTATGCTGCCATACTGTGTGGACAAGCAGATTTAGAACAAAGAGCACAAACCAAGTCACCAGTGTACTCCGTAGCACGTACCTCCTCCCTTGCTCCCCTGGGTGATGGGGAAACAGCCAACGATGCCAGCATAGACCAGCAGACCGGGGGTGTGGTAGACATTGATTGACTCGATGTTTGGTGTTGAGTGCGCGATGCTCGTCCCGTGTGCGGAAGGCAGGGAGAGATGGCATTGTACTCGAAACAGGACGACAGAGAAAGAAGACGATAGCTCGACCGAGAAGCGACGTTGTGCTGTGCGGCGTGCCGAGCGCGCCGAAATGTGTCCCAAAAGTTGATGCTGCCAACTGCGTGCCACGCTCTGGAACGGACGTCAGCCGCCGGGGTGAATGCTTCTGGTACTCCGTAGAGAGGCCGCTCGACATCGGGTGGAGGATGGTCTGGTCCAGCTGGCCAATCTCACATGTCGTTGATCTTCTCCACCACGCCAACATGCTGATGTCCCGATGTGACGATACTAGGCGCTGCTCGACTCCGTAGTTACGTGGTGTTTTGTCAAGTCGAGATACGGAGTACCTGGACCGTGTCTCGATGTCCACCTTCCCCCACTGTGCCTGTGCCTGTGCCTGTGCCTGCGCCTGCGCCTGCGCCCTACCGCCTGGTGCCCTGTCCTGTGCTTCGAGTCCCCTGAGCCACACACCAAAGTGCTTGGGCTGTCACGACGACCACTCAAGTAAGTGCCTCGGGTACCTTCTACTTAGCAGGCACTTAGGAAGTAGATAAGTACCCAAGTACGGTACTTACTTAAGTCTGAGTGCCTAGTAGCCACAAGGCTATGTCAGCAGCGGCACCTGTCATTGTGTCAACCAGTGCCTGGTCCGCGGTACATGCAAGATACCCCCTTGCGCACGTCGCGATGTGTCTGGTACTTGTGTGAGTACATACGTGGCCCCTGTCCCACTGGTCCTACGCGCCAGTTTGTCTGGCCGGCCCGTCACCTCGCTCGCTCGGAGTCGCAGCCCTGCCGCTGCTTCGCCAGCCCAAGTTGCCCTGCTCCCATGCTCATCTCTGGTCTCGTTGCATCCCCATCGAACGCTTTCGTTTCCATCACTGTTCGTCTGGCCCTGTCCTGCCCCCTTCAACAAAATATTCCGTCGCTCGTTCCAGTCGTCCCTCATTCTCCCCGACTATCCCCTGCTGCATTCTCATTCTCAAACTCGACGGCAGCCTCCGCGCCCGTCGCCTCGAGACCTGCTGTCGTTGTCTGTTTCTCCCTTTGTGCCATTGTTAGATGCAGTCCTTTCTCTCTTGCAACACCGCAGCGACTGTGAATTCTTCCTGTCCCGTCGCCGCTTCGATCAAAGGGGAAGTCGTCCGAAACGCTTACGCTTGCTTCTTTGTCACCAGTCATCACCGGTCGCCCTTCGTCTCGCCTGTTGAATGTCCACCGTGTTACTCTCGCAGGACTAACGGCCCTGGCTGCTCTTTGAGACGCGCTCATTCATCAATTCGACTCGACCCATTCACATCGATACCCGATTCTCACCAGGCTTAGGGAGGACGCCTCACTGGTGCAAACGATCGGAGCTGCCGGTTTTTTCCTCCTATTTTCCGGGTCCGCTTCCCTGCCGTCTTCTAGCCAGCTTCTGTTGTATCGACGGGTTTCCCAGGCAGCCCGTCAAGAGCACCACTTGCCCGACCGACCCTCGCCGTTTCCATCCCATTTCGAACTCTCGCTTCCAACACACAGATTTTCCAAAATGAGACCATCAACGTTGGCCTTTGGTGCCGCCGTGGCTGCTGCCGGCGTGAGCGCACAAAGTGCCGTGTCAGCACCCGCCGGCATCCCGCAACTAGACCGTGCAATAAGTCAAGGCTGCTTCACTTCAAAGGCCAATATGACGACACTCGACCCTCAAATCCCCGGCGATAGGATGTCCTCGGGTTCCTGCAACGCTGGCTGCAAAGAAGCTGGGTATTGGGTGTCGGGTTTGCATGGTCCGCAGTGCTTATGTGGTTTTGCTATGCCTCCAGAAAACGCTTTGGTTGACGACTCAAAGTGCAATGTTGGCTGCTCATCATACCCCCAAGAAGCCTGTGGCGGCAAGGATACATATACTATTTTCAACCTCGGTGTACAAATCGACCCCCCTGTGTACAACCCGTCCAAGTCTAGCACGGCAGCAGCCTCTAGCAAGACTAGCAATACCGACGCCACAGCCACAGGAAGTCCATCCGCCGCTCATACCAGTGCCACTGTTACCGAGACGTCGAAGCCTGTGCAGACATCGCAGCCAGAGAAGAGCGGACCGAATGTTGCTGGCATCGCCGCCGGAGTGGTTGTTGGTGTCATTGTCACCGGAGCTGCGATCGGCGGCTTCTTCTTCTACATGAGGCGTAAGCGCAACGCCGAAATTGAGGAAGAGCACCGTAGAAATGCCGCTGTCAGTGCGTTCATTAGCGGTTCAACGCCACCCAGCAGTCATGGTAGCATCTCTATGACCGACTCACGTATGGACCCTGTCATGGCTCACCGGAGGATGAGTGATGGTAGTATCGCAGACAATGAAGACTATTCGCGAAAGATTTTGAGAGTAAGTATGCTTTCTTCTGTATTGAATCTCTTCTTAACTATTTGGACTATTTGGACTGATTTGAGTAAAGGTCACCAACGCTTGAGCTCCCCATCATCGGCTAAACGGTGAAGACAACACACACACCGTTATTCAAATCACCAATTACCCACCATCTACCACCATCTTTCTCATCAATGGCATTCGCGGCGTTTTCGGGACCAGAGCTCATGTCCACCCGTTGGTCAACTGGCTGACGATCTGGCGGCGTTTATTCTCTCATTTTTGTGTTGTTTGATCAAGCGGCGTATGGTCACCTATTTTATTTTGCGAAGACGACTAGGCTCTGTAGCTCGGCGTGTGCCCAGCGTTGAATGCCTACCCGAGCGTCTGCTATGCTGTCCACTCCTTTACGTCGTTGAGCTGCCGAACTTCAATTCTGGACAACTGAGAGATGTACACAACGTGGCAATGGGCATCCTTCAAGCTTTCTCGACCTGCCAGCTCACCTCTCCTCCCCCTCGTCCGTGATTACCGCATCGTCGTCGACGTGCACCCATCGAGATTTTGCCGAAGCCAGGAATTACAGGTGCGGTGCTAACGTGTGACTGGGCCAGTTTATATGTATGCCTCATCTTTTTGTGCTGTGGTGTATGTCTGACGGCATCCAAGCCACCTCATGTGGCATGAATCACGACGAGGAAGACGAGGTGCTTCTCATGGGAGGTTCTAAATGCAACTTGGTTGCCTGCTCGTTTTACTTATCTAAACCTTTATTATATGCAGTGGGGATGTTGGCGATGGAGGCGGGTGGAAATGTACGTACGGATCAAAATAGTGAACCAAAAGCCATATTTTGGCAAACCAGCCTTTACTTTCCTGGTCCGCCTCATCCATGAGCTTTGGCGTGTCTCTCGGCTCCCAATGTGCGCTTGGCTGGCTTTAGCGGTAGCTTTAAAGCCCGCCACACAAAGTAGCATGAAGCTTATTACAACTACAAATTAAAGCCACGGTGAAGTCTCCGGTTCCTCCAAGTCAAAGAATCTTTGTGTTAATTTTACTCACCCACTTTTCTCTTCACCTCTTGGAGTTTCTCCCCCTCTGGCCACGATGAGGGCATCCGCTTGCATCGCTGTGGCTACTTTTCTGAACCTGGGTTGCGCCGCGCCAGCAGCCGATAACCAAACCGCAAAAGGCGCTGAAATCCATCCCCGATACAGTCATCGATCCTCGAATCCCGACCGGTACAAGGCTGGATACTTGAGCACCGTGAATGAAAAGACGTCGGTCAAGGATGCCCAGCTAGAAGTGGTATGCGAAAGCCGCGAGTACGACCCGCTCGAATACAAGGACGGCGTGAAAATGCTCAACAATTTCTGCGAGAGAAACTGGGCCTACAGGGAGGTAAACTACGCGGCGGTCGTGGGTGACACGACGGTGTATGTATGCGCCGGAGAGGACACGCCGGAATATTGCGATGTCAACGAGTGGAAATACGCCGAGCGGTTGCTCGACCAGCGCTGCGGGACTGGGCGCGTGGGTACCGTGCAGATCCGTGGCAAGATCTACGGGAGGGGAGTCCACGGCAGCTATAAATGCTGAGAGTCGAGGCATGACGCCTTTGCTCCGTCGTTGCGCGTGGGTTGGTGGGTTGGTGGGTTCGAGGCTCGAGGTTTCGCTTCGCGCGAGTCGACTGGAAATATCGCTGACGGAGGTGTCGCCATGGTTTGGTTAGGTGTGTGGCTCTTGCCGGCCTGTACAGAATATGAAGAGACCTGCAGGTTTTACGGTACACGGAGTACGTAGTGACAGTCGTCATGCTTTGTTGTCTTTTCGTACGTCTTTTGTTTTTGTGGTGTTGAGGCCCGCCGCCGTCACGTGATGTTATGGAGGCGCTGAGGAGCTTTGAGTGGCCTGCGCGGGCTTTAGTAAGATTTTCGGATCGGAACGCTCGATATCGCGGAGCTCTGGTTTACACCACCGCGAGAAACAACCCTCAAACACAACAATACAATGAACTGAGTCAATCACTGCCTATTCCCGTCTGTCAAACGTAATTAGCAATTTATTGCTGTCGGGTGCCACCCCGCGCCGGCTCCCCCCCGGAGCTATCATGACTTCATCTACTACTCCTCGCATTCGTCGAACAGGACAAAATACTCAGTTTACGTGAGCCATGTCAGGGGCTCTATTTTTCGAGTAAACTCTCAAGGGCGCTAACAATTTGCCATCCACAGATATAATCTAGCACGGCGTGTAAACGACGTGCAAACATATCCGGTCCAATCGCCACAAGGGGCCACTATCCTGCTCTACGGTCACGAAAATGGCGTGACCGTCGTTTGGCGCGGCGGACGGCCCTTTAAACGCCAGAAAAAGAGCCCTGAACCCGAAAAAAAGCAAAACGGAACCACCGACGATGCCGTCATGATAATCGACTCTGACGAGGAGGAACCGCCCTCCAAGACCCAAACCGTGCACAAGTTTGAGGACAAACCAGAGTTTGAGGACAAGGATGAAGAAGCACCGTATCCAGAAGTTGTACAAACGCTGGACTTGACGCTGGGGACAGCGGTGTTGCATGTGGCAGTCATGTCGATGGCACCTTTCAGTCCCCAAGATCGGCAGAATGCGACTGGGACCCTATTGTCGGACAGGATGGTATTCGCAGTTTCCTGTGCGACGAACGATGTTTACGTCATCACTCTCCCTTTGACACCGCCGTCCCCTGAGAGCAAAGCGAGAGAAGAGCTTCGTGCAGGTCTGTTAGCTGGACAGGCTGGCTCCGGCGCCTGGGGGGAGTCCCTGGTTTTGCTGAGTGGCCAAAAGAAATATAGTGACGGGCTGGCTATTAGCCTGGTCCAGCAAAAGTCCTCAGATTCTGTTGACAGGGCGCCCTCGGCCGTGGTTGCGTCGTGCTCTCGTCAGGCATCTGGGATTCTGGTGCTCTGGGACGTGCCGTTGGATCCTAAGGCAAGGCCTGAACGGGCAGTTGAGCCCTTTCAGACTGAGTATCTTCGCCAACCGCTCTCCAGCATCTCATTCAACCCGTCGCAACCCACACAGCTACTCACCGTCTCCCCGTACCAGGCCGTGAGGGTGTATGACTACGCTGTGTCTCCTGTTCCTCTCGACCCGGAAGCTACTGGGCCTTTCCCGCCGCAAGGCTCATGGCTACTGTCGTTGTATCAGCCATTTTCTCGACCCGCCGCTTCCAGGAAACCAATTCTGGATGCGGCGTGGATATCACATGGCAGAGCCATCTTTACACTTCTTGCGGATGGCATGTGGGGAGTTTGGGACGTTGATGGGGTCAGGTCGTCTCCCGGAGGCGCAGCCATATCAAGTAAACTCTCACATGGCCTGAAAGGCGCTGCTCTGACAGCCTTTAGTATTTCAGGCTACATTGAGGGTACAGGCTCACTGCGGAGTGTGGCAACTCAACAAAAGGAAAACCGCAATGGGGAATTTGCACCAATGACGCCTCATTCTCGTCGCCAGGCCACTGCTTCCTTGAGCTCCACCAACACCTTTGACCGTTTAGCGGCAGTTCGAGGTGGTGTGAGGACGGTGGCCTTGCCGCCCAGAGGAAGGACTTTACCCGATGAGAGTCTAGTATTGTGGATGGGCGGCCTGGAGCACGTCTGTGTGATTGCAGGAATATTGAGATTCTGGGATTCACAGCTTCGAAAAGGCTCTGGCGGGGGCGTCAACCTGTTTAGTGGGGCGCAGCCGACGAGGATGGTTAAACTATCAGACCTATCTACCGGACTGTTGGGGGAGAGATGCTGTGGCGTCAGCCTGGTCCCGGCTTCCTCTAAATCTGGGGCATCATCGGAAGAAGATGGCGGATTGCCCGTGGATGTTGTCGTCCAAGGCGAGTCTCGGCTGGTTATTGTTCGCCAAGGGGAGGACGCACCAGGAAAGACCATCGCGCAACTGGCTGACAGCCGGAGAAGACGGTTATTCTTGGAAGGAGAGAGATCAAATGCCATCATTGTCCACGGTAAGCCGGACAGAACCACGAGCTTGTCATTTAACCTCAGTACCTCGAAACCAGGGACTTTACGACGCAAGTCTTCGCAAAGCGCCAAAGACGATTATACTGGCCCGTACAGAAGCTCGGACGATACTTTGCAGCTACCAAGCCGCTCCCGCATAGGCTTTGACTTCATGGGCAACCTGAACGCTGCCGCCGACGTCAAAGCTGACGTGACTGCTCGAAATGTGGAGGCCGAGATGCTTGATATTATGGAGATTGACCAAGTGCTGGACACCATGGAGGATAGCCGGGGGAGCGGACGAAAGAAGGTGTTTTTTGAAGAGGATTGAGATGTTGGCGAGGGCTTGAGATGACTGACCAGACAGTGTATGTCACACGAACATAGTTACGAGGTGGCTTGCACCGGGAGACACCATGTACGATACCCAGATATGAGGATTGATGGCAAGACGGTCATGCGGGAGGATAGGTTGAATATGTTTGCCCGGCGTCCTTGTAGCAGGACGTGCGCGTCATCCATCGCCAGGTTTGCGCGTCAAGGTCTGTTGTGTTTAATCTTGTTTCCGCACGGCAAGGTGGAGCGCAAGGCGAGACCCATCCTTGACGCCTCTGTATTCCGAGCGGTATATCAACCAAATTATATGCAAGACGAGTGCATATATTCGATGGCGTCGTACGTAGGGCCAGGGAAGAGGAGGACTACTTGATTGGACTGGATTCCTTCTTGGGTCCGAGTCCACGTCTTCGCCGAGAAGCTCTGTTATCTTTCAGTGAATGTGCCGGTTTTCTGGTATGCTCGATGAAAGGGATTTGACTTGGCTGAGCGAGACGCTGTCGAAACATGTAATTCGGCTGACGTTGTGATGTTGTGTGTTGCTGCTAAACTGGAGCAACGTTGGCATTGGACGACGCTCAGTGAGCCGCGAGCCTGCGCATAAAGTTTGAATATGTCTACTCTCCGTAAACTGGGCGCGTGCGATACTTGTAGAGAGCAAGGTAGTTGAAGCAGGCGCCTGCATTTTGTGCGTGGCGAGGATGTAGAATATTTCAACGTTGTTCTTTCATGCCAATGTTGGTTTTTCTCTCTTGCCATGGTTTCCCGTTTCCCACGCAGCCGAGCAAATGATTGGTCGTGTATTGACCACAAGCAGCAGCACCGAAGTGGGTCCGTTTTAAGAGCTCGCGGGAAGGAGCGCGTCAGAAGTCGCGGAATTTCTGGGTCGGCGCGGCAAGTCAACCGTCTCAATCGAGCTGCTTCATCCCACAAGGTCGCTCCAATTTCAAAGTTGACACAGGCAGAGACGGAAGAACCTCGAGCAGCCACCAGAAAATCTGCACACTTATGTGCCATCGGGATCCGATATCACGCCACAATCATGGGTATCAAGCAGCTCTTCCAGATCATCAAGGAGGAAGCTCCCGAGGCGATCAAGGAGGGGGAGATCAAAAACCATTTTGGTCGAAAAGTAGCCATTGTATGTTCACCTACCAACCTTTGCTGCCCTCCCGTCTCTTTTGCAAGGCAGCTTTTTTCTTTTTCTTCTTTGTGTGCGACTCACATTACGGGACAGGATGCCTCAATGAGCATATACAGTTTCCTCATTGCCGTGCGCTCCGATGGACAACAGCTCATGAATGACAGCGGCGAGACGACATCTCACCTCATGGGAATGTTTTACCGCACATTACGAATGGTCGACAACGGCATCAAGCCGCTCTACGTGTTCGACGGCGCCCCCCCGAAGCTCAAGTCTGGCGAGTTGGCGAAGCGGTTCCAGCGCAAGCAGGAAGCTACAGAAGGCTTGGAGGAAGCCAAGGAGACGGGCACGGCCGAGGATGTAGAAAAGTTTTCGAGGCGAACTGTGCGCGTGACGAGAGAGCACAATGCCGAATGCCAGCGGCTTTTGAAGCTCATGGGTGTTCCCTTCATCATTGCGCCCACGGAAGCCGAGGCGCAATGTGCGGTTCTGGCGAGGGCCGGCAAAGTATATGCTGCAGCCAGCGAAGACATGGATACTTTGTGCTTCAATACCCCTATTTTGCTCAGGCATCTCACTTTCAGTGAGCAGCGGAAGGAGCCCATTCAGGAAATCCATCTCGACAAGGTCCTGGAGGGTTTGAACATGGAGAGATCCCAGGTGGGTTTACTTCCCCTGCTTTCAGACCGGACACTGGGTTACTGCGATGAGACTCTGATCGACTAACGCAAGTTCCGCGATTTGAAAAAAACAGTTTGTCGACTTGTGCATTCTCCTCGGCTGCGACTACCTTGACCCGGTTCCGAAAATCGGCCCCACGACAGCTTTGAAGCTCATTCGCGAGCACGGAACGCTTGAGAAGGTGGTGGACGCTATTGAGAGAGACTCGAAGAAGAAGTACACGCTGCCAGAAGACTGGCCCTACAAGGATGCACGGGACTTGTTCTTTGAACCCGACGTCCGCAAAGCAGATGATCCACTGTGTGATTTCAAGTGGGACAAACCCGATGTCGACGGACTCGTTGCATTCCTTGTCACGGAAAAGGGGTTTTCCGAGGACAGAGTACGTGGTGCGGCTGCTCGCTTGGAAAAGAATCTCAAGACATCACAACAAGCACGACTGGAGGGTTTTTTTAAACCGATTCCGAAGACGGATGAGGAAAAGGCTGCTCACAAGAGGAAACTGGACGAGAAGCATGAGGAGAAAAAGAAGAAGCTGAAGCAGGACAAGAAGGACAAGGCTGCTCAAAAAGCGAAGCCTCGAGGAACGGCGTAGAGCATGGGCACGTGTGGTCTAGGTATGGGAGCAGCAGACCGTCTCTTCGCAAGGCTTGGCTGGGGAAGATATGCGGGATTCGGAGTTTTATAGGCATGTCTGCATTAGGGACCGAGAATACTAGGGATGAGAATACTGGGGCTAGCTGGGGCGTCTGCTTTGCTGATTCAATCAATCACAAGTCTGGAGTGCCGTGGTCAGTTGCTGGTGCTCGAGTCTGCATGGCGCACGTCCCGCAAGTGCCTCGGTCGAGCCGGAAGGCGGGCCCAACCTGGATGCAGTGTCCAATCAGCAGTGGCTGAATTCAAACCGCCATTTCCCCACACCGCAAATACGCGGCCGAGGGGAAGGGCAAGCTCCCGAGTCTGACTGACACCGCACCACACCACACCACACCGGCCTTGACGGACGTGGCATGTGATTGTGGAATGGCCGACTTGTTGGATTTAAGGGCCTTTGTGCGGCCTTTGACGCCATTTCTCTCTTCTTCCTTTTATCCGCAAAGCTTCACCCAAGCAGCTAGCCCATCATGTCCAAGGTCTTTACGACGAGCGACGTTGCGTCGCACAACAAGGGCGATGACATGTACATCATTGTCGACGGAGACGTCTATGATATCACCAAGTTCCAGGACGACCATCCCGGTACGTTTTAATTCCTTGTGCTGTTTTATCTTTAAAATTTGCCTCTCCTGTCCTCGCTAACCTCGTCGACGTGCCACTTCACAGGCGGCAAGAAGATTCTCCAGCGAGTCGCAGGCAAGGATGCCTCCAAAATCTTCTGGAAATACCACAACGAGGGCATCCTGAAAAAGTACAAGGGTAAGCTGCAGGTCGGCTCGCTCGACACCAAGCCCAAGCCTGTGCCCAAGGCCGAGCCCAAGCCTGCTGCTGCGGCGCAGGCTCCCAAGAAGGCCGCCAGCCCCAGTTCCAGCGATGAGCAGTCCGAGCCTCTGGAGCCCTTTGGGGCCATGATCCCCTTTGCCGACCCCTCATGGTACCAGGGCAACTTCTCGCCTTACTTCAACGAGACTCATGCCGCCCTGCGTGCCGAAGTCCGCGAGTGGATGGAGAACGAGATTGAGCCCAACGTCACTGAGTGGGAAGAGGCTAAGCGCGTCCCCGAGGACATCTACAAGGAGATGGGCCGCCGTGGCTATCTTGCCGGTCTCTTGGGCGTCGAGTACCCGACCGAGTATTTTCCCAACGGGGTCAAGTCGGTCCCTGCGGAGAAGTGGGATCTCTTCCACGAGATGCTGTTGACCGACGAGCTGTCGCGTGCCGGCTCTGGCGGTTTCGTCTGGAACTTGATTGGTGGCTTCGGCATCGGCTGCCCTCCCGTCGTGAAATTCGGTTCTCAGGCGCTCAAGGACCGCATTATACCCGGCATTCTCGCCGGCGACAAGCGCGTCTGCCTGGCCATTACTGAGCCCGACGCGGGCAGTGATGTCGCCAACCTGACTTGCGAGGCCAAGCTCAGCGAAGACGGCAAGCACTTCATCGTCAACGGCGAGAAGAAGTGGATTACCAACGGCATCTGGGCCGACTACTTCACCACGGCCGTGCGGACCGGCGGTCAAGGCATGAACGGCGTCAGCCTGCTGCTCATTGAGCGCGGCCCCGGTGTCAGCACCCGTCGCATGGACTGCCAGGGCGTCTGGTCCTCCGGGACCACCTACATCAACTTTGAGGACGTAAAGGTCCCTGTCGAGAACCTGCTCGGCAAGAAGGACAAGGGCTTCGGTGTCATCATGACCAACTTCAACCACGAGCGCATAGGCATCATTATCCAGTGCCTTCGCTTCTCGCGCGTCTGCTTCGAGGAGTCCGTCAAGTACGCAAACAAGCGTCACACTTTTGGCAAGAAGCTCATCGATCACCCCGTCATCCGTATGAAGCTCGCACACATGGCTCGCCAGATTGAGGCCTCCTACAACTGGCTCGAGAACATGATTTACCAGTGCCAGAAGATGGGTGAGCGCGAGGCCATGCTGCGTCTCGGTGGGCCCATCGCTGGTCTCAAGGCCCAAGCCACTGTGACCTTTGAGTTCTGCGCTCGTGAGGCTTCGCAGATTTTTGGTGGCCTGTCGTACTCGCGAGGTGGACAGGGCGGCAAGGTCGAGAGGTTATATAGGGATGTTAGGGCGTATGCTATTCCCGGTGGTAGCGAGGAGATTATGCTGGATCTCAGTATGAGACAGTCTATGAAGGTGGCTCAGATTATGGGTATGAAGTTGTAAGAGTTGATGCGGGGGGTGGCATGTGGCTTATTTAAACAGGGAGCATGTGAGGATAATAGGATGCATCCAATGTGTATGAGTTCATGGGAAGGGATTTGCGGCCTATTCTTTTTTCTTGTTCAGAAATAAACAAATACAAGTACACCTTGAATACCGGCTTGGCGTAGGGGTTGGTGACGGAGATAAATGAAGCAAATGAGAGATTTTTTAGAAGAGCTTTCGCTCCAAAATGGATCATCATGACGGCTGGGAGGTGTTTGCTGCCCCAAAGATGAGCTCACGTCATCTCGCAGCCCGAGCGACTTGCAGACTACTAGCGGCGATGTATTTGCGCATTGTGGAAAGGAACAAAAACGAAAACTCTTACAAGGCAAAAAGCTGAAATACTTGACCCCATTATGGACACACAGTTTGGCGAGTCAGGGGGCGAGGCAGGTGGTTTCGGTTCCTGAGGACCCCGCAATCACGTGACGAGAAAAGCTGCACCGCTCGTGCCGCACATCGCCATCCGTTTGCCTGTTGAAACTGGACTTTTGGAGCTTGACCACACTTCACCTGCACTTCCAACGACGACGACATCCGCTCGCACAAACAAGGGCCTCCCGCCGCAATTTCGACGAAAGACACACAACAAGCACAAAGACCCAGCACCAGTGCGGTGGCAGCCCAGCGTCAGGCCACCTGAAATATCTTTTGGTCCTCATCTTGCCGAGGGTCTTTCCTCCCCACAGCATCTTGACTACACTTGCCTCACTCCCAGACTTCTTCGTCAGCCCGCACTAGGGAACGAACCGGCCGCGAATCGAAAACAACGTCAGAAGGGCCCCTTCTTCGCGGCAGTCTTCTTTCCAGTAGCCAATCCGCATCTCAGCCTCCGTCTCGTAGTCCAGTCCTGGACTCGGTGTTCCATCTTATTCTCATTCTACATTTATTTTTTATTTTTTTTTATTTTCCTTTTCCCAAAATGACGGATCAGCTGGTAGATCAGCTGCGAAGCACACAAATCAGGTCCGTCTCTTTCTCTTGCACAATGCAGAAAGCTTTTGAATAAACCGCACGGACGTGTTCTACGCATTTGTATCGATTCTCCTTGGCTGCTGTTGCTGACTTTCAATGTAGCGATGGCATTCCCGTACAGACGGATGATTGGAAGAAGAACCTGAAGCTCCCTGCCAAGGATAAAAGACACCAGACAGAGGTATGCACATGACGGCCAGTCGGCGTTTTTCTCTTGCACCAGAATCTCCCCACATTGTTGGTTCTGTTTGGGCTAAAGAGGACTGTCCTCCCTTCCTTTTTCCTTCCAGGACGTTACGAAAACAAAAGGACTAGAATTCGAAAATTTTGCATTAAAGCGCGACCTCCTCATGGGCATTTTCGAGGCTGGTTTCGAAAAGCCCTCTCCTATTCAAGAAGAAGCTATCCCCGTTGCCCTGACCGGCCGGGACATACTGGCCAGAGCCAAGAACGGCACTGGCAAAACCGCCGCCTTTGTCATTCCTGCCCTGGAACGCATCAATCCCAAGGTCTCCAAAATCCAATGTCTCATCCTTGTCCCCACTCGCGAGCTTGCCATGCAGACGTCACAGGTTTGCAAGACTCTCGGCAAGCACTTGGGCATCAATGTCATGGTCACCACTGGCGGTACCGGTCTGCGTGATGATATCCTGCGTCTACAGGATCCTGTCCACATCATCGTCGGCACTCCTGGGCGTATCCTCGATTTGGCAGGAAAGAGTGTTGCCGATCTCAGCGAATGCCCCATGTTCATCATGGACGAGGCCGACAAGCTTCTGTCTATTGAATTCACCCCCGTCATCGAGCAGCTCCTGCAGTTTCACCCCAAGGATCGCCAGGTCATGCTGTTTTCCGCCACCTTCCCTCTGTCTGTCAAGGACTTCTCTGATAAGAACATGATCTCCCCTTACGAAATTAACCTCATGGACGAACTCACCCTCCGAGGCATCACTCAATACTACGCTTTCGTGGAGGAGAAGCAGAAGGTCCACTGCCTAAACACTCTCTTCTCCAAGCTTCAGATCAACCAGTCCATCATATTCTGCAACTCAACCAACCGCGTCGAGCTCCTCGCCAAGAAAATCACCGAACTGGGTTATTCTTGTTTCTACAGTCATGCTAGAATGCAGCAGCAAGCTCGCAATCGCGTCTTTCATGATTTCCGCAACGGCGTTTGCCGAAACCTTGTGTGCTCCGATCTTCTCACCCGTGGCATCGACATCCAGGCTGTCAATGTCGTCATCAACTTTGATTTCCCCAAAAACGCTGAAACATACCTCCACCGAATTGGTCGATCGGGCCGCTATGGTCACCTTGGTTTGGCTATTAACCTGATCAACTGGGACGACCGCTTCAACCTTTACAACATCGAGAGAGACTTGGGGACCGAAATTCAGCCCATCCCCCCCAGCATCGACAAGAGCCTTTACGTGTACGAGAATCCTGAATCTATTCCTCGACCGATTTCCAATCTTTCCAAGGACGCCCAGCCACAGCAACCAGGCGCTCCCCAGCAGTCCCTCGCTCAGCAACCACAGGGCAACTGGCAGAGCCAGAACGGCCACCACAACAACCCGTACGGTCGCGGACGTGGACGGGGTCGCGGTTACCGAGCACGAGGCGGTGCCGCCGGTGGCGGTCGAGGTCGCGGCCAGCCTCGTGAAGTTCAATCATGATATAATTTATCAAGCCCGCAAGTATTCTGAACAATTGTGGGCAATTATGAGAGGGTTGGGGAGCATAAAGTTGCCGAAGTCATTTTCTGATGAATCTTGTTTCTTGTCCAAGTAGGAGTAGTAGGGACGAGCAGAAGGCCGGACACATCTGTTGGATTGTACATTATTTGCACTTTTTTTTCTTGGCGAATCGGGCAGAACGGCGAACCGGATTTGATTGCTACTGGCCAAAAAACCCTTGCGGGTTGGCCGTTAAGCAAATGTTTTCTTCTTCATCCCCTATTAGCGTGCGTTTATGTGCGCAGCTCTGGGAAGAACGGTCCACGGAGACAACAGCACTCCTGAAGGAGGCTTTTGTCGTTGGTCATTTCTCTTTCTCTTTTCTATTTTCACTGGCACCGATTTGCATTGGTGCGGGCGATGTTTTTGGTCTTTTGACGTGTGGTGATGACCCTCGGGTTAGCTTCTCGATACATCATGTCTGCCGGCAGATTTCATGCCATGCCACGGCGGAGCATGATTCATACAAAACGAAACAGCTTTTCAGAAACACAAGGGGAATGGCAGTCACATGTCATGAACACAGATATCTCACGCGCTGTATTCGAGCTGTTGGCGTAGCTATTGCATTGGCACGGTGTTTCAGCTACGAGGGCACGGCGGAGAGGCGCATCAGGTTTTATTACTCGACTTTTTGTTTTTCCTTATCCTTGCTCTGGAGTTGGAGGGCTAAAGTGACTTTGCACCCGGGTCACACACAGGCGGGTTGGATGGACGACGGCCTCGTGAGGCCGAGGCTGGGGTGATGATACACACCACTGGATGACTGTTACGGTTATGAACAGGCTCGGTTTCGTTTGGGTGAGATGCCCTCGGCAGAAGGTAGAGATACAGGTGTGACCAAGCTGGTTGGTGTCACATCTCGGCGGTTGGATGGGACTCCTTTTTTTTTTGGTTTCTTTCATCACACCTACGACGATGTGAGGCGAAAGGTATGTTGGTCGCGTGTGAAGGCGACATGGGGGGCTGCTCTCAGGCAACCGACATGGTGGAAGGACAAGCTTTCGACACCGAGTCTGAAGGGTCAGCGGCGGGATGGGAGAACGACAAAGATGGGGTCATTGAAAATTTTGATAAAAAAATAGCTTTCGGGACAAAAGCTGGATGGCTGGGTATCTCCGAATCAGGCTGGTGAACAGCGGCCCAGTTGGATTGGACGGTTTGTTTCCAGCGAGGACTGATGGGGTAGACAGTTTGTCTGAGCAGTAATGGGAAACCAAGTCTTGTCCCGACCTGATGGCGTCGACCGTTGACCGTGGACCGTGGACCGTGGACCGTGGACCGTTGACGGTTCGTGGAGTGGAGTGAAAGGCACAACGGGCATTCGCGTGTTTGCGTATTCGGGGATTCATGCTTCCCACGCTCGACAAGTACAATCAATCAATCAGTCAGTCAATCAATGTAGGCAACATCACCAAGGTCCTTCGATCAAAGGCTCGCCTGACCCGCGCGCCGTGCACACCAGCACAAACGGCGCGCAGGCGAGCAGGCCGCGAGGGCAGACCGAAGAACCACAGGCGCGAGGGGATCAAACCCCCCCCTTTCGCGACGTTTCGTCTTCGGATGAAATGAGAGCCAAGTGAAGTGGCACGGGGGAGAAGGGTGGTCCTGGTCCAGTGGCCCAACTGTAGTCCGAATAGAGTCGCGGCCATCCTTGGGCCTCGGAACTCTGCTTTGCTTCTTTTTCCTCGACGGTGCGCGCCGCGCTGCCCGAGGAGGCTCGTCCGATCGAGAAGGGCGTGGCGTGGCGTGCTCCTGGACGATGCCACTTTGGGAAGGGCGAGGCAGAGCGTGGCAGAGAGATGCAGAGCAAGGCAGAGCAAGGCAGAGCGCGACTCGGGGGTGTTTGAAGACATCTAGAGGGACACGATGCGCAACCGTGTCTTTTTTTTTTTGAATTTTTGAATTTTTTGAATTCTTTTTTTCCGAGGCACGCTGGCGTGGAGCGGTGATGACTGAGACAGCCGTGGGTGCTGATTCCTGAACATGGGCGCTGTCACACCAGAAAACGGGTACGATCTTGTGCGGCAAGCCACCTTGTGCCACGCGACAGGAGCTACGGGGCGTGGTGAAACTGTTGTGAGATTGAAATGCAGTCCTGGCTCTAAACACGCTATGATATAACTACGAGATGTGACCCCTCCGAGAAGAACCCGTCCGCGGTGGAATCTATGCCAATCAGAAAGGAAGAGAAAAGCAAAGAAGCCAGGAAGAAAGGAAGAGAAAGGGAAAAGAGTACGATACAGAGCCCAGTGACCCAAGAGCTATTTCATCTGGCCTCGCAATGCATCAACCTCCCTCTGCAAAGCGTCCAGATCCGCCAGGATGTCCGCGCTCTTGCTCGGATCGGCGACGTACGATTCGCTGCTGGCGTTCCGCGCGTCCGTGTTGGGACTATTCCCGCAGTGTCGTGGCGGAGGGGGCGGGGGCGGAACGCCGTCGCGAGATTTGTTCTCCGAGGAGACTCGCCGGCTTGGTGCATCGACGCCGGTCACGCTGGGCGGTCGGCGGCCGGAAGGCTGGCGCGCTGGCGGGGGAGGCGGTGCGGGTGAGGCTTTGCTGGGAGTTGGGCCGTCGTGTGAGCATCGAGAGGCGTCTTGTACTTGGTCCGTGGAGGAGGATGCCAGTATGGCGCTGGCGGATGTCGTGCTCGTCGACGAGGTTCCCGTCTGTCTGGGAGTGGCATGGGGTCGTCGAGGCGGAGGGGGCGCCGGAGCAGGTCCGGTTGAGCGGGTGTTGTCCGATCTGTTGGGCATGCCGTCCGGGGACGTCCGTTGCGGAGGAGCCTCGTTGTCGTGGGATTTGCTGTCTGTCCTTGCGTGGCCGCGCGGCGGAGGTGGTGCCGGCGCTGGCCTTTTTGTGCCCGAGACAATCGGGTTGGAGTCGGTTTGCGGTCCAGCATCTGCTTCTCCCCCCGCCACGTTTGGGGCTTCGGGACTGGGTGGTGGTGGTTCGTCGTGGTCCATGCTTATCCCTGCTGGCAACGTTGTTGTAATCCCATCATCCTCCATTACATCTTGCAATTCTGGCTGCTTGAGTGACTTCCCGTGTCTGGAGCTTGGTGGAGGCGGCGGCGCCTTCTTGTCCCTGCTCAGGGGTTGTGATGGCACAATACGTGTCTTTGATTCTTCCTGGTCCTCATTCTCGTCTGAGGAGTCCACCGAGCTCTCTGGGTACGCGTGGTTCCTGGCCGTCGCATCCGTCTGGGTCGTAGATGGCATGTTCTTGATAGCTTCCTCCTCGGCATCTGTTGGTGCAGGGAAAGTATCATGACCCGCATCTCCCGTCATGAGCAGCCTCTTGAACGAATCAACGTTCAAGGACTTGCGGCCCTCGTTGGCAGCTTTCAGTGCCTCTCCTTCCTCTTTGCTCTCCCTTTGCGGGTCCCTGGGGCTGGTCGTGTCCTGTAGCGTCTTGTTGAACGGATTCGTGGGGATGCCGCCGGATCTTCCGTCCTGCTGCTGGAGCGGATGCTGGTATTTGCCCGGCGGTGGAGTGGTAATGCCCTCGCCATCGCTCTCGTCCGTCAGGGCACCATTGAACGGATCAAAGCTCGGTAGATAATTGGAATTACTGTAGGCGTCGTCAGATGGCGGCACCGGCTTGAACGGCCACTCGGGAGAATCGGGTGACAGCGGCGGCGGCGAGAGCACCCGGACCCTTTTCGTGGGCTTGCTCTTCCTGTTACCGGCCTGGACGTCTTCGCTGCGCATGCTCGACCTGGGCGAGCTAGCTCGGGCCGTGTCGATGGTTCCAAGAGCCTTTTTACGAAACGGGTTGGAGGACATGATGTCGTCTTGCGGGCGAACGGTTTGGTTTCGCAACACTGAGGTGGGAAATAAATTTAAAGGTGACGTGCGTGCTTGTAAGAGCAACTGAGTCGTTGGCAAGATGCAAACCACGTTTCAGGAAAGGCGGGCTCAGGGCCAAGATGACATGGAAGCCAGCATTTCGGAGTGGGCGTCTTTCTTTTTTCTTTTTTCCTTTCTTTTTCTTCTCCAGTATATGCCCGTCTCGTTTCTCTCGTGAATTTTCCGATGTCGTCCCCCTCCCCCAGTGGCGGGCGATCCTGGCGTGGCTGCGGGAATGGTATGGTCGAAGGAGGAATGACCGAGGTGGCCCGTTCGTATCGAGGGTGAGGATTCTAGGAGCTCTGGTTCGGACAAGAAACGAAGCTGGCACCTTAGCGCAAATCAGCAAGGTGACCTTGGGCAGCACGTACAAGTGCAAGGGGAAGACACCAAAAAAAAAAACGAACCGTTGCGGCAATGACGTGGTTCTGCACGGCAGCGACCGGATCAATCGGCTGGGGCGTGATGACTCTGACGAGGGAGCTTCCAGGCTCCAGATGTCGAGCCGTCAATGACCTGTCGCCAGACAACCAGCGACGGAGCCTATTCGAGCTCGGCGATGAGCGCTTGTGCGGCGATGTCTTGGTGTATGGCGCTGTGAGCATCCACGCATGACAGCTCTGGGAGCTGCCGTGTAATAATAGACTGTAGCAACTCTGTAAGTTAACTGATCTCTGGTCTCCGTGTCCTTGTCGGGCTTATCGACAGCCACTCTGCACCCACCGTGTCGAGTGCGGGGCCAGGCAGAGACGACATAGACGTGCCTGGCTCAGTCACAGGCGCCCATAATTACGTGCATAAAATACCGAGTACTCCGTACGGAGGGACTACCTCAGCACTTGCGACGTTGTGATGCCTCCCCCGTTAGACATGGCCCACCTCGCTAAGCCAATAACCAGAACTAGTTTCTACTACCGCGGACTGGCCCCACCCAAGTGGCGCTCGTCTCTGTCAGCCAGTAAGCCCCACGCTTCTGTGCGCCGTTCCTGGCCTCACCTAAGAATAAAGTATGGAGTACCCAAGTACTTAAGTGCCTACCTACCTAGGTACTTGAGTAGGTGGTTTGACGTTGTGAAATTCGCACCAGGCCTAGGGTAGCTGCCCCAAGGCATCGTCATCACCCAGTAGTACTGCAAAAAAAAAAGGGCAACGTGTGAAGAATGTGTAAAAATAAAATGAGAAAGAAAGAAAGAAAGAGAGAAAGGGAGAGGGAGAGAGATAGGGGGCAAGTATACGACACACGGAGTCATCATCACTTGACTGACCAGAATATGGTGTACAATTCATGCGTCGACTTAGTGGAGTCATCGGTGACCCAGCACCCAATTGCCAAAATAGGACCACACACGTCACGTGACCCCCACGTCGCCAACGTGTAAACAAAACCCACCCCCCCAATTTCCAACGCACCGCGTCGCAATCTTCCGCCTCGCCACTCCTAGCGGATGCGCCCAGCAAAAACAAACAAAAAAAAAAGCTCAGTACCGAGTAGGCCGTTGCACGATTCACATCAGAGTCCATTTATGTGTTTCCCTTCCTCCCGCACTGAGCCTTGTGGTATATAATTACACGTAGCGCCATCCTGCAGACAAAGCTAAAACACCCAGTCACTAGCAGCGACCTTGGGTAAGTAACAATAAAATAAAATACCATCGCGTGAGGAAAACCAATGCCGAGTTCTCCCTCCGTATTTCTCGTACCCAAAACGTCGAGAACTGCACCAACACAGATTCGACATTCAGAGTAGTTCCAAACACAACGAGAATAAAAGCAAAACAAAAGCATGGCTGCTTCCCGATTTGGGCGACGAGGCTCTTCTCAGTTGACGCATGAAATTCTTCGTCCTTTTCTTCTCAGCAACCGAATATCCCACACGCAAATGCCTCTGCCTCCATGTCCTGCGCCGTGTGTGCGCGTATCAAAACAAGCCATATTGTCCCTGCCGCTCCCGCCCAAAACAGTAATATTCCCGTGAACCTGCCCCTCCCAAGTCGTGACCTTAAACAAACAAAACATACTGAACAAAATACCATAACGCCGTAGTCCAGTCATTAATCAAGAAAGTGCACATGGCCACAAATGAAAACCGCTGGCCTATGCCTTGGCGGCGGCCTTCTTAGGAGTTGCCTTCTTTGGTGCAGCAGCTTTCTTAGCAGCGGGCTTTGTGGTCTTGGCGACCCGACCAGTTTTGGTCTTGGTCAAGGCGGCGTCCTTGTCAGCCTGGGAGACGGGTTAGAACTCAACACACACCGGGACAGCATCTCTTCGGCGCAAACAAAAACGTACCTTAGCAGCCGGCTTCTTGGCAGTCGCAGCAGGCTTCTTTGGAGCGGCCTTCTTGGCGGCAGGGGCAGTCGCGGCCGGCTTCTTCTCACCGGCGGGCTTCTTGGGGGCGGGCTTCTTGGTGGTGGCCTTCTTGACAGCGGTCTCCTTCTTCGCAGCTGGCTTCTTAGGCTCAACCTTCTTCTTGGCTAGCTTGGTGCCGCCAGAGGGACCCTTGGGCTGGGCAAAGACGCCCTTCTCAACACCTCCCTTCAAGGCTTTGTTGAAGAGAGAGTCGAACATGTTGTCCGAGACATTTCCCAGATTGTTATTGGCTTTGACATACTTCTTCAGGGACTGACGGCTGGAGCCATTGCGATCTTTCAGCTACAGAGGTCAAGTCAGTAAGGCGAATTGATCATAATGCCGTCACCCGCTGGGCTGCTGCTGCAAGGAGGAGCCGTGATTCAGAGACGCGATTGTGAAACCATGAATCCAGGCCACCCACCCCGTCGTCTTCGTCATCAAGCCGTCGCCAAATACAACGCGCCCAAGGGTACATGGATGTCCAGACATACGTTGACGATGGCATCAGTGATCATGTCCTGGTGTGAATTAGCACGCGCGACTTCCCAGATGCTGTTTTCTTTTGTTTTGTTCTCGAGGAAAACAAAACCAGAACCAGGACCGACCGCGACTAACCTGGTAGGTGGCATGAGTGGACTTGGTCTTGGGGGCGGCAGCGCCTTCGGCCTTCTTGGGAGGCATCGTGATGAATGTGCCGGAAAATGGGAAATAAAGGTGTAAGTGAAGTTGTGAGAGCTGAGCCTTGTTTCGATCTGGAAACAATTTCACAATATGTATCTACACCGAGAGGATGGTAATCTTTGGGGGGAATCTAGTGAGAGCAGGGATAAATAGGAGCGATGCCATCGGGCGCGTTGAGGGGATGGGCCTTGTTTATATATCGGGCGGGGGGAGGAGCGCAATCAGTAGCTCTTTCCTCTGTCGCGCGCAGGAGGTCCAAGGTGCGGCGTGGGCAGCCAGCCCAGCCCAGTGGTTCTCTTCTTTCACCTGGGGGCGTGCGGCCAACAGCCAAGCCAACGGACAACCCACACCAGTGCTCCGTACTAGCAGTACTACTAGCAGTAGTGGGAGTGCACCGCACTCACACATGTTAAGCACCGACTTGCCTACTTACCTTAAGTAGGTCCCTACTTACTTAATAAGTACCTAGGTAGATAACGCACTAGGCACCAATGTACTTACCGGCACGGGGACACACGGGTTGGCTGGAGGAATATGACCGTGCGGAGCACGGAGCACGATAGAAGTAGTAATAACAACATTACTACTTTCCCACGGAGTGCTACTGCGAGTGCAAGGGCGAATCTGCCGAGAAAACGGGAACTGGCGCATCGCCCACCCCCCGAGCTTGAGCTTGCCTTGCCTTGTTTCGCGCCAGCTCGTTCCAATGTCCAATGTCCCGAGAACGGGTGCAATGGTGTGACGGCTCCAGGACTGGCTGAAGCGGACGAGAGGCAGGCGAGCAGGCCATCAGGCGGCGAGCCCTATTATCGTAAAGTACGGAGTACTAGTAGCACTATGCAGTCTGACACCCGTTGCATCCATCGCTGCACCCAGCGCCCAAGCTACCGTTCCCGGCCGGGGGGGGGGCCATGATCTTGACGCGCGACGTTGCGCCACAATGTCGAGACACTCGCCCGCGCTGTGGTACCGAGAACATAGGCCAGGTGGTGGCTGGTGATCAGCCCGAGTCATCTGGTTCTGTTCTTTCTTTAGCACTCGGTGCCATCGAGTGCTCAAGTGGCCCGCCAGAGCAGACCCCGCTTCCCTCTTATTAATTTGCCTCCTGTTTTACCTACTAGGTAAAACTTTTCTCCGGGGTCGTCGCGCAGCCCCGGCTCCTCAGCCACACCCTCGTACCCAACTACAAGTCCTCCCCAGGTCACGCCGCCTGCCCCTCTGCTCGTGGCGCGGCATGGCATGGCATGGGTCCTGTCACCTGGGAACATGCATGTTATGGCCTAAAGTAAAAATCGGCGCCATTTCTTTGAAAATAATACCTGTCCCGTGACCAATTTTCTGATTGGCCATCCTTGATCAACATCACCTCTTCGTCAGTCTACCCAAACTTCTGATCCGAGATGGGTTGAGGAGCGACCGCCCACCACCCTCTCGCCCCTTGAATTCTTTTCCTTTCGTCTCTTCCTTCTCCTCCCCCCACCTCCTTCGTAATTAATTCGCACCCTCCATTACGATTTCCATGAGTCATTTTTCCCACCCCCCCTTGCGACCGGTTGTATAATTGTTGCGCCATGTTTCCATTTGCTAACTTGGAAGCCGTCTTGACCTGAATCTCCAGCCCCGTCTTGATACTCGAGACGTCTTGAGCTGCTCAATGTCGCAATCTGGACTCTGCACTCCTTGCCGTGATGAATTATCGGCGTTTGTGCGTTGTGGATCGTCCGTCGCCATCAGGTGACGCTACTTTGCTGCCCAGTTCCGCGCGTCTATGCCGTAGACCGACAATTTGAGCAAATCCTTCCATGTGACTTTTTTTTCTTTCTTCTTTCTGCACTTCTCTGGGGCGTCGCGCTCAGATGGGCCATCTACACCGCCAAGCCATCGCCGCCTCTCGAGAGGAGCTTGTGTTGACGTGAAGCCATCTACACTCTTCGTCCTCGCCAACCAAATTGCCACGCCGTAGTCTTTGCAAGTGTGGAAAAATGCCGCCTTTGACGCCTTGTATCCGGCTGTCATCGCCATGCTCACATGCTTGGGGCGATTTTTGATCTAACTCGACCCTGTAGTCGGTTTTGCTGAGCGCATTCGTTTTGCGATGCGACCGAGACGCCACATTTCAACTGGGCGCACATCGCAACCAGTTTGCACTCTCGTGAAATCTTGTCTGAACATAATGCCATCCTCGATTCTCACTTGGAAAAGCTTGAAGCCAAGAGTATGCTTGTTTCCGTTTTCTTTGTTGTCGTGGCTGGGCATTTGCGGACACGCGCTCGTCGCGTCGGGCGGCCAGGATTTGCGTTGCGACCGCCCCCTCATTTATCCAGACAACGCGAGGAGGCAGCAACACGGGGGAGCCGAGTCTATTAAATACGGCCGGAAAACGATGAAACGACGTTTCCATCTACGTATTCATGCATTTTTTTGCCGGCCTAGGCCGCCCTGCTCTGGGAACTGGGCTGTCCGGCGGCGTTGCCTCGGATGCCACGATGGCCTCGGCGCGACTGACGCGGGGAGGATTCATTTGCGACACACCGCGTGACCGGGTGAGAGGGGAACAGGAAGAAATACAAACAACCACGCCAGCTCGCTGCGACAGCTTTTCCTTTGACGCAATCGAGCTCATGCCAGCATCGCCACTCGACGGCTTTCTGGTGGTTGTCCCGCGTAATCTCCCATTTACTACTGGCCTCGGCGCGCAGGAGCAACTTGGCATGCACTCGACTACGGATCTGTGTAGACATGGCCGACATGCCACCCTCGCGCTAAACCGAGGCGATTGCTGTTCAAACCCTTGAAAGACATTGTATGAACTGCGAAGAGGCCCAGGGGACAATAGTTGATGAGGATTCCCACCATGTAGAGCGGCTTCTTGCCGGTTTCCGAATCCCCATCCATGCGAAACGTATGCTTCTCAAGACCTTCACCGTCGATATAAAGCTGTGCCGTGGCGGCATTACCCTCTCAAAAGGTTGACTGTAAACCTGGAGCATGCAGCGCCGTGCGGTGCAAAACCACTCCGGCGAGCACGCACGCTCGCCATCAAAGCTGGGCTGTTGCGCTCACTCCGTGTCCTGCCACTGCCCTCGGGTTGCCTCGTCTCGACGACGTTGGGGCCACCCGACTTACACGCGGTGTCGTGGGTGAGGCCGGATCGGAGCGCATGTGACCGCACACGTGGACCGACGACCTGGCTCGGGACCCACGCTCTACTTACTAAGCAGACCCCGAAGTATTCTCCACCCCCCACAAGTCAGGACACAACAGCAACCCCGAATGCCGCCCGTAGTTACCCCGAGGCACACAGAGGAGACGCCAATCAGGAGCCCGGAGGCTTGGACCAAGTTGAAAAGAAGCCAGCCGCTTGCCTACGATCTCCAGGATTGACGTAGAATGATCGTAGACTGGCCGCTGCTCAAGGCAAAGAAGACGGAAGGAAGCTATTCCTCCGCGTCGATGCCCGAGAATTTTTCCCTTGTCGCTCTCCCTCTTTTTTTTTTTTTTTTTTTTTTATTTATTTGTCGTTGCTAGTGAATTAGCAAAATTAGTCCACTACAAAATTGTATTACACACTTCATTTACTCTGTACCCTTTTCTCCTCAGACATCTTGACTGCCGCTGGCTCCCCCATCTACATCTAGATTTCTGGATGCGAAACAGCTCTAGTATGTATATATATATAAGTATGAGGACATGGCTTGCCAGGAACCCGTGGCACGCTGACAAAATAAGGTGGAAAAGGGTCTGGTTGAAGCACCCAAGTTGGAAAGGACAGGTGTCAAGGTACCTACTAGGGACCTACCTAGGTATTTAGGTACCTAGGTAGGTACGTACATGCGGGCACCGAGTTCCGTGAAATACTCTTGTCAAAGTCATCCTAGCGGCCAAGTCCCTCTTTGACCACTGAAGACTAAGTAAGTGCGGTGGGTAACCGCTGCAGACCTCAGGCACTCAAGTACTCTGTACCCCACGCTGCCCTGCCCACCTGGGCGCCTGTACGCCGCCCTCGCGTCGGTGCACGTTTGCATTGAATACTCCAAGCACGTACTTAAGTACTCAAGTATCCGGGAAGTACCCTGCTTCTACTTACCTCCTATAGGTAAGTACTTAGTAGGTACCTACCTTGCCTGAAGCAGTCTGGTCTGGTGTCTGGTCCGAGATTCTGGTGGTCTGCTCAGCAGCACCTCAACAACTCGAGCTGCCATCTTCACGTCCACTCTCGATCTCCAGTCACCACCGGACCTCCTTTCCCTCGGCAGAGGCTTGCCTGAGCCGCCGTCCTCCTTCACCAGCGACAACACCGTTCCTCACCATGGCCGACTTTTCACAGTACCACGCCTTGGGCCAGGGCATCGCCGACCCCAACGATCCCAACCGCACCAATCCTCATCCTTCCCGTCACCAGCCCTACTCGCAACAGCCTCCTGGTTACGGATACGGAGCTACTGCTCCTGGCCCGTATGCTTCTCAACCACAACAACCATCACCGTCATCTTCCGGTGCTGCCTACCCGTCTCCCCACGGTCAACCTGACCAAGCCTTCCGGGGAGGCTTCGCACATGATGCGCCTGCATCTGTATCCGCCGCACCTGATCCCGGCCTCGCCTCGCAAATGGGCGCCCTGAACTTGGCTGATGGACATGCCACGATCCGCAAGAAGAAGAAAGACCGCCATGCCTACCACACAGTCGAGCCGACGGGCTCCTCCCAGGCATTCAATGGCATCGGACCTCCTGGCTCCAACCCGAACCAATTCATCCCTACCGCTGCTCCAGGAACCCCGAGTGCTCCAGCCTTCGGACCTCAAGCTCAGTTCGCCAGCCCCCAGGGCACTCCGCACATGATGAATGCTGGCCAGTTCTCAACTCCAGGGTATTTTGGCGCCGGCAACGGAAGTGCCGACGCTGCTGCCACAATCTCGACGTCGGGCCCATCCAAGGTCTCTCTCGAGGACATGCCGAGTGTGCCTGTGTCTCGCGACTCGGTTCAACCATACTTCCTAAAGAACGTCTATCCTACCTTTGAACGTCATGTGCCGCCCCCCGCGACCGTCTCCTTCGTCGCCTTCGACCAGGGCAACGCCTCCCCCAAATTCGCCCGGTTGACCTTGAACAATATCCCCGCCACCTCGGACGGGTTGCACGCCACCGGTCTTCCCCTTGGCCTTCTCTTGCAGCCTCTGGCACCCTTGCAGCCGGGCGAGGCAGAGATTCCTGTTCTCGATTTTGGCGATGCCGGCCCGCCACGATGCCGTCGATGCCGCGCCTACATCAACCCCTTCATGATGTTCCGATCCGGCGGCAACAAGTTTGTATGCAACTTGTGCACGCACCCCAACGACACACCTCCCGAATACTTCTGCGCCACGAGCCCGCAAGGTGTTCGTGTAGACCGAGACCAGCGACCCGAGTTACACCGAGGTACCGTCGAGTTTGTCGTGCCCAAGGAGTACTGGACCAGAGAACCAGTGGGCTTGCGCTGGCTGTTCCTCATCGATGTAACACAGGAATCATTCAACAAGGGCTTCTTGGAGACCTTTTGTGATGGCATCTTGGCTGCCATTTACGGAGGAGAGGACCAGGAAAAGGATGGGAATGGCGAGCCAAAGAGACGGCTCCCTGAAGGCGCCAAGGTTGGATTCGTCACCTATGATAAAGATATTCACTTTTACAACATGCATGTGAGTGTTTTTTTTTTTTTTTTTTTTTTTTTCTGCCTTGAAATTGGCCAAAAAGCGTTGCTAATATCGCCTAAGCCTGGTCTCGATCAGCCTCAAATGCTCATCATGCCGGATCTGGAGGACCCCTTCCTTCCTCTGGGCGAGGGTCTCTTTGTTGATCCGTACGAATCCAAGTCAATCATCACTTCACTCTTGACACGATTGCCTGAAATGTTCTCCAAAGTGAAGAACCCGGAACCTGCACTTCTTGCTACCCTGAACGGAGCTCTGGCGGCGCTAGAGAAGACTGGTGGTAAAATTGTTTGCTCCTGTTCTGCACTGCCCACCTGGGGTCCCGGCAGGCTTTTTATGCGTGATGACGGCAATCATCCCGGAGGAGAACTGGATAAAAAGCTCCACACGACTGAGCATCCTGCTTGGAAGAAGGTGGCAGAGAAGATGGCGGCCTCTGGCATCGGCGCCGATTTTTTCCTCGCTGCTCCTTCTGGCGGCTACCTCGACATTGCTACTATCGGTACGTTCTTCACTTGGGATGGGCTTTAGAGGTTAGGTGGATGACTGGCTAAACTCCCCCCCCTTTCTTCTTCCATCTAGGTCACGTTGCGGCTACTAGTGGCGGAGAGACGTTCTACTATCCCAACTTCATCGCCCCAAGAGACGGTCCCAAGTTGTCTGTCGAGATCAGTCGTACAGTGGCAAGAGAGACGGGTTTCCAAGCACTGATGAAGGTTCGATGCTCCAACGGCCTGCAGGTATCGGCATATCACGGCAACTTCGTCCAACATACTTTTGGGGCCGATCTGGAAATAGGCGTCATCGACTCGGACAAGGCCCTGGCAGTCTCGTTCAGCCACGATGGCAAGCTGGATTCCAAACTCGATGCCCATTTTCAATCCGCCCTGCTGTACACGACCGCTTCGGGCCAGCGCAGAGTTCGCTGCTCCAACGTTATTGCCAGCGTGAGCGAAACGTCTAAGGAAGCCGGCATGCGGGAGCAAGGCATCCGAGCGTGCATGAAGTTTGTTGATCAGGACGCAGTGATTGCGCTCTTGGCCAAGGAAGCGGGCACGAAACTCGCCACCTCGTCAAGCAATCTCAAGGACATTCGAAACTGGCTTTCCGAACGGACCATTGATGTTATGTCGTGCTATAGGAAACACTCGGCACAACAACACCCGGCCGGCCAGTTGGTGATGCCAGAGAGACTAAAGGAGTTCTGCATGTACATGCTAGGATTGGTAAAATGCAGAGCCTTCAAGGGCGGCATTGAGAATTCAGACAGGCGGGTCCATGAAATGCGCATGCTCCGTTCCATGGGCGCCTTGGAAATCAGCTTGTATCTCTACCCTCGCATGATCCCGCTCCACAACTTACAACCCGACGAAGGGTTCGCTGACCCGGAGACGGGCCACTTGAAAATGCCCCCTTCATTACGAGCGTCATTTTCGCGCATCGAGGCCGGCGGTGTGTATCTTGTTGACAACGGTCAGCAATGTCTCCTGTGGTTCCACTCTCAGACATCACCAAACCTCGTCGCCGACCTGTTTGGCGAGGACAAGGACTCTCTGAAGAGCCTAGATCCATACACATCATCACTACCCGTCCTGGACACCCACCTGAACGCACAAGTTCGCAACATTGTCGAGTTTCTCAAGACGGTGCGCGGCTCCAAAGGCCTAACCATCCAGCTCGCTCGACAAGGAATCGACGGTGCCGAGTTTGACTTTGCTCGTATGCTGGTAGAGGACCGCAACAACGAGGCACAAAATTATGTGGACTGGTTGGTCCACGTGCACAGGGGAGTGCAACTCGAGGTACGTTGTTGCTTGCAATGCCCCCCCCCCTTTTTCCTTTCTTTCCTTTGCCCTTTTCTCTCAGATGTAAAACAGCACCATTCTAACCATGCCATGCTTCCAGCTGAGCGGTCAACGTAAGAAAGAAAGCGAGACTGATTTAAATACCCTGTCCAACTTTACCGGACTCAGACCAACAATGTGGTAGTGGAAGAATCGTGATCAAAACAAGAAGGCGGCGATACGGGCACAGCCACCAAGCGGTGGGGAACATGAGCGGCCGTGTAACACGTACAATCATGGATGAAGAGGGGCTCCAAAAAGAAAAGAAGAGGGCAACAAAGGGAAAACCGGAAGGCTCGCATGTGTGTGTGGCTTAATTTTGACGACCTGAAAAAGGCGCAGAGCATCGGGAGCTACCGCATCATCAATCAACTGTTTTGGGTAGGCAGTTTACACGTTATCGTGTGCAACACAATGACAAAAACAAGACCAGTCATACAAGGTTGAGACAAGAAACGTCTTGCCAACGGGCGTGGACATGTTGCAACTCTTCTACACCTGCAGTACTCCGTAGGGAGGGATGCCATCTGACCTCGGGCTCTATTCTTTTTGTTGCCCCTTCAGCCAACTTTGACGCATCTTCTTCGCTGTGCGGGTTCGTTTCGGGATATTCAAGTGGCTCCTCGACCCTCGACGAGGTTGCCCTTCGCCTCGGCTGCCCTATGTGTTGTGTCATCTGCTTCCGCTTCGGGCTATTCCAAATCCCTCTCTCCCCTTCTCTACAAGTCGTTCGCGTGACCAGCAGCCAAGGCAGGCAGGCAAGCATCTTTGGGCCGCCGGCCACAAGGGCAACTTGATGGAGCAATTGTAGTACTCCGTATGCAGCAGCTGTGAGATGAGCACAAGGCACATGCATGGATGTGTATGCTTGTCTCGGAACTACAGCTGCAGCATCGGACCGCAAAGAGCCTATAATAAGTACGTGCTTGGACCGAGGCGCTGGAGATCGAGGATAGATCAGATGTATAACCAAGACATAGAGGGCATTATATGCCAAGTGACGAGTTTGATTACTGGACATGATTGATTGATTGAGTCCAACAGGCCTGCGGACTTGCCCAGGAGGACAAGCACATAGCCCGCAGCAAACAAAACAAAAGCAAGGAAAAGAAACAATGTTTCGGCCTCTGCACCGTCACATTGGGTTGGGAATGTCGGTTATTTCAGTTGGAGCCATGTGGTGGACGTGTTCAAAACGACCACCTCGAATTAATTGCGCCAACGCAGGACATGCTGCTGCCCAGAGACTGCCAGTGTCACATACTAACTAGTAGCACTCCGTAGGCTGACTTACATGCCCAAGGCCTCGCTCACAGCGGAGTGGATTGGCACTTTCAAGCATCTCCTCCCGGCGGAGACGTGGCCCAGCCCAAGTGACATCTGACGAGACACGAACCAGCAACATGGGCCGGGGGGAGGCAGAGGGGTGTGTGACCAGGTGTGGTATAATGTCTCAGGGATCACGACTGAAATGGACGAACATCAACGACGATGGCGGGCGTTTCTGACACTAGCTTCCAATCATGGCCCCGTGGCAACCGAATCACAGCGCAGTTACAAGGTGTCAGACGTAAGAGTCGAGTGAAAATCGGTCAACCGACCTTTTGGTATTGCAGAAATATGCAGAGGCGCGGTTTTGTGGGGACGGTGCATGTTTTGGATTATCTCTATTTGATAGTCTCGACGAGTTGATGTGAGCCTGACCAAGGGATCCGTCTGTGATGACGATTTGAACCTCACTTCCAGAGAGCCACGACCCACCACCGCGTTCGATGCGTCAAATGTGTGTTCCAGTTGACTGGGGGAAAAACAAAAATGTACTCCATGGTGAACTTGGACAAGTAACCAATCGTACAATCGTACTGCAAGCCGGCTGCATGCAGACAGAACAGGGTCTTGTTCCGTCATCACCATGAGCCTAACAACAAACCAACCACCATCAGGTGCACAGTGCTATCCAGAGTCGTTGGCGGGAGAAGAAAACGGGACAGAGAAAACGGAAAGGAAAGGGAGGCAAAGACGAACAAAAACAAAACGGGGTTGAACAGGACAGCCGTGTTCTTGGAATAGCATACGTGCAACGAAGCGCCACGCCGATGATGGAAAGCCAATCCTTCAAGGCTAAACAGTATCGACGGACAGAAGCACAGAGAGCTGATGGAGGACGACCAAGGGCCATTGAAGAGTCCAAATACCTGGGCGTGGCCAGTTATAACTGAAGTTCAATATTGGATGTACTGTCCGCGGTCCCGTCTCACTGTAGTCCTCTTGAGCGTGCGGAAGCTGCATTATGCGTTCTAATCCTTATTCAACTTGTAATCATGTCGAGACCATAGCGCGGATCTCTGGCAGAGAGAACACGCATGATCTCGGCATGACCAAAGGCCATCTGGAAAATAGTCATGTCTGTCCCCGAATTCGTAGAAGATCCTTGCGACAATCCGAGAGGGGCCGAAGCGTTGCCACGCGACTTGACCTTGCTGCTACCCCCTTTTTTCTCCTTCCGTGCCATCTCGTCCCGAATGAAGCGTGTGGTACTTTGCGAGGCGTCCTCAAAAGCAAAGACCACGTATGCAAACTGTCCCCGAACATCTGGGTCGAAGAGCAGTACGTCCCGCCAGATTTCAGCAACTTCCTGGGGCGGATTTCGACAGCTGTTACCAAGGCCAAAATCTCCCACAACGACTCGGTCATAGTTATTGTAGAGGCAGACGCGAAGGGCGCCGCGGATCTTTTCTCTCATCATGTCTCGTTCTTCTGCAAAGGAGTACATGGTCCCGTTCTCTTTCAACTTTGGCCAGCGAGTCGGGGGGACAGAAACAACTGGTAAGTCATACCAGCGCTCAAGTCTCTCGTAATTGTCATGAGGCCCTCGACAAACCACAACAGCATCGGAGAGAATGCCACCAGTGGACGGAATAGGATAATTCGATAGCACTTGTGTGTTTGGCCAAGGACTGCTCAGAGTTGCAGAAAGGTTGCTTCGACGACAGAGCTTCTCTTCATATCCGGAGCATCCCGTTTCCCAATCACCTCCGGGACGGCGCTCGTTGGCAGCACAGATGAAGGGAATCCTGACTCTAGAGCCTCCAACAGCCTCAGAGGCCCGACTGTCAGCCGCGGCATAAGAAATGGCAAGCATGACTGGGTCTCCAGCTTCTACCCGGAAAAAGGGGGGGTTGGTACTCAGGTGCCGGCGGGTAATGACGAGTTGGGAAGGCTGCCGGTACAGTATCGAGTACGGAGGAAACATCTCAGCGTAGTTGGCATTGATCAGTGGGATAAAGTTCCTCTTGGTGTCGGCTGCCACTTCTGACGGCTTTACCCGGCTGGATTTTGATCCCGGGGCCATGATGAGTGCTGATGCCCAGTTGGGATGGGCAAATATATATTTGTGGCAGAGATACGACGTTCAACTGTGCACATGTGTGAACTCGTAGCGAGTTGATACATGAACGAGTGAAGCCGATGTGCCAGACTTTATATGCTTACAATGCCGTCTTGCTTGGCGAGGCCTCGCTGATGGTGTAATGTCCAAACTATTCCGGGGAGTTGCCATATAGGGCCCAGTAGGAGGTTGATAAACGTGAGCGTGGCTCGACAAATTTGGGTGACACGGTGAATGAAAGATCTGAATCACTTGTTTGGAACACCTTCATCTAGAGGCGAGGAATGGAAGACATGACCTTGGCCAACAAACGAAGGACGAGACGAGCTTCGACGGCGGACAACAAAGAGCGACAGGTGGTTCCAGCCGGGCTTAAAACCACCATGGCCGCGTCGCTCGACTTGCCTAATTCTACGGTGGGGGGAGGGGGGGAGATGGTGTGTTTCCAGTAAAACATAAAGCGCTGGCAAAACCACGAGACCGAGGGTGCCAGAACTGCCAGCAGGCCAAGGGCCTAGGGGCTGCATTCGAAGCACGTAACAATACGGCGCGGCGGCATTGCTGTTTGCTGCGACTGTCGTAGGGGCAATTCGACTTGGTACATGGCAGCTGTAAGGACCCTCAGGTCTCCAAACAGGTGCAGACATCTCAGACACAGAGTCCCACGGAGATGGCATCCCCTCGCCTCTGTCTTGGTAAGTCCCAAGGTCCCAAGGGCCACATCGATGATGCGGGTGACAAGCGCATCGAGGGTAGCCGAGAATGAAGAACCAAGTAGCTGGACAAGGTGTGAGGGCTCAAGCGGATGGTTGCTAGGCGGTAAAGAGGAGGGCAACTTGTTTAGCAGTCCGATCTGTGGCACCTCGTCTCGCCTTTGTCCGACAAAATACTGTCATGGGCGCGGAGACATGGAGACTGAACAAGAATTTTTTGACTCCCATGTTGGCATGCGGTCTTCCTGTTCCATGGATGACCAAAGGGACCCAAGCCAAGCAAAGTGGCATTTGTTAATTGCCGATATCCAAGGGACTTGGCTCTGGCACGAAGGCGAGCGGCGGGCCAGATGTGTGGTCAGCCCAGCCAAGAAATGATCTGAGACATATTAAGACAGGAAGGAAGATAAACGACCAAGATAGGGCACGGCCGACTGATGACTGGACAGAAGGAAGGTCTTCACTTGGCAGCGGATTGCGAAAATGTGCTTCCTGCTCTGCACTCATGTTAGATACTCTGTACGCTATCACAAGGACGGTAACTTCCCGTGGCCGACGAGCTGACAAGTACCGTTCAGGGCGGAACCGTGGAAAGCTGGTCGGGATGGAATTTAAGTTACCATGACTTGTCATGGTGGAGAGGCACCAGAGAGGCCAGTAGGAAGAGGTTCGATAGCACCAGGATGTGATGAAGTCGCATCCTAGGCCCCTCGAGGCCGCTGGATCATACGCAGCAGGCCAATACAGAAGGTTCGTGTTCGCGAGCAGTGAGACAAGCGGGGGAGGTAGAAATTAGGCTGGTCCACGGGCTTCGACGGGATGTATGATGCTGGAGTCGAGACGATGCTTTCTAACCTTGTACAACGCGCGGAGGAGGATGGATGGTCTGGACGCGCCTCTGTGACGTTGCGGTTTAGCGGAAAGAAAAAGGGGGAAATAAGTTTGGTCACGTTGCCGACTGCGGAGTGACCTTGGGGTGGCCGCAGATCGGCAGTGTGCTCAAGTTCCCAGCTAGGTATCTACGTACCGATGAAAGGGTCGAGTGGCCAGTAGCTCTTTCCATGTCATCAATTTCCAAGCTTCTCTTTGTTTGCTCTGCAAAGGGCAATGCGATGTCGCGGCTCTCGTGCCGCAGTGGCGGGAAGGTGCGAGTGACTTATGAACCTGCCAGGCTGCGACGTCACGTCACCAGGTACGCGCCTAGCCATGCATTTGACGTACGATTCGATGTACCGGACCCTTTGACCCCTGTCTCCGAGGCTGCTCCCGGTGCCTGGCGTCGGCCCTTCACTTGCAGCTCAGACTGGACCCACCCGATCAGATTGCATCGCATCGCATCGCATCACATCAGGGACGTCGTCGACTTGCCGTCCACAAAGTCATCCCGGTTCCCTCGATCTGGCCTCGTTGCCCGTTTTCCTGATGACCTCTACTGCTGGTTCGGTTCGTGAGCCAGGGTCGACGACAAAGAACCTCCATCTCAAGGTGCGTGTCCGGGTGTGACGGCAACTCGACCCGAGTCCCCTGGAGCAAATCTGGTCAATCCTGATCCTGGCGTCATGAGGCCGACTCTCTTGCCAAAATTCGCGAACCATCGCCACATTCTACGGATTTTGCGCTCCAGGGAGAGACGCTACTCCGCAAAGGTTATAGACGAGTCCCAACCGACCATCAAAACAGCGGCGGACCTCAGGACCTGGCACCCCGAGACCAATGTTCCGGATGTCCATCTGTGCGGATGGGTACGCTCTGTCCGCAAGAGCTCAGGCGTCCGTTTTGTTGATGTCACGGATGGGTCGTCAATGCGCCCAGTTCAGGCTGTTGTAGACAAGGCATTGGCAGCAGAGTAAGTTGCCCTACAGCCAGTTCTTTGTACGCTCAACCAAGCTAACCGTTTCGACAAAGCATACGACCTGGTTCTGCTGTTCGTTTGAAGGGACGGTGGCACAATGAAGCCGGTATGAGGCCACCCAGCACAGAAGCATCTGCTGTCTCAGATACCTGCTCTAAGCACACTCAGCTTGTACTTGGAACAGATGGAATGGAGAGAGGCGCCGAGAGAGCCCCAATGATTCAAGAGCTTCATGTCAAGGAGGTGGAAGTCCTCGGTGTATCTGATCCCCAAGTGAGTCGGTTCCAGCTGATATTGATCGCCGTCAAAGTAGCACACTGACCTTTTGTCTGCCAAGACTTATCCAATCCAGAACAAATATCAGACCCCAGAGACCTTGCGCTACATTTCGCATCTACGGTCTCGAACGCCACTCAATTCCACGCTTCTTCGCCTAAGATCTGATGCTACCTTCATACTCACTCAGTTCTTTTTCAACGAAAAATTCCAGCAGACACACCCTCCCATCATCACCTCATCTGACTGTGAAGGCGCTGGCGAAGCCTTCATCGTCAAGACTGGCTCAAGGGCGGAGTTTTTCAGGGATCCCAAATATCTAACCGTCTCAGCCCAACTTCACCTTGAGGCTCTGGCACAGTCTCTTGGGAACGTGTGGACACTCTCTCCTACGTTTAGAGCGGAGCAAAGTGACACGTCCCGTCATTTGAGCGAGTTTTATATGCTCGAAGCCGAGATGAGCTTTGTCAACGATATGAGCGAGGTCATGGATCTCGTTCAAAAGATGCTGAAGTATCTTGCACAAGGCTTAAAAGGACTACGGGCTGCAAACGAACTTGCACAGAATAGACTGGACTCTCGAGACCCCGCCGAAAGGCTTGCCTTTGCGGATTTGGTCGAGCAGGAGGAACTGGACCGTCGGTGGACCGGCTTGCTCTCTCCTAGTCAGTGGCCCAGAATACCCTACAGCGAAGCCATTGAGAGGCTTCAATCTGTTGCCAACATGTTCGAACACAAACCCGTTTGGGGCAGTGGCCTTCATTCGGAGCACGAAAGATATCTAGCCAAGGAGATGGGGCTTGACAAGGCGAACAATGCCTACCTCCCAATCTTTATTACCCAATATCCCCGTGATATCAAGGCCTTTTACATGCTTCGCTCGGCATCGCCGCCGGCACAAGGCGATACCGTTGACTGCTTCGATCTCTTGGTACCGAGTCTTGGAGAGTTGGCTGGAGGTTCAATGCGCGAGCATCGCTTATTCGAGCTTGAGGAGAACATGAAGTTACACGGATTAGAGGTGCCCGGTAAGAGGCAGGACACGAGCAGCGGCCTGGGTTGGTACCTAGACCTGAGGCGCTGGGGATGTCCTCCGCATGGAGGATTTGGCCTAGGCTTCGATCGCTTGCTCAGCTACTTGACGGGCGTAGCAAACGTTCGTGACGTGGTCCCATTTCCACGTCATTACCAGCGATGCGACTGCTAGGGCAACAATTCGCATGCTCAAAATGCCAGCGAAATACCCGTTGGCATCTTTCCCAGGCGAGGCACACGGACCGAAGAGTCTCGGCGCATCTCCGGGTTCGCGTCAAGTGTGCCGTGGTGCGTTCGGCAACGAAAGTGCCATGACGGGGGCGACTCACTAAGCTTAACAGCGTGTATCACAATGTTTTGTTTGCGACGCGGCTACAACACGAGGCGAGCAGGTGTCGGTGCGGTGACACGACAGGGGACAACACGGGATCAGTGGCATGACTTTTGATGGAGAGCACGGCGGTCCTTTCGCCCGTCACACGAGACAGCAGACATCTGTCCCGGAGACGGGGGAAGTCGGCTCGGATTTCGAAGCGAAGTGGCAATCTCGGTTATCACTGTTGAGCCGCAGAACGAGCTTCCAGGACGCCGAACGCCGCCATATCATCGGTACTGTTTGTTTTCGGAATGCCCAATAACTGTATAAAGGAAAAAACCAGACCAGGAACGTGGACCGGGGGGGAAAGTGGTGTTCAAATGGTCGCCTCGAACATCGCCGTCGCCAGCAAGAACTCTCCAGCACCTTGATTTTGAAGTCTATCTGTACACTAGTCGAAGAGACGAAGAGACCCTAGACCCTATACTCAGCTTGAACATGGATAACATACGGTGCAGATCAACGCGGAACAGACACGTCTGTATGTTTTGTCTTCGCATTTACAAAACAGTCACTGCCGTGAGACGAGGCAAGCCTCTTTCTTGTAACCTCCTCTTGTCCTTAAAACTCAACACTCGCGCCAAGCAGCACCTTGATCGCACGTCTCATTCCCAGCGCGTCAAAACCCGCCACGAGTCAACCGGACCGAGTCATCTCGCAGCCTTTCAGAGCACGCCGCTGCTGAAATGAGCCGAAATCTTTGTCCTTTTCCCCATCGGCCAGCTCACAAAAACCGCGCCGCCTCGTCGCCGGGCAGGCAGCCAAACTACCATCCTCATCGTCCACTTCGCCCTCTTTTTCTTCCTCCTCCTCCTCCTCCTCCTCTTCCTCTTCATCCTCCTCACCTTAGCCTCATCGCCGCCATCGCCATGGCCCGCAACGCCCCTCGGGGCTGGCAACCACACCAACACACACGGACGCGACGGGCCAGAGAGGCCAGTGAAGCCATCGCGATGGCCGTTCAACCCGCAGCGGGCCTAAGAGAACACCAGTCGAGAGTGATAGGCGCTCTCCTGGGCGTCCACGCGGGCGACTCCCTCGGCGCCAGCGTCGAGTTCCAGTCGCACGCGCAGATACGCAGACGCTACCCCAACGGCCTGGCCGACATCATCGGCGGCGGACACTTGTCGTGGCCCGCGGGCCACGCCACCGCCGACACCGACATGACGCGCGGCGTGCTGCTCGCGTACCGCGCCGCCCGACGCAACCCCCGCCAGGACGTCGCCGTGCTGGCTGGAAACAACTTCCTCGCCTGGTACAGGGGCGACTGGCCGGGCAGGAGACCCGGCTCGCAGCCCGTGGACATGGGAGGCGCGACGAGGAAAGGCCTGGACACATTCGCCGTGACGCGGGATCCCGAGCGCAGCGGCGCAGGCAGCGGGAGCGCCGGCAACGGCAGTCTGATGCGGTGCCTGCCCACGGGGCTGTTCCAACAGGACCCGAAACTCCTGGTGAGTGAGAGCATGCGCATCAGCAGGATCACGCACGACGACGCGAGGTGCACCGTCTCGTGCGCCGTGTACAATCGCATCGCGGCCGCCTTGGTGCGAGGCACGGACCCCGATCGCGCCGTCGACCTCGGGCTCGCCATGGCGGCCGGGCTCGAGGGCCCCAAACAGCGCGGAGGCGTCTTTGAGGCCGTCGAGCTGGGCACGCGGTTGAGCGTCGAGCGCATGGCGAGCGAGGGCCCCGACCCGACCGAGTTGAGGGGGAGATGTGGCGGCTCCGTGCTGGAGACGCTGGCCGTGGCTGTTGCCGCCGTCCTCGACAGGAGGCGCCTGGAGGACGTCCTGGTGGACGTCGTGAGGATCGGGAGCGACGCGGACACGAACGCCGCCGTGGCCGGGGGCTTGCTGGGTGCGAGGGATGGCGCTGCCGCTATTCCCGCGAGGTGGAGGGCGCTGCTGCAGTTTGGCGGCGAGTTTGCTAGGATTGCGACCGAGTTGACGTAGGCCCGAGAAGGGGTGGCTCGTTTGGAACCCTTCTTGATCGGGTCTGCCTGCCGTTTCTTCAACTTTGCATTTTCGACCGGTTGGGGCTCGGGAATGCCCATCGCCTTTGGCTGGCGCGTCTGGCACGAGCAAAGCGCTTCACGACGTGTCGCGAGCACATGACGAGAAGGATTTTGGAACCAGCCTGCAATTGCAAGTTCCATCACTCTACCACCCTGGACTGAGCGAAAGGTGGGAAGAAAAGAAAGCCAAACTAAACCCCTAAACCCAAAAAAAAAACCGCCAGACACACATCACAAACTCAGTGAACAACCATACGTTGAGAAGTTTTTTTTTTTAAAAAAGATAAAAGAAGAATAAACTAGGCGCATGCCGCAAAAAGTCTACCTTGCAGCGTGTTTCATTAATCCCTCTTCCAAAAAGTACATGGGTTCGATACACCCGACAAAATCAGCAACATGTTGGTGTTGAAGAGGCACAGAGACACAGAGACGGAGCGAGAAATGGGATCAAGACAAGAAAAGTACTACCAGCCAAAAATGTCGGCCAGTCAGTCTAGGCTGACAAAATAGTTCAACAGGGTCGAGTCAGACGGTCAGATTGATACGGATAGATAGATGTGTGAACAACCTTTCATCCTCTTCAACATAGTAACCAACTACGGATCATGCTACACTAACCAGTATCACCGGTTTAGAGGTGTACGTCTAGACAGACAACCGTGCCTTGTCTCGCTTGTCTTGATACCGTGTCACCACGGCCAGGGACCTCCGCAAGATATCGGGCGCACAGGCATAGGAGTTGCGAGTTACGGAGTACACCGTCAACACTGAGCTGAGCAGCCGGTCATTGATGTGAGGCCCGTTCGTTTGCGACTCGTTTGCAACTGGGCTCGATGCAAATGCATCCCCGGCCGGGGAGGGCAAGGAAGGGGGAGTCAGCCAGTGTCCGGGCCGACTGCATGCAGCCCAAAACGCAAGGACCTGGGCGTGCCGACGAAAACAAAGTCGACTCGCGGCGACGACGAGCAGTTCCGGAGGACGTCCCATCAATCCCGGAGCGCTGCCGCCTTGTCGGCTGCAAGGCCTCGCTCGAGCTTCGTCGGCTGCCCGTGGCCCCCATGCCCATCCATCGGGCTTGCCTGGCCATTTGCCTGCCTTGCCATGTGCCCAGGCATGTAAGGATTGACGGACGGGCGGCCGGATGTTGGGTAGGTCCGTATGGTGAGGAGCTTGCAAGCATGAAGATTGATGAGGCAGAGGAAGCCAAGCCAGCTCGTCACCGTCACCGACTCACCGCTTGCGACATGCGAGCTCCCGTGTTTGGTAGGACTTGGTGTTCCCATGTGCCGATACAACTACGTGGCGACTAACGACGGAGTACGTAGCAGTGCTTTGTGTGTTTGGACTTTGTCATGCCAATTGCTGCATATTCGGCCATGTATCGCGTCTCGGCACGTTGCTGGCGTCGGCTGCCTGGTGGGCAGATTGACTCTGCCGCTCCTAGACGTATGAATCAGGTTGAGAAACCACACCACACGCCCATCGCGTCAACCCTCAAGGACCGGCCCTTTGCACACCGCGATTCTTCGGAGCGACAGACGACGCGTTGCATAGCCGGGACACCAGGCGCCTCGCATCTCGTTCTGTCGGGCGTCCAGATTGTGACCCGAATGAAAGCGCAGGAGTCTGCATGATTTGCGAGCCGAGTCGCTAGGACCGACCGATTTTGCGTCCCCGATATCTGGACGACTGGTAGAGTTTTGTTCTTCACAGCACCAAAGTCCATGACGCGAGGCAACGTTTTCGTGACGAGGAGCGTCGCCATGGTGCTGTGGGACGACTAGTCACCATAGCACATTACAGCCCCTGGGTTGGTAAACCTTACCTATACATTGAGCGTGATTCTTTGTCCAGCTTGTTTGCTCAGCGTTGGCACTCGGCTTAAGGTTTGGTCGTCGGCTTCTAGGTTTATGCAATGTCCATGAAAGTGAAACGCCATGCACGAGCCGTGGCTGCTTTGGGTAAATTGCCCAGGAGAAAAGGGAAAAAAAGCTACCAAAAAACTCTATAGAGTCGATGCTGTCCCTGCGTCATGGGTCACACAGCACGTATGAGGCTGCTTGCTGGTTTCACATGGGCTCGTTGCCGAGTAATACGTTGCCCTGTTGAACAAGACACGGGAGTCTTTTGTTTGTCAAAGGGCGAGCGAGCGAGCGAGAGAGAGACACGCTACGCTCTCTTGGTTTGCCTTTGTGCCGGGATTTGTGACATTCACTTTGACACATGCATCTGTGCATGTTTGTGTAGTGTTCGGCAATTGGCCTTGTGCGTGCCGCCTGCATGTTTCACTTACTGGTGGTTGTCTCGCAATCAACAGAGCACTGCGGAATTCCATCGTGTACTCGGTACCCAGCACTGGTCCTAACATACGATTACTGTGTTACCTCGACTGGAGATTTTCTGCAGATTAAGCATAAATGTTTTGACCGTGAGACCTTGGTACTATGCGTCAAGCGATTCATCCGCAAGATGGGGAGCGAGGAGGGCTCCGTCGATGTGCCGCCTGGCTGGCGTATCAAGCAAAGGGTGGTGAAACAAGCTGAGCAGTGAGCACTATTGATCGACATGGCAAAATAGCAGCATCTCCTGGGATGGTGAGGCCGGTGAACGAGGGCCATGCCATCATGCCCCGTGGCTCTGCGCCTCCAAGGCTGCTTGCCGCTCTTCAAGTCACTGGTGGTCTGTCTAGTCACGGCGCATCGACGAGTCCACGTCGAGCTCGCGCGTGTCTCGCCTCGTACCTTTTTAAGAGTCACAATAAGCATATCTCGCGGGCGTGAGGGCGCAAGGGTCCGGCGCCATCCAAGCGCATGGGAGCAGCAGGGAGCACCCCTTCTGGGTTCTGGACTCACCTGTGGCGCCGCTGGTCTTGGGGGTCGGTCTTGTGGTGTTTTGGGAGTCCAGCTAAGCATGGCCAATCTGGGGATGACCAGGGCTGAGGCTATTGGCCACCAGCCGTCCACGACGGATGAGTCGGCAACGGTTGGCTCGGACCATTCTCTTTTCGAGCGCTTCCTCACGGGGGATGGAGGGGGTTTCGGCGTGTGTGATCGACGACGTCGCCCTCGCCGACGATCTGGTGCGCACGTCGTTGCGCACACAACTTGTCCCTCGAGTCCCGCAAGTCTCTCGACGTGACTCGACGCTGTGCAGCCTGCAGGCGGGAGGTAGCAGTCGGCTTCAGAACCCAGAAAGTCAAAAAGGCCAATCTGTCCTTTTTTGCTTGCGGCTGTTTGTGGACGGAACCAAAAACAACAATAAAACAAGAAACAAGGCCGTCGTCAGTGCGAAACGCAAATCCAACGGAAAAAAGTGGGTTGGCGCTGACCTGGCTTGGTTCGTGACAATATTTTGGGTTTTGGCCGCTCTGGCCGCAGAGGAAATTACGTACGTCTTGACAACCCAACCCCGGTGGTGTTGGAGAAAAAGAAAAGAGGAATAAAAAAAGTTTAAAATACAAAAACAACAAAAATCATTGGCCACGGACTCGCTCACTCTGTCTGTAACTCTTTACTCGGTACAATCCTGCGCCATGGATAATCGCGCAGAGAGCAACGGGTCTGTAAGCACTGACAGACAGACCGTGTGCTCCGCCACGTTCGATGAGATACAACGGCAACGGACATGGAACAAACGGCACAAACCGCAAACAGACCGCGTCGCACGAGACGTCTATTATCACGACGACCGCCGCCGCCGCCGCTGCCAAGGGAGAAAAAAAAAAAAAAAAAAAAACCTTCGGGAAAAAAGCTTGTGTCCG